TGCCGGTGCCAGTGCCGGTGCCAGTGCCGTGCCGTGCCGTGCTTTTGGTAATGGCCGCAATCTAGGTCGGTGCCAGTGCTCTAGGTCGGTGCCAGTGCTCTAGGCCGGTGCCAGTACCGCGCTCTAGATCGTCACCACCGTTCCAAGCTGGACACTAACATCCTTCGAACCTAGAGCCACGAGCAACAACAGTCTACCGTTATCCGGGCCGGTGTCAGCTATGGCGCCTGAGGTCCAACTGGTGGCCCCAAAACACACCAGAATATGCTCTAGCCGCTGCGTTTTCCAAAGTGAAGCTTTGTATTCGAAACCTTACAATAACTACAATTATTACAGCTATTATCCGTATAGGCATTATAAGAACTATTGAAGAAACTACTATCTATAACCTCGAGGGACTCGGGTACGTAATCACCAGGTGATGGCCGATGAAGGATCGCGGGAATAGAGGTGGCTCCGTCAACACCTGCCGTTGGCGGTTGGGTGTCGGAAAGTGGGAAGCGTGGGGGGCGTGCACAAGCCGTTTCATCAATAGATGTCGATTGCGCGTTACCTTAATTACTTACGGGAATGATACCGAGGAGGTAAGGTGATTAGGAGGGATATGCGGTTGCCGGCGGAACAACACTAGGTTTGGACCCAACTCCGAACTCACGTCCGGAGGCATGGATAGGATGGATGGATAGCCCGATACCGTACTTACAAAACAAGATGCCATGTGCAACACCGTGCCGGGATTAATAGTGTCAGTATTATGGCGTCAATTCGCACCTCCCTAAAAATATATTAATGGTCATGACTTAATTATCAGCCCGCCGCCTCCCGGATCCTGTACATAGATTAAGTAGTATTGTGGCCGTTGTTGGGTGCTTGGGTGCGCTGCGCTGCGCCCGGCCACTTGGAGCAAGGCCCTTCCGAATGCCCCAGCAGAAAAGAGAAAAAAACCATCGGTCTACGTGCGGATAGTATAGTAAGAAAGAACAGTCGGACCAACAACAAGGTCTAGGAAACCACACCCGGCAGATGGAGGCGAAGTGCATGATCTGTGTATGCATGATTCTGGGGGCGGCGCTTGCCGCCGAGTTGCTCTTGCCGGCACGTTGCCGGAAGGCGTATTCGTGGTCACCGCCTCGTCCGTGTCATGACCACCTACCTACTAGTAGCGGAAGGGGCACGACAAAAAGGCAGGTACGACCGTACGGGGGAGTTAGGCACGGATCGGAACGAGGCCAGGGTGTGAGAGTGTGAGGCGTAAGCAGAACAACTTTAAACGAGACTGCCAGACGTTGAGGCTATTCCATCTTCCGCGCCGGATCCGAATGTCCACGCCGTCCTCGATGTTAAGCCGAAACACCTCAAAGCCCCAACGAGATACGTAGCCTCGTCGTGGTTCGTTGTCACCAACTACTTGTGGCGGCAGCGGCGACTCTAGATCCTGCATTGAAACAATATACTTCATACTTGATCGTGAGGGAAGATAGTCAGAAAACACCAACACCAACACCAAACATCAACACACACCCCGCCCACTTGTCTGCCAAACTAGATGAGGCACTAGAACATCTTATCTTACGTTTCTCTGTTCCGGGAATCACGGATTTAGGGGTTCATCTGATGTTTTTTTTTCTTCCCTTTTTGCTCCCTTTCAGGTTCGGGCCGGCAGCAACAGGATCACCAACTAGACTACTTTGCTACATCAGACAACTTTAAGCTTTCAGGGAAGAGACGCCCACCCGCCCAAGCGCTCGATCAATTGCTGCTACCTGCTGCCCGTCTTGGTGTCGATCCATACGCCACCGATAGCAGCGAACTAGCTTCAGTTCCTTGCTTAGCTAGGTCAAGAGGAAGAGGCCGCTAAGTTAATTCTTCATCGGTTTCAAGAGGATACATGGGATGATGCCAGTTAGCCTGCAGAGAAAGAGTCGACGAGAACCCGTGGAAGCAAGCAATGGCCATTGATATTGGAAAGACGGAGGTAGGAAAATGAAAGCACACTCAACTTAGCCTACCTACCTTCGTTAAACACTAAACTCTGGTTGGTGGCTCTCGTGGCGACGGCAACATTGGCATTAATCAGAAGCCATACAGGAAGCAATAGTATCAGCGAGCAAGCAAAGTCGCGTAGAGAAATGGTTATCAGCCAGCTTGTCTGTGGGATACTAGAGACGAGCATGCCATATCCAGCTTTCATATCATTGTAACCACGATATCACAAATAAACCAGCGCCGCTTACGTGATTCTCTTGCCCTTTCTTCCTGCGTCACAGAGGTGCTTCCTCTGTGAGGCCACCTTCGTATGAAAGTACACAGATAGGGCCACATGACCAACAAACAATTGACTAGGCCGGGCCGAGGAGTCGTGTTTCAATGCGAGAATGCGAGAAACTTTGTCGCTTTGAAACATGGACTTGGCTGCGAGAGAAGCAGCCCGCCCTAACAAACATTCCTTGGTGTTGGATCCCGAGAAACGACTCCCTGTCCGTGAAGGACTCGCTCGTCCCTCCTCTAGAATGTAACCCTTCCACAGAGTTGGGCCCAAGATAGGCAATGTGGTATGGCTTCCACCCATCACCAGAGAACTCTGTACAGTATAGTACAAGCAATGAGGGACAAGCCAGCTTCCATGCATAGGAGCATCAGAGCAAAGTGGCAGTTGGAAACACTTGAACATGGGTCGGGCTCAGTCAAGCACGAACAAAGTCGAGCATGAACGAGTGCGGACACACCGTGTGGTGTTGGGTTAGACTGTCCATAACCCTCGAGGGAAGAGTTAACAATTAACTGTTTATCATACGTGGTGATAGGTATGAGCCATTTCACTTTTGTGATAAATCTAACTGTAGAAGTCCCTCCTTGAGGCAGCAAGTCTTATTGAAGCAGACGAAATATTATTATAACTGTTTATTAGCGGTATTAAAAGACTTAGGAGACATGGCCAACCTAGATACACTTGTCAGTAATGGTATAATCCATGTCACTAACATGGTGAGCATATTACCGTGGAAGTCACGAATACGTAAGCCTTCTTTTGTCTACTCTAATCTACTATTAAAGTGAAATGGCATATACTCGTCGCCATTCACACACTAAAATGAACGTAGTTAAGAGTACGAATAACTAAACATCTAAATGCCCACCACCATATGCTAAGCTGAGAAACTCGTGAGTAGCTAGTCCAAAATATATAGTTACAACGACAACTTGGGCAATTGAACAACACTTACATATGCTTGTTGAATTTTGTCTACTTAAGGAGTAGCTTCCATAGTTGGATCTATTACCAAAGTGAAATGGCTTATACCCATCGCCACATTCCATAACAATAACATCCAACACAGCTAGTCAATCGAGTATCAATAAAGTCACCAACTACAAGCGAGACGATTGAATGATACCAACAGATTCATGCTGCCTAGGCAATTTTCCACCTAATTATCTATAGCACTCTAATAAAGAGCCGACTCCCGTAGTATCGAAACCACAACAGAGACCAAGCTTGCATCTATCACCACAAATACCAGCAAGAAAACACAGCTAGTCCAGTTCAGACTATACAGAGGAGTTGACTAGTTAAACAATATTGATAGATCTATGCCGCCCAAGTAACTATCTGTTCAAATGTCCACATCCGTCGAATGAAGAGCTAACATCCGTGTTATCGAAACCACAATAGAGACACAGCTGATATCCATCATCACATTCTACGGCAAGAACATGTAATACAGCTAATTCAGTATAGAATCGACAGAGTTACAACGACAAGTCAGACAAATAAACAATAACACTGACAGATCTAGTCAAACTTGATGTTTATATATTGTGTATTTCGTTTGCTTTAAAAAAAAAAGGGGGGGGGGGACTTCCATAGTTAGATCTACCACCAAAGTGAAATGGCTTAACCCGCCAACAGGCACACACTAAATAAAACGCACACAGTCAAGCATTTGCCGCGGTACAGCCAAAAGTCAAACAAACAATTGAACGGCACCGACAGAGTCATGCCCGCCCATGTTTATCGAATCGAATATAGCCCTAGAATGAAGAGCTAACTGCTGCAATTTCGAAACTACAGAGACACAGTTGACGTCTATCACCACGATAAGTCCGGACAAATAAACAGCAACACTGGCAGAGCCAGCCATACTCAATAGTCATCTGGTCGTCTGTTTAAACTCCCGGGGGAGAGCCAACTTCCGCCGTATCGAAACCACCACAGCAAAGATTTATCTGACATCCGTCCTCACATGCCACAGCAAAAGGGACACGGCCACGGCCATGGCCAACCTCCAAGTCTACACAGACTAGACTGTCCTGATAACATACATAGCTATCTTGCAACACCATACTGACGGCACCATGCCGAATAGTCAACTAGAGGACAAAGACTCGGGGCAATGGCAGTTCTATGCTATGACTGTCCAACCACTCTCGGCCAGGACCACTGTATTCTTTATCTTGACTACATATAAATAATCCTTTTTTTCTGTGACAACGGCATGCTGGAGACTAAAACAAGTAAAGTAATCTTCTAGCACAAGCATATCTCGACAGCTAGCGTTGACCAACACAAAGATCAACGCTACACTATCGAGATCCAGAGGTAGTCATGAACACCGGCTAGAATAGACCGGCCGGTCCCCACGAGATGCGGCTGCTGGCTGTGATACTTGGTAGATGTGCTAGTTCCGGGACGAATTCCCCCAGTTCAACGACCACCCAACATGAAAACGAAAGGAAATTAATTGATAAATAAAGAAGGCCATATCTTTTACTGGGCTGCGCGACAAGGCGACGCGGCACAGTTAGTGGACATGTGAAGTAATGAACCAACGTCTAGACCAGACCCCTCTACAATAAACGCCATGATGATGTCCGAAACCGGAATGCCACCGTGGAAAACTGGCCATCAGACGCACCAGCAGGCAACTGGTTTCCAGCCGCGCTGGGAGCGTGTTGCCTCTTGGTATATTTTGGTGATTTTTTTTGGGTTTTTGTTTTCTTTACCACCGGCGGTTGCCGATAGGTAGTGCGTTGGCACCGTCAAACCCTCCCGAGCGGCCTGTTATGGCAGCGATAGTGAGCGCGAGGGCTAATAGTTCCGAGAATAGGATTGCCTACCTCCACCCCGGCCACCACCGCCGCCGCGACCGCGATAACCACCGCCATACCGGCCACCACCACCTCCGCCACCACCGTAGCGCGCCATCTCAGCCAGCCGAGGATCGATCTGCTGCTTAGCCTCTTGAAGGACCGACACAAGATCGCGGGCCTGCTTTGCATCTAGAAAAGGTGTTAGACGATGAATGGTAAAGGAGAAGGGGGATGTTGAGCTTACTGTCAGTGGTGAACAGCGTGATGGCTGTGCCAGTTGCACCGGCACGACCAGTTCTACCAATTCGGTGGATGTAATCCTCCGAGTTGTTCGGGTAGTCATAGTTGAGCACGTGAGTAATGTTGCGCACATCTTTAGGGACCAAATGGTTAGCAACAACAAGAGAGCGCTTGAATATAGCAACATTCCAGCATGAACTGGCGCGGATGACACGAATAGCAGGTAGCTAAATATGTTTTGTAATCCCTTGGTAGTACTTCTCCTTGGTAGATGGGCTGTCCGTTGCGAAGAATATGCCGATGGGAGATCCAATGCTCCGGTCCTCGGGCCTTGGGAATCTTGGAGACAAGCTTGATCAAGGTCAAGAGATGCCAACTCCACGCTTGTACCACGGCGTGAGAAACGGTACAAGAGAAGAATCACGGGCGTAGCACAAAACAATGTCTTTGCTACGTCACGAACCCAAGACTCCACTCAGAGGGACCATGCAGACACGAGGTCAGGCAATTTCGCGCAATCAAGAGAGCCCCTAGACACAAGAGTAAAGCACAGCACACAGATATGCTGGAAAGCTGCCGAAGACTTCGGGGGGGAAGGTAGGGGGGGGAGGGGGGGAGGGGGGGGAATACATACCAATACCACGAGAAGCCACGTCGGTGGCAACCATGATTGGGCTCTTACCGGCCTTGAACTGATCCAAGACCCAGTCACGCTCGTTCTGCTGCTTGTCACCGTGGATAGCTAGAAATCTGTCAGCACGGCCCGAATAATCCAGAGTCATTGTGAAAGGCAAGAGGGGATTTACAAAGCGCGGGCCAGCCATCCTGGCGCAGGAAGCGGGTAATGTCATCAGCAACACGCTTGGTACCAGTGAAGATGAGGATCTTGTTCTGGTTGTCTTTGCCCTCCATGATCTTCTCCATATGCTTGATCATTTTGTCGCGCTTCTCCGACTCAGTAACAACCTCGACGATCTGAGTGATGCGGTGATTGGCGGACAACTCCAGGGATCCAATGTTGACCTGGATAAAATCGGTCAAGAAGTCTCCAGCCATGTTGCGAACCTCCTTGGGCCAGGTGGCGGACCACATGAGTGTCTGACGATCGGGCCGAATCTGGCCAATGATCTTGCGAATTTGGGGCTCGAAACCCATGTCCAACATGCGGTCCGCCTCGTCAAGAACCAGGTAGGTGACACGGCGCAGGTTGGTCTTACCAGACTCGAGCATATCGATCAGGCGGCCGGGTGTGGCGATGCAGACTTCGACACCACGGGACAGATCGCGAATCTGGGGGCCCTTGGGCACGCCTCCGTAGACGCAGGTGTTGCGAATTCGGGACGACTTGCCGAACTTGGTGATTTCCTGCTGGATCTGAACAGCCAACTCTCGGGTAGGAGCAAGAACCAGGACAATCGGGCCATCGCCGGGAGCGAGGAGAGGCTGTGCGTTGATGTGAACAATTGCAGGAAGGCAGTAGGTCAATGTCTTTCCCGAGCCAGTCTCGGCAATACCGACGACATCACGGCCGGAAAGAGCCATAGGCCACCCTTGAGACTGGATAGCAGTCGGGGCGGGGAAACCCTGGGCCTTGACCTCGTCCATAACATAGCGGGGAAAACCAGCCTCGTCGAAGGTCTCTACCGGGTTGGGAACATCGCGGCCGTGGATGGCCATGGCGTGGTCCGCACGGAATTTGTCGACCTCGGCTTGTTTGCGGGCGGTAACGTTGGGGTGCTCTTGGTAGAAGGACTTCTCGAACTTGGGCATCGCGCTCAAGTCCCAGTTCTGCTTCTGCAAGTTTGCACCAAGGGCGGACATGCGGTCACCTCCGGCGCCGCCACCTCCGTAGCCGCCTCCACCACCACCGCCGCCGTATCCTCCACCACCACCGGAGTAACCGTTGGATCCACTAAGAAACGAGAAAATTGGTTAGTTAAATTTTATCGTAGAAATTGTAGGCGGGGCCAGTAGAATAAGGAAGAGCGACAACAAAGCGCTCAGATGAGTATAGAGTAGGCAGACGCGACAGCCGATAATGGCACGTAGCCGGATGCGAGAGGGTGGTGGTTTGAGTAGGGAAGGCTGTGAGGTTTGGAACTTACCCGTGAGACGAGTAGCCATTTGACTGGCCGCCGCCGCCGTTGCGATCAAATCCACTGGAAAAACCACCTCCTCCGCCGCCGCGAGAGCCGTAACCGCCTCCGCCGCCGCCGTAGGAAGACATGCTGTCGTTAGTGGGTTTTGTGAAACGGAAAACCGTGTATGACGTGATTGCTTGACCGTCTTTTGGGATCTGACGGTAAGGGTGAAGAATGAATGATCGCTCTGATTGGAGAGAAACGTCTAGGGGAGAGTTGTCCGAGACCTGGTTCCTTAATGTGATTCTCACACGGATGCGAGAAGTAAAACTACGAGGAAGGGGGGAATGCGAGGAGGGGAAAACCAGGGGTTTTTGCTGGAAAATGCTCGTTGGGAGAAGGTGCCGGCCGTGTCTAGAGGGGCAGTGACGCGAAAATGGTCACGGAACCTCACGAGCGCCTCGGTCAAAAATACGTTAAACTCAAGAAAGTAATGAGCGAACGGTGACCTTGTGATGGACAGACACTTGTGGTGGGATTGCGGAAGATGAATGGTGCAAGTTCTCGACGATGCGAAAATCTTGGGCAGTGAAGGAAGGAGAGGGAAAGTAATAAGGTCGCCCCCCCCCCAGAAATTTTTTTGGGTACTTGTTAGGCGGGAGGCGCTTCGGGTTAAAAAACATTTTTTTTGACAAGGCAGTCAGTCGCCTGCACCTAGGGAGGCCTTGCTGACTGGGCGTGGGACACGGTCTCGATAAGCAAGATAAGGATGTTGTGCCTTAGGATTGAGGCAGCAAGATTCTCAGCCTGCAACCAACCACCCTGTCAATGCGCGTGCCTCGACTCATCCACGCAGCGATTCCTTCTTCATGGGCGCCTCCAAGCCCGCAACCAGGTAAAAACTCAGTTGGGACCTGAATCAGAACCAGGCCCTATCCAATTGGCACCACACCGCACCCACGCCGTGGGTTTCCACGTGAAGCTGCACATGCGAAGTAAAACGAGCAGCCTGCCTTGCCCTCTCTTGTCTCAACAACCCCCGAGGTGCACCCCACCAACCCTTTACTCCGTACAATTGTGGAAATGTGGTATCACGTGGCACTTTGCTGGCCGGGTTGATCAAGCCAGCTGTGGCCTGCGCTGACATGCTTGAGGAAAAAAGCAGTTGGATTTGTTTGCTTCGGATATTTACTTATTGATGTACGCACCACTGCCGCCGGCCCGGGGGGGTGTCGGTAGTAACATGAGCCTTTCATTATCCTCTCATCAATACCACACTGCAATATGCATATCGGTTGTCTGCATCTGACGCCCGCCTAACCTAGCCGCCTGAGCTGTACGGATACATCTCCCAAAACCCGATTTCCATCTGTGTCGATCCATGTCAGCTTCCTCAGCGGGCCCGGGATAGAGAGAGAGAGGAAAAGAATGGGCAGAGGGAGGACGAGCTGTCGTCTTGCTCTGCTCTGAGCCGGCCCGAGAGGACTTACCTTGGTGGCATGGATAAAGATCTTGACCAGCTCGTCTATCCGTTTTGGGCTCTGGAGGGCCGCGTGCCTTTCCAGGAGGTCTTTGTTGTTTGGATTAGTCAAAGTGTGTCATGACGTCATCTCTCCTCGGTACGCACCAGATCCAGTCTTGATAGCCTCAAGATAGTCATCAGCCACGTAGTTCTCGATCCAGGGCCAGTATAGGTTGCCCTCTCTCTTGGACCTCGTGTCCTCGTGTAACTGCCGGGCAATCACTCCATAGCCAAGCAGGCAGGGTGCTATAGCCACCTGGAGGGCAAACCAATCCTCTGATTGCCCGATGTCAAGGACATATCTCGGGAACAAATCAGCTACGGCTATTGACGGGGTTCCCTTCGGATATTATGGTACCTGGTATAAGCGGTGCAGGCTGCTTGGGGGTCAGTGTTATGTGGAGAAGCCGGGTGGGATGAAGTGGGAAAGTCTGCTTGCCCTCCTTTTCCTCCGTGTTCTCAATCTCGTCTTTGGTTATGCCGAATTGCTTGCAATAGCTGATGTGGAGCTCCATCTCCTTGAATATGTGTGTGACTATGGCAGCAGACTGCATGCAAAGGAAATGGTCAGTGTCTTACGGCTCTCCCGGTCCCGTCAAAACATATGGGGCCAAGCCAAAGCAATGCGCACCGCGGCGATATCCTTGATGCTCTTAGCTTTGTACGAGGCGAGAGCATTTGCTCGGGCAAAGTGAATCTATAAACCCAAGTCAGTGGCCACCTCGATAACCCCCCCGGGAGCCGAGGACAGGACACACAAGATATAGGTAGTCCTGAACCAAGTATCCCCTAAAAGACTCGGTTGGCAGACTTCCGTTACCCATGGCCAGCACGAAAGGGTGATTGACAAACCGATCCCACACGGGGGCGACATCAGGGCGCTCGAGGAGGTAGTCTACAAAATGGCCTCTGGGACATGTCAGCACATAAACACTCCCCCGCTAAGACCGCTGTTAAAATATGGGGTCAAGGGTTGCCTGGCGTACGGTGAGAAGGGCATTGCATAAATAGAGTGAAAGTGATTCAGGGGCCCGTTGCCATGTCCCAGGCCTGGGGCCGTCTTGATGCCAACCTCGACGTATCTGCACGCGGCCTTGACGGCACGAGGAACGTCCATGTCATTGGCAAGGTTTGAAGCAATTGCAGCTTCGCACAATTTTAAACCCGACAGGTTAGCCACTGTTGTATGTACCTTACCACCACTGTTGGAGCTGGTGCGCTGAGCAAAACTCACAGGCAAGAGAGCAACCGGTGCCATGTGTGTGCCGGGATTCTTGGTAAGGCGTCTCGATCCTGACCGTCCGGCCCTCGCCGACTAACACGTCGACGACGAGCTCCCTCTCCTCGGTGGTCCTGGCCACGCCGCCACCCTTGCGGAAGGGGCAGTGGCCGCCCTTGACGAGCACCCACTTTGGGCCTAGAGAGTATACGGCGTTGGCAATAGCCTCTAGGTCGTCGATGCTCTCCAAAGGGACGTGCCCGTAGCCAGCGTCGGCAAGGAGTAGGCGAGCCTCGGGCAGATTGGGCGTCAGCACAGTTGCCTGGGGGAGCAGCTGGGTGCGTAGGGTGCAGAGTGCGGCCGAGGGCAGCAACTGGGCTCCTGCGGTTGCAATCACGACTGGGTCGACGACCAGAGTCGTCACATTGTGGTCACGGATGGCCGTGGCGACGGCGTCAATGGTGGCAGCCGAAGCCAGCATGCCTAGACACAGGCGGATAATCAGAAACACGGCCCGGAGCGGATGGGATGCTTGCTTGCTTGCATGTATGCATGTGCGCATATATATATATATATATATATATATATATATATGTGTGTGTGTGTGTGTGTGTGTGTGCGTGTTTGTTTGTTTGTTACCCCTGTTCAAGGGAGGTAAGGTACTCACCGGTCTTGACCACATCGACGCCGATGTCGTCGATGCAGGCGGCAATCTGCTTCGTTACAAAGTCGGCAGGCACATGGTGGATGTCGTAGACGCCCTGCGTGTTCTGTGCCGTGAGAGCGGTGGTGGCCGTCATGGCATAGCAGCCATGAGCTGCGATGACTTTTTGGTCTGCCTCTAGACCCCTAGGGAAGGGATTGGGCGCCCAAGTCTAAGTATAAGCTGACCGGCCAACCACGGAAGCGCAGCGGCGCCGCCGCGCGGTAGGTATCGTAGGGGGTAGAAGGGAGGGCTAGACTAACGCTCCGCCCGAGCTATCTGAGCCGGCAACCACGAGCACTCGACCGACGCCCATATTCAGCCGTTTATTCCCAGCGAGATTCAAAATAAAATAAAATAAAGAGCTCGGGTAGGCAGACGGATCGACAGACAGGTAGGCAAGATACGTAGCAGGTATCAGGACGAGAAATGGTAAAAGCTATCTTCGGTAAGGTAAGGTGGTTCCATGTAGGTAAGTTACCCAAGGTATGTGCCAAGTATGCATGCTACCTGAGGTAACCTGTCTAGACAATTAATATCCTAGTAGGTGCGGTAAATCGAATCTACTTTCCCAGATGTCCATTACAGCAGCATGCGCCATTAGAAGTATAAATAAATTCTTTGTGGGTGGAAGGGAGTGGGGCTGTATTGTACTGGATACAATGTAATGTACATGTACATGTACAATTGGTGTAGCATTTACCAGACCTCTCTCGCTTTGCCCGCCACTTGAAGTAGCCCAGCGCCGGCACCAACTCAGATTTATCCAATTCAATCGATCAAATATAGCCATTTAGAGCAATCAATTATACGATTTTGAGGTCAAATTCAACCAACTCGTAGGGCCAAAATAATTGGCGAATTGTCAATTATTTCCCATTGGCCAGGCCATTTTAGGCCGGATTTTTCGGATTTTCCCGAGTCCAGGGCGCCCCCTGACCAAGGCCAACCCTGTATTTTCCTGGGCCCGGGAAAATCTCTGACTGAGGCCGCAGGTCACTGCAAAGCACCGTCGAAGCTGCAATGCAACCATCACAACGTAAATAAACAGCCGAATCCTTCCTTTCCACCAAAGCCTTCCATTCCTATAGCGATTTCCTTGCGCCCGAACTACCGACAATATGCCTGCCTCGACCGTTAATACCGCGGCCCTCTCCACAGGCCAAAAGCGAGCATTTGATGTCCTAAGGAAGCCATCGCAAATCTCTACATAATACGAGGAGTTAACGTGATTGCATAGCGAGCGCGCATGTATAGCGAGCGCGCACTTTTCCCACCCCAATTGAACTATCGCAAAACATCGTAAATTTCTCCACGATAAAACATGCCCGCCGTACGAAATGAAGCACAAATACAGCTTGCCCTTCAAGCTATGCAACGCGACAAGAATCTTCGCCTTGCAACTGCTGCAGCCCGATATTCCGTACCCCGAAGAACACTTGAGCGGCGTTCGAACGGAATCCTCCCTCGAGCAGAAATTATTGCCAATTCGCGGAATCTTGACCCCCTTGAAGAGCAGGTTATCATACGAAGGGCTCTCGACCTATACGAGCAAGGATTTTCGCCAGGATACGGTATAATAGAAGATATGGCCAATTTGCTACGCGCGACGCGCAACGCGTCACGCGTCGGACCACGCTGGGCTGCAAACTTCGTACGACGACAGCCAGAGCTCAAGATGCGTTGGACGCGTCCGTACGACTACCAAAGAGCTAAATGCGAAGATCCAAAGATAATTGGCGCGTGGTTTGACCGTGTTCGTAATACAATTGCGAAATATGGGATTCTCGAGTCGGATATCTGGAACTTTGACGAGACTGGGTTTACGATGGGCCAGATCTCGTCAACACTTGTTGTTACCTCGTCCGACGGCCGTGCGAAGGTGAAGAAGATCCAGCCTGGTAATCGGGAATGGGCTACCGTGATTCAGGCCGTACGGTCGGGTGGTGATACTATCCCTCCGTATGTGGTGGTTGCGGGCAAAGTCCACCTCGAGAGTTGGTATCGCGATAGCCCTTTCCCATCCGACTGGGTAGTAGATCTCTCAGAAACTGGTTAGACGAATAACCAGATTAGTCTTGATTGGATTAAACACTTTGACTAACACTCTCGCCGCCGTACGATAGGTGGAAAGCGACTCCTAATCCTTGACGGGCATGAGAGCCACCATTCGGCCGAATTTGAGGACTATTGCAAAGAAAATAATATCATTACGCTTTGTATGCCTCCGCACTCATCACATCTACTTCAGCCTCTTGATATCGGGTGTTTTAGTATATTGAAGCGGTCGTACGGCAAGGAAATTGAGAGGTTGATGCGCAACCATATTCACCACATCACTAAGCCCGACTTCTTTCTCGCCTTCTTCAACGCATTCTACGCGATATTTGAACCCGAAAACGTACAAGGAGGTTTTCGAGGGGCAGACCTTGTTCCATTCGACCTAGAGAAGGTCATTTCCGGGCTAGATATCAAGCTTCGTACGCCAACACCTACTGGGCCCCCCGAGGCCTCGTACGATAGTTGGGTCTCTCAAACGCCACAAAATGCTACCGAAGCCTCTCTACAGTCAATACACATCAAGGATCGTATTACTAGATATCAAGGCAGTTCACCCACCCCGATTATTGAGGCCCTTGATCAGATTGTAAAGGGTACGACGAAGGTTATGCACGAGATAGTATTGATAAAGGCGCGCGTGCGAGAGCTTGAGGAAGCAAATGCAGCATTGAGCAAACGCCGGAGAGCTGAAAAAAGTCGTATCCGGGCAGGAGGACCATTAACTATGGAAGAAGCGAGTGATATTTTGGCCCAAAGGGATGCGCATGTATTGGTAGAGGAGGAAAAGCGATCGAGGGGTGGTCGTACGAGGAGCAACGCAACAGGTTTACGACACTGTAGTAATTGCGGCAAAATAGGACACAACTCTCGTACATACAAGGAGGACGCAAAAATGGATGAGTAATTAGATTCTGAGTAGTTTCTATTAATTTTTTCCTTTGTGGTGTTAGTATTTCGTATAATAGTTCAATTAGGGTAGGAAAAGTGCGCGCTCGCTATACATGCGCGCTCGCTATACAATCACGTTAGTCAAATTTTGACATGAAAGAGCTTGGGAATATGGAGGTAAGGGACCGGCCCAAAATAACAAAAACACGGGCGCTATATATACCGGAATACTGGGCGGGCAAGAAGAATACGAGGTCATCGTGGATTACTTCGTACGGCTACTGGCTTGTCTAGGTCGTCAACAACGTCATAAAAGAGGGAGCATGCTTCTAGGCATATCACTATTACGAGAAGGTCTTTACGGCCGTAAGCACAAGCTCGGCGGCAGGCCATTTGCAAAAGGAGCATGCCGAAGGTTTCACGGCGAGGAAGACGGCGTTGAGGTCTAAGTCAACTGGGCTAAAAGGGGAACACCCTGGCTGCGGAACATGCAGGTGGCGCTTTTTTCGCCCGTGTATGCCAGAGCACCCAACACAAATTACTACCGTTCAATGAAGCAGTTGTGTCTTAACACGGCAAATTCCGCAGCTAGGGTGTTCCGCTTTTGGCCTAGTTGACTTATGTCAGCGGACCCCCAGAGGGCATTAAGCTGGTCTTCGGCGCACAAATAGAATGGGCGACGATACCTTCAATAACATCATATATTTGAAGGGTTGGGTACGTTGACGAGCTTTTCCGGGCTTCAGGGCATTTTTTATTAACTATTTTAGACCTCTTTGATGACTTTTTACATCTTTTTTGGTGGAGCTGAAGATGCCGTCAAATATCATCAATCAATTAGGTATTACTATATCAATCAATTCTAGCCTCAACCCAGTCAAATATCCATTTTTGGTGGCTCAATTCAACCAAATATAGCCTCAAGATTGAGTTGTTTGAGCCATTGCCAACGCTGAAATAGCCGGAAAAGCAAGACCCATACATTTCCTTTCCTAGACGGGTTTCCAGACGATCAGATTATTCTGTTTCACTATTCTCGGGATGTTTTTCTAAAGAAGATCCCCAACACGACATCACATCTCAAGCCCGTCGATCGAGCAAGCAAAAATCCTCATTCGAGACACCTATCGGTTACTCCATCGCATTGTCACGAGGGAGCTAGACGAGAGAAACACATAGGTGCCTAGGTTGGTAAAGGACGAAACCTTGACAAAGGATGCTTCGCCGTCGTTCCTCGCAACTCGTTAGATTTAGGTGCCTATTATCTATCCTCACCCTTACCAACCCGGACCCCTCTAAGGCAAGCCCGTACCTGGAAAACCACTAACTATAACTTGCATCCAAAACCAACCAAGGTGGCGGAGAGATTTCCGCTGTTGCTTCCGACAAGCAATAGCTGAGGTAGGCATGGTGTCTGTCATAGGCAAAGCGTATATGGTCATCTTTGAGGTATCCGAACCCTTACCCTTACTCTTCAGTGTGAGGTTCTGGAAGGGTGGCAATAGCCGTCTCGTCTTCTAACTGCGACTAGCTTTTGAGACACTCGCATCGCCATCGCCATCGCCACAGCGGGAAGTGTCGTCAGCAGCCTTTCCCTTCTCCTCTTCCTTACTAGCTTCCTTGGTAGTGATTTCCTCCTTCGCCTCCTCCTTGCCCTTGGCCGTGGTTTCCTCTTTCGTCTCCTCCTTAGCCAATATAGAACCTTGTCCAGTAGTGGTGACGACCTGTCTGGCTATAATGGCACGCTGTTTGGCGGCCACGACTTTAAGACGCTTCTGTTAAGCCAGTGCCATTGGACCACATATCCCTCTGGGGTTTTTACGGAGAGGCTTAAGAGCAAACCTTGCGTTGTCGAACCAGAAGTGTATCTGGTGGTTCATCGAGATCCCGTGTTTAGCAGACTGGGTTATTCCTGCGTCCTCAAATATCCAACACCATGCTATGGACTTGTCGGAGCCCCCAAAGACCGTAAGCGTCGCGTTGAGGCGATCGAAATCCTTGTTCTTGCTTGTCACGAATGGAAAAATATACGCGACCTGGTGTGAGAGAAGGCAGGTACGCCGGATCAAGGTGGTCACAATGAAGGAAACAAGAAGGGCGAGCAATGACTGGTATTGGGGTAAGACTTCAACCTGGCCCTCGCAAGGAAATGGGCGAGGGCCACTGTTTATATACATGCTCAGGGGCTCAGTCCTGCGTGTGCTTGTGAAAGCTTGTGGGGGTGTGGCGCCATAGCGTGGCTTTAGTGGCTTGTGCCAACGGCAGTGGCCTGGCCAGTTAGTGCTCTTTCCTTACACCTGCGGATCAGGTAACCTAGTGAACACGCAAATATATCCATCTCGATCCTTTACCTAAGCGGACTTTTTCGAATCCATCTGCTCCCAGCTTTGCCAGCATTTGCTCCATGGTTGTGGGTGGGAGAAATACCAAGCGGGTACTTGGTAAAAAAGATGATGTGGTTTTTTCGGAGGTGGAAGGTTAAAGTCCGAAGGTGAGTGATGAAAAGTGCCGTCTAGGCAGTATTTTGGTAAAGTCTAGGACTCTGTATGTGGAAGTATATTGGTACAAGTACCAGAAGAGTATTGTAAAGAAAGAACCCCCAATCCACACACGCGACCAACTCACACTCATACCGCGTACGGAGCGGGCCAAGACCTCACTCCTTTGTCAATAGCCCGCCCTACACTCTGTCATGTATATAAGCAGTGGCCCTCGCCCCTTCCTTTGCGAGGGCCAGGTTGAAGTCTTTTACCAATACCAATCATTGCTCACTCTCTTCAGTACCTTCATTGTGACCACCTTGATCAGGCGTACCTGCCTTCACTTACAAGTATTTATGGAAGGTATAAGACTTCGAAGATGGATTGTAAGCTCTACAGTAACCATAGGCCTAAGCCAATGATACTGTGGGAAAGAAAAGATCAAGGCGACTAGAAAGGTATGTGGAAGGTTGTTGTTGAAGGTATGGTTGATTTTTTATGTGTTAGAAGAAGAGAAGTGTGTGTAAAAGGTGGGGGGGAAGTATTACATACCACTCGACTGTTAGTGTCGTCTGTCTGTAAGGGAGCACGGGCTCCACAGGATGCTGGGGTTGGTAATTACGAAGATAGAACAAAGGGCAAGCTCCTATCGCACGGGTGATACAGTCAAATCGGAATGCCAGTCAAAGTATATGAGTGCAGTGAATGTGTATTGCTTGCTTGAAGAACCAAGCAAGAACTATCTAAGACTGTGGTTACGGCCGTCGTATATATCTATCTAAGGTGGGCCAATTAGGTCGTTGCTCTGTTGCTCCCTGGCAGAGCTACGGAGCAACCCCGTAGAGCCAACCAAACCGTTGCTCCGTACCCTACCGCACAGAGCAAATGCGGATCCCTGCCCCGCATGCCTGTCTCGTCATCCCTATTGGCCGGCCCCACTTTCAGAGCTATGACTAGCCCAGAATGGGCGCGGTTCATCACATGGTGGTGTTGATCGTATACTTCTATGTCTATCTCAAGGATCACGAACTACGGGGACACAAAGGCGGTGCCCCGGGGTCACGTGTTACGCCGCGTGTTGGGTAGGTGTGGCCCGTGCGTTGACCTGATGCCCCACTATTTTACCTATTAGACCAACCACAGCCCTGAATTCGCATGAGCTTGATTAAGCCGCATAACCCTGATTGAGCCGCGTAACCCTGATTGATCGGTAATTCCTGCACAATAAGAAACATGGGGAGTCAAGGAGGTACCTCAACTGTACAAGGCAGGCGCACTCGTCCCGTCCATCATGGATGTTCATTCATCTTTCTAGACTGGGCTGCTTGTTTATTCTGGTGGTGAATTGGACGAGCTGCAATTTACAGTGGAGTACTAGATATATTTTGGACCATTGGGTTGTAAACGCCTTGCCGCCACCGCCGCCCGTTACCTTCGTACCGTTGCGCTCCCTCCCGCCCAGATAGGTATTGTTGTACTTGTAGCCAAACCCAAACCCCGTATGCAACTGCGACGCCGTCGTAAACCCCGGGAACCGTGGGCTGCGGCCCGCTGCTACCCCAGAGATACCGTATTTTTTTTATTTGTACAAACAGAAGCTTCGAATCCACACGCACCGGGCCTGACCCCCTATTTTTGTAGCATATCCTGAAAAAAAGAGAACAAAATAAAGCAAACATAGAAAGAGAAAATGGAAAGTTCAAGACTGTCTTTCATCCGTCCAGAGATCTGCTGACTGAATACCTCTCGGGGTCTACCGGGCCATTCACGCTCCGTCTCTTCTCGGTGCGCTGCTCGTCACCCGAGCTGTCTTCGTCTTCATCTTCCTCGTCGTCCTCGTCATCTTCATCGTCGTCATCGTCATCGTCTTCTTCTTCGTCGTCGTCGTCACTGACGCTAGCCTGAGATTTCGTAATGGCAGCGCCACCCATTGCCGTCTGCCTCTCGTCCTCATCATCATCCTCGTCTTCGTCCTCGCCACTTTCTTCGTCGTCGAATATGACAGACCGAAGCGCGCTTTTCTCAAACAAGCCAACAATCATATTGCGATCCGCGAGCCGGTAGTGGTGACACTCCAGCAGGGCCAAGACTCGCCTGAATAAGTGCGGCTGTTTGAACCCGATGGCTTTTTTCTGCGTCTTGATCTGCATGAGCTCGCTTCGCGCACGTCTGTGGAGCACCATGTTGGCTATGTCGATGACGAGCTCAAGAATACGCTGGTTTGCCGGGTCGGGGTCCAGCTCAACCCTTCGGATCTCGGCGACATCGCCGCCGTGCTGTTCCTGGATGGCTTTGATGAGCGACTCTGACCGCGGCCGAGAGGCCACGGCGGGAAACTTGACGGTTTCTGTCTTCTGCGTCTCTGGGAGCTCAATGGTGGTGACGGGCGCGTGCTTCCAAGGCGGGAGGGAGAAGAACTTGGTGAGATCTGTCGGGATGCAGTAGCCTAGCGAGTTGCCCAACACGTTCGTATTCGCATCCCACCCGTTCTCCGAGAGTATCTCCAGGCCGTGCATAGACCGTGATATCAACCCAAGAACGAAGAAGGCTGTTCCGCGCAAGCTCATAACCTCATGGCCTTGCGCTATCTTGACTATGTGCTCCACAACATCGCACGACTCGAGGAACGGGGCACCAAGCTCCATGGACCCGACATTGCCGACCGCCCAGAGGCAGCCCTTGACCTTGACTATCATCTCTGGGTCGTCGTATTGCATCCCATGGTCGCGGATAGTGGCCGCGAACTCGTCAAAGTGGCCCTTGTCGCTGAGGAGCTTACAGCCCTCCTGTGTTCGTGTAAGCTCGCGATAGAAGTGCGGCGGGACGTGGCTGTCGGCCTCCATTTCTTGCTCGTCGTCAAACACGCTGATGCGGTTCGTGTGGTCATCCTGGTGGTCCAAAAAGGATCGCGCTAGGCTGGCTTCAATGACGCTGACGTACGAGTCGTTGCGACCGAGGAACCAGTCGTCCATCTCGTTGCTGATGTAGTCAAGGCCGTCCAGGTAGTGGTAGCCAATAGAAGTCGAGAGGAAGCGCAGCAGCAAAGGTGCGCCTATCTCGCCCAAGTGGTCCAGCGCCGGCCGGCACTTGACAATGTACTCAAGGTGGTTCTTGGTGTTGCACGACTTCTCGAGAATCTTCACAGCTGTCGCGCACACCTCAACCTCGGGATCGTACAGCTGGGTGACCAGCATCTGGATGGCCCACTTTGAGTCGCCTGGTCCCTGGCCCTGCGCGTTCAGCCGCGGTCGCGTGGCGTACTTTCGTAGGGCGTTGGTCGCGTTGATCCGGATATCCTTCGTCCCAGCTGTCAGAGCTTTTGAAAGTAGAACCCGGGGATGCCCCTGCAGGGAGTAGTCGAAGTTTGCAAGCATGAGCTTGATCAGATCAGGCCGCTGCTTGAGGTCGACGATTCGATACATCATATTAAAGATGCGCCAGCGATCGAGCATGTGCATCCCCTTTGGGTCCCCGCTCAGCACGCCGAGCATCGGGAAGTAGCCCCCGCACAGAGTGTCGGTGAGACGGTCCTTGGAAAACATTGGGTATTGGGCCGTGAGCCCGCTCGTTGGGTCGCACTGGGCCAGGCATTCGGCGATTTGTCTCAGAAGCTTATTGTCGGATAGATATCTAATGCCCTCTGGGCTCTGGAGCAAACTGTGCATCAGAGCACACCCGACCCGGACGTACTTCTGCGTCCCCCTAGAGCTCTTGATCTCGGAGAATTTGTACTTGAACGGGCGGTAGAAGCTCATGATCCGCTTGATAAATTTAGAGGCCTTGACTGCCTCATCGAGCCTCTTCCCGTTGGTCAGGGGCCCTTCGATGAGCCTCAGAACAACATCCCAGTTCCATTTAGAGTAATTAGAGCTACCCAAGACGCCCGAGTCAATAATGAGCTGCCGGAAGGTGGCATCGTCGAAATTCACTGATGTATTGCTTTTTGGGTGGTCGTCGAGAATGCCGAGGTCCAAGCTGTTGCTGGATGGCATAGCTGAAGGTGTGTATGTTGACGGAGATGATCTGTACAGTGTCTTGCTCACGCTGCTCATCTGGTAGATAACCCCAGTGGCAATGAAGTGGCTCTCGTCTTTAAGTCGGACGGCTGCGGAGAACAGCTCCGGTAGTAATTGTAATTTGCTACTCCACGACGGCGGAAGGAGTCGGCTGGAAAGCTTCAACACTTCTCCGATGAGAAGCGTCGACTTCCGCTTCAGCATGAGATTTTCAGTATCTTGCGTAAGCCTCAACAGAGCCGGAACTACGCCGGCCTTGACGAATATGGCAAGAAGGAGCGCTGTGTAGTGCTCAACAAAGTTCTGCTCTCCTCCCTCGTCTTCCAGCTCAGCCGGAACGGATTTTGCGTCTGTTGACCCGAGGTTTGAGACTCTACCGTAGGTTGTGAGGCGCCGGCCGGCGAGAAAAGATGTCGCCCACGCCGGAGATTTGATGCGGAACAAGGAATAGAGGAGGTCCAGAACGGTCTCCCGGACGGGCCCCGTGTGCACCACCATGCTATGGACCATGGACTTGATGGCGCGGAAATTGTACATTGACAGGTTCATGAGGCCCGACCAGCTCCGCAGTGCTGATGCGATGGCCTTGGCGCTCTGCTTTAGTAGCCGCTCGTTTAATAACTGGTCATCGGTGAATGGGGTGAAGAGTACCTCCAGCTCGTATCCGGCGCGCAGATACTGCCGACGCTGTGGGGTGTCAAGGAGATACAAGAAGGCCGCCGCCAGACTCTCCGAGGCCTTGTAGGAGCCATCGGCCAGTGCCATGTGCAGAGGCGCCAGGCCCCCGGCCGCAATTAAGAGACGGGGATCGCGAACCACAATCTCTGCTAGCGTCTCTATGCAGATGGGTCGCAGCCTCTCCTCGGGCTCCTCGGCAATGGCGGCAATGGCTCGAACCACGGCTCTCGATATCTCGCGGACGCCGTCTTTGACATCGAGAAAGGCACGCACAAACTTGAGTGCCTGCTCTCGCTCGACGTCGGCTTTGCGGTCCTTGATCAGTGACCTAAAACACAGCTTAGTTAACTTGCTAAAGCCCACGCGCAGAACCTATAAAGTTGGAATATATGCATACCATGTAACGAGATAGTCGGTGTTGAGGGTACGGATGTTCTTGAGCGAGGCTAGGTCCGAAATGGCGTATCGTGTCATCCTATACCCTGCGGCCACCACCTCGCGGTTCTCGCTCAGGAGCATGACCTGCATACGGAGCCCAAAGACGGGCCAAACCAGGTCGTATTTGAGGTTCGGGTGCCGTTTGAAGAGGTCCACCAGGCTGTTGGCACGAGACACGTAGTAATCCGGGGTCATGCCGTCCATCTCGAGAGCTCGCAGAATCTCGGCGAGGACAAAGGTCGGAGACTCGGACGGCTCCTCAATGTCAGACCCAGCGCCGCTTCTCGACGCGCTCGGGGGCGAGCGCAAGCCGTTGGGGCCATGGAGCAAGCCCTCGGCCCTAGACCGTGTGGGTGTTGTGGGTGCAGGCCTGGTGCGCTGGGCGTCGGTTATCTTCTGGCGGAGCTCCTTGATTCTCTGGCTGGAGGAGTTGAGCTCGGCCTCGACCCGCAGGCGCTGCTCCTTGGTCTGTTTTGCCTTCTTGGAGTTGAGGGCTTCGAGCATGTTCTCGCTGCCCTCCTTGATCTTCATCTCGCGGCCAAGGGCCTCGCGAAGGGAGGCCAGGGTGCGCTCCTGGACGTCTCCATCGTCCTCGTCTAGCTTCTCGAGAGCAAACATGTCGACACGGGAGGCGGCGCGCGAGAGGTTCATGTGGCTGCGCAAGTCGGAACTGAAGCTGCCGGGCATGGGGGACGGGTTAAGCGACGAGCCGCGGGGCGCAAAGGTGACGGCCGAGGCGGCGAGATTCCGGGCTCCAGCGCCGCCAATGGGCGGGGGCGGCTGTAGGCCATCGCGGTCGAAGCTAGGGCGGGAGCTAGCGACATTCAGGGGGTTTGCGGGCTGCTGTGAGGTGAACGACTTCTGCGTCGGCGTTGCTGAGGCGCTGCTCAACATGGTGGCTTCAGCTTGGGTGGGTAGCTGGGCCAGCCAGACCAGCTGAGATTGCCCTCCGCGCGTGACGCTGCGAGGCCACGCATCCGGTTCGCCCAATCAAGGTGCCTCTGGTCAACGGCAGAGGCGGTTAGTCGTGGTCATTGCAGTACCCGCGAGATCGGACGGGTAGGTAGGCGGCCGATCGGTTTATCGCGGTTGGCGGATGGGTGTTGAGAGGGACAGGAGAGTTTTGTGTCGTCGTCGTCGAGGAACCTGGGCGCTGGTATGCACACCGGGACAGTTTAACGCATTCAGAGCGGCCTTAGTGGTCAGTGCACACAGTGGACAGGGTAAATGGCACCTACCTCACGCATGCACGAGCACTAAATTTACAGCGACTCACCACCGTATATTTCTTACATTAGGTAAGTAATAAGGTTCCTGCGGAAGCTTCCAACCTCTCGGGCCGAGTGTTTTCATGTTGAAACTGACCGACTTGCGTTTTGCCCGCTCAGGGGTTGACTTCCATCCCACCTCATCTTGAAGCTCACCTCAGCCTTTGTCGGTCAAGCCGCAACAAACACATCTCATCTTTGCAAGGCATATCTCTGTTCACTTCTTCGTCAGCCCTTTATATTACATAACCTCTTTTCGTCCATTTTTGCTGTCAGTTAGACCGAGACATCATTCTTTGGTGTTCTTTTAATTGATCGCTACACTGGCTTGACATACCAAGCGAATCTTAAGAAATCTAAACACTCAATGTCGGCTTGAAACATAGCAACCCCAAGGCTGGAGGCACCCAATTGGGGAAAGGTGAAGCGCGATGTTGTTTCTGATTTCCTATTAATCGAGCTCTCTGAGAGAAGATAATGACGTCGGGTGACAAAGTGGAAGACAAGTTCCCAGTCTACTGCACAAAGCCATATACCGAGATTCTGAGCTGAACTAGTCCTTGCATGTGCATGTATTCCTTATCTCGACACGGAGGTGCATTTTGCGAGTCCAAGAGTTGGAAGCTATCTCGCGCACCACGATGGCGTCACAGATCAGCAGGGCTTTCTAAATGTGGAAAGGTAAGTTTGGGTGTCAGCGGTTGTTGTTTCGAAGTAAGCTATTGAACATCTCAGGCTATCCAAAGTAGGTAAAGCAGGCGGGTAGCTTCGACCCCGCAATGGCATGCGGTGCATCCCGGTATTCTCTCTTTTGAAGCCGTTGGATTGAGCATCCATCGACTTGCATGCCCGAGGAGAATGAAGCTCGAGCAAGAAACCACGCCCCCTCGCGTCTTCGGTCTTTGCTCGTCGATTTGGCCCGCGAATTGTGCCTGCAGACTGAGATTGCGTGTGCCAGAGAAAAACTTCACTCGATGAAGGAAAATTGAGAATATTGATGCAGGAGGACAGACTGACCACGGCGGGGAAAAAAAAAGAAGACTGAAAGTTTGTCGGTGGCGGCGGGGTTAAGCATGGCGGGAGCTATCGGGAGGAGGGGGAGGGGTCTGCCAGGACAGGCTATCGGCGGACTCCGGCGATTTGGCCTTGGTCCTCTCCACCTCGTCTCATCGGCTGGCTCGCCGCCGACGCCGCCAGGCGCTTTCCGAGCTCTCGTCCCTGCCCTTCCGGCCTGTCCACTGGGCCGTGGTTCGATGTTTGCGGTGGTGTCGGGGCTTCCTTTGCCATATAAATGCACCCCGTGTTCCCAACGACCTCAACCTACCGTACCTGCCTAACCCGTGCCTCATCATCCCCCACAGGAACCCCAGCCATTGCTTCAGAAAATCCTTTAAATACTTCAACCAACGCTCTTGACTCTGATACCTCTACATAAAAAACCTGTCTCTTGCCAACATCTTCCGAACAGCTTATTAAAAATATCTCACCCGCCCACTCAACATGCCTTCTCTTGCTTCCGCTCGCTACGGCAAGGACAATGTCCGCGTCTACAAGGTGCAGAAAGATGAGACGACAGGCGTCCAAACCGTGACAGAAATGACCGTGTGCTGCCTTCTCGAGGGTGCCATTGAGACCTCGTAAGCTGCCTCGGGGCGAGTTCCCACCCATGCCGAAGCCAGCAGCCGTGCTAACACTCTCGTCCAGATACACAGAGGCTGACAACAGCGTCGTCGTGGCCACCGACTCGATCAAGAACACCATCTACATCAAGGCCAAGGAGCACCCCGTGAACCCGCCTGAGCTGTATGCCAGCTACCTGGGGCAGCACTTTATTGACCGGTACCCGCACATCTCGACGGCCCACATTAAGGTCGTGGTGCACCGGTGGACGCGCATGACGGTGGACGGCGCGCCGCATCCCCACAGCTTCTTCCGCGACGGCCAGGAGACGCGGAACGTGGAGGCGACGGTGAGCCGTGCCGGCGGCATCGAGCTCAAGAGCGGCATCGTCGGCCTGACGGTGCTCAAGAGCACCGGGTCCGCCTTCCACAGCTTCGTGCGCGACGAGTACACGACGCTGCCCGAGACGTGGGACCGCATCCTGTCGACCGACGTCGACTGCGCCTGGGCGTGGAAGCCATTCGCCGGCACGGCCGCCGTCTTGGCTAGCGTCGAGCGCTTCGACCAGGCCTGGGAGAGCGCCCGCGACATCACCATGAAGACGTTTGCCCTCGACGAGAGCGCCTCGGTCCAGAACACCATGTACAAGATGTGCGAGCAGATCCTTGAGGCCGTCCCCGAGTCCGAGTCGGCTTCGTACTCGCTGCCGAACAAGCACTACTTTGAAGTTGGTGAGTGATGCGCTTTTTTGTTCCTCCCCCCTATTTACAATTTCCCCCCCTGGCGAATACTGACGGGAACGCCCCTTTTCAGATCTGAGCTGGCACAAGGGCCTCAAGAACACGGGCAAGGATGCCGAGGTATACGCGCCTCAGTCGGGCCCCAACGGCCTGATCAAGTGCGAGGTTGTCCGTTCGTGAGACAAGCCGGGGGCATTCACGGGTTTAAAACAATCGTAATTAGGGGGGACTCCTATACTTGTCCATGACCACGGCGTACAAGGCAACGATATTCTAAGGCGCATTTTGGATCATTGACCGAACATCGGAACCTAGGCTGTATCTTCTACTGTTAGCATCTCGCACCCGTGTGTGAGCCGGCGCAAAATCTGTTTGCATCTTTTTTTTTTTTTTTTTGGTTTAAAAAACCCCCAGCGATAGCATGAGCAAAAATAAAGCATACTGAACTCAAACTAATGCTCTTATAACGAACGTATAACGTATGCCTTGTCATGAACAGACTTGAGACGGGTCGCAATGATGCACGCGAGATGTTTATTGTTTTTTTTTTTGATACAACGGCAGTTGGCCAATTCCACAACGCCTAGCCAGCCGGATAGATACACAACATGGAGCTAGTGGATGGCTCTCTTCAGGTTACAGCGTCCTTGGGACCGGCGTTTTACCTATTCCTCGAATTCGCCTGTAGATAGGCTTTAATAACAGGGAATACCTGCCATATGAACCCTCCCACCCTTAGTCATTTCTTATCTTCACATACACACACACAAACACACACAAACACACACAAGCCGCCTTATATCCTCGCCATGTCGGCCTCCCGGATAGCCTGCACCGCACCCTCCCAGTTAGTCTCCCCGACCACGGTGCCGCCGAACCGCACTAGGTTTAGCTTGTAAGGATGGGCGGGGCCCTCGAAGGCCTTGAGGCGCGCCAGGCGCTTGTCGCGCAGGCGGTTCTTAGGCAGCATGCCGCTGACGGCCTTGCGCAGGACCTCGGCGCCGCCGTGCTTCTCCATCAGCACGTCCATGGTGATGGCCTGCAGGGAGCCCGGGCGCGTGTTGTGGCGGTAGTACGTCTTGCGCCACTTCTTGAGCCCCGTCGTGTACAACGCCGCACAGTCCGTCACGACCACGTAGTCGCCGCAGTCGGTCGACGGGTCCCAGATGGGCTTGTGCTTGCCCATCAGGATCATGGCGATCCGCGACGCCATCCGCCCCAGCGACGGCGGCGTGACGGCCTCGGGCGGCGCCTTGATGGTGCTGAGCGTCGGGTGCGGCGTCGACGCCGAGATGTGGTGCCATGCGCGCGAGTAGGCTAGCCGGGTCTGTACGCGGCGAGCACGGGGAGGTGATTAGCAAGGCCTGGGGCAATGGTTATGCCTGGTTGCTGGCCATGGCATGGCCAGAACGGCGAGAGGAATGGAACTCACAAGTCCGACGGTTTGTGACATGATGGCGGTGGTTGTGGTGTAGGGGGGTTGCGATGTTATGGTGCGTGTTGCTGAACGAGCAGCCTGGGCGGGAACAAGCCCCTCATCAACGCACGATGCGGACCTATGCGATCAATTCTCAGACCGGTGCCGGACCCCGCTCTCGACAAGGTAGGCGGCGTTGGGTGTGCGTGCTGTTGGGGCGGATTGGAAGGGCCGTGTCGGTATGCCGTGAGGTCGAGAGCGTCGACGGGAATTGGAGCTGAGCTTTGGCTAAAGCGGGAGAAAATGGTATGGAAAACGCACGCGCCACCAGCAAACTTGCGCCGCCCACCGGCCGCGTTTTTTTAGTGACCCGACCGTGTCCGCCTGTCGCAAGCCACTAAAATCACCGGGCCGAGTAGCGGAGCTTCAGCGAGCAGCCAAGAGAGAGCATAGGCCGGGTTCGAGTTGAGTCCGATTTCAAAGCAGGAAACCCCCGCAAAAAGCACGACGTCTCAGCATTATTACTAACCCAGCAGCTAAACTGGAGGGTTTATAGCCTAGTATCCGTACTTAGGAAAGGGATCAATTACAACTTAAAGTCTTCGGAGTTATTGAGGACGATTCCCTTCTCCCCGATATCTCACCCCTGACATCAATCAACTCGACCAACGACCAACCCTTAGCCCAAGCTTCACATCGTTGCATCGCGAGCACTCCGTAGATAATAAGCATATGCGCCCGAGCATCACCACTACTAGCACGAGATATATCGTGGGTCTATCTAGTCTTGCCTTGGTTGCGTCTGTTGGTGGACACTCGTGGCAGCGACAACGCCGGCAGCGATTCCAGAATCCGACCCCAACCCCGACCCAGCCGAGCAACATGGCCATCTCATCCTTCCAGGTCGGTCGTCTTGATATTGCATCTCCTGCTCCCTCCCCGGCCACACTGCTGCCTGCTCTTCGGCAGCAGCGCGCCAGGCGGAACCGAGTAATTACTGATGCAGTTTGAAACAGACGCTTTTTGCTGTGCCTATGACCTGTGACAGTTGCGTCAAGGATGTCTCCGGCGCCTTACACAAGCTCCAGGGCATTACCAAAGTCGAGGCAAACCTGCCAGACCAGCTGGTGTTGGTGGAAGGGACAGGTATGGGGCCATAGATCACCATCGTGGTACATGCACAGGGCAACACCGAGTTTGCTTAGGCCAAGCGTTGTCCCTCCGTGTTTACCTGTTTTCGGTTTACTAACCTCGATCACTTAACTCGGGCAGCACCGCCGTCGGCCATCGTCAAGGCCATCGAGAGCACTGGGAGAGACGCCATATTGCGAGGATCAGGCGCATCAAACAGTAGGTGCCCTGACCTGTTTGCCCCCTTTATCTCTCTTGTTTTCTCATCTTCCCACCTCCGGGTAGGCGGCCCTGTTCAGGGGGGAAGCACGCCCTAGCAACTGCAAGAGGGAATGTTGTTACAAAAAAAAGTGAGCTTTGAAATCACGGCTTGAGGCTAATTCTTGGCATCTCCCGGTCCGGTATAGGTGCCGCTGTGAGCATTCTCGAGATCTTCCACGAAGCCGACCAGGAGAGCGTTCCTACCAGCGCGAATGGATCGGGCGATCGGGTTGTCAGGGGCCTGGCACGGATAGTCCAGGTCAGCCCCACGGTGACGCTGGTCGATTTGACGCTGCGAGGCGTTACCCCGGGCACGTATCATGCCACGATCCGTGAGTTTGGGAACCTCCAGTACGGCGCATCGTCAGCTGGGCCCGTCTGGTCAGGCCAGAGTGCAGGGGCTGAGGCTGAGGCCAAGGCCATCGGTACCCGCCGCGGAGTCCTAGGCACGGTGACTATCGGGGCAAACGGCCACGGGAGTGCGTTCCTCAGCCACCCGTTCCAGGTCTGGGAGGTGATCGGACATGCGATGGTGGTCTCGCGCCAGGAGGAGAGCGATGTCTCGCCCCTGAGGAACGACGAAAACACCGTGGTCGGTGTCATTGCACGGAGTCCAGGCATGTGGGACAACGACAAGACCGTGTGCTCCTGCACGGGGAAGACCCTGTGGGAGGAGAGGAAGGACGAAGCGACCAAGGGCATGTTGTGATAGGGGCTGATGCCCAGGCACACGCTTTCCCCATGAAACTCTTGTGACCTGAGGAGAATAAGCTCATCTCATGAAGCTTGATTTATCTCCCGATACATCGTGTGAGATTGGGATTCGGACCCCCCCGTCAACAGCAGACGCGGAAAAATCTCGAATGTCATGTCGATTTGCCCATGTGAATGCAAGACGGGAAGGAAGGCCTGATGTTTCAAGAAACGCATGTTGCCAGAAAAGAATTGGTGATTGTAATCGTTTTAAGATGTCAGAATTAAGGTGTTGGGTAGAATGTTAGATCTTATTCCTTCTGTCTTCTCTAAAGGCAAAAAGTCGGGAGATTTGCTGGCGGCCAGGGGGTCTTGGATGTAGATCATGCAGGAGAAGAAACACCGAGGAGGGGCAACTCGAGATCCCCCCCCACGCATTACAGGCTGGAGGCAAAATCGGAAACTGTGCCGAGAATAGAAAGACCAGGGTAGCAAAATATGAGACGGAAAAAAAGGGACTTCCCGACTTTCGTCTGTGACATAGGCTTTCCGCCGATGATGCCGTGGCTGGCGGGGGGGAGTGCATCTCGATCTCTCGAAGCAGACCCTAGCCCGCCAAGACTTGCCACACTCCTGAGATGGGTTGAGGCTCCTTTTGAGGCTGACGACCACACCACCACCACATATGTACTATGTAGGTAGCTGCGTCCACCAGTTGACAGACTTCCACGCCACTAGTAACTGATCTGTAAACAGCCCAAAACAACTGACGGTTTTGATGCCCCCTTATCACGATTTCAACTATGGCCAGTTTCCGGAGTTTGAAACAATCTGCTCGGCTTGTTTTCACTCTAGAGCAGATCTCGAAAGTTTAACTTGGGATTTTACAAAATCACCTTAAGGGCCAATGCTGATCCTGGGTCCCAGTGATGCCCCAGGGGCGCTCTCTCAGCACCGCGCAGCACCCTGCAGGAGCACAAGTTCCTGAAGTAAATACTCGAGCACGTACTGTACCTAGGAAAGGTAGGTACATACTCACCTTGCAAGCCTACCTGCCTACCTAAGTAAGGTAGGTAGACACCCGTCACTGGAGCGTCATTCTCTTCTGGCTCTCAGCTACCTACGTACCTATGTATCCGGGTATATGTACTTCGTACATACTAGTACCTTGGTTTCTACACTACTGCGTCGTCGCGGCGTCGTCGCGCGATCGCACCTGTCGGGTAGAACGGCTAGCTACAATTTTAGTGTGATGAGTAGTCCGAAAGTCAACCAAGTGAGTTCTGTCGAAGTAATAGAGGGCTTACCAGTTACTACGAACCGTGACGGCCAGCTAGTAGCCCTTCCACTAATCTCGGCGAGCTAAGGTAGTATTCGACGGACAGAGCCGGCCCACAAAATAAGACATGGCGCCCCGCTGCCGGCGATCTGCGCCGCGGGCAAGGGGCCGGCTTGAGGGCCAGTTCGGTCGGGGATCCGAGGGTTGCAAGCTACAGTAGCTTTATCAGCTCACCTAGTGCTCTGCTCCTATCGTCTCTCCTAGCAGCCAAGCGTTGGCACTGCTGTGGTGGGACGATACCTGGCCCCCCCTCCGCGGTGATGAGGCCGTTCTGGATGCCAAATCGACTCCGCAACGTGTGCATCTGACTCCCCAGCGGCGGTTTTAGCTTTGTCGGCTTCGTTGCCAAATCCGTGATATTCTCTCACACCGCTAGGGCAAGCACCTGCTAAATGGGGAGTGGAGGAGGGGAGGAGAAGGGCGGGCGTGTGCGCGGGCTATCTCGACGAGCTCCGAGATTCGCAGGCAAGTAAGGTAAGTGACAGGTAAGGTATGTGATCGTGACTTGGCAAACAATTCAAAAGATAGAAGGCCGGCCGGCTTCTTCTATTTTTATCTTGATTTCCAGTCCAGCATGACGTGGCCCGTGGAAAGCGACGGCGAAATTGTCCACCGTCACCGTTGCTGTCACTATCACACAATCATCGCTGTGCAGTCGGCCAATGTCTTGGCACACCTTGGCACACCAAGACCGATAGTTCACGTAAAGGATCCACGCGAGGCTTGAGCGACCGTCATACGCGCCAGATCGTGAAGAAAAAAGAGCACTTGCATTCGAGGAAGATAGAGAGATGTGCAGGAACCCGCGTTCAGTCACATACCTCAGTCACTTATTGTACTTTGGTCACTTCACTATTTCCAGACGTGATTCCTGTCCCATTGTCTCTTTGATTGGATCGAGGAACGGACGGGCTGCTGAGATACGGCACCGAAGGGGTGTCAGTGCCTGAATCGGCTTGCTCGCCGCTCCACCACCTCAGCTAACGAAGGTGAGGAAAGTAATCAGATGGGGGGTTTCGATCGCCGAGACTCGGCGTTTTAATATTCCCAAAGAAAGCAAGAAAATGAAAGTAATCGGGACGTCATCTCTGGTGACGGCAAAGAAAGGCCATGAACGACTGTTACATCGTGCTGTCTTTTCTTCACCAGTGAGTATCTGGGCTTTCTAAAAGAAATACGACACTTGCGGCCGGCCCCGGATACGCATTTTCACGATTTCCTCAAAATTGCCTACCCTGGTGGGTGAGGTTACTATTTCGCTATGGGGTGCGGCCTAAGCCGCTCGGCGGCTCTAGCAGGTGCAGAGTGGAGACTAATTGGCTGAGGCGGGCTGGCTGCTAGAGACTTTTGGTGGGGTTTTTAGCACGTAGGCGCCCTGGGAATTTAGGTGCAGCGGAGCTCCCGCTCAGCCAGGCCAATCAGCAGCCGGGATCGAGTTTTGGAACGGTTCGTGCATGAAAGCCAGCGGCCTTTGATTTGCAAGGGTTCCAAGGTTTCTGTGACAGACAACTGCATTGCATTGACCCCTTCCAGTCTCACCCACAGACGCCCGTCGGGCCAAGCAATTTTGCAGAGACGTGCGCTGCACCCTTTTGTAAGTGACGGCCTAGAGACCTCATGCACAACATCTCTCTTTTCATCAATTTGCCGGATGGGAAGCCGAGCAGAACTGTCTGCAGCTTACTGTCAAACTACTCAACGATATTTAGCTACGTGGTGATTACCTTACCTCGTCTGCTAGGCGCGGGCTTAGTATTGGGCTGGTGAGGCCGAAGAGCCCGAAAGAGCCCGACAGGAATGGGAAAAGTCGCAGATCCAGATGCTCGAGACAGGCCCGCCCGGCCTGTCTTTTGGTCGCCTCTGTCAGCCCCCACTGGATTTCACCGATCAGTACTGCGCATAGGAAAATAGGCTCTGCCCAGCAGGGCCAGCAGTTGCGGCCGAAGGGAGGACCGGGGCGTCTTGGGCCTGCACCCGTGGCACCTCGACACATGGCTGAAGAATATGTTCCGTGCCTTGACAGCTCGGCAGGCTCTTAGATATTGGAACGTTCGATATCTGATGCCATCATCCCTATCAGTCCCGTGTGGCTTGGCTTCTACTTTACGAACACGGGCCTTGTCAACGTGGTTCGACGCTGGCCCGAAAACGTTCGATTTGGTTGTTCATCGCCATAGTTCCACTTGTTGTAGCCAAACCAGCGAACATCCATCCGGGGTGGAATGCCCAGAGAACGGACCCTCCCGGCGACTTGAGCCGCCAGGGCCATTAACGGGGTATATCCTGAATAGCAAGTGGGGTGCAGATGAGGTTGACGAAGACGACAAGCATTGCTTTTAGGGACTTCTTGATCCTCCTTGCCTCCCACGTTCTTCAACTGCGTTGCAGGCAGCCAGGGCCATATTCCCATGAACCTCGAGATGGGTTCCCCTGGCCCCTGTGGAGGAACGTAAATCTAGGGAATTATCAACTTGAAGTAACAAAACATTGTCACTGCGCCTCGGAAAGGGGGCTACCTGTCCAAGGCTGCTACTGCTTTTGTCGACTGTCTCTCTCGCTCGCTCGTAGCCCCCCCTGTAACGAACGGCCACAAAGGGCTGTCACACAGGCGTCAGTTTACGTTTTGCGAAACCAAGCCTAGACCTGGGCGAGCCAAGACACTCTCCGGGCGTGCATGATCGCCCTCCCAGGCCGGTTGTTCCCAAACGAACCCACAAGCCGAGCGAATACTCGCTTCTAATACATAGGATGTCGAATGTGCCCGATTGCCGTCCTTGCCCACCAGTCTCGTACCGCACACGTGTCGGTCGCCGCACTAAGCTCGGGCACTCATGACCCTCCATCGACCCGGACTCTGTCTCCCGTCTTTCATATCATTTTCCTCCAGTCCCTCCACTTTGCCCCTTTTCATACCTCTTTAATTTTTGCACGACAACGGGCCAGACTCACCCGTCAGCAAATAACTTCACCCTAGCAGCAAGAAGCTGCCGCCAGCTCGAACGACACGTCCGAGTCGGTGACCCCTAACCGCTATCGCTATTTTTAAGAAGGAGGAATCCGAGGCTTTGGACTCGTCGCCCGTTGGCTGAGAGTAGAGGCACTTGCTGTGCCGCTGGCTGCACCTGGCCTCGTGGTACCTACATTCGCCCGCTCTTGACGACTTCCTGGGACAGCGCTAGCTCGCCGGTCCCTCGAGCCTCACTCGCATCCCCGTTCCCGAAAACTGCAACCCTTTGCACGCCAGTCTTCGTGCCTTGTCACCTGCAGTAGCGGGGTATTGGAATTTGTCAATCACGACGCGAAAAGCGACTCGCAGAAGAGCAACTAGCGAAGACGGACGAAGGAGACGGGCATCCACCCCTAGAAAGGAGAGCACGACTACCTTAGGCTAGGACTCTTTTAGACGCAAAACCTCTCATTTGGTGGCATCCAGTCGCATCGTTGCAGGCCGTTCGGGGCTACATCACATGCCAAGTTGCCGCTAATCCGACTCGCGATTCACTGGTTACTTTTTGCCAGTTTATTTTAGTTGACAGACGAAGCGCAAGAGCCCAATTGGACCCGGAGACCGCGGGGAAATCACCGCCGTTTCCCAGCATTCAGCGCACCTGCCCGCCTGCCCGCTACCCTGCAGCTGACTCGGGCTGTTAGCGAGCCGGCCAGCCCCCCTTTCCCTCCCGCCCAATAACCCCCCCCCCCCCCCCCCCCATTCACCTTATTATAGCCACGATCCCTCGGCAATTCGACTCAACACGCAACCGCCTCATTTTGCACATTTGCCAGCCAGTGCACACCTTCTCAACCCGCGCGAAATATTCTCGCCAGAGTCGCAAGACTAATATCACGCCCAATTTCCCTCTCCCGGCGATTGTGAGGCCCCAGGCCTTTCAACAGCTGCGTCAACATGTCGTTGAAGCAGGTAAGTTGCCCCCGCGCCTTCCACTTAGTAGAGCCTCAGCTGGTCCGTTTTGGACGAGAGACGGGACTAATGCGCACGACACAGGAAATAGAAACATGGGTCGCTGCCCTCGCGCAGTACGACAACAACGAATTCGGAGCTGCTCTAGAGGAGTTCGAAAAGATTGCCGACACGTCCAAGATCCTGTTCAACATGGGCGTCATCAACGCGACCCTCGGGCAGCACGAGCAAGCTGTGCGTAGTAATCACCCGACTTCTTCTCTGCTTCTGGTAACCTTCTGACTCGTCTTTGACATAGGTCGAGTGCTTTCAACGCGCCGTCCGGCTGGACCAGTATCTCGCCGTGGCATACTTCCAACAAGGAGTGTCTAACTTTCTGCTGGGCGATTTCGAGGAGGCCCTGGCCAACTTCAACGACACGCTTCTCTATCTTCGGGGCAACCAAATTATCGACTACACACAACTGGGTCTAGACTTCAGTCTCTGCTCATGCGAAGTGCTGTTCAACCGAGGTCTCTGTTACATTTTTCTGCAACAAATGGAGGCCGGTATGCAGGATCTGCAATACGCGTCCAAAGAGAAGCTTCCAGGCAAGGACCACGACGTAATCGATGAAGCAATCAAGGAAGAGGCCCAGGTATGACTCCCCGCTCACATGCTGGCACTCGTCCACAACTGACTTGTCTCTAGGGCTATACAGTGTTTTCCATCCCCGTCGGCGTCGTCTACCGACCAAACGAGGCCAAGGTGCGGAACTTGAAACCAAAGGACTACCTTGGAAAGGCACGGTTGGTTGCTGCATCAGACCGTGGCAATGCCTTCACGGGCTTTGCTGGCTCTGAAATCAAGAGTGTGAGTTTTTTTATTCCTTTCGGTCCCACCGCAATTTCTTTTATCTCTAACTATCATTTCAAGCTTGGATTGGGCAACACCGAAGTCAAGGACGACAGGCCAACAGAATCTCTTTCCTTTGCGGCCACAAACCTTGTCAAGCCGGGTCTACAGAGCAGGAGGCAACAATCTGAGCCGCCGAGCAGTCGCAACGTCTTCCCGCCGACCCCGCCCCCCGAGAATGATAAACCGCAGATGAGCCGCGGTGCCTCAATCCGTAACGGGCCGAAGCCTATACCCAGCAAACTCAACCTCGAGAACACGAGGGCGAATGACCGCTACGAAAGGACGTCACCTGACGACCGACCCCGGCCAACTCGCTCCGCATCGGCCAACCCTGCCCGGGGCTTTTCACAGCGCGAGCCTTCGAGGACCAGGAGGGACGAGGACGAGGGTGACGGCTATAACGACGACTTTTACGACATGTACCAGGGCGGCGGCGGCGGCGGCGGCAGTGGTGGTGGTGGCCCCGCCAGCGGCTCCCGCAGCAGCAGAGGACAGAGGAACAGAAGATCCGAGCGAGACCGGTACATCGAGGAGGAGGAAGGCAGCGACTACGACGACGCTTCATTCGACGAGGGCGACTTTGAGATGGTATCAGGCCGGAGACCTGGAACAAGCACCGTGTCTGGTGCATCAAGACGCGGCTCGGCCAGGCGAGTTGGGCCGCGCGAGATCCGTATTAAGGTACACGCCGGAAACGACGTTCGATATATCATGGTTGGACCCGCAGTTGAGCTTGGGGACCTGGAACGCCTTATCAAGAACAAGTTTGGCCTCCGCCGTGAATTCAGGATCAAGGTCAAGGACGACGACTTTCCTGACGGTGAGATGGTAACGGTGGGCGACCAGGAAGACCTCAAGATGGCGATGCAGCCGGCCAGTGAGGCTGCAAGGGCGCAAAGACAGGACATTGGCAAGATGGCCGTGAGTGGACATTCCTTTCTAATTCTCCTCTTCACGCTCTTGGAGGAACGTTAAGCTAACAGACTATTAGATGTGGGTCGTTGATGTGTGACCGCGCTAAGCACTTCTCTCTTGGAGATGCTGGCACGTCTCTTGTCCAGCAATGATTCAACTCGGTCCCGCTTATGGAGTAATGACGGACGTTTCCTTTCATCCAATACCCGCATCACATTGTTTATCCACGATTACACGCCCTTTGGGGGGGGGCTACAGCACTGTGTGAGCAAGCTCCTTAGTTTGAATATATTGGTCCGCCGTTTTTCATTTTCATTTTTTGCATATGATGCTACCTGCATAATATATTTGGGAGACATAGGGGAAGAGGCGTTTGGTTGGATTGTGGCATTGCCTGAGTCGTCATGTCATCAAACCTCATGTTAGGGGTGTGGGTGTCAGCTGTATTAAATGGCTACACACTCGAGGCTCTCGGTATGGCGTCTTTCGAAACCATACCTGCCTGGTTTTCATTTTCTTGTCTAGCGTTGGCTTTGATCTCATTTGTCATTTTCCCCCTCAATATTTATATCTTTCTCATGTCAATTTTCTTCCTTTCATCTCTTTTATGGCAAATCTTTTGGCCATAATTTTCTCTTCAGTCAACGACGAATTGTAGAGTTTGGGGGGTTTGAGGAAAGAAGTGCTGGAAACCTAGACAAAATTGCTTGGATGGTGGACTGGTTGGCTGAGAGCGATTGGTAGAGCGACAACACATTGGAAGTTCTGAAATGGGATTGCTGTGGCTTCCTTACCTACCTGGTATATCCAGGCAGTTTTGGGGGAGGTTCTCGAGCAATTAGCAGTAGTAGGGCTAGTCTTTGATAGCAAGCGGTCAATGATATCCTCTTGTTCTTGGATCTTTGGTTTCTCGCAGTTTATTCTGCGCATCTCTGTACATTTGAATGGGAGTATATACCTAGATAGGTGATATGTCTGTCATCTCTTCAGCAACCTCAAACATACCTTCGCCAGATTTTCGGCATCGGTCAAACTTCCTTGTAAACCCCCATCTTTCACAAAGTCTAGCCAACGAGAGATAACTTGGCTGGACATCTCTCCTGAGGACCTAACTTCGGTATCGGTAAAACTACCTATAATCCAAGACGTTGTAATAAATAGTTGCCCTTTCTTTGAGAAGAATAATTATTAGTGAGGAAGGGCAGGTTCGAAGTTATCTTTAGTTTGCCAATTTTGCAAAGAGGTGGGCTTTATCTAGGAAGTTTTACTGATGCTGAAGTTGGTTCCTAAGGAGATGATTACCTTTTTTCGAAGCTTGAACAACTGTCTTCGACTCTTGGGAAACTATTGGGCCAAAATAAGGCAGTTTTACCGATACCGAAAAGCTGGCGCCAGAGTGGATGGGGCATGGAAGGGGGGAATTGATTGCTGGGAGGTTTATCAACAAGGCAAGTGAGGTCAGTTGCCCAGAACTTGCAGACCCGTTTCGAGTCTCTTATTTAGTGGGTCTAGGAAGTTTCAATATGAGAAAGAGAAAAAGAGAAATCTGCACGGCAGTCCAGTACGCGTATTAGATCTAATCCAGACCTAGCGCGAGACGGATTAAGGTTGCTAACTTTCTGGAAAACTGACCCCCGCAGAAGTCGTTTCTGGGGTGCATCGCCCCCATCGGAAGACCCGTTGGTCGGCAGCGATCGGGAATTACGGTGGTGGTGCGGCGTCGACGGCCAACACCCGACCTCGCCTGTCACGGCCCAGGGGAAAGGCTACCTAGCGTAGCTAGCAGCCTCTCTTCTGTAAAACTCTTGGATCGGAAGTCGCCGAGGCCTCTGGCAAGGTCATCGTCTCCCATTCCATAGTCTCCGTGCTCTAAATGGGATGGAAGAATTAGGGGGATGCGCTAGTCCCGGAGAAGAGATATGAATTGTCGGCCGGAGCCGACTCGGTGGGCGTCCCCTCCGTAGGCCGTCTCGATCTCAGGTAGGGAGACAGAAACACGCAAGGTCAAAGAATTAACCAACCTGAAGGGCGGCCTGGCTGGCCCACCGTACAGTAGTACATGGACACAAATACAGGTGGGACCGGAGCCCATCCGGCCTTGCTCGGCGATTACCTACCATTGCCCCGGAAAGGCCCGCCCCTATCTTTTATCATTTGATCGAGGATGCTTCCGCCCCGTTTCTGTCTCGAGTTTGTTCTGTCAATCCCCGGCCCCGACTGCAGGGGAAACTAGCCAGAAACTTCAAAAAGGCTTAATTTCTTTTTGAAGCAACCCATGACGATGTGGAAGGCGCGGTGTATTCCGTCCCTCCCACACACTCTCACACTCTCACACACGCCGCTTCGCGCTAAATTGAGTTGGAGGCAGACACGGGCAGATCCATGTCACCCCCAGCTTCCAGTGGGGCTGGGCTGGGCTGCTGTGCTCCGTACCTGTTTTTGTGTGCCCGTCTCAGGCACAATTCTTCACCTGAGACAACTTTGTTGGTGTGGGAGCACAATAGAAAAAAAGGATTGGCGGCTTCCCTGTTTGCTGCGTCGGGGTTCTGTCCGCTAGAGTGCCCGCGTATTTCCGTGGGAATAGGGTCGGAAGACCGGCTGAATCCCGGCCGCTTGTTGGCATCTGGAGCTTGATCGTTAACTTAACTCAACCTTACACGCCCAAGGTCTAGTTCTAGATGCCCAAGTTTATACGGAGTAGTTGGACGGATGCAGAAGGCGCTCGGATATCCAAAGCGCCTTTCCGCCCTGGAACTCCCAGGCTGAGCTCTGAACGGTCCCGCGGCTAACCAGCTACCGCCGGTCTCTAGGCCGCTGGCCGCCAGTTAGGGCGCATTCACGGTCACCGGAGCACTGCGGATTACAAATGTAGGCAGTAATTGGCGGTTCTATCCCACACGACAGACCCAAGTGAACGGTTGCCCAGGTGGGGGATTTTCGAGATTGCTGAAGCCCCCTAAGGGTGATCGCGAAGCCGGGGGACAGGGGGTAGAGAAGGCTTAAACTTCTCCAGCTGTCAAGGCGGGGGGCCTGTCGTCTCATGTCTGGGGATAATGCCGCCCACTCCCCTGGATTTTGGCTCACCTCTCACATGCACCGTTTCATCTTGGCCAGCCAGATTTTCGCGGCCCGCAGTCAGAAAAGGTGCTTGGCCCGATCGCCCCAAGCAAAGATTTTTCTGTTGCCCTAATCCGGATGACAGCCGGGGATTTGCTGCAGGGACTCCAGCGCGCCTGCCTTAGGGCCAAACCTAAATATTCCAAGTGCTGATGGACGAGGAAGGCAGTTATTGGTCTGTTGCTCTTGCCCCGGACTTTGACAAACATGTTACAGCTTCCAGGTTGCAGCACATTACACAGCATGAACAGACGCGGCTACTGCTGCTTGCTTCTAGGTCGCCAGTAAACGCCCTTGCCCCTGGTGGCCCCTTTAATTGCTTTTCTCTTACAGAGTACCTTCTCTCTCTCTCTCTCTCTCTCTCTCTCCCTTCTCTCTGTGTGTATCTCTCACCCGCAAGCCAGCCACGTCCGAGCTTTGCTTTCCACGCCCTGGGTCCCCAGGCTGGTTGGTTGGTTGGTTGGCGGACTGGACTGGGCTGGGCCTGGGTCGGGTCGACTGCTGGCCGACTGACCATGTTGTTGAATTCGACAAGTTCCGCCCCCCGGTCAGACCAGACGGCCGTGACCTGAGCTCCCGCGCCTGTCTGTACATCCGCTGCGCGGACCATGAAACCGCAAGGACAAGACTATCTCAGGTGGTAGTCGGACGAGCAAGGACCACGGCTGGCAGCCAGCTCCCATGGTCAGCGCCTAAGAATTTCTCAGCTGTGTCATTCCTGCACTCTGTTCCTGACTGTGCCATGGGGGTGGAGGGGCATCCCGGGCCCATAAGGTCGGTAAGAAGCTTGTCATCGCGGGGAATAAGTAGACGGCGTTGCCCTCTCTGTCATTCATTTGACGGCTTATTGTTTGGGTAACCTCGGACACTCTTTTTCTTGCTACTCTTTCTGCTTCGCTTCAACTACTCTACTTTCCTTAACTCCAGCCTGCTGAGCGGGATTCCATTCTCTTGCCCACCCAGCTAGCTGGTTGTTATCTTTGTCCTACTTTCTCTCTTTTTATTTTTCTGCGGGCTTTACCGGTCCTATAGACTTCTCGTCTCTGCCCGTCATGGTTGCCGTTTCGCTCCATGCCGTCCTCCTTGCATGTGCTACCCTGGCAAGCGCACAAGTCACAAAACTTGACGATGCAGCTACTGCCGAAGCCCAGAAGCGTGATGGCACGGCCACGCGAGCCTTTACCAGCGTTCAGATCAAGGTACGGTTGCCACTCTTAACAAGGCGGAGTTACGGGTTTCCAGATCTGCCGAGAAGAGAATGATATAACTAACGGTTATCGTAGACATCCGATGGACAGTGCCTCTTTGTTGACAAGTTATCGGGCGACTTTCGCGAAAACCTGACCCCGATTCAAGTTGGGGCATGCGGGTCGAATGCTGCTGCGGAGGGATGGGATGTCATTACGGCCGGCGAACACATTGCGACCCCCGGCCAGGCTCTCATCGTGAGCTCGTTGACGAACGCGTGTTTCAACTTTGATGATCGCCGGAAAGCAGGAAACCAAGTCCTCCTGTTTTCCTGTGGTGGTCGTGCGGATGGAAGTGGGTTGATTGCTATTTCTTTCTCTCTGCGTATGTAGCCACGCCCATACTGACTGCATTATGTACAGGTGGTGATAAAACAAACTCCCAGGCCTTTGCCTTCACCGGCTCGGCTGGTCCACTCCAGCTCAAGCCCCAGAACGCCGCTGGAAAGTGCTTCTTTGTTGATGCGGCAACAAAGAAGCTAGATATTCAGGCTTGCAGCAACGACGCGACGCAAATGTTTACTTTTGGAGCTGCGGCGGCCGGTGGAAATACGGGTGGCGGTGGCAATGGCAATGGCAATGGCAATGGCAATGGCAAAGGTAACGGTGATGGCAACAGCGCTGGCGCCTCGTCCAAGTCCGCGTCATCAACCTCGTCAATCTCGTCAACATCGACCTCTGCGGTTGTTGATCCGAGAGCCTCTGTCCCGGCCGCGAATGCGGGTGCCGTAGCCACCCCGAACGGAAATATTCCGACGGCCAATCCCACTACCCCCGTTGCCGTGTCCGGAGCTCGCGGTAAGCTGGACCCGACTGCAGCGGCCGTGGCGAATAAGCGCGACGGCACGGCCAAGAGGGCTTTCACTGGCGTCAGTATCAAAGCTCCCAACGGCCAGTGCTTGTTCATTGATCCCACGGCCGGCGATTTTCGCCAGAACCTCATTCCCGTCTCACTCGTCACCTGTGGAGGCACTCCCAATGAAAAGTGGGATGTCATCACAGAAGGCATCCATAACAAGAAAGCCGACCTCGATGGCAATAGCGCCAAGATCCCCTCTGCTCTGGTTGTGAGTTCTTTGGTACGTTCCTGGCCCGACATAGGTGCGACGTTGCGATATGCCCGTGACTGACATTCTATTTCAGGTCAACGGATGTATCAGCTTCGATGGGAGACGGCCTGCTGGCGACAATATCACGCTGTTCTCGTGCGGTGGTCGTGGTGACGGAGGTGAGATCCCCCCCCCCCCTTTGTTTTCCGTCTGACGACTTCACGTCTTCGTGCGTAGAGCTAACTAGCTCTTACAGAGGGTAAAACCGATACGGGTCAGCTCTTCCCGTTCATTGGGCAGACAAGCTTTGCCCTCGCCCCATTAAACGAGAACAACAAGACCTGCGCAATTCCTGGCAAAGACAACAAGGGCAATGTTCGCATTGTCTCGGGACCTTGTCCCACGAATGGCGCCCAGCTTTTTTCCATCTTCCAGTGATTCCCGACCGTCGCTCTCGGGGAATGCCGTTTTTATAGGAGGGCTGGTGCACTTTTATCTCGACGCGGCCTGATGGCACGTCGCCCGCTTTCGCTTCTAGCCACTAGCGTTTACCGCCGTTTTCTTTCCTACTCAACCGTTTTCTCATTTACCCTGTATTAGTATTACTATGATATGACCGCAGCTAGTCAAATTTGATGGTTATTGCAAAATTCGATGTCAAGTCTGTTAATTTCCTTGTGACAACGTATGATCTGTGTCTTTGGGTTCCCTCTTAAACGAAGAGAGAGTTTTGGAGAACTGTAATCCTCGATCGCTTCGTGGCAACGGCAAGCTTCGAGCATATCTGCGGAATGCTTTTGTCGGCACTTGATTGACGTCCCTGGTTACTAACCGCTCGGCGTTTCCCCTTGGCGCCATGACATTCCAAAACTCAGACTACTGTCCACGTTGTAACGTTCGTGGAATACATCTGTGACGAGTGGCTGAAACCAAAGTTTCTCGGAGACACGCACGTGGGTGCCTACCAAGGTGTCTAGGTGGGTAGGTGCTGCAATTGGCCGTGCAAACGGTAGAGTGTTGGAGCTAGGAATAGGGGGCAGGGGAAATAAACCTCGAGGGGGTTAAACCAGGAACCCGGTGATGGTATGTGGTATATACCTACCTACCTACCTAGGGACGTATTATTTCGTCTGCTCAAGGAGTGACTTCCACAGTTAGATCTATCACCAAAGTGAAGTGGCTTATACCCATCACCACGCACACCCTAAAACAAACATAGTTAAAATACGGTAGATATCTACCTTCAGTTGAGCTGCGTGTGTAATTGGGCTTAGATCGTGTTCTTTTTGATGGGAGGCATTTATTTCAACTTGCAGGATTTTTTTGCTGATAAAGACTCGAAAACGTTTCTAGTACTACAACATGATACATAGTCTCAAGACTGGTGACCTACGACAAACACTTGATGACCATTCTTTGAGGTAAATGGTTTAATAAGTTTACCTGACTTTAGACGAAATGGATTCCGCTAGAGACACAACCGTTTTCTTTCTAGGATTGGAATCTAACCGAGAAGGAACTCACCTTGGTAGAACGGTAAAGTATGAGCCTGATATAAGACATGGCCACTAGCATCCGTTATTTTCCCGAGCAGTTCAATTCAACAATAATTGCGGTTAATGTTCTTGAACTTCTGTGTTATGTACTTTCGTATTCAGTAGGACATCTTACCATTCCGATCTATCCCTTAAATCCCAAGACTTATTATCGATAAAGATATGTAGGTAGAAGGAGAAAAAGAGTAACCATATACCCAGATATCCGGCTTCCCCCCCCAGGTACTCTAATAAAATAACATATTTCGGTCCCCAGTATATTGCTTCTCCTGCTTGAAATTTGGATTGTGAATCAACAGCCTGCTTCTCGCGTGCTTGAGAAAATGATGTTTGAGTTTGGGGGCTGCTTTCTAGAAAAAAAATAGGAAAGAAGAGGGGCATTGAGATAATAATAAAATCGGTCCCTTCTTCTTTCTTTATCTGTGGCATATCTCTTATTATTATCGTTAAGATGGTTTTAGGAGTTAGAAAGCCAGAGATTCTTAAACCGAGGTTGTGAGATTGCCCCCCCTGCAGGGTGGCGTCGACTCCGGGGTCTTGGCATCCGGGCTGGCATCATTCTGCCCCAGCGAAATTTCGCACGACCTTTCCTCACCTTGCTCATCATCAGGCCGGACACTCACTCCCAACACGGAGACACTAGGCACGCACGACGACAGATCAGGCATCTTACAAACCCCATCTATGCCGCAACTACGGTGCGCCAATGCGCCCGCAACGGCGAGTCTCTTCATACAGCTCAGCATGCGGCGCCGGGCCGCCGTGTCCTCCGCATCGGCCTCGCAAGCCCTCCCGGTCCTCGAGCTCCTCCCGCCCGCAGCACGAGCTATGGCAGTTCACGCCCACCACGCCACCGCACGACAGCAAGGCACGCCGGCTCTTTCCACGCACCACCCGATCCCGACAACATGGACGCCCGCGACGGAGCGTCGTCCGCTACCATGGCAGCAGGGAGAGCAGCAGCGGCGGCAACTTGCGTGCCTGCGGCGGAGCTTCACCACCTCCGCGGCGCGGAGGGCCACGCACGCCATATTCAACCCGCAAGTGGACGGTGAGGGCAGGGAGATGGTGCTTGAGATCACGGCGCGCGCAGCCAAGGTATGCATGCAGTTTGCCTTCCTCCCTCCACTCTTGACCCCACACAAACGAGGCGAGAGGGGCTGACAAATGACACCCGCCCACTTGCTCGACGCAGCGCCTCTCGGAAATCATGAGCAAGGACTCGAACCCGGACCTGGCGCTGAGGATTCAAGTAGAGAGCGGAGGCTGCCATGGCTTCCAGTACCTCATGAAGCTGGTGACGCTGCCGTCGTCTCTTCCCGCACACGCAAAGGACGCATCGCCGACGGGACATGAAAATAGCCCCTCTACCTCAATCCAGGAAGACGATACCATATTTGTCTACAGCCCCCAGAACGACAATCCCGCGTCCGCTGGCCTAACAGCCCCAAAGATCATTCTCGACACCCCGTCGCTTGAGTTGTTAAAAGGCAGCAAGGTTGACTTTACAATGGAGTTGATTGGTTCCCAGTTTAAGATCGTCGACAATCCTTTGGCTACAAGTAGCTGCGGGTGTGGGACAAGTTTCGACATAAAGATATAACGGGCAGCAAGATTCTTGGAACAGACCTTCGCTTGTTCATAACTAGGTAGTTAGATATTTTGATGCTGGCAGCATGTCATGACACAATACACTCCAAATTACAAGTCATGCCCTGGACAATACAGAGAAACGGGTCATAGTATTGGTCGATTACGGGAGCAGCCTAGATCACGAAAGTCTAAAGGGTGAATCGGATGTGTGCAAAAACGACATCGTTAAAATTCATTCCCCGAGCGAACCAGTCTCATCATTAACGCCGAGCATTTATGCTGCTGCCGTGACCGAGACCAAAACTGAAAAAGCTTTAAGACCAATCTCCCTCCCAAATACCAATATTAGTTCATCTGTCTGATGAGAGCATTGATGTGCTCCTCCCGGTTGCCGAGATCACCACCCTCGATGAAGTGCTTGAACTTTCGCGGGCGGAAACCACCAGTGGGGTTGCTCAGTTTGAAGGGCCACAAGAAGTTGGCAGCCTGCTTGAAGTTGGGGCCAACAGTGTAGATCTCGTGAATGAGATCCTCCATGCAGATGATACCAAACTTGCCGAGGTTCTCCTCAATGATGGAATTGTCGGTAAGCGCAATACGCTGCTTATTGACCTTTCCATATCCGCGCTTGTAGACGAGCTCCTTGACGCTCTTGAGGTTGGGGTAACCGTAAGCGACCCACGGTTCGACAACCTTGATCATCTCGGCGGTAGCCTTGGTGATACGGACGAAGACACCGTTGTTGATCTGGAGCAGACGGAGAAGCTGCAGAATCTTGCGGGGCTTGGGGGCAATCTTGTTGATACTGTTGCACTTGTTAGGAACAAACCTTGTTGGGGATCTGGGTGGTAACATACCCCTTGATACGGATCAGGAAGATGAGCTTGTCCTCAGCCGGGACATAGACGGAGCCATCCTGCTTGGCGACGCGAGCCAGACGGATCTTCTCGCGCTCACCCTCACGGTACTCCTTGACGTACTTCTCGGCACGCTTGAAGATGACGCCACGGTTCTCCTTGGCGGTCTTTAAACAACTATCAGTAAAGTTCTTGCAATACGAATCCCGAAACACTGGACATTATTGTTGTTCGATCAGACCCGAAAGATGGTTAATTAAGCAACGGCATCGACCTCAGTCTAGTTGCTTCAAAATGTTGTGCATCACATCGACCCCCGGAAAACTGAACACTGGGAAATCCGCACCTTCTTCTTGGCATCGAGCTCAGCCGTGCGCTCAGCGCGGGCCTTCTCCTGAGACTTGCGCTTCTTCAGAAGAGTCTCGGGGACGAGAACATCGTTGTGGGTCGGGACGGAACTAATTATAAGAGATCAGTACGTGGTCCAGCATACCGCAGTATGTGGTAGAGCGCCGGTGGAGAATTGCTGCTCAAGTGCGACATTCTCTCATGGCTAACTCGATGTTTACCAGTGAGAAGCTTGCAGTAGGCTGATGGCCAAGCAGCAGCATACTCTCATCTGACAACAACTTGAACAAAGCGCCCAAGACAATGTGCACACGATGGCGAATCGAGACCGTTAAACTTCAGCACAGATATGCCAAATTTCAGAGATGACGGCCACCGTGGCAATGGATTTAAGGGAGAAGGGAGAACCTTCATCCCCAACACCCTAGGAGACATCTCTCAATCTGCAGGCAATAAGCCTAGAGGAAGGAGGGAGAATCATGGGAGGGATCGAGCTGGAGCATGCCCGCTTCGAAAGAAAACGGGCGATGCATCCAGTGAGAGGACCACGACAATCTGCAGAATCCCGTCGAGCGACACACCATTATACTGGTCGCGGGTCTGTGTAGGGAAAGCGGGAAGCATACGTGGTTGCCGACATTTTGGCGGTTGGCGTCTCGACGATGTTGAAGATCGGAGTCTGTGTGGTCATTTTAGAGTAGGAGGAAATTTCTCTCGTGGGCATTAAAAGGAAGGCAAATGAAAATTCTCGGGTAGGTGGGGCAGGGGTACAATGGTACTTAGGGCTTGGGTCTAAAGCACAGCGGCGCGAGCCCCACCTTTTGCAGCTGCTCACCGCCATTGCATAGGGCAATACTTTTGCACCGCACGAGCTAGCCCCCTCGCAAAATTTACGTGAATATACGGAGATCTTTCAACAAACAACATCGCCAACCCCCGTTAGATCACCGGATAACCGCCAACATGCCTCCCAAGAAGACAGCCCGTCCCGCGCAGGAGAACATCTCCCTGGGCCCCCAGGTCCGTGAGGGGGAGCTCGTTTTCGGTGGTATGTGCATTATTGATTTTGTCGGATACCGATTCAGAACGCTGATGCTTGTCTGCCACAGTTGCCCGCATTTTCGCTTCTTTCAATGACACCTTCGTTCACGTTACCGATCTCAGGTTCGTTGGTCCCTGAATGCATATAGAGGAATGGCGGAGAAAGAGGACGCGCGAAACGAATTTCTCGGGCTCCCATATACTTGTCATGACCCATGGTTTCCGAGGCTAACATTCTGGGTGATTCCAGTGGCCGCGAAACCATCTGCCGTGTTACCGGCGGCATGAAGGTTAAGGCCGATCGTGACGAGTCGTCTCCCTACGCCGCTATGTTGGCTGCCCAGGACGTCGCTCTCCGCTGCAAGGAGCTGGGCATCACTGCTCTCCACATCAAGATCCGCGCCACTGGCGGTATGCTCATATTCCCTGTACTCTTTTTAACTTACAAACCTAACTAATATCCATAGGCAACGGCACCAAGACCCCTGGCCCCGGTGCCCAGTCCGCTCTCCGCGCTCTGGCCCGCTCCGGCATGAAGATTGGTCGCATTGAGGACGTCACCCCTACACCGTCCGACTCGACCCGGCGGAAAGGTGGTCGCCGCGGTCGTCGTCTCTGATACTGTGGCGAGTTATGGGTATGCGTAAGGATGGAGTTGGTTCACATCTGGTTTCCACTGTGGCGTTGACAATTACGAGGAGAACGGCGTCGTAATGCCTGGTCTCCACTTACTTCGACTTGTCACATGTTGCTTATGACACATTTGTAGCAGATGAATAAAGAATCACAAGCCGGTGCTATCAACGTGGCCCGAACAAAAAAAAACACCGATCCGTTGTCTTCTCGTGCAATTGTGACAATCAGGCTCAGCTGTATATCAGGCTTCGTAATCCTGATGAAACTGACTTCGTCATCCTAAATATAATTCTCCCATCTTCTCACTTTCGCCGATACCAGCCCTTGAACACAGCTTGAAATTGTCGCCTTGGTTGCAATTGACCAAAAAACGATGCCGATAACTCAGGATTCAAGGAACAACGGACAATTGCCCCTATATGCCTTAGTCAATGGCTTTCCGTGTATTAATGGCCTTGAGAAGACGCTTAAAATTTGCCTGGTCATCGGACCAGTGAAACGTTCCAGTCGAATTACCAAAGATAAGCTTGGCTATTGCACGGGAATGAGTATGCCTTGATGGGACGTCAGCCATCAATGTTTGCACAGCATGATGCTATGTTTTACGTTTGTTCTGCTATTTTATCTCCCTACAGACCGTAGCCCGCAGCATTCGAATCATACTATATAAAACATACAACCTCCGTCTATCGCCATACGGCATAATATCATGAAAATGAAGAAAAATTAGGATGTCAAGTTTACATGTATGAAGTTGTGGTTTCTGTGTCTATGAGCTCGACTCCAAAAACCCGGGCTTCCCAGAAAAGACTCGGGCTGGTAAATGACTACCCCGTAGGCGACTTTCATCTACGTATGTGATCTGACCGGAACGCGATACGTGCTCCCGCGGCCGGCCTCTAATACAGCCGCCAGAAAACACGAGAAGGGAACACCAAGAGCAGACTATGCTTGCCCGGAAAAGCACCTGTCATTCTCAATGCTATCTTTTTGTAAACATGTCAAGCCCAATGTAAGAGCAACGAAATCACACATCTCCCATTATTGCATGAGCTTAACCGCGTACAGCCGCACCCAAGGCGCCACCCGTGAACTGTGTGCCACCAGCCTGTCGTTGGGTGTTTCCGCCGGTTCTCGCACCACCTCTGCCACCACGCTGGCCACCGCCACGGTTCCCACCCCTTCCATCTTTCCGGTTGAAAGCATTAGCCGACCCTTGTGTCCTTTGCTCAAGTGTGCGTTCATTGGTCTCAATCAACGCACTAGCCTTGTCTGAGAGAGTCAGAGCCAAGCTCTGGAGCCGGCTCAGCTCCACGCCCTTGCGAAAGATGACAGTCTCTGTAACTTGGTCAAGGGCAGCGGCGAGTTCCTCGTGGCTAATCATTTTGCTGACCACCGCCGACACCTTGCGTGAGTCTAGCTGGAACATGGTGCTCAAAGACTCAATAGAGAGAGTATCGTAAAAGGGAGCATAGGTAAACAGATAGGTACGGAGGCCCTCCTCCTGGATCTGCTTAGCAAGCATCGTCTTGATGTCCTCAGTGTTCGGCATGAGATCCCAAATCTTGATGCTGTGGACAAACAGCGTAGCCTTCTTCCATTCGCCCGCAGCGAGTGCCTTTGAAGCCTGCATGACATGGTCTCGGGTATTCTCGGGAGGGCCGGTGAAGATCTGCCTCTCGTGATACTCGAGCATGCGTCTATATGTCTTGCTTATCACACGCTTCTTGACATCGGGGGATGAGCCAGTTTGTGCCAAGAGGGGAATCTCGAGAAGCATGCTGCACGTCAGATAGACGCATTCCAGCAGTTCCAGGTTGATGTGCATATGGAACGGTAGCTGCCGTTGCTTCTCGAGACGTTCTTGCTCCGGGCTGACCTGGTTGAAACGCTGGATCATGACACCCTGGGCTAAAAGTTCCTTTTGGCGTCCGCTGCCGCAAATTTCCTGAAGAGTGTTTTGCGCGTCGTAAACCAAGCCTTTCCGGAAGGCGCAAAGACCAACCTGGACGAGGGTGCGGTTGTAAAGAATTTGACTCGTGATGTCAAACTGGGCAATGCTCTCTTGCAAATGCGACGTGAGCATCATATCGCGAGCCCTATAGTATTGATCATGTAGCGCCAGGAAGTAGATTTGGCAGAGCATGGCCCGGGCACGGATGATGCCATCGCTGTTCGCAAAGAGATAGTTGCAGAGAACATTGATGAGGTGCCCTGCATCGACGGACTCGGTCCGAGGGGTGATCGTCGAGTCCACATTACTCGGTACCTCCTTCCAGCAGTTCTCCTCTAGAATCTTCACAACTTGGGCCGGCTACAGAAATCAGTACAGGCCAGACATGGTGAGAATTACGGCAACGTACCTTGAAGTAGACGTGATCCAAGCGCCGCTGAATGATGCGGTTCAGGCTCTCTTGGGGGACCTCCAGGGAGGCGTCTTTGCGAAGCATCTCGTAGTACAGAAGTCCTTTGAAGATGATGTTGTAAAGCGAACCCTCGTCCGTCAACCTCTCGATATACTCGGAGGTGTGGGGATCGATGCTCTGCAAGGAGCGGGTAAGCTCATCATCCAGGCGTTCGATAAACGAGACGATACTGCCGGGGATTCTGATGTACTTTTGCCCTTGTTCGAGAACTGGAGGCTTGTCATCGTCATCCCACTCATCTGCACCCTCAATGATGATATGGTCCTTTTCGGTCTCGAGGGTGCGAAGAAGAAGGAAGAGCTCCCTCTCGGCGGCCTTCCAATGCTCCAACGGCATCGACGCCGCTCCTCCCGAACCAAGATCAAATCGGGCCGAAATCAAGGTCATGAGCACCCGTATCTTCTGGTAGGGGGTTACCGCAACCTCGCCAAGCTTCTCCATAATCTTGATCTGCTCTAGGCGGTCGGTATTCTTCTTTCCTCGCGACTCTACGATGGTCCGAAGGTGCTTGAAGATGCTCTCGGGCGTGAAGAGCAGGGCGCGGCCGCCTTTGCCAACTGTTGCGAAGCCTTCATCGTCCTCTTCAGCATCGTCGGCAGCAATCATATCCTGGAATCGAACCTTGGTCGCCTTGGGTGCTGGCACTTCCTCCTCATCCGACTCCATGAAGTCATCGCTGTCCTTTCTGAACGCATCAATTTGCTCTTGGTAGTCCTTGTTGTTCTTCTTGATGCGCTGCTTGACCGCGTTCAGGCCACGGGCATTTGTGGCGTTCATCTTCTTCGGCGTGACCTTTTGCTTGGCTAGGGTTTCGTTCATGAAGTCCTCAAGCTCGGCGATACACTTGATGTATATCTTGGGCGCCTTGCCGCCATCCTGAAGTTTCGTAACCTGGCGGTTTAGCTTATCGAATTCTGGGCGCTTGTTAGCGGGGGTTCAACATAATCACAATCATCGCACAAACCATTGGAGATGGAGCCCCAGTCGTTGATTTTCTGCCCATTTTGAATGCCAGTGATAGTAGCTTCGAGTTCGTCGAACCGCTTGTCCTTAGCACTCTTAACCTTGGCCGTGATTTCGCCATCGCTCTCCTCGCTTTCGGAAGAATCCTGGTCGACTAAGAAACGAGATAAACCCTTCTTCTTCTGGTCGGCGTCCGAGTCGCTCTCTTCTGCGGCCTCGACTTCCTCCTCGGCAGCATCGGAACTCTCCTCCTCTTGCTCGATCTTCTCGTTCTCTTCAGCCTCGGATCCCGAGTACAGGTCCTCCTCGTCGGAGCTGCTCTCACTGGAGCTGTCGTCGCCGCCGCGGAAGAATCGAGACATGTTTGCTATCAGCTGGGGCTGCTCGATTTGCGGAGCCGAGTGGTGCTGATGGAAGAGATTTGGTGGTCAAAATTCGTGATTGCAGCGATGCACGGCAAAACCTGGCTGGAGGGGTCGATAATTATTTCAGGTGCCATGGGGTTTTTCTGGTGGGGGCAATTAGGTTGGGGCTCAGCGAATGAGTCTTCAGTGCTATGACTCCACCAAGTCACAATTGCAGGCTGGGGCTGGAGCTTTTCTCCGTGCCTACATACCTATCCGTAAAAATCACGAGAAGCTCGAGAGCATGTATGTACGAGGATGTTCTAGTACTCGAATGTGTACCAAGATATCATGTGTTATTAGAGTACAAATTACATGAAAGACGAGCAACCCTATCCTAGGCTGCTTTTATTGTCATTGATTGTGCTAAAAAATGGAGGTCAGGTGCTGTTACACGTTCATCTATCCATGTTTCTGCTAGCTTATTCCTATTCCGTCACTATCAACCCGCTTTAGAAATCTGTCTAACGGGGTAGTTGAAAAAAGAGGTTATGCAGTTAAACTGCTGAGCCGATTACACGCTAGAGCGCTAGTGCGGTCGTTCCCAAGTCTCACGCGCCGCCCGTCGTCGCGAAGAGGTTCGAGATTTTTTAAATGCAGGCGCAGGCCAGTCGTGGCTTCTTCAACCCGCACCCACGACCTCACTCATCGCTGTGAATCGCTGCGAGCCCGGCTTCATCAGCATATTGGCCGCAACTTCATTCCTCCAATAAAGTCATTCGTTGTTCAGGCGAAATACCTTCCGACTTGAGGGCAACAACGCGCCACCTTCGCCAACAGGCGATCGCTTCCTGGTGCTGGATCTCCTTTCCCCCGCGCCTGCACTTTCTGTCACCGGCATCGCGATGGATTCCTTTCCACCACCCCCTCCTCCCCCTGGCTGGGGTCCTCCCCCCCCTCCTCCTACACCACCTCCTCCGCCGCCAGGCCATTCTTCATCATTCCCACCTCCTCCATCGATTCCGCCGCCACCCCCGCCGCCGCCAGGCCTGCGACCTCCGACCGACCCCCAGATCGCCAAATTCGCCCAGAAAAAGAAGGAATGGCTTCGCACGCAGCGCACTCGCTTTGGAGAGAACCGAAAGGATGGCTACGTTGAGACTGAAAAGGCCGACATGCCCCCCGAGCACCTGCGCAAAATCTTCAAGGATATCGGCGATGTTTCCCAGAAGAAGTTCACGAATGATAAGCGCAGCTACTTGGGCGCGTTGAAGTTTATGCCCCATGCCGTCATGAAGTTGCTGGAGAACATGCCGATGCCTTGGGAGTCTGCGAGAGAGGTCAAAGTTCTTTACCATGTAAATGGCTGCCTGACCCTCGTGAACGAAATCCCTCGAGTCATTGAGCCAGTCTTCTATGCGCAATGGGCTACCATGTGGACTGTCATGCGCAAGGAGAAAAGCGACCGCAGACTTTTCAAGCGCATGCGTTTTCCGCCATTTGACGACGAGGAGCCTCCGCTCTCATGGTCGGAAAATATCGAGGATGTCGAACCTCTTGAGCCCATTCAGATGGAACTCGACGAGGAGGAGGAGGCGGCTGTCTACGAGTGGTTTTACGAACATCAGGCCCTAGTCGACACATCGCATGCCAATGGCCCGAGCTACAAGAAGTGGAATCTCACGCTCCCGCAGATGGCAAGCTTGTACCGCCTGTCTCGGCCGCTGGTGTCTGAAGTCGTTGATAAAAACTACTTCTACCTCTTTGAGCTCAAAAGCTTCCTTACCGCAAAGGCGCTGAATGTGGCGCTGCCAGGAGGACCTCGGTTCGAGCCACTCTACAAGGATATCGACCCAAATGACGAAGACTTTGGCGAGTTCAATGCCATGGACCGAATCATCTTTCGGAATCCCGTCCGGACGGAGTGCCGTGTCTCATACCCTTACCTGTACAACGCGTTGCCACGGAGTGTGCACATCTCCTGGCATTCACATCCTCAGACCGTCTACACCCGGACGGAAGATCACAACCTTCCAGCCTTTTATTTTGATACCACAATTAACCCCATCTCCTCGCGCGCGGTGGCACCAAAGAACCTAACAGTCAGCCACGAGGATGAGCTTTTTGGGAAAGGTAGCAATGAGGAGCCCGAAGAGGAAGCGTTTGAACTTCCACCCAGTGTTGAGCCTTTTTTCGCCGACGAAGATTTGTATACTGATGACACGGCTTCTGCTATTGAGCTGTGGTGGGCTCCATTCCCCTTTGACCGTCGGTCTGGTCGCACGGTGCGAGCCCAAGACGTCCCACTGGTCAAGCACTGGTATCTGGAGCACTGCCCGCCCAAGCAGCCGGTCAAGGTCCGCGTTTCGTACCAGAAGCTTCTCAAGAGCTACGTGCTTAACGAACTCCACAAGAAGAAGCCCAAAGCACTCCAGAGACAGAATCTCCTCAAGACTCTCAAGCAAACGAAGTTCTTCCAGCAAACCAAGATCGACTGGGTGGAAGCTGGTCTGCAAGTCTGCCGTCAAGGCTTCAACATGCTCAATCTGTTGATTCATCGCAAAAATCTCACCTACCTCCATCTTGACTACAACTTCAACCTGAAGCCTGTCAAGACCTTGACGACAAAGGAGCGGAAGAAGTCGAGATTCGGAAACGCTTTCCACCTGATGCGCGAGATCCTCCGACTCACCAAGTTGATTGTCGATGCCCAAGTGCAATATCGTCTTGGCAATATCGACGCCTTCCAGCTCGCCGATGGCATCCTTTATGCGTTTAATCACGTTGGACAGCTAACAGGCATGTACCGGTACAAATACAAGCTCATGCATCAGATCCGTTCTTGCAAAGATCTCAAGCATCTGATCTACTACCGATTCAACGCCGGCCCTGTCGGCAAAGGTCCTGGATGCGGCTTTTGGGCGCCAGCCTGGCGGGTCTGGCTTTTCTTCATGCGAGGTATCATCCCGCTGCTCGAGCGGTGGCTTGGAAATCTTCTGTCGCGTCAGTTCGAGGGTCGTCACAGCAAGGGAGTAGCCAAAACCGTTACCAAGCAGCGCGTCGAGTCCCATTTTGATCTGGAGCTTCGTGCCTCAGTCATGGCCGATCTCATGGATATGATGCCCGAGGGTATCAAGCAAAACAAGGTTAATACCGTTCTACAACATTTGTCCGAAGCTTGGAGATGCTGGAAGAGCAACATTCCGTGGAAGGTTCCGGGGCTGCCGGCAGCTATTGAGAACATCATCTTGCGATATGTCAAGTCCAAGGCAGACTGGTGGATATCGGTTGCCCACTACAATCGGGAGCGCATCCGTAGGGGCGCCACTGTCGACAAAACCGTCGCCAAGAAGAATGTCGGTCGTCTCACTCGCTTGTGGCTCAAGGCGGAGCAGGAGAGACAACATAACCACATGAAGGATGGTCCATATGTCTCGTCTGAGGAGGCTGTGGCGATATATACGACCACGGTCCACTGGCTTGAGTCTCGGAAATTCTCCCCTATTCCTTTCCCGAGCGTGTCCTACAAGCACGACACCAAAATTCTCATCTTGGCCCTCGAGCGGTTGCGAGAGGCATACTCGACCAAGGGCAGGCTGAACCAGAGTCAACGAGAAGAGCTTGCTCTGATTGAGCAGGCCTATGACAGCCCCGGTACTACTCTGGAGCGGATCAAGCGCTTTCTTCTCACGCAGCGGGCGTTCAAGGAAGTTGGCATCGACATGAACGACAATTACAGCACCATCAACCCGGTCTATGACATTGAGCCGATCGAGAAGATCAGCGATGCCTACCTGGATCAGTATCTCTGGTATCAGGCCGACCAGCGCCATCTCTTCCCTGCTTGGATCAAGCCCTCCGACTCCGAGGTTCCACCGCTCCTTGTATACAAGTGGGCTCAGGGCATCAACAACCTCGATAAGGTTTGGGAGACGGCAGATGGTGAATGCAACGTGATGATCGAGACGCAGCTTTCCAAAGTCTACGAAAAGATTGAGCTGACACTGCTTAACTCGCTCTTGCGGTTGATCATGGACCACAACCTGGCTGATTACATCACGGCCAAGAACAATGTCACTTTGACATACAAGGACATGAGCCATGTCAACAGTTATGGCATGATCCGCGGTCTGCAGTTTTCTGCGTTTGTCTTCCAGTACTATGGCCTCATCCTGGACTTGCTGCTGCTCGGCCCCCAGCGTGCCAGCGAGATAGCTGGTCCTCCACAAAGCCCCAACGACTTCCTTCAGTTTAGGGACCGTGAGACAGAGACAAGGCACCCCATCAGGTTGTATACCAGATACATTGACAAGATCTGGGTTTTCTTGCGCTTTACCGCCGAGGAGTCTCGCGACCTAATCCAGCGATTCCTTACTGAGCAGCCCGATCCCAATTTTGAGAATGTCATCGGCTACAAGAGCAAGAAGTGCTGGCCTAGAGACTCCCGCATGCGACTCATGAGACACGACGTGAACCTCGGGAGGGCCGTCTTCTGGGATCTCAAAAATCGCCTTCCGAGATCCGTCACCACAATTGAGTGGGAAGACACCTTTGCCAGTGTTTACAGCAGGGACAATCCAAATCTGCTGTTCGCCATGTGCGGCTTCGAGGTTCGCGTCTTGCCAAAGATTCGCAATCAGAATGACGAGTTTCCGGTCAAGGACAGCGTCTGGTCGCTGGTGGACAACACCACCAAGGAACGAACTGCGCACGCATTCCTCCAAGTCACTGAGGAGGACGTCCAAAAGTTCAATAACCGTATCCGCCAGATTCTAATGTCCTCTGGGTCCACTACATTCACGAAGATTGCCAACAAATGGAACACGGCTCTGATTTCCCTGTTTACGTATTACCGCGAAGCCGCAGTCTCGACTGTCAGCCTGCTTGACACCATTGTCAAATGCGAGACAAAGATCCAGACCCGTGTCAAGATTGGCCTCAACTCCAAAATGCCCTCTCGTTTCCCCCCCGCTGTATTCTACACGCCGAAAGAGCTCGGCGGTCTCGGCATGATCTCCGGGTCGCATATTCTGATCCCAACAAGTGACAAGCGCTGGTACAAGCAGACCGACGTTGGAGTCACACACTACCGTCAAGGTATGTCTCATGACGAAGAGACGCTGATTCCCAACATTTTCCGCTACATCATCCCCTGGGAAGCCGAGTTCATCGATTCGCAACGTGTGTGGACGGAGTACTCACAAAAGCGACTCGAAGCGAACCAACAAAACAGGAGGCTCGCTCTTGAAGACTTGGAAGACAGCTGGGATCGTGGACTGCCTCGTATCAATACGCTCTTCCAGAAGGACCGAAGCACCCTTTCCTTCGACAAGGGTTTCCGCGCGCGTGCCGAGTTCAAAGTGTACCAGCTAATGAAGAGTAACCCGTTCTGGTGGACTAGTCAAAGGCACGATGGAAAGCTTTGGAATTTGAATGCCTACCGTACCGATGTCATCCAGGCATTGGGCGGTGTTGAAACCATTCTTGAGCACACGCTTTTCAAGGCGACTGGTTTTCCGTCTTGGGAAGGCCTCTTTTGGGAGAAAGCCAGTGGGTTCGAGGAGAGCATGAAGTTCAAGAAGCTCACAAACGCCCAACGGAGTGGTATGTTACGCTATTTTCTTACCCTTACCCCCTGGATGAACTATGGCCAATCCAAGGTCATCATCACGACGGTGTAAGTGCACCGTATGATAAAAAATACTGACTTGGCTTCTTAAAGGTCTAAACCAAATTCCCAACCGTCGATTCACGCTATGGTGGTCTCCTACAATCAACAGAGCCAACGTCTATGTCGGTTTCCAGGTCCAGTTGGATCTGACGGGCATTTTCTTGCACGGCAAAATCCCGACACTCAAAATCTCACTCATCCAGATCTTCCGCGCCCATTTGTGGCAAAAGATCCACGAGTCGGTTGTGATGGATCTTTGCCAGGTGTTCGACCAGGAGCTGGAAGCACTGAGTATTGAGTCGGTTCAGAAGGAAACCATTCATCCCCGAAAGTCCTACAAGATGAATTCATCTTGCGCAGACATCCAACTATTCGCCAGCCACAAGTGGAACGTCACCAGGCCCTCGCTTCTTTTCGACACCAAGGATGTTCTCGAGTCCACCACGACGAACAAATTCTGGATTGATGTTCAGCTTCGCTACGGCGATTACGATTCGCATGACATAGAACGCTATGTTCGTGCCAAGTACCTCGACTATACGACCGACAGTATGAGTTTGTATCCGTCGCCGACCGGTCTCATGATCGGAATCGATTTGGCATACAACCTCTTCTCTGCTTACGGCCAGTACTTCCCTGGTCTCAAGCTTCTTGTCCAGCAGGCCATGAATAAAATCATGAAGGCGAATCCCGCTCTTTACGTCTTGCGTGAGCGAATTCGCAAGGGCCTACAGCTCTATGCGTCGGAGAGCAACCAAGAGTTTTTGAACTCGCAGAACTACTCGGAACTGTTCAGTAACCAGACCCAGCTTTTCATTGATGATACCAATGTCTATCGAGTCACAATCCACAAAACATTCGAAGGCAATCTGACGACAAAGCCGATAAACGGAGCCATCTTCATCTTCAACCCTCGCACTGGCCAGCTGTTCCTGAAGATCATCCATACCAGCGTGTGGGCGGGACAGAAGCGCCTGGGACAGTTAGCCAAGTGGAAGACGGCTGAAGAAGTGGCTGCCTTGATTCGGTCACTCCCAGTTGAAGAACAGCCCAAGCAACTGATCGTCACACGAAAGGGGCTGCTCGATCCCCTTGAGGTCAATCTACTCGACTTCCCCAATATTTCCATCCGTGCTTCTGAGTTGCAGCTCCCCTTCCAAGCTGCCATGAAGGTTGAAAAGCTTGGGGACATGATCTTGCGCGCCACCGAGCCTCAGATGGTTCTCTTCAACCTGTATGACGAGTGGCTGAAGAGCATCTCGTCGTATACGGCATTCTCCCGCCTCATCTTGATCCTTCGAGCTTTGCACGTCAATCAAGACAAGACGAAGCTTATTTTGCGACCCGATAAGACGGTCATCACGCAAGACCATCACATCTGGCCGTCACTTTCGGATGAGGATTGGATCAAGGTGGAAACTCAACTCCGTGACCTGATTCTCAACGACTACGGAAAGAAGAACAACGTCAACGTGTCTAGCTTGACGAGCAGCGAAGTGCGCGACATCATCTTGGGCATGGAAATCTCGGCGCCGTCGATGCAGAGGCAACAAGCCGCTGAGATCGAAAAGCAACAGCAGGAGCAGCAGCAGCTCACTGCGGTCACTACTAAGACTCAAAACGTACACGGGGAGGAGATCATTGTGACGACGACTTCGCAGTTTGAGCAGCAGACCTTTGCCTCGAAGACTGAGTGGCGGACCAGGGCCATTGCCACGTCGAATCTGCGTACGAGATCCAACAACATGTATGTGTCTCCAGTGGACAGCGACGTGGATGACATTACATATGTCATGCCAAAGAACATTCTGAAGCGGTTCATCACGATTGCAGACCTCAGAGTGCAGGTTGCAGGATATCTCTATGGCTCGTCACCAGCCGACAATGACCAAGTCAAGGAAGTCAAGTGCATCGTCATGGTCCCCCAGATTGGAGGCCTGCGCAACATCCAGCTACCCCAACAGCTACCACAGCACGAGCTCCTCGAGGACATGGAACCTCTTGGCATAATCCACACCATGTCGGGCAATGAGCTACCTTACATGTCGGCCATGGATGTTACAGACCACTCTAGACTCCTCGACGCTCATCCGGAGTGGGACAAGCAGAATACTCTGACTGTTACAGTGTCGTTCACCCCTGGTAGCGTGTCGTTGTCGGCCTGGGCTCTCACGCCACAGGGTTATAGATGGGGAGCCGAGAACAAGGACGTTGGCAGCGATCAGCCACAGGGATTTTCGACGGCAATGGGCGAAAAGCGACAGCTCCTTCTCAGCGAGAAGTTCAGGGGCTTCTTCCTTGTGCCCGACTCCGGAAAATGGAACTTCAGCTTCATGGGCAGCGCCTTCGGCGGCTTAGAGAAGAAGCCGGTCCACGTCAAACTGGATACGCCCTTGCCATTCTACAGCGACCAACACCGGCCGATCCACTTTTCCAGTTTCAACGAGCTGGAGGACATTTGGGTCGATAGGCAGGATAATTTTGCCTAGGCAGCCTCGGCCACTCGAGTGTGGAGAAACATAGCACTGAGCAAGCAAGGGGTAGGTGGTTGCATGTGGAAAAGGGGAAACGTCGGGACGAAGCGATCGGGTAGAAACAGGCGCGGGTGGTTAGCGAGGGCCAAGCCACACAGGATGGCATATTCGCCTTCGGGAGCTCTGTAGACTGTTTGATCGGCTCCCCAGGGCTCTGGTTGATGGTTTTCTTTACGATTTGGGCGCGCGGCCAGCTCAAGGTTTTCTGTGTTTCTTTTGGCGTTTTGCAGATGGGGGAACGCCCGTTTCATGTAACACTTTAGCAAAAAAAAAAAAGCCCGGTGTAACAATACTGAAGATGAGGATGATGGACATAATTGATCAGTTTTAATGAGTGTGTTCCTTGGTAGTCATGAGTGTCTTGCATATGTCCCCTGTTGATCGATGTGTCTCTGCTGTTGCGACAGGCCATGAGCCATGAGGAGTTCGCATTTGACTTGTTCCGAGGCTTGGGTGTTAAGCTGCAAGCTGCACGACTAGCGGGACGAGGACGATCGGACACGGGAACACCAAGGAGACGGAAACCGAGCCGTGGGTCGATATCCATTGGTAAGACTCGCATTTTGGAGGTGGGGTGCTTGGGACGAGGACGAGACCGCGCGGTTCGAGCCGAAGGCAGAGACAAGATAGGTCAAGATTGAATCAGCAATTGTTAATGGGCGATCGCAAGAGATTGATCTCAATGCGTTTATGCGCGTGGCGTCATCCTGGGCTGAACGAAGCCACAGCTCACCTCACCTCAGGTACATACTCTATGTAGCGTGTAGGTATGCATGTACTGTACAGGTCCATATCTCCTTCAGCCCCGAGTTTCGACGACGGCAGCAATAAGCGCGGAAACAGACAGGGCGCTAGACTTGACGAAGATACTTGTCCGCTCCGCAGCGCGCGTTCCGGAGCGTCCCCTTTACAAATATGAAATACTAGTCGATACGTTCCTAAGATAGTTAAGTATGGAGGCCGACGGATGGATATAGACTAGGTACGGATGGAGCCCCCAGATAGGCGTCGGTCAGCTGTCCGACATGGAGATGGAGAGGAGCCCAGGATTTCCATCTCGGTGAAATTATGACTTTTCTGTCCGTAAAAGCCTGCCGCCTGCCCAATTGGCGTGAGGCATTCGGCAGAGCCGTCAGAGAGCCATGTCCTAATCCATATGGCATTGAAGTAGTTATTTGCCATTCTGCATGGGGTTATTACACATGCATTGAAGCATTCACCTCAATTTTGGTCCATGTCAATCTCGGATCTATCGCGCTACGCTGTTGCGTTGCTCGTCTTCAGGGGAAGAAACTTGAACGACAAATACGCCCGCCCGGTAGAGTTTGGGCTGGCTTTCTGCTAACAAATCACCAACTCAGGCTGACTGACCTTCACAAGGCAAGGTATGCACGAATACTCTCCGAGCCGTGCACGGCGTTTGGACTTCTGACCGAGCAGCCGGATGTTGGCGGGAGAGAGCCCGTCGCGCATCATTGATGGGATCATTGATGGGACGAGGGTTAGGTTCCCACCTGCTTGGAAGAACTTCCATTAGGTTGTTCAGTTGATCTCATGGCTATCCGCTTGGGGAAACCCCCCGCGCGGTAAGCCCAGTCTGGGGGAGCCCGCTCCCTTGGCAAACCCAGCTCAAACGCGGATCAGGAGTCTCGGAAGCCTGGCCGAACCCCGAGGCGTAGCATCCACCCGCCGAAACTAGGGAGCAGACACAGCTCATGGGCAGCACGACGACAAACCTTAACTTGAAGTGGCGTCGATGGGCCGAACGGCGGGGCCAGCGTCGACGGTTTGAAAACAATGAAAAGCCATCCATTGCTCCATCGGATGGCTAAGCGCCCTGTCACCCGTGGTCTGGGGTGTGCAACGGGTTACAGAGTATGGAGTAGGTAAGGTATAGTATAGTGTACGGACTCAGGTACGGAGAACTCGGAACAAAAGAGCTTTGAAGACGCCACGCAAGCAGGAACTTGGGCGCACAGGTGCAGGTGTCAGGCGGGTGCCGCTGCGGTGCCTGCTATCAATATTCAGCCTCAAGAGCCGTCATGGCCGCCTTACTCAGACGCTCAGCCCCAGCTCAATACGGACTCGTCCTCGAAAACCAACCTGCAATTTCTTCCCAGAGTCTAGCTTTGAACTCTGCAGATTTTGCCAGGTTCAATTTGACAGACAGCGGTTGCCCTGCATATTCACAGAACACGCTACTGTGCTAATGCAGCTCCTTCCACTTGAAGCCCTCGTGTAAACATGCAAGTACTCCAAATACTATGTGGATCCCGGGCCCTCAGAGGAAATAGACGACCTAGGAAGGCGTCTTCGAGACTTCCTTGGTCCTTCTATCTGCGTTCAACGGCGCTAGATCTCCTAGTGGCAGTACGCCGAAGCTGCTACTAGTAGGAAGGTATGAAGTACTTTAGTTGGCCTTTACTTCCTCCTTCCTACGCTCGACTAGAGTCATCAGAACCACGTGCATGCATCACTGCAATAGGTATCTGGTTGCAGTGACCCTATCTGGAAGCTTCAGCTGCAGTCCTGCGACTGGGGGGAAGGGGGTAAGGGGTCAAGAAGGACAGATGGAAGGGCAAGCACGTGTGGCATTCCCGCTTGACGGCTAGAAGTCTCATCATTGTGGTGCTCAATCGTAGTGGCTTCTCCACAAACACTCCCAATCCCCATCATGCTCCTTATCCCTTCTGGCACCAGTTCGAATAATTTGTTTCGTGCCACTTCGCCGTAAAGCGCTTGCTTCCCGGTTCAGCGTGCTAGCTTCTCTTATCATGCTGTCGATATTCGGTCGGCCGCACGACGTGCATGTCAACCATTTCCACCACAACCCCGGCACACACTCCCTGCCCGGTCTACACCGACCCCGTGGAGACCGAGATCGAAGCCGCCTTGCCCAGGCCGGCCGGCCGGCCAGCCGACCGACCAATTCGACTCGCTGGAGGGCAGGGGTTCAGTTCAGCTTGGACTTCAGGAGGAGCTTCCCGAAGCCTAGTTCTGGGCTAGAAGCAATTTGCGTCTTCTAGAAACCCGAAATCACGTTAATTTTGTCTTTGGCGGAGGCATAAGACGTCCTTTAATTGCAAGGTTCGAATGAAACACGTTTCTTTCATGCGTGGCTTGGCCCAGAGCCTCCACCCCTCATGCCGGACAGGCGCTGATGCACGGCCTCGCAAAAGATTTCCTGCCAAGAGGCGCGACGCTCGCGCTTTCGTGCCCTCGTGGCCTCTCGGACGATGCTAGCTGCGTGTCCCGTTGTCTCAGGAGTCACGACAGCCCTCCGAGGAGAGCCAACCGCACTGCTGCGTCGTCGAGTCCTGCCCGTGCCCGTGCTATTGCTCGTGCTTGCCCTTTCCCGTTCGTGCCTGTGCTCGTGTTCGTGCCCGAGGCTGACAACCAGGAATCTTGACAGCATTGAGATGCGCAATCTTGGATTTCCCGAGATTAGCCTCCTCCAGCCACGCTACCATGCGAACCATGACGGCACAGTTGCGCCTCTTGATGCTTTGTGGTGTGGACGGCGCCGCAATAGCCATCCAAGTCTGCCCGATTACTAGGTGCTGGGTATTGCGACGCGCCCAGGTTCCCACGACGGCGGTCCTTTGGCTTGCCGCCTTGTCGCTGGTGATCAGATGAACGGGGGAGAGTCGGGTACACGCGAAGTCACCAAAGACTTGCGCTCTGGTCCTACCTTGGCCCCGCCGGGGGGTAGACAGCAGCCTTGCCCGCCGTCGCGATCTCCCTATGGCGCTGCAACAGCTCGATCGAGCCGAGTACGTCGTGCACATTATGCCCTTGTTTTTGGTTCTCCTGGGAAGACGGCGAGCCGGGGTGGGGTTCTCCCCCCCCAAGGCAAGGTACCTTCACCTCCTCGGTCCGCCACACCCTATCCTTACCGCATGCCTCACCTTGCTGCGGATGTTATTCAAGAAAACTCATTGCCTTCTGTCCCTTTTTCCTTGCTAGCTCCTAAGGCTGGTCATTTTGCCCAGCCGGCCGCTCTCAGCTTTACTGTCCTGAACTGAGAGTAATAGTGGCCTAAAAGGCTGCCGAGCGTGGTGGTTGCCACGGAATATATGATAGTGTATGTTCCTGACCTAAGGTACAGTGCCTGGCATTTGCCCATTTGTTTCCCCTGTCCGGCAATCTGCTGGCTAATCATATGGCTGCCACTTCCAACCTTTTTCTACAACGCCCTATGGTGTGTATGGGCGTGTTGGCGTGTCAAGGCACCGATCTCTTCTTGCCTGTCTGATATAGCCCCCCAGTCGTTACCTTACCCCTTTTAGACAAGACTATGACAGACTACCACACCCTCAGCTACCTTCTCCGCTTGCTACCACGGCACTCCAGCGCCCTGACCTCACCCCAGCAGGCTCTAGGTACCGTGTTCCTGCTTTGGTACCTTGGAGTACCCGTCCCGGGCGCGCCCGCCAACCCCAGGTACCTTCGCGCACCGTTTTCTGCAAGCACTTACACGGGCTTGCTTCTGGTCCGCCAACCGCGAGTGTGGCTGTCTCTTGGGTCGCTCGACAGTAGGTTTGCCCGTCAGCGCTCTGGCACTCAGGCTCTCTGGCACTCAGGATCTCTGGTCCTCGCCCCTCCACCCTCCACCCCTCGCCCTCGCCTGTTTCTCCAGATGCATCACTTGACAGCAAGAGTGGTCGACAACCGCTCCAGGCCCATCTCATGAGGCAGGTGCCGCTGTTGGCGTGGTCTCCGTACTGGTAGCACCCCATAACTCGCTTATCGTCATGCTGTTCTCCGGCTGCATGGTAGGGCTCGTTTCATATTTTAATCTCCATCCGGCCTGTTGTTTTGTATCCTTCCATGCGTTTTCCAGGCATTCCTCTCTTTGGACAGTCGGCTTTTCCAGCCTCCTCTTTGGGTTAATCCGCCCAGGATTCTCGAATTTGATAATTTGTTCTACCAGTAACCCTAGCTGTCATGCCCCCTCGTTGCATCATTCTTAGAGGCCGGGGTCCTGTTTCTATATCCGGCAGCCATACCATGGCATAAGATCCTCAAATTATGCTACCGTCATCGTTGGACAAGGTGACTTAGCTCCGCACTCCTCAGGAACAATCTTCGTCTCGCACATGGCAAATCGGTTATGTGCTTTAACTTGGGTGAAAGGAGACACAAGAGCAATAAGCCTACTCCCTCCCCCCCGGCCTTGGACCCCCTAAGTCCTTAGGCCCCCCCTCAAAAGGTAGCAAAGATCAGACGATATAATGCGACCCATGCCCGCTTCTTCTTGCTTGAGGCTCTAAAAAATTGCTCTTGTTCGTGTAGAATTCTCAGAAAAAAGGTAGCAGGCACCAAGAATACCGACTGCCTGATCACCACGATAACCAGGAACGCGAATCTAAGCACCGAAGTCACATCGCTTTCTAGCCAGCAATGAGTAGCAGCTGAGGAGGGTCCACTAGGGTTGCCGTCATCGTCCGCCCAACCTTTTCGGAACCAACTCTTCACTCCGCGCAAGAGATTCTTCCTACCCAACAACACATACCACGACCGCATTTATAGTCTCTGTCAAGGGCGGCTTCTTCAACATCACATGTGCCCTGCCCCGCTACCAGGCCTCACCGCTTCACCTACATACCGTGACGGCAACTCCCTAAGTCGACGAGAGGCATATTGGACTGCCTCAGCCCGAGCCATACACAACAACTTTCCCCGACGTAGCCCCGCGGGGCTCAGTTCCAACAAATTCTTTCCATTCAGAGCCCGGCGACCAGCCAGAGCGGTTCGCTCTGGCGGAACCCATGTATCGGAGGCACGCTGGCGGGCAACTATCGTGTAGGACCGGACTACAATGTCGATTATGCGCCACAGGAGCCGCATTCGGCCGAGCAGGGCCAAGCTCCGCATCCATATGATGCCCATCACCACCGAGGCTCGCTCCAGCACGCCGGTCCGTCGCCTCTGCATGAGCAGTCGAGCCACCAGTCCCACCATGGCTTATCGCAGCATTATTCCACTGGCCATCACCCCCATCCAATCCTCACCGACCCGAGCCACATGGGAGGACACCCAAGCGCCCGGCACATGGGCCATTCGGGGCCGCCGCACTACGGCGCCGCAGGTCCCTCGCCCCACGCCGTTGTGGCGCCTCTCTACCCGTCTCTAACGCCGACCCATGGTCCTTCTGGTAGCCTAAAGCGACAAAGACCAGACGACCTTGATCTTTCTGTCTCGGGGATCCCCGACCTGGAACAGAGCGACTTGGAGCCCATGCAGCAAACACCTATGGGGACGTCGTACGGCCAAGGGGCGGGCGCTCCTCCGACGCACCACCACCACCGTCTGCCGGATACAGGGCCGCCGAACAAGCTTATGCGACGCGACGGAGAGAGCAGTTCGGGCGGGGGTGCTCCGAGCGTGGTGGGACAAGCAGGGATGCCGCACCCGGCTCCGCGTCCGAGGGGACCCAAGTTGAAATTCACACCAGAGGACGACCAACTTCTAATAGACCTCAAGGAAAACAAAAGCTTGACATGGAAACAAATCGCCGACTTCTTCCCTGGCAGATCAAGCGGGACCCTTCAAGTGCGATATTGCACGAAACTCAAGGCAAAGACGACGCAATGGACAGATGAAACGGTCAGTTATTTCGTGCTCTCTTTTATTTCTACAGTCCTTTCAGCGCAAAGCTAACTTGCTGGCGAACTACAGGACCAAAAGCTTAGGACGGCGCTTCAAGACTATGAAAACGAGAAGTGGCGCATAGTCGCCAACAAGGTCGGAACGGGCTTCACACCGGCTGCGTGTCGCGAGAGAGCAACGCAGTTGTTGGAGGACAACTTATAGCAATCGCTGTCCCCGCCGGGAGTTTCAGCTCCTGAGTCCGGGGACATAACCGTCTATCCGTCGCAGTTACAATAATAACTGCGCTACAAACACACGAGATCCACCTCTGAGACAAATCCAAGAAACCGAGACCGAGGCTACACAGAAAGCTTGGATTCCGGCCACTGAGGTGGAATGGTTAGCTAAACCCGACCGAACGAGACCTCGGACGCCGCACTGGTCCAGCAAGCATATCCAACACTGAGCCTTTCCGGATTGAATACTTGAGCACTCTCCATGCCCTTGATGGCTTCTTACTCTTTGCTTTAGCGAGGCGTATGGCAGGTGGCGGTAGCTTAGAGGAAGCGGCTCTGAAACACTGGTGGCATTCATTTTCTATCTTATTTTGCGCTCCCTTTACCTTGCCTTTGTCGATTTCCTATTATAATTCTCGTCGAGTAAATCGCTTGTTTATATTCTTTTCCCACTCAACTTTTGGTACCATTCTGCGGGGGTTTCTTTTGGCAGAGCGGGATAATATTAGAGATACCCGGAATACCGCCGACAAACTGCCCCCTTATGCCAGCTTTCTTTCCTTTGGTTTTTTTCTTTCCTTTCCGCTTTCCCTACAGCTTGCAACATTGGCTGTTGTTGCTATGATATAGAACCGGGCTCAAACCGAAGACACGATATACACGATACCGCTTTGCGACGATGATGACTCCCTCCTCCGGGTGAAACATGCGCTGATGATTTTGGGTCGCAACGGTTTCGTCCACATGCACCAGAACTCTTCTTGATGGGAGAAGATCCAGCAAAAGCTGACACGAGTGAGGTTCCCAAGCATGGGCGGAGGAGCAGAGCAGCGGAGCGGACCAAGAGACGAAACTTTGTTCGGCGCGGCAGAAAAGAATTTTGGGTGTGCCAATATGTTTTGATATATCAGGAGCCGCTCCTGGGCGGTAGTTCGCTAATGATGCTGGGGCAACATAGGGTAGGATTTATGTAGGGTACAGTAGCTACAGACATAGATCCGGCACTTGTCTACTTAATGAAGTAATAGTTCTGTTGCTCTTTGGCGAAATATAGTATCCAAGTCTGCTAAGCTGTTTTGAACGACGATTTATTGGGGCAAGGCGACCTCGCTCATGAGATTTTGGACGGTGAAACTAGGCATTCGCGCACGCATACACATGGTCGACGGATGTCGTAACGGTAGAGTTTCAAACGGCCTGGCCGCATCAACGGCGACCCGTGTGCACAACAACAGCATTTGCCAAGGCCAGCGAGGAGCCCCCCCGTCTTACCAGGCACTACACGCACCAACGTTTTACTGCTTGACCGATTTTCAACTGTCAATGAAGGAATTAGTATCGGACATTCCGTATACGTAGGCAAGTTATCTATGGCACGAGAATATATTACGGTATACGCACAGATAAGTACGCAACGGGTATCTCAATATCGACCACTGCAAACGCAAGGCCGCCGAGAAGAACCCAGAGTCTTCCGTAGCAACCCTGGTTTGACAGCCTGTCGGAAGCCGTGTCGGCGAGCTCGGGTCGGGAATCGACTTTGACAAGGTGCCCCCCAAATCGAGACGACAGGCGTCGAAGCGCCCCGCTAAGTCGGGACCACCACCTCTTTTATGCCAGGGTCCGGCAGCAGCTTGGGCCTCCTCCCTGTTCGTTCAACGTTGTCACTTCTGGGGTGACTAACATCCGTATCGAGTACGGGCATCAACCGAGTTCATTCATGTTTATTTTAGGACACGCCGTTTAAGAAACACCAGTTGTAGGCGACATTGAGGATTCAACAGCAAAGCAATTGGCGGGTAGGATTTGATGAAGTATGGATACCTGCCTAGTTCATCGTTCCTGATTGAAGGTCTCCCTGCCAGCTTTTCAAATCCTTCCAGGTTTCGTTTCTCTCGGCAGCGCTCCGAAAAAAAAGGAACGCCCAGCAATTCAACACAGCATCCGAATCGGGGCCCCCTGTCGTCAACTCAGCCTTGCTTTTGTCCGACAAGAGGGGATGCAAGGCTAGGATGGCCTGTAAAATGGAAGATGCCTTGTACTACGACCGCTGGGGGAGGGAGGTGGCTGGCTGGTGGGGCAAGGAACATGGACAGAAGCTGCCCGCGTTCCTGGCGGGGTTCCTGTCGCGTCATCTCTAACGGCCACCCGCCCGCTGATCGGGGAACGCACCCAGGGGTTCTTTTCGACCACTGCAGCCTAGAAGCTGGGGTCGACTTGAGCGGAGAATCGCAGTCCAAAAAAGACAAAGCTGCTGCGACGCGCGCGCGATGCGACATCAAGTCACGTCGTCGTCACGACCACAACCGCTGTGGCTTGGGAGGTCTTGTCTTCACGGGTGTTCCTTTACAATATTTCTCGCCATTATGTGCGCGGAATCCTCGGGGCTATCTCGCGATTGCTAGGAGGGATATTATGTGGCTTGACTTTCTCCAAAGAATGCGGCTTGTCCATCCATTCGCACAAAACCTCTACTAGCCCCGAAAGCCGGCTCCCGGTCAGTCTTGATCTCGCTAATATCACGACCTACTCACCTCCAGACACCGCGCAGACACGGACAGATAGCCCCAACCACGCCATACGGAGGGAGTGTGGACTAATTAACGACTCGTTGATACAATCAGGAAAAAAGCAGGCAGGACAGCCCGCCAATTCCGGCGTACCTTGTTTAAGCTTGCGTGCTCGGTCCTGATAGCGAGCGAGCACACAATGCTCTCTCTCCCTTGATGATCGTGACGTGGATTGGTTCACGGACGCAGTCATTTGCCTAGTGTTTCCTCATTCCTATTGCAGACTAGCCGTCAGTCTTGTCGGCGGAACATGTCAACATCTGCACACTCAAGCGAGCGTACAATGGTGGTCCTCGCACCCACAGTGCTACCTCGGGTGGGCTGCTGTCCAGTCGGAGATTAAATCCCAATATCTGGTCTCATGCTCCATGGCTCACAATTATATTTTTTTTCCTTCTCCTGGTGGCTCGTCCAGCTGGCGGTACTTTCTCGGCCAGATCACGCCGTTTTCTTTGTATCGACTTGTACCCGAGACATTCACCAGTCACTCTGCCTTGTCGTCCACACCTTCAAGCCAACTAGGCACCTTCTAGCTGCGGTGGTTGGATTACTCATAGCTCGCCGGCGGCGCTGAGCTTGCTCACACTACTCGTGCCTACGAAGCGTCTTCTCCCAGGGCAGCTGCTCCCCGTTCCGTTCCGTGAATAAGGCTAAGGGCAGCCCTTGAGACGATTTGGGGGTTGCTCTGCGAAGCTTGCTGGCAGTCGGCCTTTTTTCTTCACTCGGGCACGGAGTCCCGACGATGTCATAGAGCCCGGAGATGGCGGTCTCAGTCGAAAAAATTCACGACGCTCACCGTTGGCATGATATATAGAGAGAGCTTAAAACTTTGTGCTCTAGATACTCCGTTTTTGCCCCTGGCCGTATCGCAAGACCTCGAGAGAAAGGGAAGAGGTCTTTCTCAATCTCATGATCCGCGAGCAAACCTGCAATCCCTTCCATCCAGCCGTCTTCAACCTTATTAGCCGAGTCCCCCACATCCAGTCTTTCACCTGAAACATTGGGAAAGCTGCGGACGCAAGGGCGTCTTTCTCAAGCTAGTTCGTTGGATATCGGATATCCTCAGAGGGCGGTGCCTGTTTGACCAACCACCTGTAATATTTGGGTTGCGTTATACCTGAAACCTAGACTATATCAAGCGTGATATCAGAGGTATATCGAGGCCCTATTATGGGCATGCCAGGCCCCTCCCCCTCCCCCTCCCCCTCCCCCTTCCCGCCAGACACAACCCAAGATGCAAAAAGCCAGGGAACGGGTTGTTGGGGAGAAGGATGGAAAAGGGTAGCTCCGTGACCTAGTCGCTGACAGCACCGCGAATCCGGTCCCTGTAGTTCACACGGATCGTCAAGGCCTTCTGTTTTGACAAGATTTACAGACCGCCAGCTGCCCAGACTCGACAGCAACGGCGATAGCTCGAGGAAGAGCGGTGAGCCAAGGGAGGGGAAGAGGGGAAGGTTCCCGTGATGGAGGCGAGAGGAGGTTTTCTCTTGCGTGGCCGACCCCCATTGGGCGATGGCCAACGTTCGCTGCCTTGAATCGACCGACGATGAGCGGTTTTCCGAGGCAAGGGGGCCAGAACAAACAAGCAAGCAGAAAACCAGTCAGTCACTAGCGCACGGTCAGAGCTTTCTGCCGTCCCAAGCTTTTGGGGCTTCGGGGTAATATGCCATGCCCCCGTTTGGATACGATGATGTGCCTATCGCAAGCATCGGCGTGCCTGGTCTCGACCAAGTACGGTAACGAGGCAAATCACGGCTGCCCGTGCTTTGCTTCTCCCTGATCCCGCAACGTTGCAGTGGGGAGAAGACGGATTGAGAGTAACAGGAATTCGACGATCAGCCGCGCCTAGCGAGGCCAGTGCTTCCCCCCAACCAGTCCCGAGGTCGAGGTATTGGTTTCCATGGGAGCATACCTAGATGCCCCGAGTTTGGTGTCTACGTACCAGACTCGGGGCTTTCTATGACAGCCCAACATGTCTCTCTACCCACTACTCCCCATCATGCTCAAAACGTCGCCGTATCTACCGGGCGCCCTGCCCGTCCGTTCGGCAGTCCCTCCGTTAGATTGGAGGGAAGCCTTGCTGCGGGACAGCTTCTGCTACTACGATTTGAGCCCCCTCGCCTTCGCGAAGACCTCAACACAGCCGAGAGGCTCTTTCTTATTGGTGATAGCGAACGGCGTATTGAGGAGTGCGCAGACTACAGCTTAAAATATATGCATGGGGGCGGCGCCCAGAACTCGGATCCGCGTGAATAATTCTACAAGCTCCATCTTGGCCAAGATATAATCCTACTCTGGGATATAGTCTTCGCCCTGATCGTCGAGTTACTTCTGGACTTTTTTCTCGATATTCCCGAACCGGTCCTCATCCGAGGCTGTGAGGCTCTCCGGTGGCGGGCAGACAGTCATCCGCTTGCTTCCACCCGCAAGAGCCTCATCCGACCCCCGCCTCCGCTTCAGTGTCTGAACATGAGCATCGCCCTCTTGCACCAACTCTTACAACTTGGCAAAAGAGATAGTAATCTCTCCCTGAACCTTTTGGCTTCCGGGACAATCAAGCTTATTACCGAAATGCTTCAACCAAATCCGGAGGTTCTTTCCGCCATTGACCAAATTCCCATCTATATCCCGAAAGGTGCCCTCAAAAGTCTTCTTTATCGAGAGTGTCGTTTTCTCCTTCTTAGTCTGTTTTGGTCGCCGTACCATAACTCTTGCTTCCTTTCCCTTGTTCTTCCAGTATTCAACGTCAATCCCGATGAAGACCAGGGTCAATCCATTTGAACGGAGAATATAGTAATCCGCGAGTAAGTGCAAGTCTCGGCTTTTTTGCGAGTGTAATACCTCTAGAATACCACCAAGTTCTATCGTATTTTTATACGTAATCGAGAACACGGTGCTGCACGCTCCGGGAAAGGCGCCCTCTCCACCTCTCCTTATTTGGTTTAGCGCGGCCCTTCTACTTATTAACCTCACGACTCGATTATTACAAACCAGTCGACTGTTTGGGCCGTCTGTCTGTAAGGGTGCACGGGCACCACAAGGGATTGCTGGGTTGGTGTAATGAAGACTGAACAGAGGGCAAGCCCCTATCGCACGGGTAATACAGTCAAACTGGATTGCTACTCAAAGTGGATGAGTACAAAGATTGTGTATTGCTTGCTTGAAGAACCAAGCAAGCTCTATCTAGGACCGTGGCTACGGCCGTTGTATTTATCTATGTGTAAGGGAGCCAACCAGTGACGTCCCTTAGTCCCTTTCCGGGCCCTCGGCCGTCCGCCCGAGTCCCGGAGCCCCGCGTACGACCGTGTACGGGACCCGGGGACCTTCCTGATTGGTCGGGCCCAAACAGGGTGTGCCCCATTACCGTGCATTCCGCCAGGGATTCGTGACATTGTGTTAGTGTTGTGGGCACTACTATGTACCCAAATTGTTAACCAAGCCCCACAGCACCTCTCGAACCCCCTATAAGCCTAAGCATACTTAAGACAAGCCCACTAGAAGACTGTCGAACACAGGGCCACTTACGTAGCTTGTGGGCCTGCCTTAAGTCTATATTAAGGCCTGTCATTTCCCTTAAAAATAGATTTCTTCGAAGCAAGCAACGCACTCACCACTCTTTGTACTAGAGTCCCTCTATAATACAACTCCTCTCAGTCTTCCTTCTTCAGCACCTTCTGTTGCCTCCCGAAGACCCTGACTACGGGGCAGAGTCCCCTGCAACCTACGAGGTAGACTGCTGAGCAGAGCACTCACAGTCTAGGTAAGCGGCAGGCCTGTATCAGAGTTCTACAGACCTGTTGCGGTCAGCCTGCTTCCCTCAGTGCCTTACACAAGCCACTGTTTTACTAGACTGTAGGTACCCTGCAGTACCGGTCGGCCTAGGGTAACACCACAACATCCGAGCCTGCTTTACAAAAATTGACCATGAAGCGGAGTCAAGAAACAGCGAGGCCCCCCCGCCGCTTTCAAAAAGTGCGTCTAGCAAGCGCCCACCCTAATTCAAGAAAAGAAAACTATGAACCAGCGTCAAGTCCGGTAAAGGGCTCGAAATTAGGCGGTGCGATATCCTGGCCACTGCAGACGCGTAGCAAATACCCCGAGCCCTTCTTCTCCTCGTCCGCTTCAGCGATAATGGCGTTGAGCCCTTCGACCACCTCTAGAGCCCAGGGCCGATCATCCACCTTTGGCTTGATCATCTTGCCCCTAATAAGATCGAGCAACGCCGCAAGTGCCGTGTCTCCCTCGCACCGAGGATCGCGCTCGAGATACTTGATCGTCTTAGTCACCAGCTGGTGCACCACGGCAACTTTGGCTTTCTTGTCCGTGACTTCGTACATGGGAGGAGAAGCCTCCCTCGAGGAGGAGGAGGCCCCCCTGGCTTCGGCAAATTTGATGATGGCGTCGGGTCCGTACAGGAGCCAGAGAGTGAACTCGAGGAAGACACAGCCGAGTGACCAGATGTCGTACTTGCGGGACCTGGGCCGTGGGGAGTGCTTGTCGAGGCCCTCGAACTCTACCTCGGGGCCCTGGTAGGAAGGCGTCAGATGGGTGGCGAATGTCGCAGCCTTTCTGTAGACGGTAGGCCATTCGTGGATGCTCGAGATCCCGAAGTCTGCAATCTTCAGGACGGGGTCGCATTGTCTGGTAGTCCGTACCTCTTTGACGCAGAGGATGTTAAGGGGCTTGATGTCGCCGTGGCGGCAATTGAATCGATCGTGGAGCAGGTGCAGGGCCTCGGTAAGCCCGGACATTTGTTGGAGTGCCCATAAAACACGCGCCTGGGAGGTTTCAGGCTCGGTTGTCCAAAACTCCTGGAGGTTGCCGCCATCGACCCAGGGGAAGATGATGTATCCGTAGCGGGTGTTCATCCTGTCAATGCTGGCAAAGTGACGGATGATGTTGGGGTGTCTTAAGCCTTCGAGCTGCTCCAGTATGCGGTGTTCTTTCTCGAAGTCATCCTTATGTAGAAACTCCTTTACGGCGACATTCCGGTCATCTGTCTCGGCCTATCATGGTGGAATGAATTCTTTTAGTTTTCTGGGTCTCATTTATAGACCTAAGCGACCGAGGAAGCTTACCTCAAATCCTATCTGATGATCAGGGTGTATTGTTGCTTTGTGAACAATGCCGGCACCCCCGCGACTCTCGACACTGGAGGTGACGAACGGCAAGGGACATTGTTCGCTGATAGAGACGAGCCGGCCCTTTGTATCTAGAACAGGGGCTTGAAAGATAAACTGGTATTCATCTACCAGCTTGCTGACCGTTCCCTCGCCAAGCCCCCTCAGCCAAAACTGGGACTTATCATGGGATTCGCAGAATTCGGTTGTTGAATCCTGAGGATCACGAGAAAGTGGAAGGTGCTCATCTGTTAGATTTTCGTTGAGGAGGTTGTTTATACCTTGGGATCTGCCCATGAGGACAAGAGCAGCGAAAATCTTTGGGGCATGCACGGGAACCCAAGTTGGGGCGATTGGTGGGTTGAACCACCCAACGAGCCTAGAGATCTGCCCCTCGTCTCTGGCGAGTTCGATTCTGACATTTTCTTCGGTTATGAGCTTCTTCAACACACTAAAGGGTACGAATTTCCTGTTGTCAAGTGAGGAGCGAGCGTTAGCGGGGGGTAGCTTCTCTTTGTCTAGCCGTCTGAATAAGGATTCCATGTGGTTGGAGTGTCAAGATTGCGCACAGGTTCGGAGTAGAGGCAATTTTTGTCTGCTCAGCCATGTTTTGGTGACGGAGACGACAGGTGAAGAACACATAAAGGCTGAACTCAGGGCCATCTTCTCTGACCTTCTATTTGCTGAGCCCTCTCGCGCGAGCCTCGTGCTTATCCGAAGTGAGGGGAACGACAAGGCTTTGCAAATACCACTAGGCACCCATACATACCTACCTATGCTAATCAGGGTGGGATGGTCAGCGCCGCGTTGTGGCCCTGTACGAGCTTCCTTGTTCCGTACATTTATCTAAAGGTCGAGGTACCAAGTCATAATTTCTACAGATAAAGATTAAAGTAAGAAACTGGATTTCCTAAGGGTACCTACGTTTGTGTTGTGAGTAAATGGCGACGATCCCCATGATCCCCTGGAGCTGTCGAGACACCTTGAGTCACAAGGGTCCGAACATCTTCTTCCTGCAGCTCGGTGGAACATTGGCCCTTTGGTACTCGTATTTGTTCTTTTCCTTCCCTCAACAACCCCAGGTGACGAGGACTTCTAGAGAATGCGCAGCAAGGCATCGGCTCCTGCGGAGTTCGGGCCTCACTGCCAAATACGTCGATGTGTGGTTGTACAGCATTTCCGCTCTCTCTTCATTCAAGCTTTGGCCTCAAGCACGCCATGAAACAAGCAACAAATCAGAGATGCTGTTGGAAAGCTTCCACCAGAGTAGGCCGAAACTCGTTTCAATGCAACACTCTGATTGTGTCTGAGGTGAGAAGATAAGTCTTGCCGGCTAGGGACCCCGTACTACTGTGAAGGCAGGCATATACGAGAGTCAATGCTGCAAGTAAGGAATGGCTGTATTCGTAAATAACTAAGCTAGGGAAAGGAGAAGGAAAATAGGAAACCTGCGATTCCTGCAGGCTGTGGTTTTGTGGTTTTGTGGTGGGGCAATTGGGCTAGCCCTAATTGGGAAGAGGGGCTGCGAGGTGGAGCCTGCAGCCAAGGTCAAGAACAGTGGGGGTGCAGTGTGGGCCCTGCAGCCAGTGCATGGTTGCGGTACCACGGGCTATAGTTCGGCCGTGCCGTAACAACTACCCTGTAAAATGAGGGGTTTCCTGGGCTAGGCCCGAAAGGCTACCCGGCGTACACTAGATGAGACCTTGGTTGGCCAATGCAAAGACGACGGCAGGTATCCCTTCCCCAGCGTCTGTCATGGAGGGTAGATGCGTGACTTTGCATCTAATATTCCTGATAAGGCAGCCTTGTGAAGGACCTTACTGATTATATATACAGTAGGAGCGATTATAGTCTAATTCGGTGAAGGCGAGGGCGTGACTTGGCCAATTCCAGCCCGTGGAAAGATTTCGAAATGTGCTCGGACGCAGTCGCTTCAACATCCAATTGACCAACTTGATACCTGCATCGACATCCGGCCTATCTTGCTGGGTCACCAGGGACGCTTCATTGACTGAGGTCTCCAGTGTAATAAGAAGGGAAAACGCCATGGGCTTTAAATCTATCCTGTCTTGCGGACTTGCCAGCATTCACTCAGATTTTGACGAATTCGGGGAGCTGCCGTCGCAGTACATATCGCAGAGTCGGAGCAGGCCTGCAGAAGATATTTTTCAGAGCCCGAGGAGACGATTCACCTCCCCCGTTCTAGTAAGAGGGACGGCAGACAACCTTCAACAGTTAACGAGAGGACATACATTTCCAAGTGGGGCAGGAGCCACGCAGCAACCTGTTAGACGGCCAAAGAGACGACATACCGTTCCTGGCACTGGCACCGTCACCAGTAAACATCTCATCCAGTGGACTCCCGAGCTGACGACTTTCGAAATGTCTCGCACCCCACGGACCCGTGGAATAGATCAAGCGAGGCGAAGTGACAGCTGGGTGAGCGGAAAACGGAGAGACGCCATCTACGGTGACTTCCGACAACGCCTGGATAAAGCGCTAAGACAGAACTCCTGGATTCCTGACCAGTACTGGAAAGAGTTCCTGAAGAATAAAGACAACATTGAGGCGATACTGAGAAGTAGGAACGTGACGCAGAAGCGCAACCGTTCAGAAATGGTCGATTTCTTTCATGACATGGCCCCTCAGCTGTTCACAATATTCGTTGTCGAAGGTGGCGAGGAACATCTTCTTGCACTTATGAGGGCCAAATCACTGACAAAAGTCTACCACTACGGTACGAATTCGTCAAAAGCTCCGAGGCGCAGCCAGCTTGTCTCTTCGTCCAGACAGAGGTCGGAAAAAAACTGCTCAAGACCAAGAAGAACGCCGATGAATGGGCAATTAGGGATTGCTTCGACAGACTGGTCGACCGGCAATGGCGATTCTTGGTCCCCCGGTTGCGTTGGATGACAGTCGGGGACTCGGTCGGCAACTCTATATGTCGGCCGCCATTTCTACCATTAGGACCGAAGAAAGAGATAATCAGTCGCACGCTCTTTAGCGAAGTATCGAAGTGTGTAGTCCATTGTGATTACATTAACATTCCATGCAGCGATCTGGTACGTGTTTCGCTTTCGTCCTTCCAACACCTGATGGGTTGGTTCTGTCTCTCAAGGCAAACACTGAAAATCTGATGCGGGGTACAGAAGATCCCTATGCATAACGACAAGCACCCCACAGTCGCTGTTAAGCGGCTAATTCCGTCAGGCCAGCTGAGCGATGAAAAATTATTCAACTCCTTCGTAGCGGCCGAATATGAGACACTGGACATGCTCCGAAACCCGGAGGCTTTCAACACTCCGCACTTGATCAAGGCAAGCGCGTTCTATACTTACAAGAATGATTTCTTCATCGTCTTTCCCTTTGCTCAGCACGGCAACCTGAGGACATTCTGGAACCAGAAAAAAGCCGCGATCCAAGACAAGTCTTACATGAAATGGTTCTTTCGTCAGATCCAGGGTCTGGCCGAGGCCATTGAGCTGCTGCATGGGAAAGCCAACAACAAGAACTGCCGCCATGGGGACTTGAAACCGGAGAACATTCTAGTATTCGAGTCTTCCGCGGCCAAGAGCCTCGGTGATCAGACTTCGTGCGTTTTAGTCATCTCTGACATGGGAGTCTCGAAAACGCATGACCTTTCAACGCAAGAGCGTCGAAAGGCGACCACCATACAAGCAGCATATACTCAAACGTACCGGGCGCCGGAGACAGTGTTGTTCGCAAATCAGCCAACAACACGCCGCTACGATATATGGTCGTTTGGCTGCCTCTGTTTGGAGTTTCTGATATGGCTGCTGTACGGAAGCGATGAGCTGAAGCAGTTTCGCGACGAGATCATGGCTAGTCCCGACGGAAGCTTCTTTGTGGTCCCCCGGAAGGAAATGGCAGTGGCCGAGGTCAGCCGCGAAGTGAAGAAGTGGGTCCAGAAGCTGGAGCTTGACAGCAAATGCTCTGTGCCAAGTTTGAGCAGCACCGCGGTTGGCCGGTTACTGACCCTTATCGAGGACCGTCTGCTCGTCGCCACCGTAACTAATACCGAAACGGCACCAAACCAGTCGTCTAAGAACGATCCCGACCCGTACAAACCCAACGTGAGGGCAAATGCTCGAGAGTTGTGCGACACGCTCCGGGAGATTGTGAGCGATGCGACTGAGGATCGCATCAAATGGGTCAATTTAGTCGACCCGATCACCACCCAAAGTTGGATTGGAGGGAGACATACCGCAACTTCTCGACGAGAGAGCCTTGAGCTGGGATCAAGAAATGACGTACCTATCTTACAAATGATTCCTGCTCCCTAAAATAAGCGTTTGCTTACTTTCCCTCTTCTCACAGCCCAGTGACCGCTGGGAGTACGTTCCCGACGAGCCTTTAGCTCAGAGGATGCAAGCTTTTCTTATTCGGTCAGCTCCACCCAGTGAGCCGTCGAAACTCTGTGGCCGATGCAGCCCTATGCCACTCTGGTCTCCCGGGTGCAACTTCGAAGACACGGCGACAGGGTTACAGAAAGGTCCTGACCAATGTGCTCTCTGCCACGTCCTTTCTCAATCACTCGCAAAATTATCTCCCCTGCCTAACGAACCTTAAACTTTCTTCAGATCTGGTTTGACTATTAAGGCGAACAATAGGGGACTACCACCTCTTGTCTCTCTTTGCACCCTCCCCAGTAAGTACTCCCCTTTCTTTGCCTTCATCACAAATCAAGACTTGGTTCTAAGAAAAAACTGCCAGGCGACGACGTGACCATCAGCTCTAATGTCCCACTTGGCTTCCCCCGGTTGCCCGGGCCTGGGAGCCCAGAACACATCCACCTTCTTGAGGAGTGGATCAGGCACTGTGACGGTCATCACCAGTGTCTGGATTACGGAGAGTCACCCACCTTTCTCCCGACGCGGCTTCTTGACATTGGCCAATCTGGGTCTCAACGCTGTCGTTTGATTTGTGATACCACACCATTAGTCAAGGCAAACACCAGGTATCTAGCCCTATCACACCGATGGGGAACTCCTCCTAAACATGGGGAGTGTGATCCCATGCGGGGCAAGATTGACCGCACTTTCCAGAGGAACATTGATCGACTCGTGCTGGGCATCCCCGACTCCGACTTGCCTCCCAAGTATCAAGACGCTGTTGCCGTATCCAGGAGCTTACGCATCCGCTACATCTGGATCGACTCACTGTGCATTATACAACACGACAAGAATGACCCATTAGATGAGGACCAGGGCCGGGACTTTGTCAAAGAAGCCGAAAAGATGGAACAAGTCTTCCGGTCCGCCTACGTGACTCTCGCAGCGAGCTGCGCCTCCTCGCCTGCTGAACACTTCCTTAAACCGCGGCCGACAAGGTTATCTGCCACTCTGAGAACAGCAGAAAACGCGTGCTACTTTGCCAGCGAGGCCATCGACGACTTTTACCACGACGTCGAGCAAGGCCATCTGATGACGCGAGGGTGGGTGTTTCAAGAGCGCGTGCTCTCGCGGCGGACGATTTTCTTTACCCAGAAACAAACGTATTGGGAATGCGGCGAGGGGATCTGCTGCGAGACGCTCACCAGGGTGAAGAAGTCAGTTTTTTCCTTGCCTCTCCCCGCGTCACCCAACCCTCAGACCCTGCCCTCTGTCTTTATCATCTTGTACTTGATATTTGACTGACAAAACTACCAGCCCCAAAAGCTCCCTCCTCGGCGCCGCCAACTTTCCTCAATCCTTTCCCACCCACGAACCCGCCAAAATCGTCGCGCTCTACCAGAGCCTCTACGAGCGCTACTCAAGACTAAAGCTAAGCTACCCAGCCGACAGACCCAGCGCCATCAGGGGACTCGAGACGCGGCTGCTGCGCTTCCTAGACACATCTGGCGGGTGTGGCGTACTTGACAAGTACCTCCACCCGGGCCTCCTCTGGCAACGAAGCGCGGACAAGGTCACGCGGATTGATTTTTCATCTTCGGGGCGTCACCAGCCGCCGTCGTGGTCGTGGATGGCATACGATGGTCCCATCATGTACATGGTGGCCGGACCGGCGCTTGAGTCTGAGCTCGTCGGATGGAGCCGAGACGTCGCGGCGCCGAGATGGGGTGGGGCGGATCACCTTGAGGGAGAGATGGCGGAACTGTCGCTGGCGTTGCCGGCTACTGTGCGTGGCATTATCCCTGATTTGGGACAGAACGCGGCGCGCAGGGCTTTCTTTGACGATCCTGGTCGGAGCTTTGCTGGGAGTGAAGGGTCTTTCAAGTGCGTTGTTGTTGGCTCGACTAAGCCTTCGGCGAATGACGGGCCTAGGGGTCCGATCTTTTATGCTCTTATTGTGGTTCGCACACGGGTGAATGGGGCAGGAGAGTATGGCAATAGCTACTACCAAAGGGCGGGGGTCGCGAAGTTGAGGAAACACCAAATGGTATGGCATGAGCCAGCTGAACAGGCATATATCATCTAAACTCTAGCGAGGCAAAATTGTCGGGGTTTAGGGGACGGGTTTTGGGGTTATTGGGTAGTAGGGCAAATAAAGTCTCAACGCTGTCAATGCCATATCGCCTAGATGTCGCTTTGCGTGCTGGTGCTCGTGTATCCCGGCCTCCTCTGCCCTTGAGACCAAAGAACCGATCTAGGATCCGCTGAACATTTCACCATCTTAGATCAACCACGCTGGCAAGTCCTGCAACTGGATATCAGCCTTTAGGCGGCCGGTGGGTATATAAAATAAAGAAAATTGTCCACCATCCGGATACCGGGACAGACATGCTAACTATGTCTATCAAGTTCATCCATCACAAGGGAGCGGATAGTAAGCCCAAGCCGTACGTACGCATTACAGCGATCTTCCTGTACTTTGTCTTTTGCATTAGTATAATATGACATGGCCCATCCCCGTCTTTAACAAACAGCAGAGATATCATATGCCACTAGCTATCTATCTGCCAAACGTAGATGCCCGTCCAATATCACTTTTCGGTTTATCCATGCATGAATGCAAGCAAAGCGGATCGCGCACAAAACAAAACAAAACAAAACATCAACCCCGCCAACGGCCGCCGCCGGCGCCGTTCTCGGTAAGCCGCTGCCAGCGCTGGGCAAACTCGCGCATGCCGCCCTCGCCGGCCATGCTCGCATCGACGACGTCTTTGGGCAGCTTGTGCGCCGAGTAGGGTGCCGAGCTGAAGTTGTAGGCGGTGGGGTCGTCCTGCTCGACGAGGCGCAGCTCGGGCTCGTGTTCTTCTTCTTCGTCATCGGTAGTAGTCAGACCCCCAGCGTCATCATCATCTGTATCGGCATCGTCTACGGCCGCCGCGTGCGCGTCCTGCGCCGACACGGCACCGCCCAGCACCGGCCGTGCCACGCGCACGCCCAGCAGCTCGCCCCAGCCAAACAGCAGCGTGTCGGTCCGCGGCGCCCACGGGTTGATGTCGATCAGCCGCGCGCGGCCGAGGCGGCCGGGTTTGGCTCTGTCTGCGTCTGTGTCTGGATCATCATCATCATCAGAGGAGGAGGAGGAGGAGTCGTAGGTCGCTGCTTCGGGAATGTACACGTCAAAGACAAAACACGCGTCGGGAAAAGTTAGGCGTAGCTGCGCGCGGAAGAGTTCTCGTACCCGTGCGACGATGGCGCCGCGCAGCGACCGCAGGAAGCCGTAGTACGCCAGGTCGCGCTGCGTGATGGCGACCAGGTTGCGGTCCTTGACGAAGCAGCGGAACTCGAGCGAGGGCAGCGGCGAGAAGAAGGCGCGCAGGACGAGGACGGGGGAGAAGTTTTGAGTACTCTGAGAAGGGGGTGGCACGGTGTCGTCGAAGGCGTGGTCCAGGTCGTGGCTGACAAACGACGAGCTCTTGAGCAGCACGTACACGTCGTTGGCGCTCGTGCACTTGACCGTGTTGGGGTGCCGCGAGATCCACGTGGCGTCCTTGGGGCTCGACCAGTTCAGCTTGGGCGCCACCGCCCCGCCCAGCTCCGCGATCGCTGCCGTGATGGCTGTGTGCAGCGCCGGGAACCGCCGGTTCGGTGGGAGTGGCGGCGGGCCCGCGTCTGACTCGGAGTCGGAGTCGGAGTCGGAGGAGTCTTCCTCCTGCTGGCCGTAGCCGCCGCCGGAGCGCGAAGGCGGCCGGTGCGCCGCCGCCGACGTGAAGGTCGGCTCCCAGTCTTGGTCGGCGGCGCTGGCGGAGGTAGTGGTGTCGTCACCCTCGTCGGCGAGGATGATGCCGTCTTCGCGCAGGTACGAGACGAAGCCGGCCGTGAGCGGGATTATGCGCGAGCGGATGCACGACGTGCGGTATCTGTTGGATGTGTTAGACATGTGTGTGTATATGTGTGTGTGTGTGTAGACATACTTGGGAAACCAGTTGTCGTAGGAGCAGTGCAGGATGTGGTCTCTTGTGACTGGCGGAAAGTGAAGCTCGCCGTCGTCTGGTGCGCTGCTGCTGCGCTGCGACATGGAAGCCTCAAAGGCAGGCATTTTGTGTCTGTTTCCTTCGTTTTGCGTCTATTTGTCCCTCTTATGTTTTATCTCTCTCTGCCGTTTTTCTTTTCTGTTTGGAAAGAATTGGTAGGTGCTTTGGAGGCGCTGCAACTTGATGACGGCTTATTCTTCAACGAAGTAAAGTACCGAGTAAGTATGAAACTTGAAGTAACAAAGCTTGCCAAATCTCAGGATATTCTTCTGGGTGAGCACCTAAGTCCCTGGTATAATCTGTCAGCTCTCGATTGGGAAATCCAAAATAAACCTCAGTTCAAGCACATGGATGCAAAGTTGCGACAGCTTGAGAGAGATGGATGATACATGTAGAAAAAGAACAAGGGATGAATCATGGTGGGGTTGAGTCACTGCCCTGCCTACCAGGGTTGTTAATGACGGCAGGGTATATTTGCCCCGCGCCTGCGCCAGCGCCCACGCCGCCCGCGCCGCCCGTTTTTCTGCCCCAAGCTAGCTTCCTAAAAAGGCTTTTTTAAACACTGCATCGTCAACTCACTTGCTCACCGCCTTTGCCCTCGTCGCCCTTGTCGTCGTCTTGAACGCCATCACATCACATCACATCACCACATCACAGTCTTTGCCGACGCGCCTCAATTTTTACTCTCAACAAGTCACAAAGATGGACAACGTCGGGCTCTCGACGCCGCGCGGTAGCGGCACGTCGGGGTACGTGCAGCGCAACCTGGCGCACACGCGACCGCGCGACAAGGCGGCGCCCTACCAGCCCCGCGAGAGCGACAACCTGCGCCACAAGCAGCGCCTGCCCGACAAGGGCCTGCTCGAGCACGAGCGCAAGCGCGAGGTCGAGGTCAAAGTCTTTGAGTTGCGCGACCAGCTCGAGGAGAAGGGGTCAGTCTTCTTTCCCTTAGTTTGATCATCACCATTGTCGTGACTGACACACCCTGCAGCGTCGGCGAGGACGAGATCGACGCCAAGTGCGACGCGTTGCGCAAGCAGCTCCTGGCTGACATGGACAGCAAGCGTAACGTGCCCGGGCCGACGCGGCTGAGAATGCACCAGGTCCACGAGCTCGCCGACGCCAAGATCAAGGAGAGCGAGCGCCTGCGCCAAGCCCTCAAGATCAGCAAGGACTACGAGGAGGGCAGCCACTGGAGGAAACAGGAGGAGCGCCAGAAGCAGGCCCTCGGGCGCGAGGCTGAGTCGAACCGCAGGAGGGATGATGTCGACGGAGGAGACGACGCCGACGCCGACGCCGACGACGACCGCCGGCGATGACCACCGTTTGAAAGGGGTTACTTTCTTTAAATGAGTTGGCGGCACGGCTACCACTCCATAATCTGTTCGGTTGCTAGTTGGCTTTCTCTGCTAGGAGTCTGGGACACTTGCGGGCTGGTTGCGGGCGTTGTGGCGTTATATCGGGTCTCCTTGGGCGTTGTCTGTTCTGCAGAACTGGCCATTCGATTGCCAGGACGGGCGGGTTATTGCATACGTATATCAAGGCACGACCGTTTGGTTACCAGCACGTTCTCGCCACTAAATTCTCGATTCTTGCACAAGATACAAAATAGGGTAGCGGGCAGGTTTATTCATATTCAAAGAGCAGGCGCATCGACAATGCGGGGATCACTTGTGGGTAAGCTTCCGGTCTTGCCCTTCGTGGGCTGCACAATACTCTGTCTTGATTATCATTGACCCGTCTTGGTTTCCAGCTGTGTTCTTTGTCGGCACGGGTTTTGTGGCCACCTTACTCGCAACAATTCTAGACCGGCTGACGACAAGGCGCGACTATGTCGGGCCGGGCCGACGCACCATATCCAGATTCTGGCTGCGTATGACTGGCAGGTAGGGCAGTGGCCTCGTATGGGGCGATAGCTGCAGAGTACACGTACGAGTACAGCCAGTACGGGATTCACCCTATTCCGTATTTCAGCCCGGAAGACACCACATGCAGGCAACATGTACCTGTACCCCGGCCTGCGGGGGAACCGGCACTGCATGGATATACCGGCGGTTACCTAGGTACGCAGACGGCGCTAGGCATGCGCGTCACGACGATTCGCGAATGGGTTCGCCGTGTCGGTGCGGCCCCAGAGCTGGCCAACTGCAACAGGAAACGCTGTGGTACATACCCCTCTCCTGAGGGGAGGGATCCGAACTGCCTGATGATGCACATGCCTAGCCACCCACCATACCTATGCCCAGACTGGGAAGCGCCCGCGGGGAAGTCAGCCTTTCTGGGGCCGAATGCGTCCGCCATGTGGCCGTCGACTTTCGACACACTCGGGCGAGGCGACAACCTGGGAATAAAAAAGAGGGAAGCGGTTTGGCCGTGTATTGAGCATACTACTACAACACTCGAACAGAAGGAAGGGGCAGAACGAAAAGGCGGAAACCTACACCTCTATCGCACGTCACACACAAACACTTAGGCGGACGGGAGCGACTCGTGCGGTGCCTGCCTTTCTGCAAGCAAACATAATGCCTATCCATCCATCCCCCGCAGTTTTGGCCGCGTGCATGCCGTCTGCATTTCTGCATCTCTGCATCTCTGCGCGTCCGCCTGTATGTACATACATACATGCACGGGAACTGTGCACGCCGGCTTTGCACGGCCAATGCTGAGTGTCGGTCGGTGCAGAAGGCGATATAGAATGAAAGAGTGGCAGGAGAGGAGAAAAGCCGGCACGGACGTGGTGATGCTCGCTCCATGTATCCGGAGCTACGTACCTGATTCTTCATTTTGCCTTTTCCTGGGCGAAGATCAATCCGGGGTAAACGAGTTTGGGGCGGTCTGGGGATAATACCTACCATACATATCTTGCAGGGTGAGACGGGACGAGCACCCGCGCGGGACGGTAAGCAACTGGGCCAAATAAGGCCGCTCGACACAACCAAGGAAAGGGGCGTTATCGAAGCTAAGGGGCGGGACGGCGAATATCTCGGCGGCGTCCGGGCCACCACCCCATCCCCATCCATGACACGCCCGCCTGGCCGTTGATCCCAGATGAGGAATCACCTACATGCTCGACCCTCTCGATTGGGGAGATACGGCATACGCCCATGTTGTCTATCTATCTATATCCGTCTCGCATATATATACCTTATACACACATCTCCACACTCAGCACTCGCCTATACGCGCGCCAGTGAGGACGGACAAACACACCGCCGACCAAACTTCTCATAATGTCGACCTCGTCCTTTGCTTCTCTTCTCTGTCTGATCTCATGCAAGCTCACGGCCTCGGATAATGCAAGCATAACTGCATGACTGCTTCTAGCAGGTTGGGATGCGATCCATGGTACTTTATCTAGGCACGGTCCGCACGCAGGCATACCAATATATGTATATATATATATATCAATAAATAGATAGGCACACCCGCACAGTCTGCCAGCTTAGCTCTCTGTAAATGGAACCCTGGGGAAAATATACCATACCCCCCCATCCAGTACGCATCTACCTTACCTACCCACTTTGGTTCCAAACACGCACACCACCTCAACCAAGCACCAACCATGAGTGGAATAGGGAAGCCTCTGACCACACCTCCCCTTCCCAGAGCATATGAAGATACTAAACCTGTCTTTCCCATTGAAAGTTTATTTCGTCTCCAGGCGTGGATAAAAAGGGGTTTAAAGGGAGGGGTCAATGCCGGGCGCCGCGAAACCACCACACCCACACTCACAAACATCAAACACCACCACCAATCATTTCATACCAACTAGTCGTCGATTCTTGTTGTTGCTATTCCCCGCTCGACCGACTGACCGGTCGATCGATCTGACCCGACCTTGGATGGTTGACATTCTCCGCAAACACGCCCCCAATATACCTTACCTAGGTATATACCTTATATATATTTTGGAACTAAGCGAGCGAGCCCCCTTATACATCCACCCACACATATATGTATATCTTATATAGCCCCTATTCAGATACTCTCAAACTGTTGCAAGTTGCGCTCCTCAATAGACTTAATAAACAAACAAGCAAACAGATACAGACATTCATACATCTATGCTACTAGGACGTACTCTAGATTTTTTCCATGGGAACATGCAACGAATGCAGTAACATACCTAGGTATGTAGGTAAGGTACTTGGGTAGGCATCTACCACTGTAGCACACAGCACCAGCCAGTCTCGCATTTCCAAATTCCGAGACTCTATACTCTATACTCTATACTCTACCTATATTAGGACAACATCACGAGTAAGAAAGACATAGAGACAGACAGACACCCGCCTCCAAGCAACGGTGTTGAGCAGCAAGCAGGCAGCCACTAAACACTAAACACCAAATACTAAAGGTAAAACAACAACGCCAAACAGATCTCGGTCCGTAACATCTTTCATTAGTTAGCAAACATGTACGCATCGCGTTGCGTTGCGTTGCGTTGCGTTGCGTTGCGTTGCGTTGCGTTGCGTTGCGTGTGCGTACATGTGTATGTGTATGGTATGTATGTGTATATGCTTGTGTCTCGAGAGAAGTGCAACCAAATGCCATTCCCCCAGCGCAAACCCCCTTTTTTTCCAAACCAAACACCCAAAGGGGGTTCTCCTCCCACCAACTACACTACACAGCAACTTTAACTGCGCAACAACTCCAACAGCAGTAGCAACAGCCCCAACAGCAGTAGCAACAGCTCCAACAGCAATAGCAACAACAACGACAACAAGCTAAAGGCTGGCGGTGCAAAGCCCCCCCTAGATAACTCCCTCTGCCCTTTCCAGGCTATTCGAGGTGAAATTATCCCGCACCCACATTTCAATCACCCCCCTCCCAGGGCCAGGGTGCCGGTACATGGCTCTTCAAGATTTTTAAGTACAGGGAACTGGGTCCCTTACCTTCAAGCAGCTGGTGGCTTGTTGCCTCCACTTGGAGGTCGAACCCTAGCCGCATCCCATCCAACAGTCCCAAAACCAACATCTCACTCCCGGCATATCCATCCCAACATCGAAACGACGCCTCCAAAGCCCCTCATACAACTCCGCTCTAATTACGTAGAAAGTTGTCAACGAGCAAATATGCCCACACACTTTCGTCACCCCGGAGGGCGAGTCCACAGTACGCCTTAGCGCCCGCCGTCCTTCCTACTTGTGCAGCCGAGTTTCTCGTCTAGGACGAGCCAACTGCAGACAAGCATCCGGAACCTGCATGCTTTCGCAAGTTCTAGAACATATATGACAGAACATAATGTCGGGCAAAGAGGGCGCGTCGACGTCTCCGGGTGTTGACCGGCGAAAAAGAGGTATTGGTCGGGGACGATACTCAAAGGAAGCCCGATTCGGCAAGAACCCTGATAAATCAAGTAAGCAACTGTTTCTTCGTGCCGTACTCCATCATCTGGCTCCCGAGCTCTACGTACCTGACAATCTTCTCATCTTCCCTCTCCCGCGGTTCTATTTGCAGACTCTTGTCGTACATCTCGTGCACGTCCCCAGCGGCCTGCATGTTGCTGAGTATGTAATCCTGGAGCTCCGGGACCGGCTGGAGGGAATATGCGACATTTTGATACTGTTGAATGTCCCGAATCACATCTGCCGTCTTTGCCCGCTTCGCAAAGTTGATCAGGTTAGTCTTTTTGATAATTGAGGGAATGCCGTCTTCGATAAAGGTAAGATCCGTCAGGTAGACACCTATCAAGCCGCGTCAGTATCGGTTTCTAGGGAGGAGCGCTCCAATGCAAGCCTACCAAAGAAGGGAATGCATGGCGGGTTGGCCACATGCAATGCTTCTCTGTACTCGCCAAAGTTTTTGGTACTGGCCATCAACTTCCGCATCGTTTCTAGAGTAGCATGGATGCGCTGTGGGACCTGGTCCCACGTCCGCTTCAGGCGCGCGATGGGCGCCGTCCCCAACGCTGAAATGATCGACGTCAGGGTAGAAAAGTTGTTCAGAGTCCGGCATTTCTTTTGCCGGCGTTAGCATACCAAATATCCCAGGCTGTTGGGGAAAGGGAGGCGCCTTACATCGGCCACTGCTACGAAGTGCTTAATTACGACAACTCGCTTCCTCACATCAGTCTGTGCTAGAATCATCTCGGCCACCCAGTTGGTCATTTGATTCGAGTGAAGAATCAGGGCCTTGACGTTCGGCGCCGGCTCCGGATCGCCTTCTCCAACCTTCTTCTGCCATGTCTTGTTGAGACATTCAGTAGGTTTGATCTTGCCGTAGAGCCGGGACTCGATGATGGTGAGCTGGCGAGCGAACTCGATGACGTCAATGTCGAGGAACTTGAGTTTCTTCATGTTCTTAGGCATAATTGGCGCCGGCGTGTTCTGGCTGACAGTCTGGATCATGCGCCGGCTGCCAGCCTCCTTGCCGCTCAATCTCTGGTCGAGAACCGCCATGAGCGGGGCCGACCCGGGCGTTTCGGTTGACTTTACTGTGTCCTTGGCAAAGTTGTAGACGTCGCGGATCAGCTGCTTTGTCTCTTCGCTGCTCTGGTCCTCCATCCAAAAGTTGTCAAACCAGTTCTTGAAGATGTTGACGACACGGAAGCGAATGAGTTTCTGCTTCCCATCCCGCCACATCTCGTACTCGGGCTGCGTCAGTCCCTCGGGCGGCTGGATCCCAAACCTCTTCACCAGCATTTCGAAGAGCTCCCTCGCTGATGTAAATGACCTATATGTGAGGAGGAACGTGTTGTTGAAGTTTGCGTCAAGCTTGTCGTGACGCGTTAGCTGTTCCACCAGAGCAAGAAGAGAACCGCCCTTGACGGTCGGGGGTTGCAGCTTCTGATCCCATGATAGATCCTTCTCGTAGTCGAGGCGTAGGAAATCGGGCGTGTCGTCAACCATTGTCTGTGCCGGTGCGGGGTCCTCTCCAAAGAACTTCCTCATCTTTTGCGGATCGCCCTTGCGGTAGTTGTTGGCTGCGGCGGTATCACCTTCCGTGAAGGACTGCGATCCCAGAGGCAACCTCGGTCGCAGTAACCCTTGAGATTCCGATCGCTGGTGTGGCCTTTCAAATGACATGGTCTCTCCGCGCCTGGGCTGTTCTCGCTGCAGTGACTCTTCACGCACGCGAGTCTCGGTTTGCTGTTGCAAATTAATCTGAACCTGTTCTGAAAGAAGCTGGAGCGAGAAACCGATATGCGACGAGTTCGTCTCCAGCGCCCTGGCGCATTGCCTGACATACTCGAGCCTCTCCTCCAGAGCCTGGCCTCGGACCTCAGACCATTCGTCAGCAAGCGGGCCCGCAACAGCCTGACATCCCAGAAGAAGATCCGAAATATTGTCGTAGAGGCTTTGCTTGTTTGTGCTGAAATCGGAGAGCTGGGGGGTCTGGAAGCTGTTGCCGAGCGATGAGAGGTCGATGGATTCGATCATGGCGATCCAAGGCTTGAACATCTCGAGAACTTTGCCACCAGCCGAGCAAACATTGTTGCCAATCACCTCGTGCTTAAAGGGCGTGATTACTTTGTCTGCAACGGCAAGGTTCTTATCCAGTTCCCGTATGCTAGACACAAGCATCCGCTTAAGCTCATCCAGCCTCTCGAGGAGCTTCCCGTCCAGGACAGCCGTCGGTTCGACAACTCCCTCCTCGTCCTCGAGAAAGTTAGATGTGATGGGATTGTGAGGGTTCAGGCCGTTGTTCTGCCAACTGCCTCCAGCACTAGAACCGATGACGAAGCCGGGAAACAGCCGCGGAATATCCTCGCCACGCTGCTGTCGCGCAACTTCGACATAGCTGAAGACACCCATTAGGACGCCATCTGCTTCTTGTAGGCACTTTGAAATCGACTCGGCATTGGGCCAATCGGCGGCGGCAATATGAGAAGAAATCACGAGCTTGGAGAATTTTGACATCATGTCCCGAAAGTGAGGATAGAGGGCCTTGTTGGTGGAGATGATAGAAGGCTGGCCGGAGTGGTTGTCAGTGGTGCCCGACCCTGCTGCGAGCAGGAGCCGCAGGTGATCCGAGATATCCTCTGCCCTGGCTACGTAATCCGACCGGCTGCCATTTGTGATGGCTTCCCGGTAGCGGTCGATAGCCTTCTTCATGTTGGTGACAAGCAGACTCCACGTGAGGGGAGGGGTGGTGCCGTCATCAAAGAAGGACCGGGGGATGGTCGCAGCCGTCGGAAGGTTAAACGCGGCGCTGGTAAAGGAAGTAGCCGACGCAATCATAGGTGTTTGGCCGAGATTACCGTTTGTAAAAGTTTCACTGCGACCCCTCGTCATGGGAGATTGCCCGTTTATTGAATCCATGGATATGGAAGGCGAGAGGCCGTCGTTTGCAAAAGATCGGCGAGTTCCCGGCTAGGTAAATTTACAGCGTAAGCAAGCATTTAATAAGGACCACCAAGAAGGGACGAAAGCTGCACAGCTAGCTAGAGAGGTAAGTTTCTTACCATGGGGCCTCGGGATGCGTTCATGAGCGCCTCGCCCTCGGCCTCAGACGCCGAGTTGACATCCGACTCGTCCTCCTCGTCCTGGGTCAATCCCCGTGCCATCATCTCGGGCGGCGGCCTAGTTCTATCCGGCATGTTAACATTCATACGGTCTCGAGGACCCGTCTCTGTGACAGACGAGGGCGACTCGAGCGGCAGCTCCATGCTGCTCTCGCCAGTCATGGTGTTGTAGTAGAAGAGCCTGCCGTCGGGGGTGGCCTGCGGAATCCAGAAGTCGGCTCTCGACCTGTCGCCTTCCGTCCCTTCAAGGGGGAGGGCCTCGATGTCATCATGATCCGACTCCTCTTCATCATCAAAGTCGTCTTCATATATGTCCTGGTCCTCTGGTTCTTCCTCCACCTGATCGGGCTCCGTATTTTCGTCTATCTCTGGGAGCTCGTCCGGGCTCGTGATGATCTGGCAGTAGTTGCTAGGAAACCAGCCCCGCACACCGTTAATGACGCCGTCCCACCAGCCGCTCTCGAGCTGGGTGATGACCTGGATGACGTCGCCCTCGTGGAAGCTGAGACTGGTTCTATCGTCGGCCTCGTAGTCGTACAGCGCCCGCACATACATGGTGGCACCGGGCGGTGCCGTACCCACAATACCATTCATGAGTGGAGTCGAAGTTGATGCAAAGAAGGGGGTGTAGTTCTTGTCGCGGCCGGCGTTGGACTGTTCGTCCAACGACGCCGGGTCGGTGGAATCACTGGGCTGCTGGCGTGTAGTCGGATCGAGACGATCGGATCTGTTGAAGCGAGAGTTGTACGAAGTCGTCGCGGTGTTCTGACCCTGAAGTGCCGACACAGGCGTCTGTGTCATTAGCATGTTTAGAGTTGTCGTCAGGACGTGGGAGGCGATGACGAGGAGAAGCGGCGGCTAGATCATGGCTTGTTCGTCCCTTCAGCCTTGCTGCTGCCCCTCGGCCTCGGTCGCTTTCGTTCGTGGGGCGGGTCGCGTCTTGTCAGAGGATCCCGGGATTTGAAGAAAAGGCCAGGCGACTTGATTGCGATGCACTTCCCAGACCCCGGTTGGCTGCCGGCTCGACGAAAGGGCTGGCGGCGCTCAGGGCAATCCAACGCTCGTCGCTTTCCGATTTGGGCGCTAGAGGGGTCTCGCGGGTGGAATAGTTTGGCGACGGGCGATCTGAGTGGTTGGGCGGGCTGGGGCGTCGGCGGGTAAGGAGTGGTGAGAGATGAGGTGCAATTCGCCGATTTATTTCTTGGTCACCAGTGGGCTGGAAGGGATGACAGAGTTGTGTGATAAAGACCGCACGCAAGCCAGCAAATACAACAGATTCGTAGAAAAGGGACAGCGGCCCGGACGCTGCGACGAGGCGATGGCTCCCCGTGCACTCTGTGCTCTCTCAACCTTGCTTGGACTCTCGCTCGGCTTCTCGTGCCTGCGTGTGCCAAAAACCAAAACCAGACCAGACTAAACCAAGCCAGACCGCACCACACGGAACCGGAGCCTCTGGTTGTCCGTCCTGTCGCTCGTAGGTCGCTCGCGTTCGCCGTTAGTCGCTAGCATACAATACCGGGACGGAGTGCGCGCTCGTTGTGCGTGCCAGCGAGTCGGGAGGGTTGTTTGGGGAGGTTCCAAACAAGGGTGATGAAAGACAGCAGCAGCAGGCGGGGACGTTTGGGATTGGTGACTTTTGTGAGCAGAGTTAAGGGAGAGAGGGTCTCTGTCGGGACGCTAACGCTTCTTGTGGGGCCCTGCTCACTGATTGGCAAGGGTGGTATGGGAGACATGGACCGCCCGCAATGGAATAGCTGCTGCACACGCACAACTGAAAGGGTTCCATGGGAGCGTGGGAGCGGGGGAGCCGACCTGAGGTTGACAGGCGCGCACCTGGCCTGCCCAGGTCCCGCCGTCAAAAGTGCGGGCAGCGAGTGAGCGGGCAGGCAGCATGGGACTACTTCACGCCTTGCTTCACTTAATGGATTTTACTATGACCAGTCAGTCTTTTGAGTCACCATCGGTACCTTCTGATGGTAGTTACTACGTAAGTTACCTGAGCCTCGAGACTCGACCTCGATCGGTAATACGAGCGCCGCACGGAATCGTACAGGAACGGCGCTCCTAGACCAATGTACGTAACCAAGGACCTACAGATACGTAGATGCTGGACTTGGGATGGGTATTCCTTCAGCACGACGCCCGCAGCCGCCCGCACCCCCCTCAAGTCCAAAGCCATTGGCTAGCGGTCCATCGAAAGCCACAGCTAGGAGGGGTAATGCGCTTTTCTCAGTCCAGTGCGTGCGTGCGTGCTGGCAATAGCTTGTCAGCCCGCTCGCTCTCTCGAGGAAGAGGGCACGAAGAAATGCGCTCGGATGACTCTCAACCCACCAAGTACAAGTACATGCACATGGACAAAGGGTCACCCCCTTTTGTCTTCGGCTTCGCATGACAATAGAAAGCTACACCGTGCGCCTGTCTGCTGTATACAATCTGTATGGGACGGGCACAGGCCGCGGGAGATGGGCTTCTGTACCGATACATGTAGAAAATGCATAGAACCTTAGCTTTTCTAGAATTCATACAGTCCGTTCTCGAGCCCTAGCCAAAACCCGGCGTACTGTATGTTCTTACATACCCGATACCCACACGAAAAAAAGGCAACGGCGCTGTTATATTCCGAAACCCAGGTTCCAGCCTGGAAACCTTGCACTCGAGAGCGAGGACAATGTGTCCTCGAGCCCGGGTGTCTTATTTTTTCGGTCATCTCTTTTACGGATTCGCTATGCATAGCTCCGGGAGGTGGGCGACGGAACTTCAGACTGACGCTGAGGATCTTGGTCACTGCACGGACGATTTATCGTATGGTATTGTTCAAATACAATATAGGCAGGAAAGTCTGGAAGAACTATGGTATGAATACGCGCGGTTCCTTGGCAGGCAATTCCCGAATTGCAATTTTCATTTTCGTGCAGCACAAGGCACGTACCAATACTAGCACTTCAGTGCTGAAGTGAGCTGGAGGCGGGAGGAGGGGGGGGAACTGCATCTGCCCCCCTGGAAGCCCTTTCATCACGGGATTGAGGGGCAAAGCAGTTCCCGACTCCAAAGTCCAAGTCCAACCCCTCCACCCACCAGCCTCCTAGCATCGTGTCCTCCAGCGGTGTCCTGCTCCATCAGAGATGATGAGTCGAGCATTTGATATATATATATATATATATATATTCATAACTACCGCTGCGGCTCTTGCTGCCAAGGTTGTCGCAGCCAGCAACTAAAAAAGACGTTCTTTCCTGTGCAAGTTCACGTAGTAACACTGTAAACAGGCAAGTGGTTATTCCAAGATTTTATCGTCCTTCACAACTTTTTGAGGGCCCTCTTCCAGGTCTACCTCACATATTATCCTGGGGCTTGGCAGTCCCACCAAAGCGTCTCATCCTTGCTGCCCATGCTGTCGATGCAGTCTGCTACTATCGACTTAGGCCGTCCTCCCTCCTCTGGTGAGTCTGGTCTGGTCCCCGCCTGCGTTGCCAATATTCCAGAAGCCTACAAAGGATACGGCACACCTCTTTTCTTGTCATCAAGCCTCTCGGGCCTGCCAATGGGCGCGAGAGGCGAACCGAGTCGGGGGAGGTATTTGGGCTGGCTCACTAACTTCGGGTGTGGTCTGGAATTGGCTTGAGATCCATGGCCAAAAAGAGCCTGGATGCGGCTTCTTCATCGTCAACGCTGCAGAAGAGAAGGAGGTGTTCGTGACTGAAGAAGCGATCGACTTTTTTTTCCCTCGGAGTATTCCGAACGTGGAAGAAGGTGGGATTTTGCTCCGGTAGAGTCCCAACGAACCGTGCCCTTCTAGAAAAAACACGGACACGCCAACGGCTTTTCTTTTCCTTCTGGAAGTTGCTCCCGAGGCCGTGGTAGTGATATGGCGCGATAGAGACCCGGGGGTCATCTAGCCGTCCGTCGCCTCATTTCCCAAGTGCTACGTTTGTGCCTCTTTGGGCAGTCCACGATGTGGCCCAGGCCCGGCTTGCGGGAACTTATCTAAATACTGTTACCATCGAGATTGGCGCACCCGACAACAAACCTTGTTGCGCTACATTGCGAGTTCGAGTCCCATTTTCTGATTCTACTCAGTACTGTATGTACAGAATGATTACACACACAGACAGACCAGAGTAGCTATTCGCGTCCAGTGTGATGTGAGTGGTGTTCTAGAAGACAACACTTGTACCAAGTCCACTCCACATGTTCATTTCATCATCGGAATGTCGGCCTTGGAATGGAGTCCATCCTCCAAGTGTGTTGATACTGCCAGCCTTTTTCCCTCGCATGTCCTCAGTATCCAGATCTCCTCGTTAGTTATTGCCTCCTCTAGACATTCTCGCTACTAAAGACCGTTGTAGCTAGTGATAATACTAGAAGATCGAGACTGAGACGTGTCGAGCGCCTGACGCCAATCTCCTGCCCCTTTCGGCCCCGCCGTCCGTGGCTGACGACCCATCGACACTGAGAGATTTTCATCATAGAGTTGCATACGCTTTTACCACATAAAGACGGACTGTGACCCCCATGGAATATGGATAGAATATCGACGATGCCTGCCATTGCAGTTACGATCATACGAGGAGCTTCTTCAACAACATACCCAGTAGAGGCGGACTATCAGGAACCGAGAAGGGCCAGTCGTCTTAGGACTAATATAAGACCATGTCCATACAACCGAACTGGTCCATCCAAGCAGTGTCCCAGCTATTTAGATCCCAGATATATGACTCATCGTTCCCCTTCTCACCATGAGCCTCTCTAACAGATGCCCGTTCTGCTGAATATGAAATAGATAAAAGAATTGCGCACCGGCCTCTAGTCGGGCTTGCAAGTCTGTGTTACGACAACGGGAGTGGTAGAATCTCCCATGTGCTACACGTAGTAAGTAAACCGAACGCGCCCGTTATCAGCCCCCTCTTTCTGCAACACGAGAAAGGGATATAATGGGCAGCCTTGATGTAGCCTGTTGGGTAGCAAGCATCGCGAGAAGGATCCGCTGTTGTTCGCTGTTAGAGCTGAGGAACGCGTTGCTGGTGCCTGTTCGTCCACGGTTGACGTGCCGCACCTAGGCTGAGGCTGATGACGTGAATTCCAAATGGGATTGTGCGGCGACAAACCAAGGACCACGTGTGAGACTGAGGTTTAATCCCAAACACGAGCCGCTGCTGGGTATTCGTATCGTCTGGATGGATCAGAGGCAAACCGGCGTGGCCACCACCACTAGCGCCACGGATGAGAATCGCTTAGTTTGCCCCCCTGAGATATATCCATGGATGACTGTAGTCCAATCCTCAACTCGGTGGCTCATCAGCCAACAGATGGGGGTCACTCCCCAGACGATGAGATTTTTCGCCTCTCAAACCTGTGAAGAATTTTGCAGACGTGCGGTGAGGTTGATGACCCCTGCGTGTGTTGGAAACTGGAACTGCTTTGCTTTCTTTTTCGAAGCGTCTTTTCTATCGCGTAACTTCGCGGCCGCCCGCGCCCCCCTTGTTTCTTATTTTCTTCCCTTAAAATCCGAAAACAAATAATAAGCGGCTTGGAAGGATGATGAGACAAGCAGCAAGATCAAGAGACAGAGAGCTTGGTGCAGTTCGATCGAAAACATCGAATGATTAACGGACACCCCTCGAAAGCCCCCTTGTTCTTGGAATGGCGCAATGAGAAGTCGACACGGCGCCAATTTCCGAACCCTCGGCACTGGGCCTTGGGGTAAAGAGGAATGCGACCCGGCGAAATAGACGAGATCCACTCACTTGGACGCTACACCGCTGGTGAGGCGATGGGATGAGACACATCTAGTCCAAGGTTTGGACTTTTGGAGGGGGCGAGAGTTCATGCCTGGATGCGTGTCTCTCAGGGGCAGCGGGGGAGGGGGAAAAAGCGCACTTGCGATCAAAGTAGCTGTGGGTAGAAGAAGATGCTCGGCTTATCGTAGCGTTGTTCTTTGGTCGTTCTAGCAAGAATGAAAGTGTAGTAGTCCACCGCTGGCTGACCGCCTCTTTTACATGTTCGACATCGAGATATCTGAGTTTTCTCCCCTCTGGAAAGTCGTCGAACTTCAACGCTGTCCGTTCCAAAATGGTCAACGTCGGCCAAGGATCGCGTCGTTGGAGAAGGGCATTATCAAGGGGCCCAGGTTAGTGGGTTCCACGGGTGACGGAAGTTGGGGCCAGTCCATTCGCTGGCACACACGTGGGTCTCGTCCCCGGAAGGCTGCCGCGGGCGGGTTGCGGGCTCCGCTGGGGACCCAAATTTCCAGCTCTTCCTTGTCTGCATGGAAGAAGCCGGGCATCGTCTGACGCTGTTCTGCTTCTGTCGAGCTCCCATGCTCCCAGAAGAAACGAAAAGATGGCTCGAGGGCCACCTTCCCTATTATAGATCCTGGCAAGTCTGTCCCGGGAATTCTTCGTGACAGCGGGGTCCGCATGAATATTTCCACTTGAGGAAAAGGAACAGGAAAAAGCAAATCCAAAAGGTAACCCAAACACCATTCCCCTAGGTATTGCATCAGTGGCCAATGCAGGCGGCCGGGTGCAATAAGTACCTAGGCAGGCATTTCGTCGCCTGCAACCGGATCTGAAGCAGCGAGGCAAACAGGTTAATAACTTAATATTAAACGGCGGCCCGTCTCTTGTTTCTGGCAACGGTGGCCGACCGCTTTCAGGATGAATACGGGGATGGCCGGCGGCCCTTCATCCCTGTGAAGAATCCCTGTGAAGGTGGGAACGCGTGTGCGGATAGACAGTGGAGGCTGGAGGGGACTAGAGGGGAAAGCAGACCGCGTACCGACACCCGGCCATCGAAACTCGGTTGCCGTCATCGATAGGGGTGCTCAGCTGAGCTTCATCAACCAGTCCATCATTCCACACTAGAAAATGTCACAAAACTGCCAATGAAAGACCGCATGGCGGGACAAAGGAGGCCAGAGGACCCGAACTGCAAGACGGCGGTCTCCTGCCTTTTTCCGTCCAGTCTCGTACGGATACCCCTCTCCCAACCGCAGATCCCCGAAAAGCGCGTTTCGTGACGGCCTAGCGGGCAAGTGGGGCATTAAGCAATTGACACCTTATCAATGGTCGATAGAAGGTTCTTTGAAAGCTGGGGGTTGCATGCCCCTCCTTTGCTGGCGGGCTGAGAACGGCCAAGCCAGCGCGATTTCCCACATTTCCACAAAAAGGTTGGCTTGAAGCCGGCTTTATCTTCCGCACTCATTTGTTGGTAAATGATGGCGAGTTGGCGATACATGGTACAATCGCGCACTAAACGCCACGGGAGGAGCGGCCCTTCGTTTGTGTGCCGCCAGGAGCGAAAATTTTCTTCACTCTCATGTAATTCCGTGGCCCTGCTGAAGAGAAGAAAAAAAGCGGTTCTCGAAAAATTCGTGCCGCACAGACGCTTTTCAACCGTCATTTACAAAGCCCGCTCCCACGATCCCTGAAGCGGCTGATCCGGCTGCTTGTTTGCTGGGCCTCATTTGGATGAGATGGACGGCGGTGCATTCAGACGAGATCTCCCAGATCGGCGATGCGGAATTGCGGATGGAGGATAGATGGAAGGCACGTGGTGGGGTACCAGATACAGCCCGACAATTGCGTGCGACTACTGCGTATATGCCCAGGCACGCACCAGCTGCTCGGTGTTATAGATAATAGACACGACCCATCAAATTACTAAGAGTTGCATTGCCAACTCCTTTCTAACTATACCCGGAGCGCATATGAGAAGAGACCACTCTTTCCAAGCAGCCGCGTTAGGATTCCACGCTGCTTCCACGCTGACTCCGGGATTTCCTGGTGCTCGGTATCCGTGGCCCGCGCACAGTGTCGGTCCGCTTCATGGACACAGTTCACAAATACGGACAGCCTAGAGCAAGTGCCACCTTTTACGTGGGGGAGGCTAGTGCGGTCTCCTCTTGGTTCGCTCTCGTCGCATCATCGCATGGCTCTGGGCGCCCGTTTGTCGCTGCGGAGACAACAAGAGCAGCTCAGGAACCGAGAGGTCGAAGCTGGTCATGTGCTGTCCTTCGCCTGGCCCATTTCTATTGTACAATCCAGTCCCTGAATGTTTTGTTGGCGCGGTACTTACAGAATAAAGACTGTAGTAAATGAACCGGCTAGGAAAAGCCTCCGATAGATGCTTCTTGGGGAGAGATAGGCCTATAGGATTCAATAAAAGGGATCCCAATAGATATTACCTCCTTCGGCAAGAAACGTTCAGGGCGAGTGTGATATTGAGGCCATTCGGACCTTGGGGAGTCCCCCGCTAATATACATTCAGGGATTGGACTATAGCATCACAACTACTCCTTCGTGAGCTTGAAAGGTTAGAGCATGAGCCGAGGGGTTTGTTACCCCTCAATTTTTATTCTGAAGGTTGAAAGCTCTCCGCCCCGCCGGGCCCCTCATCGCGAGCCACTCAGGCTACCCCTCTAGCCTCTAGAGTTTAAACTCGAATCTCTAATGAATACCTCGCCTCAGAACTCCAAGCAGCTTGCGTTCTCGATAGGCTAGTCAAAACATTTCTGCAGTGTCGATTACGATCACGGGACAACCTACGAGTCGACAGATGTCCAGTGGCTGAATGGCACGTTGAGATGTGGCAATGCGGCAAGCACTGGATGAGAATCTCCAGGATCGGGCCCAGCCTCACTTTTCGCCTGCACAAGCGAGCGCGCCGTCATGCAGGTCAGCCAGCGGCCTATTCCAACGAAAGCCATTGGGATCGCTATTTTAGGACTTGCTCAGCACCGAACTAATAGCAGCCAGCCAGGAAATGCAGCAGCAGCCTGTACAGGCTCCGTAGAGAGGGAGATGTGGATGACGCCCGTAGGAAGGCCTCCAGTATGTGGACCTCTGGGGCAAGAATTGACGCACACCCTCTGGGAGTTCAAAGCTCCCGTCCCCCTCAAGCCCGTGATGCTAGCACAACGCTGTCTCTGCAGGTCGGCCAACTACCTAAATGTTAGCACCGCGCTAACTCTGTCAACTCCATGCCTCCGCAGCAGGTACTGATGCCTGTTCAGTGCTGCGCGCGCAAAAGAGGAACAGAATAATGGCCGGGATTTTCAGCAGATATCCAACTGGCGGTCAGCGGTGCAGCTGGACAGCTCATCAGCTAAGTGCTGTGGGTCAAGATAGAGCACAAAGACCCGAGTGAAGAGGGAATGGGTGAAAAGGCATCAAAAAAGACGAAATCGCGACGGTGTATCAGAAGAGAAGCCAGTTTAGGTTCTGTTGGAGACGACACCGTGCCGTTGCAGCGTGAAGTATCGATATGTACCCCCTCAGTCCCCTTCAGCACCACATCTAGAAGGAGCGAGGAGAAGGTCGTCCGTGCCGAGTGTTCGTGTTCACAGTGCCAAAAGAAATAGCCTGCTTGACTGCCCCACCATGTTAGACGTGAAGTCTCGAAAGTGGGATGGCCCCGCACGAGGAGCCGAGAATTGAGCACGAGGGACCTTTATCCTTAACGCAAGCTCTGCCCCGCGACTGGCTGCAGGGTCTTCCCCTTTTTCTGGTTGAAAAATGTCGAACGAACCCCACCAAGTGAAGTACCTGGTACAGAATTTTGATCGATAGGTGCGCAATCCCGACCAGCTTTCTCGGAGTACCAAAACGACCGACGCCTACGCCACGAGCACGACAGGCTTTAATAAGGCCAGGAAGGCATATCGCAGCTCTACAAATGTAGCTGGAGAGTAGAAGTACATGGTCTGAAGCCGATTCTATTTTATCAAGCCCAGTGTCCGCTTCTCTGTAGCAGAGGGAGGAGTCGTGCTTTTCCCAACCACTTTCTTTTTCGAGTCTTCGGAAGGGAGCAAGTCGATCCCGAAGGCCGGTACTCTCTTCGTACTGGTGTACTGAGTACTTGTACTCTTTGGACGATTGACTGGTGGGGCACTAGGCCTGATTGGGATAAAGAAAATTGCTTCTGTTTTACTACCATTTCTGCTCTGGGGGGCCGACAGTGGTTCATTTCGAGGGCGCTGGCACACCACCCCCACTTCTTTCCACACTGTCCACTGCACGCCAGCGCGGGAACTCCTTCCCCTCTTCGCGCAAACCATCTTTTCTACCTCTTCCCCCCTCTTCTCGTTTTCCCAAACCCCTCCCAAGTTTTCCTTTCCCCATCCATCCTCAGCATCCCGCGCGCGCACGTTGACGATTCGCCCCGCGCCATCGAGTAGTCTTCGCTTCCCCAAGCAAGACTCGATTTCTGGATTGATTTGGCACCGGCCATCTTAATAATAACCATCACCGACGGGTCTTTCCATGATTATATCACAAATGAGCAGATACACGACACAGAGTCAACAAGACACACTTTAAATCCCACGGGAGAGTGCCTGCGAGCGAGGAGCCAGGCGATTTCAACTATCGTTCTGCAAGGGTCATCAAGACATCCGAGTGCCGTTGTAATTGTCGCCGCCGTCGCCGTCGCTGTCGCAGTCATTGTCGTCATCCGATTTGCCACGCCGATTTCCCCGCGACGTGCAAACGCGACAGTCAAACAAGATGCCCGGTCCCAGCGTAACGGCAACATTGCCGTCCTCGGCCGCATCAACACCGGCTTCGCGAAAGACCTCACTCGCCCCAGAGAGGAAGTACAAGTGCCAGTTCTGCAACCGGGCTTTTAGCAGGAGTGAGCACCGCAGCAGACACGAGCGTTCGCGTACGTATATGCCCTCTCTGCCTAACCTCTACTTTTGCTCCTTCATGCCGACTGGAATTGGTGACGCTTCGATGGCTTTCTCTATTCGCACAAGCAACTTTTGTTCCACTAGCTAACAATGCATCTCAGACACGAAAGAGCGGCCATTCAAGTGCATGAAGTGTAGGAGTACTTTTGTCCGACGCGATCTCCTCCTTCGACACGATCGCACGGTCCACGCCAAAGATGGAGGTGTACCTCTTCACAGTGATGGCAAGCGTCGCGGCGGTCCCAAGACGCCGAGGGCTGTCAGCGGTTCTTCCAAGTCGTCCATTGCCATCGATGCAGCGGCATTGGAGCAGCTCGAAGCCAGTAGCGACGGTATTTTCGACGTGGAAACCGCTGCGATGCTTGTTGCTGACCTTCATCACAAAGCTACCGCAGCTGCACGGGCTAATAGCGGACACTACGATGGCGACGCCTCCATGTCTTTCTCTCAGAACAGCAGTGCGATCATGGAGCCTTCGGTGACATACCCTAACGGAGCGATCGGCCTTCCGCAGTGGGATGGCTTCATGTCGCAGTCGGAAGATGTCAAAGCTCACTCTATTAGCTCGAGTGCATCTGGAACATTTGAAGCTCAGGGCGCCAACCAACTGCCTCCCATCAGCGCGCACAACTTCAACGGACTGGCCCCAGCCTTGCAATCGATGATCAACTCGCTGCCAACCTCAACCGTCGGCACCCCGACTCCCCAGTCGCCGTATCTGTCGCATCACGCTCCGGCCCAGGCGGAGGCGTCTCAGTCCCCGGCGGGGTTCAAGATTCCCCAAGTGAACAATGACGAAGATAGAATCATCGTCTTGGACAATATCCGTGGCAGCGACAACCTGCACTCCATCCCAGAGGGCTTCCAGGTGCCGAACCAGCAGTGCCTAAACCGTTATCTCAGCACGTACTTCAGTATGTTCCACCACCACCTGCCGTTCTTGCACCCGGCTTCGTTTGAGCCAACTCAGGTCGCTCCTCCGTTGCTCCTCGCCGTCCTCTCGATTGGCGCCCTATATGCCTTTGACCAGGAGCAGGCGTATATACTGCACATCGGGTCGAAAGTGATGGTAAACCAGTTTCTTCAGAACAAGGAGAACTTTTCGTCTCGAAAGTGCCCTCTGTGGACCATGCAGAGCTCGCTACTCAATATGATTTTTGCAAGCTGGAGCGGCGATCCTAAGGGGCTCGAGTGGGCTTGCTCAATCAAGAGTCTGCTCGCGAACATGGTCTCTGGTAATCGCTACGAGCTGAAGCTGCGGCAGGAAGGCCGTGAGGGTCGATCGCCTACCCGCGCCGAGTGGGTTGAGGATGAGGGGTGCAGGCGTACTTACTACGCCGTCTACATCTTTTTCGGTCTGTTGACGCTTACGTATAATCACACGCCGGCTATCAGCTTCAACGAGTTTGAGGACCTCCAGCTGCCATCTACAGAGTCCATGTGGAACTTGAAGGTTAGCAGCGAGGGGGTCTGGCAGGACCATCTGAAGGCGACGCCCAGCGTGACCTTTATGGACGCTCACGACAATCTCTTCCAGGGCGAGACGTTGATTTACAGCGCCTTTGCTACTCGCGTCATGATCAACGCTCTCTTCCTCGAAGTCTGGTACCACAAGCGCAGTCCCGAGGCTCTGCAGGACGTGGTCACCGAGTACAAGCTCAGACTCGCTCTTGAGACGTGGGAGAAATCTCTCGTACTCTGCGAGCCCGAAGTTGTCACGGTGCCGCTCAGCATGCCTCACAAGGGGCATCCTTTGATCTTCAACGCGAAGGCGATGTTCCGCAACGCGCGTGCCAGGCTCGAGGTGGATTTGAAGACGGTTCAGGAGGCCCTCCGCTACCACGACTCTTACGAAGTGGCCGCGGCCATGTCCAATGCTCGAGACCGGGTCAAGCGCTCGACCGAGATGATCAAGGTCATCCAGGAGTGCTACGACTGCATCGAAACGGCGGTTTCCCAAGGCGTCCGCTGGGTGGCGCGCACCTCGCCCACGAATTGGAGCATCGAGCACCCTCTGTGCGGCTTGGATCTCATGATCATCCTCAGCCTGTGGCTTTATCGTCTGGAACATGACGAGGAAGCTGCCACGGATGAGGAGATGGTCATGTACAACAAGGTCCGCCAGCTCTTTCAAAAGGATCTGGACCGCCCGTACATTGAGCAGCTGAGCTCCGTGGTTGCCCGCCTCTGGGGTTCGATGCTGAACGAAGTGGTTGTCTGGGGGTATGTCTTTTCCAGCCCTCTTTTCCGATGAACGGGCCTGCTAACTCGTCTCTTCAGAATCACTCGCCTGATGGGTGAATCCTTCCGGCTCCATTCGCAAGCCCTCGTCGGCTATCAGGATGACATTGCTGCATCCTCTAGCGTCTCCACCCCCTCGATGACTTCTCAGGGGGCCGATGAGGAGAGCGTGTATTAGTGATGACGACCTCGACGATCTCATTTGTTGTTTCTGGGGTTTGGGGTTTCTTTTCCTAGGCATATACCTCTCTAGCGGGTTCTTTTCTTTTTTCTTCTCTTTTTCCTTGCCGTCTTTCCTGTTTCTTCTTTCTCTCTTTCTTTTGAGTATGTCTTGTTCTTGGACGGGTTTCGGTGGCGCGGGAAGGTGTGGGTTTCCAGGTTTTGTTGATCTGATCTCGCTCTGCTTTCTTCTCTGCATTTCGCGTCTGCATCGTCATGGTCTCAGGCAATACTGGGGGCAGGTTTGGAACACACCGGTTTCGCATTGGTCCGGCGGAGGGGGACCACAGCGCTCCTGGCGCAACCCTAATATCTGCAACACTGTTGGCTGGTCCATGTGGAGGGATTCTCTTTCTTCCTGTCTCATTAGCTACGGCGCCCCTACCGTTTATTAATGGCCTTCACGTCGACTTCTTGGGGAGTCGTCCCTATTAGTATCCTTCTCGACTACGTCCCGGATACCTTGTTCGATATACTACAGTTTGCCACTCTGACAGCCTCGCTCATCACTTCTTTTGATTTTCTTTCTCTTTTCATTTCTCTCTTTTCCAGTCTGTTCTACTTCTGTACTAGATACGGTTGCGATCTAGGGCGTATCGAGCAGCAGGGGGTTATCGGTTTGGGGGTTTGTTTCGGGAGCTCGTGGCTCAGATAGCCAGGCAGAGCTCACTTAAACTACAAGATTGGTAATCTCAGTTTGTTTTCTCCGGGCCTATATACGCCATGTGCGTGTAGATATCTCAGTACAAATGAATCAACACTCTCCACTGTCCGTGTCAGCTCTTGCACAGGTTGCGGTACGGGTCGGTCGCGCCACGCCAGGCCTGGCTCATCTCGCGCCGTGTTGTGCGACCTCCGGCCTCGTACGGCCGGGTGTCTGCAGGTACCTGGCCTCACCAAGGTCACGGTATCGGTTCGTTGCTCGCGGAAGTGAGGCAGCCACCTCCAAGGTGATGAAGGTGGCGGTTGGTTGTGCAGTCTTTCATTCTTTCCCTCCTTCCGTTCCTCCTTTCCTTTTCTCTCTCTCACCTTCCGTGTCTGTCTGCCTACCTACCTGAGGTCAACGCAAGTGGGAAGCGCTCAGCCAACTCTCCCTTGTACCGCAGAAAGGTAACAGCAACCTGACAGGTTTCGTGTACTCGTTCCGTTGGTGACTCGGTCCGTCAGCTTCTCTTCTAGCTGCGCCTGATATTAACCTACCCTAGGTAATCAAGGTCGAGTGCCAGCTAGCCAGCTTTGGCTTTCGTTCTCCTTCGATCTGTTTGTTCTTGTCCGTCAAGTCGTCCCATCCCATCCCATTCAGTGTTCTACATGGTCCTGCTTAGCGAGGGGTCGTTGCAAACCCCCAGTTTGCTGTTGAGAAGAGCTCGGGGTCTTTTTTCAACAAAAATCACAATTTCCTTCATTCTCGAGACCAGTAAGCTGGCTGAAATCTCCATAGGAGCAAGCCAGCGGACGCACGGAGAGATAACCGCGACAGACGCACGCACGAAGGTGAAAGAACTTGCTTTACGTGACCTGGGGGAGGGGTGTTGGTTATTCTGCCTGGCTGGCTACACTCTGCGGCTGCGACTCGAACACGATATCGAGATTGATATCGCACCTTTGCGGACAGGGTGATACACATACATATACGACGCACCGAAGCGAAGCGAATCCAATGGGCCATGGGCTGGCCGCAGCCGTTGCTGCCGTCGCCATGCTGATGCTGTTTCCATGGCATAGGCGGCGGTCGCGGCAGCAGCAGCAGCAGCAACGCTCTACAGGGGCCGGGCATGGATCGCACTCGCGAAAAAGGCCACCGACACCGACACGGTCGTCACCCGTTAGGACGCTTCTATGCACCATCACCAGCATCATCCCCATGCTCCTCGCAGTAACCATCCTGCCGTCCCCGGCGCGCGCCGACTGCGAGTGCGGCTACTCGGCGACGACCAGGAGCTGGGCCAACAGGACGGTGGTAACCACCACCACCACCACAGGCGAGAAGCAGCAGAAGGGAAAAGAGGAGGAGGATGGAGAGTGGGAGTATGTCTTTACGGACCTCGTCGAGACGGACTTTGCGCGGCTCGGCAGCAGCAGCAGCAACAACATAAGCGCCGACACGGACTGGGCGCGGCAGGTGTTCAACCTGAGCCGGGCGCGGGCGCGCGGCGAGTACGGCGAGATGTTTGCGCTCGGCAACGTTGTCGATACTGCTGGTGCTGCTAGAGGGGGAGACGAGGAAGAGGGCGCGGCGCTGCAGCTCGTCGTCGGCAGCCAGCTCGTCGACGGCATGGTGCCCGTAGCGGAGCTAGATACGCGCCGGCTAGACCTGTTCTGGGGCACGTTCCGCGCGTCGATGAAGCTGCCGCGGACGCCGGGGACCTGTGCGGCGTTTTTCTGGGTAGGTATTTACTTACCTTTGTTAGTGATGATGAGTTGCGGGCTGACCACTGGTCCTCTCCAGTACTTCAACGACACGCAGGAGATTGACATGGAGTTTTTGACCAAGGACTTTGACGCCAGCAACAACAGCTTCCCGGTCAACCTAGTGCTGCAGTCGGCAGCATCCGCCGCGCGGGGGTACGACGCGGCGCAGACAGGCGACGGCAGCTTCGTGCGGGCGCAGCTAGGGTTCGACCCAACCGCAGGCTTCCACGAGTACCGCATCGACTACTTGCCGGGGCGTGTGGTCTTCTACGCCGACGGGCGGCCGCTCGCGGCCATGCGCGGCGGCGCCGTGCCCGCGTCGCCCGGCCATTTAATTCTGCAGCACTGGAGCAACGGCAACGCGCTGTGGACGGGCGGGCCGCCGGCCGCGGATGCCGTGCTGGCCGTGCGCTACGTCAAGGCCTACTTCAACTCGTCGGCGCCGCAGCGCGCGAGCGACCACGCGGCCCGCTGCAGCGACCCGGCCGCGCCCGGGGCCGTCTGCGCCGTTCCCGACGTTGCCGACACGGCGACACCCAATGCGAGCGCGGCCGCTGCGGCGTGGTTCTTTAGCGACCAGGCCAACATGACGAATAACCAGACTGTGTACAGCTGGCAGAGCGGTGGTGGCGGGTTAGGGCTAGGGAGGCAGAGAGGCTGGCGATGGTGGCCTTCAGCGGTGGCGGCGCTCCTAGTGTGTGGCTGGTCCGCGGCGCTGTAGTAGTGGTAGTAGTAGTAGTAGTATCTCATGCCACGCAACCACGCTGACTATTGCAACGGACGGACGGATGAGAGATAGACAGGCGGATGGATACCTGGTTGGTCGGTCACACGTTCCTTTCTTGTTCCAGACTTGGCACGCTGTGCCATGCCATGTTGCTAAAACCCAGATATTAAGTAATATAGAGGGTAGTGGGTGGGAATCATGCATACTAGGTGCCTACATACTGTAACTTCATATTTGAAAGCGAGTTAAGGTGTAGAAAAACAATCATTTACCTACCTAGCCATTGGTAAACACGCCGAAATGCGATGCGATATCCGGTACATACGTGTCCTGAATGTGAATGTAGATGTTTGCACATGAGATCGGCTGCTGGGCCACGCGGGAGGGCAGTCGAAGGGGCAGTCGAGGGGTCGTGATCGGACTACTTGGAGTTTACCTAGGTAGTAGTTAGGTAATGTGAGACTGGTCTGGGGAAAGAAAGTCTGGGGAAGTGAGCGAGTGGCTGCATGCGGCCCGATAGGCGGGCCACACACACACGCGCCACATAACACACACGGGCCGTCTCAAGCATCAGCAGGAACAGCAGATAGATGGAAGACAGAAGAAAGAGCGGGGAGGTAAGTGAGAAGTGAGAAGTGGGAAGTGGGAAGTTGGAAGTGGGAAAAGGGGGTTGCAGCAAAGGTCGGTCACCCGTCCCCAACCCCAAATCCTAAATCCAAGTCGAGGAAATGTCAATGTCAAGCGGTGATGTGATGCCTACTAACAACAACACCTGACCGGCGACCGAGTGGGATGCATGCATGGTCAGGGTAGTGTGTTTAGTTGCGGTTGTAGGTAGTTGTAAAGCCTTTGCTTCACTCAAGACAGACGGACGGACAGACTGGACGGTATTGACTCGAAAAGAGGTTCGTACGTAGGTACGTAGCCATGTCTCAAAACCATGCCGATGTGTTGTTGTCTTGCGTTGCAGAGTGCACACGTCTGCGGGAGAGAACGAAACCACCCCCCTCTGTCGAGTCTCTTCCTTTGGTTGTTGCAAAGGACGCCACCCTAAGAGCGTGAATCGCTCGATTGTATATATTATTGTTGTGCGTGTGAGCGCAACGGACGGCCCTGGCCGAACGAACCCGGGCGTGAGATACCACGGATGCGCCTCTCTTCGGCTCTCGCACCTCCCCGGTGGTAGTGGAATGGTGATCACGGCCTCACAAACGCACGAGGGAGACGGGAGTCGAGCGTTAAAGGCAGCTAGCCCCGATGCAGTGACGTCAGATGCCGCGGCCACACGTAGGCAAGCCCCTAGTCGAAGGAGCCAGTGTCGTCCGGGAGATACCATTGTCAGATTAATATAGAAAGATGCCGCCGCCATGAACATTCCAGATAAGTTTCGGTCTATCTGCCTGCCTACCTTGAGAAGCCGTCTCATTGAATTACTTTCTCTCGAATATTGTTGCCCTGACTCCCACGCCTGCTCGCCATGTCGACGCTCGAAGCGGTGCTCGAGCTGCAGAAGCGAAACAGCATCTTGCAGACACCGAGCGAGAATGTCAATAACAACAACGACAACAGGGGGGCCGTACAGGAGCAGCTGGTCGTGTCAACCTCACCGATACTCAACATCGCGCTCCAGAACAACACGTCGTCGTCCAACGTGTGCGCATACGTGACGGGGCTCGACATCAACAAGAACAACGCGGTACTGATCCTGCAGAGCGACGGCGTGACGGGCTACTACCCGCAATCACCAACCACCCCGCTCAGCGCGCTGGCGCAGGACTGCCACATCCGGCTAGGCGGGCCGGGCACGACGCGCACCGTGACGGTGCCGCAGATGGCGGGCGGGCGCATCTGGTTCGCGCGCGACGGCCAGCTGACGTTCCTGCTGAACCGGGGCCCGGCGCTGGTCGAGCCGTCGGCCACCAACACGTCGGACCCAAACTACAGCGTCTTCTGGAGCTTCGCAGAGTTCACGTTCAACACAGTGCAGGTGTTTGCCAACATCACGTTTGTCGACTTTGTCAGCCTGCCCGTGTCGCTCGCGCTGGCCAGCGCGACGCCGGGGGCCGCGGCGCAGTCAGTGGCGGGGCTGCCGGCGGCGGGGCTCGACGCCGTGTGCGCGGGGTTAGTGGCACAGAACGCCAGCGACGGCGCCGGTTGGGACCGGCTCGTAGTCAAGACGGCCGCGGGCGCCAACCTGCGCGCGCTCAGCCCCAACGCGGGCCTCGTCATGGACTCCACACTCTTCCGCGGCTACTACCAGCCTTACGTCGACGCCGTGTGGGCCAAGTACGCCGCGGCGCCGCTCAACATCGACACGCAGGGGCAGTGGGGGGTGGTGCAGGGCAAGGTCAGCAGCAGCTCAGGATCGGCGCAGCTCTCGTTCGGCAGTGGTGTAGGTGCCTTCGCGCAGCCCAGCAGCGCCGACGTCTTCTCGTGCAGCACGGGGCCGTTCGCCAACGCGACGGGCTCGGCGGAGCTGGGCAACATCGGGGCGCGGCTGGCAGCGGCGTTCAACCGCAGCACGCTGCTGGTCAACGCCAACCAGCCGGCGGCCGAGCGCGTGGCGACGTACTACGTGTCGAACCAGATCACCAACCACTACGCGCGCGTGGTGCACGCAGCCGTGCCCGGCGGCAAGGGCTACGCGTTCCCCTACGACGACGTCGCGCCCGACGACGCCGACAACGTCGCGGGCACGGTGGCCGACGGAAACCCACAGCTGCTGGTCGTCGCCGTCGGCGGGTCGGCGACCCTGCCGACGACGGTGACGGTGACGGTGGCTGCCGCTGCCGCTGCCAGTTCCACGGCCACTTCCACTTCGCTGCTGGCGAGGCTGCGCAGTGCGGTGCGCGCCGGGCAGAAGAGGCTGGGCGGGTGGTGGAGCCGAGGCAAGTGAAGCTGGGGGATCCCATGTTGAAGAGAATGATCTGGGGGATTTGTACATGGCAAGGGCCAAGGAGCCTTGTTTGGTGTTTCTGCCGCTCGTATAGTCGACCCAACTCGTACATATACATAGCAGTATCGTTAGTTAGGTAGTCAGCTTGCCAATATGCAACATTTGTTCCTATCGGTCTTCCCTCTAGGTCCCCCAAGTTACAGCGGTGAACAGACACGATGAAAATGAAACAGGAAAAAGAGATAAAAAGTATACCGAGTGAGTACCTACCTGAGTTTTGATCGAATCAGATTCACTCACCGACAGCCATAATACGAGTGGTGCTGGTTTGCTCCGCCGCCGTCCGACGGTCTGGAAACGGGGGATTCATTCCCTGGTGGAAACCAAAGACTGGAACTTGGAAGCGGCCTTCTGCTTGGCAGACCGAGAGCCCCTTGGTGATTTCCATTTTCCACTGGGAGCCAATGGGGCGCCGAGACGGGAGGTCCTACCGCCAAGCTTCGCCTTGTACGGCATGGCTTGCTTCCCCACAAAATTATTATCTCCAGCAAACGGCGCCCCACCACTCCACACACCATACCCCCCTTTTTGATTTTTGGGGAAGGAGCGAAGAGAAGAGAGAGTCCTGAAACACTTGAAGCCGACGGCATCTGAATGGGATGACTGTTGATTCGCTCCTGCCGGGGCCACCTCGAAATGGGCAGCATTGTGCATCTCGGCCAATGCGGCTCCATCATTGCGAGACGGGAAACCTGAATGACTCTGGAACAGCGCATTTTTTGTCCCCCCCATTTATTTCCCTTGGCAGTCACTCAACGCCTCGCCCGGCCCAGAGAACCACGGCGTCGTCGTCTTTTGTGTCTTGATCTTGCTTTCCCCCCCGGCCAGTAGCTTGGATAGGTCGGACCGAAGTCCCCGCAACGGGAATTACCTCGATCCATGTCTTCGCACATGACAACTTTTTGTTTGTGTGTGGTAATCTCGCCCGTTCTCCTCCCATTCTTGTTCGGTTAATCTCTGTAATCAAGTATGTACTATACATAGGAAGAAGGTAGCATGGCACGTGTTGTTATATATCAAGATAGCAAAGCCACAATTCCGAGCTTGTCTTTTGATCTCCCAGTCTTCGTCTTTCGTCGCTCATTTCTTCCCCGTCTATCCCGTCGCTCTTTACCTAGCTCCCGCGGTATACTCGCTCCCCCGAGTGCTTGCCGCAGTCATTCATTTATTTATTTCTTTCTTTTATTTGCCTCCTTGAGCCATGTTTTTCCCCAAGGCTATCGCCAGCCTCTCGTGGGCCGGCATGCTTCTTACGCTGTGCTCGGCCTCGCCCGTCGAGGTCATCGCCGTGAAGAGGCCGCAGCATGACCTCATGTTCAGGGAGGCGCTGGAGCTGGCCCACCGCCCGCGCCTCGACAAGCGGCTCGAGGCCGATTTCAGCATGGAGAAGGCGTGGAATAACGAGGTTCTCTTTGCCGGGTAAGAGGCTTGCTTAGTGTCAAACCCAGAGAAAAAGAAAAAGAAAAAAGAAGAAAAAGCTAACCGTTGTCATGTCGCACCAGGTCGTGGGTCAACTCGGACGCGGCCATCGGCATCACCGACACCGTATCGCTGTCCGTCGTGTGCGTCGACTGCTGGACCAAGGGCACCGTCACCGCCAAGCTCCTCGAGGACTTGTTCGACCCCAGCGTCCGCCTTGAGTTCTCCGCCGTCGAGGCCTACGTCGACGTCGCCGTTGCTGTCACCTCGGGCGCCACCTACTCGGTCAACCTCTTCACCTCCAACTCCCCCGTCGGGCTCGGCTTCCCGGGCTTCAGCATCGGCCTTGTCTTTTACGTCGATCTCGTCTTCAGCCTGACGGCCGCCGTCGACCTCGAGGGCGGCTTCTACGTCAAGGTGGCCGACGGCGCGTTCCTCGAGGCCAGCGTGTTTGGCGGCGAGATTACCAAGTCGTCCTTGTGAGTTCTTTGCTGCCACCAAGCCGAGGTTTATTTGTCAGTTTTGCTTACCCCATTTCCAGTGACGGGCTCAGCAGCAAGTCCCTACCGGTCACCGTCAGGGCCGGCTCGGCCACCTTCAAGGCCGACCTCCGCCTCCGCGTGCAGTGCGGTGCCGAGACGGATATCGCCGTGTTCGGTATTGGGGCGGGCGCCGAGCTGGGCATCTACGCGAACCTAATCGAGTTTGTGGCCGTCCTCGAGTCGACGCCGACGTGCCTGCTGCAGAGCCGCGAGTGGTGGGATCTCAACGTCGGCGCCTTTGCCCACCTCGACATCGTCGTCGACTACAAGACCATCGGCGCCATCCCCACCGTGTCCACCACCCTCCTCACCGCGCCCACGCTCACCCAGTGCTGGGTGGCGAGAAGCGCAGCTCAGAGCGGCAGCCCTCCATCTGTCAGCGTCTCACTGGGGGTTCCGTCGGGCATTCCCGCGAGCTCGGCTGCCAGCTCGAGCCGCGAAGACGGTGCGTCGACATCCGGCAGCACCGCCGTACACGTCCCCACCATCGCTCCTTCGGCTCCGGCAACGCTGCCGTCGTCCCTGTCGCTGCTAACCCCGTCGGTTGTGCCCGGCTCTGTGCCTAGCAACTCGTCTGCTCTCTACCCCACCACTTCTGGCAGTGGCAGCGGCAGCGGCAGCGGCGATGTTGTCACGTCGACCGTGTACACGACAACCATGTACACCATCACCAGCTGCGCGGCCACGGTGCCCAACTGCCCAGCGTCGCTGCAGAGCGAGATCATCGTAACCAAGACGGCCGCCGTGGTGGACTCGGCCTCGACGCCCACCACCATTATTACCCCGGCAGCCCAGGGCACTGCCACGGTAGTCGTCATCACCGACGTCACAGTCTTGGTCCCCTGCGCGACGCCCGTCGTCGAGACGTTTATCCCCCCCAGCAGCTGTGCTACTTCTGTTGTATCACAGAAAGTTACTGTGGAGGCAGCGGCAGTCGTTGTTACACCTGCTGCTTCTTCTTCTTCTTCTGCTGCTGCTGGTGCTGCGCTATACTATTCGGCTTTCTCGTCGGCGGCGGCTACAGCAACAGCGCCGGCTCCGCCGCCGCCCGTGGCCCCATGGTACCGCCCGAACAACGGAACCTCGGCCGTTTCGAACACGACGACGCCGGCACCGATCCCGACCGCCGGGGCATCGAGTCAGACGTGGAGGATCGGCAGCGTCTTGTTTGCTGCTGCCGCTGTTGTGGGAGCCTTGTCGATGCCGTTGTGAGAGGGGTCCTCTTACTTCCCCCGTTTATTTTTTTTCTTCTTTTTCTTCTTATGTTGCACTTCGAATGGAAACTGCAGCACACTGAAATAGTAGAATTTAATGCCTACCAGATATGTCTTTGTGCACAGCTTGGTGGTGTGTCGCTGGCTCGTTGACACCTTCAAATAATCAAATAATAAAGAGCCGTGTCATGATGATATTGGGTAAACAACCCAATGGAGGGGCTGGGCTGGAACTTTTGCAATTTCCCATTTCTTCAAATCGCTCCCCTCTGGCTGTACTTCGGGAGGGACCCCTTTCTCGAACCGAACAACACGTGTAGGAAAAAGCAGCCCACCACCGTGTAGAACCCCTCACAGCCCCTCCTATCCCGTTACCCCACAGCGCCGTTCCGCGGGGGTTGTCAGGTGGGCCAGATCGCCGATTGGTGACGCAATCGAGCAGCGGTTGGAGAAAGCCCCACCAACGTCATCGCGGGGATGCCCTTACTCGACAGCTTAACCAACTACCTCCTTAGCCCCCTCCAACTTGGGTCCCGTCGTTACGTTATCTGCGCAAAGGCGCGTGCGTCAACAGATCAAGCATTCCCGTTCCAGCGGTAGAAAAAGCTTGTTTTATGTCTGGCACTGTACGTACTATGTCTCTTACACTACTGGACGATACCTCCATGCCAGAGGTACATAGATACCAGCTGGGACAGGCCTCGGCGCTCAAACAACAATACCCTTCCTATACAGCGATATCATGACTGAGAGAGGCCGGTACACTGCGGCCATGTCCGGGAATACAAGCCCGCTGCAAGACATTCGCCGCAGTTTGATGCAGAGAGTCGGGCCGTGGTTGGGCCAGTCCAGTGTCCGCTCAAAGGACCGGTACGTGCTAGCACAGTTGGCAAGAAATACCGTACATTGCTTAGCTCCCATCCTATCATTGTAGATTATGCATTACCTTATGATGTCCCTCCCTCCGTGTTAGTGGTTGGTCACGCCCAGTCTGGCGACAAAAACGACGTCACACCTCCATCCGCCCTCCAGCGTATGGCGAGGGAATGAGGTAGTGTAGTGTGTGCTGCCTGCCCGCCCGCCGCCATAAAAGCAATCTCCCGTTTCGCTTTGCACTTGGTGAAGCCTCCTGCAACCTCCTGAACTTTTGCTGCTCTGCTCTCACCTTGCACCGCCCGCCAAGCTATCTACTAGCCTACCAATAGACCAAAATTCCAACTTCATCGCTACCTACCCAAACATTGTCGAGGTCTGCGCAAGACTCGCCATGGAAACCATCAACAACATGGCGTCAGCTGCCGCCAACAAGATCTGGGGCACTCCTGAATCCAAGGAAGAGCCAATCTCGGGCCGCTCCGGCAACGTCGGAAAGGGAGAGCCTTATGACGCCGGTAACATTGGTTGTGGGTCACGTCCCTTTATATATCCCTTTATATAAAGCACTCTACACACTCTCTTCACTGGCCGTGCTAGCTGACTCGACGACGCCATGCAGAGTAAAACACGCACTGCCTGCTGCCAGACTACACTAGCCTCCCTGCATCACACTAACTCCTGAATCCCCTGCCACCAGAGCACAAGGAGTACACCGACGACGCTCCTAGCACGCCGTCCAAAGAGACGCCAGCCCCGACAACATCATCAACTAGCAAATTGCACTCCGAGCTCCCAACCCACGCCGCCGTGCTGTCCGATATGCAGCCCAAGGACCCCAACCCGACCACGGTCAAGGACTCGTCCGTGGCCACCGCCGGCGACAGCACCAAGGCGCAGAACGACGTGCGCGATCCCGCGGACCCTGCCACGCACCACGACAAGGCCGCCGCCAAGGAGAACGTCGACGACACCACCGACGGGCTCGACGTCGGCGACAACCCGGACAAGCTCGACGGGCCCGGCCCGCGCCCGCTCGAGGACGTGGCTAGGGACAACGGCGGAGACGCCGCCAAGGCCTCCCGGTCAGACACTAAAGTAGCAACCGACGCAGACAGCAGCGAAGACGGCCCCCAGAGTACCAGCCACGGCGAGGGCACCGGCGAGCAGTATGTCAAGTCGTCCGGGCTCAAGGCCGACGGCGGCAACTTTGACGCGTCGGTCCCTGGCGCCGGCCGCGAGGCAGACCGTAGGCGCCCCCCCCCCCTTTCTTCTTCTCTGTTCCAAACTCTGTCCACTAACCCTGCCCTCTCAAGGCCTCCTCGAGGAGAAAGGCGTGCACAAGGACGGCCCCAACGGCGGCATCGTCCCGAACACCAACGACTATAGCGGCAGCACTGCCACGCCCGCCGTGCACACCAATGGCTCGGCCGCCCACCCCAGCGGCTCCTCTCCTACCTCACCGACCAAGGAGAAGACTAGTCTCAAGACCAAGATCAAGGCTAAGCTGCACATACATTCGTCATCTTCGACGGCGGAGTAGGTCTATCTCTTTTTTTGTTAAGAAGGCTTAAAGAGGGGGGGGGGGTTGCGTTCCTATTAATTAAATAGGGATTTGTGTTTCGAATAGGTCTAGGTCATGAGCAATGGACGAGGAGTTAGTTTTTTCTTCTGTCCTTCTGGCATGATCCTGCGCTGTGTATTATTACTATTGCTCTTAGTGAATGCGAATAGGGGAACCAAGTCTTTAAAAACAAGGGTACTCACGTGAGACCGTCGTCACGTCGTGTGGTTTGTTCCTGTGGGTTGAAGGGAGAGATGTTGAAAAAAAAGGAATAATTGAGTTTGGCCTAAAAGCTACCTACCTACCAGCTCGTATAAGTTTGGATGCCTGATCTGCAGCTTGCTGCACAGTGTTTGCCTCTGAGAATACCACGTGCCAGTCGTAGCCGCTGATAAAGAGCGGCACTTTTCCTTCTCACCCCTTTACTTCCCTTCCCTTTTTTTTCACCTCTTACAACCCAGGTTAGAGCCAACGATGGATTTAATTCAATTCATTATTTGCCGTCTTTGTTATGATTGAAATGGAATGGATTAAGAGTCTACGCCTTAAGCCGAGTTGAGGCTGAGCGAGAGGTCAATTTTTAGGCTACCTAATACCCCCGCGATACATTCACTGTGATTTGAAAATACCTACCTAATTAGGGAGTTTTGAGAGTGCTCTTGACAAAAAATTGACACGCGCTGAGTTGAAGTGTTCAAGGAAGTCTACAAGGTAAAGGAAGAAAGCAAAAGAATAGAGTCCGCGCTCGCCGCCGGCTAATTACAGTTAATTCACACTTAGCACAGCATCACGGCCGCTATGGATCTTCTACCTAGGTTTCAAGTTCGCGTGGCTACCTGATTAGGTGCACAAAGCACCTCTCCTACAGACGAGACATTGGTCAATGCAATGTTCCCCCCCTGGACGACGACGGCCCATTCCTTCTCGTCGACATCCTTTCCTGCCTTTGCCTTGGCGACGTCCAAGGGCGTCTTGCCGTCCTTGTTCCTAGCATTCAGGTTGGCGCCGTTCTTGCGGAGCCAGATGGCCGAATTCTTCAGTTTCTGCTCGGCAGCGAAGTGCAGCGGCGCCCAGCCCCTCGGGTCGACGGCATCGAGGTCGGCGCCCTTCTCACGCAGCAGCGCCATGGCGGGCTCCGACTGCGTGAGGCCTGGACACTCAGGGCAAGTCTTTGGACCTTGAATTAGAGAGCTTATCTCAGCCCATTTTTTCAGGCTCCTTGGACACTTCCATCCGCCATACCAATTTTGTACATGGTGGCCTCGTACGGATACTTGGTGTTTTGTCTAGCCTGAGCTGAGGCACTGATGGAAAGCGGTGCCTAACAACAACAACAACAACAACAACGGAGGTGAGGCAATTCAGGAGACGGAAGGCCCCCGCTTATGAGCTATGATGCAGGCTAGAGCTAGCGTAGATTAATTCAATTCAATCAAGTCAAGTTATTATTCCCCGTCTTCGCCGCAATCAAGATGAATGAATGAACGAGCGAACGCAAGCGGTTAATGAAAACGAGAATGAACATGGAAAACATCTCCTTGCCTGTGGTTATCACCAAGTAATTAATTAGAAGGAAAATGACTCAATAAATCGCCCATGCTAATTAACTCAAGTCAGGTGATATCTGATGAATAGGCATCTGCATTTGTCTTGTGTGTACTATTCCTACGTACATACAATAATGGATCACGAATGATGTATCGCACAGCTGCCCATGTGGGCGCCTGATTGGCTGTTGGCCGCGCAACCCGGCCAAGGCACGAGATCGCCGCAGAGTCCGGCGGCTGTGACCTATTGTGTCAAAGTAATTAAAGCAAGTCGTGGCTGCCTTCTGCGCCTCCGGCCTGCTCCCCCACTCCCCTCACCTTCCCACTTTGTTAATTAGCGGCATACTCGTTTCTGTCCTTTGGCGACGGCGGGGTCTGTGAGCCGGTTATTTATCATCAGGTTTTCAGACTTTGTCATCGCCTTGAAGAGACGGCTTTAATTCTAGTACCAAGCTTGTGCGTCGATTGAAATTAATCCATCATTATTTTTGGGCGTTGTTTCGCTTGTCCATCTGGCCTATGGGCGCCTTTGAAGGGGGCATTCTTGTCTTCTCTCGCGCATCTGAAATTTTAAGCACCAGACCATCACCTCGAGAGCGATGCGACTGCGCGCGGCCTTTTTCGGCGCGCCTGTGGCCTGGGCGGCTACGGTAGTGCTGGGGCGACATGACGGTGGTAGTGGTGGCCAGCAGCAGGTTCTGGGCGCAGGTGAAAACGACGAGACTGCCCGGGTGAATGGCTTCGTCGCCTTTGGCGACTCGTACAGCGCGGGCATCGGCACCAGAGTCGAGAACGGCACCGAGAACGCTTGTCGGCAGGGCGACGGGGCTTACCCGGAGCTCATCCATGGCGACATGGTGGCGGCGGCGCCGGCCGGGCGGAACGTGACGCTGCAGTTCCTGTCGTGCACGGGGGCGACGACGGACAACGTTCTGGCGGGCGGCGAGCGTTCGCAAATGGATGCCTTCAACGCGTCGGCCGCGGCCGGGTCCGACTTTGCGACGCTCAGCATCGGCGGCAACGACCTGGGCTTCTTCGACGTCATGAACGCCTGCGTCTTCCACTTCTACAGCTTCTATAGCGGCACGTGCGAGACGGCCCTCAAAGCCGCCGCCGCCCGCATCGCCTCGCCCGACTTTGAGCTGCGCCTGGGCCTCGTGCTGATGGAGATCCTCGACAAGGTGCGCTGGGAGAAGCGCACCAGCTTCTCCATCACCGTCACGGGCTACGCGCGCTTCTTCAACGCGGACACGGAGGAGTGCGACGACATGAGCCTGGGCGTCTGGTGGCCGCCGGCGCTTCTGGGGGGCCCGAAAATGCACCGGTCCATGAGGCGGCAGATGAACGAGCTCGTTGTGGCCGTCAACAAAAAGCTTCTCCGCGTCATTAGCGATGTCAACAGCCGCTTCGCAAACCCCAGGGTTGTCTTTGTTGACTACGACGCCGAGTTTGACGGCCACCGCTTCTGCGAGCCTGGCGTCTCCGAGCCCGACTACCTTCGCGCCGAAACCTGGTTCTTCCTGCCAGCCGGGCCTGACAACGCCCATCCGGAACCTGACACCGACACTCTTATCGCAAGCAACGCGCTCGAGCCTGAATCCCCCCTGGTCGACCCGAACAGCTGCCTGCCAGAGGCTGAGCGGTCGGGGGACTGGGGCGAGCTGGCTCTCTGCCTCATGGCGACGGCCAAGCAGAGGAATCCGTCTCTCGAGCTGCGCAACGACCTCCTCGTGACAAAGGACTCGATGTGGTACGTACCGACGTACTACGGCAAGACGTTCCACCCTGTAAGTGTTTGACGCTGGCAAAATATCCCTGCAAGAATGACCCCTTTGCAGCAATTGCTAACCAGGCAACCAACCAGCGCACTCTCGGGCACGAGGCAATCCGGCAAAAGATATACGAAATGTGGTTCGCAGGGAATAATTGAGGCTAGTAAGGGAGCCCAAGGGGTCGTCAGTGATTTTTATAATTATGGCTTGGGACATCTCGATTACTGTTGGCAAGGCATCCGCGGATTCATTTGGGACATGGGCATTTTCATATATGGTTTCTCTGTTTTTCTGTTCAGATACCCATCCATATATTAATTAGTACTCGGATTTTGTTTTATCAAAGCGGCCTTGTCAAATGAAGACAGGGAGACAAACTGTGTTTTATTTCCATTGTGAATTGTGGTGTATGGACGGACGATGGGATGCCACAGCTATCGATCGCCATTAGTCCGAATGCTGTGGAAACTCGCTCGCTCTCCACGGGCGGCAGATTTCTAATAAAAGGGAAATAAAAGACATGATTGAGAATGAATGCTTTGTCGCGGTCGAGAACATACAAACAAACATGCTAGATAAATAAAAAGAATAAAAAGAATAGCAAAAAAAAGAGAATCGTAGGAATCAAAAAGGGCAAAAAGCTCAGCGTTTGCATGCTGCTCGCTGTAAGCCGACGGCTTGAGAGCCCCCTCAAGTTTTCCGGGGAAGGATCAACCGAAAAGGGACCGAGTACGAAGCTGCGTGGCTTCGTCTCGACACTGTTAGGAAATAAACCCCCTTGAGTCAGTCTTAACACAGCATATGCTTACGAAAAACATGGTGCACCCCTCGGGACCGAACCCAGGGTTTTTCATAGCTAGCAGTGTATGTTAGGGCGTGACACGTACGTCCACTCAGCCGCGGCGCCTCCGCGGTGAGGCTAACTTGACAGGATGAAATACTTAAACTTAGCCATATACCCCTCTGCGCACACAGTGTGTGCGGGCCTGTCATCCCACGTTCGTTGAGCCAGTCCGGCCGGCGACGGCTGGCCTTGACGATTCCTTCCGCGCCGTTAGAGCTTGGGACTTGGGACCTTGATAGTAAACTGGGAGAGGGAAACTCTGGGCTCAGAGTAAAGGTGAAGACTAAGAATGATATGTTTTTAGAGGCTTTCTTTTGAAAACCACCGCCGGTAGAGAGGTAATCTTGATGTAATTATAATTGATTAGCTCTTACCAAAGACAGCAGTCAAGAAACACATTTAAAACGAGACGGTAGGTCCAGTGTAGCCGTAGGCAAGCAGGAATCCAACTTGCCGTGACGTTGGGCGAAGCATTTCAAATGAAGCTATCACGGTCCTTGGCGTGCCTTCCCGCTGACGTTGTGACCCGGTTTTGTTGTCAGCCACCACTCACCACGCAGTGCTAACGCGTTGGGAGCACGGACCACTTCAACGACTGGTGGTCGGTTACGCGGCTGCCTGTGAATGAACCCCGCCCCACCCAGTCACATTTGAATGAACAGCAGCGGGCGCGCTAGAACATTTAAATCCGCATGTGCCCCGCCTGCATGTGGGCTTGCTTCCTGAAATTCTGCCAAAGTTTGACCCTTGCGGCACAGAAGAGCGGTCAATTTTTATTTTATTGTGGCCGCCCTTTTTCTCTTGCAACCATCAACGCCAAAAAAAAAAAAAAAAAAACTCCAGTAGAGCAAGACGAGAGGACACAAATGGCTAGATTCGCAACCACGCAGATCGTGTCGGCTACTACCGGCTCCCTGGCGAAGGACATCACGTTCCCGTCGGGCGCTAAAGACACCATCTCGGCGGTCCGCTTCTCGCCAGTGTCTCATCACCTGGCGGCGGCGTCGTGGGATGGCAACGTCTACATCTACGATGCTGCCAACTCGAGCAGCATCAAGGGTGTCGCCATGGTCGAGGGCCAGTCCCCCGTCCTAGACTGCCATTTCAGCAAGGTAAGTCCGATATGAGTCTCTAACCCCACAGCTCTCTCCGACCGAGAGGTGAATTTGAACATGAACACAATATGGATTATGGACGGGTCCATAGGTGAGTCTGGCTTGGTTTGCTTACCGCACCTCTCTCCCTTCTCCCTGCCCGCCCGCCCTCATTTTCACCTGCAGGAGGCCCACCCCCCGCTGACTGTTTTGCGACCCTTTGCTAGGACGGAGCCATGGTTGCTTCAGCTGGCGCCGACAAGAAGATACACGTCTACGACATCGCCTCGGGCCAGAGAATGGACTTTGACGGCCACGAGGGCCCTGTCCGCTGCCTGCGCTTCGTCGATGTCCCCTCGGCCAACGGCCTCATCATCGCCTCGGGCTCCTGGGACAAGACGGTCATGTACTGGGATCTGCGCCAGCCCCAGTCCATCGCCACTCTGCAGTGCGACGAGCGCGTCTACTCCATGGACTCCGCCGGTGCGCTGCTCGCCATCGCCATTGCCGGCTGCAAGGTCCATCTCGTCGATCTCCGCACCAACCCCGGCGTCCATTCACAAACTCTTGACTCGCCCCTCACACACCAAACCCGATCCGTTGCTGTCAGCCCCGACGGCTCGCGCTGGGCCATTGGCGGTGTCGAAGGGAGAGCTGGAGTAAGAGTTCTTGCCGAGCAGGACAATAAGTAAGTTCAAATTTCCGCTTTCATCCCCTCAGTGCGACGAGTGTTGGAGCTAACTTCCCGTCACCAGACTCAACATCACGTGGCGCTGCCACCGTGATGCCCCCGTCACAACAACTGGCAAGAACAAGGAAGTAAAGGTCTTTGCCGTCAACGACGTGACCTTTCACCCCATCAACAACAACCTGCTCGCCACCGCCGGATCTGACGGCACCTTCACCTTCTGGGACATCAAGTCTCAATCGAGAGTTAAGCAGTTTCCTAACGTCGGCGGTTCCATCACGTCGGTTGCGTTCAACCACAACGCCTCTGCTTTCGCCTACGCCGTCGGCTACGACTGGTCCAAGGGCTACTTGCACAACTCGCCCGACTATCCCACGAAGCTGATGCTGCACACCGTATCGCCAGACGAGCTGCGGAAGTGAGAGAAGAAAGGAGAGAGGGCTTGGGAAAATTTGTGCCGCTGAGGGGAAGATTTTATCGGCATGTGAAATGACGTTTGGGGAGAGCATAAAATGCTCAGCAGACCCCACGTCAAGGGAATCATCATGTTGCCAATCTACTTTGGGGGAAGGAAAAGGGAAAAAAAGAATGCATGTACATTGGAGGATCTCATTTGGCAGGCGCACACAGGGTTCGTGCACAGAGGGAGACAGAGACTCGTGGCAAACGGGAGGGGGATAAATTTGACACACGAAAGTACCTGTTTCGGGAGAGAGGTTGCTCAACCGGCAGCTTGTTTGCTTTTATTGGCGATACGGCCAGGCTTGACTGTCAGTGTCGGGGGTTTGTTTGATGGCTTCGGGGAAATAGCTGCAGCAAGCCAGCATTGCATGCATGTATGCAATGCATGGGAGGCAGGATTTGTGCTTGTCATGATTGGCTTTTAGTTTGTAGTCGGGAATATCACGATCGCGGTCCTCCACATACCATTACTTTGTCTCTGCGCGTCGTTCGACTTTGCAGGTCCCGTACGTCTCTCTCTAATAATCATAAATTGGTGACCTAGATCCGACCAGCCCCTCCGTTGCTCTCTATCTTCTCCAATCTTTGGAAAGGCAGGTGAGACGACAATACTCATTTTACTGGCACAATATATTCTGTCGGTTACATTCTTTTATTTTTTCCCAGGAAAGAATAAATAAGAGACAAGAAAATACACACAAAGTTCCTTCGGTGATAGATCTAACTGTGGAAGTCGCTTCTTGGGTAGACGAAATAGTTATCATCCATCACCCCAATAGCCATCAATGACTTTGTATTTGTGTCCCATACACCAACCACGTTTCAAGGAAATTGTTGATCATATTTATTCGCAGATTTAAATAATTTTCTATTTGTCATGTAGGGTACGGACATGCCTTGACGGAGAAAGGGCTAATGCAGCATGGAATGGCATGGAATGAAATTCCCCAATCCAGTTCCTACTAGTATTTAAGAAGATAAAGAGAAGCTAGAAGCCCCTATCCTTTTCCTCCTCTTATGGTGTCTCTCTGCCGTCTCGATGGGAAGGGGGTAGAAACCTGAGGAAGGAAGTAAGTCTTAGCAAAAGTGATTAGTCTAGAGTCACGAGGTACAATACATACACCTTGAGCCTCAGACTGTGTTTCTGTTCTAGTACACATATATTGTAGGGCGTCGGGTACGAAAACGGGTGGCAGTACGGATAAGGAGCTCGACATGTAAATATGCCCTTCAACACATGCCTGGAAGAAACTCAATCTCGCTGGAAACGACATATACATTCGCGCGTGGCTGATTCCTAGAATCCCCTGGCTAGCTCCCTATCTATAAACCCTCTGGGACCATCTAGAAATCTACCTGCTCTGCAAGACTTGACGTTCAACAAGAGCATGAACAAGACTCGACCGTCGTAGAGCTTGTTGCTTCCGCCGCCGTGCCTCTCGCTTTAAAAATACAATTCAAAAATTACCGTCTTGCGTATTTGTTTTGTTTGTAGCCCGTTCCCCAAATCCAGTGTGTCCAGCAGCATAAATCCCAATAATTGCAAAATGCTAAAAAACCAAAACCCCCAGCCCGGCTTTTCCACCCCGTATCCAATATCTCTACTCACCAACCGCCATGTCCTACCATCCGAGTTTCATGACCGCTAGCCCTAGAGCAATCTCAGAAACCAATTGGCACAATACCAAAAACAGACCCAAAACAGTAAGAAAGCGGAAAAGACGGGCACCCAGTGACGCCCGAATTCCAAAGTCTGTTAGAAACGGGGTGAAATGTATTACGTTTTGTCCAGACCCAGAATGTATGTTTTCGCGTGCGTCTTTTTTGTGTGTATAAGGTGAGCTCGTAGGTAGTCGAAAAAGCCGAAGCCTTCCACGCAAACAACGCCCACCCCCAGAAAACAACAATGCTGGCGAGAGGGCTGAGACAAATTTTTGTCAAGAATTGCCCGTCGCGTTCAGGTCCGAGCAAGAACGTGCTGTCTCGTGAAGATGAACCCCCGGCAAACCCCTTTGCGGGGGTTTGAAGGGGGGTAGGAATGTCAGTTGCCCATCGAAACCCCAGTTATCGACAATCCAAATCAGTGCATCGACATTTAGCGTAAATTCCATATTACAAGAAGCTTGGGAATAATAACAGAGCATCGCCTCTTCTCGTTATCAGAGCGATATGCAGTAAGTGGCCGTGTCTTCGTAATGATGTCGAATGTAAAGAAATCCAGGCCGAGCAAAAGATAAAAACGCCGATTCGCCGTAGTGTGGGGGGCTCAAATTAAAAAACCAGTACTGAAATTGGCCGACACAACAACAATAGATAACCGAGTATTCCGGGTTTGACGTGGTGTCTTAGACTTCGTCGGCACGCGGCTGGGGGATCGCGACCACATCTGTACCGGCAAGCTTGGCATTTGCACGCGAAACGACGTCCTCGACAGCGTTGGTGTTGGGGCTCGGCGGGCTAGACGAGGGGCTATTGGTTTCCATCGTGAGATTTGGGGTTGGCACAGCGGAGCCAATGTCTACCTGTAAGGAAGGCGAAGCCGGGGCTGTCGACGATGGCGTGACATTCTTAGTCCCAGACAAGGGGGACGAGACAGCAGACATAAGGCGATCGATGGCTGCAATCTGGCGTCCGGTACCTGTCGATTTCTTCAACGCGTTTAACTGGGGCTTCACTTCCTCGACGAAATCGGCCCGGTCCTGACCGTCCAGCTCGTTGAAGAGTTTTTCTAAATTCGGTAAGCATCATATGAGGGGAGAAAGGGATCTTGTCGTGCCAACAAAATTCGACATGAGATGGGAAGGTAAACTTACGGACGACATAATTGCCATACTGATCTTTGATCATGGGACCCAGCTGGCTGTTGCCCTCCTCTCCAGGCCTGATAAACCGCTCTCTGATAAGACGTCGCTCATCAGCTGTGCCGTACTCGATACATTTCTCTACTACGTTTGAAGCAAACTTGTGCTTTGAGAGCGTCAACAACTGGGTTGTGACAATGGCAATCATTTTTGCGCGGTCCTCGGGTTTTCCGTATTGGATGACATGTTGAGTTACGTAGTTGCCATATTGGTCGGTGACCAACATCTGGGCGCAGTTATGCAGCTCATTCATAATGGCGGCCTTGTCACTCTCGTTCCCGTATTCAAGGACCCGCTGAATGACTCTGCAGCCGTACGTGTGCGAAGCGAGGTCGCTGACGCGCCCCTTGAGGCAATCGATGATGAAGCCGATATGCTGGCGAGGGACCAGCTCGATGATCTTCTGGATGACGTGGTTTCCGTTCTGATCGCGGACTACTCGATAAACTTCCGGTTCCAGCTCCTTGATCAGCTCGGCTTGTTGCTCGACAAGGATATGCTCCAGTGCCTGCAAATATATTAGCTTGCTGCCGGAGGGAGCAATGGATAAGAGGTGGTCACCTTTTGTACGACCCGGCACGCATACATCTGCGTTGACAGATCGATGACCTTGCCCTTCATCGCGCTTGCTAGAACCTTCTTCTGCACCTGATTACCGTGCTCAAAGAACTTCTGGATGACATAGTTCCCGAACACGTCTTTCATGAGCTGGACGGCGTTTGGCTCAATCTCCCGGAAGACCTGCTGTTTCTCGTCGCTATTGGCTGTCTCTAGCTTTTGCTGGATGAACCGGGAGCCGTGTTGGTCCCCGCTGAACTCGACAATGTGCTCGTAGAGGTCCTACATACGTAGTAAGCATATCGCTCGCGTGTGCAACTAGGAGCAGAGACATATTGAAGTAGATCGTACCTTGAGCTCGTAGCGCTTGAGATGCTTGGAATTTGCCCTGAACTCCTCCAACAGCTGGCTTCGCACCCCTTTTCCTGGATCCTGATCTTTGCTCGGCCGCATTGGGACGTTCACGGCCCCAGGAACAAAAGAGTTCACATGAAGGCCGCCATATGGATTCATCGAAACGGGCTGTCTGAAGCCCACGCCGCCGTATTGGTCGTAGATGTGGGGCTGAAAGTGCGAAAATCCCTGGCTAAAGTACTGGTTCCCGTAATATGCTGCTGGTTGAGATTGAGGTGGCACAAACTGCTGATTGGGGGCTCGGCGCTCAAGGTCGGGACCAATTCTGGGATCCCTCGAGGCTGGCTTGGGCCACGGGTCTGCGCCGGTTTGCGGCGTCCCCGCAAAGCTTTTGGGGCTGCTGAATCCTGCACGGTAGGCACTGCCGGCGGGCGAGTTGCGGTCTACAATCGACCCTCGTTTTTCATATCCAAAAGAAGAGGGATACATGTCCTTAGAATATCCCGGCTGATACCCATTCCCATTCTCCCACGGCTGCGAGACCGGATTGAGCTGGAAAGGCTGGGAGGCTGACCCGTATGTCGAAAGACCCGACAGACCGTTGGAGGGACCGCCATGGCCGTCCTGTAAGCTCAAGCCCCTAAGCTTGTCATGAACCTCCTCATCGTCCATTTGCTGGGTGGCGTACATCCGGTTGTTTTGAGCCGGAAATGACATGGACGGACCCGCGATGGACGGCCTTTGCGAATGCGAAGAGTTCTGAGGATGGCCTCCGTAGAAATCGCCATATTGAGTGCCCTGAGCATGCATATCGGCCTCAGAATGATTGGATGATTGGATGCCGGTATCACGCGAAAGACCCCCAACCGCATTTAAATACGCAGATGTAGAGTCTTGAGATGGCCGCTTTGATGCCGCAAAGCCATTAAGCCTTTGATGATCTGAATCGAGCCCCATCGCGCCGTACGTGCCCGAGGAGTCTTTCTCATCTGAGTATTCCGAATACGGGGGGAATTTGAACGCGCCGGTCGATGGATCCAGCGGCGGCCCGGTTGCCTTCGATCTGACAGGGCCCCTCTGGCCGATGGCCGGTTGCATCTGAGACTGTGAGGTTGTGAAGTACGACGAGCTAGTCGACATGTCGTGCATCGGGGCCTCGGCCCGGGCTCTGCTGGGTGAGGTGTTGCCCGATACGTTCCGTGTCGGTGTTGGTTCTGTGGAATTCCAAGGTTTAGGCCGGCTACCCCACGGTTCGGCTTCGGACGTAGCAGCTAGGGCACCAGAGCCCGAGGGGGCGCTGGAGAAAGCGTCGTTGGATTCTGCAAGCTAGGTTAACTTCAATGCCTTGGCCGGTTGGTCTATGTGAGCGCACCTCTTGATCCAACCGCGTCCCTGTTCTTTGCAAAACTTGGAGGGTCGCTCCATATTCCGCGATTTGATTGCCAACTCGAGTTCGCGAACGACGAGGCTCCGATAGCCTGTGAAGGCCGCTCATTCCCATTACTTATGGGAGCGGCGAAGGATGAGAAACGGCTGGTCCGGGCCTGGAGAAGTGTAGGTTAGCAGTGTGCTCAAAGGGCGCAACACAATAGTAGGTCATGTCTATCGGCAAACAAGGTACGGCGTTGAGCGAGGGAGCTGGGCCCGAGTTGCGCGCGACACGCGACCCTCGGATACGGCGGTTTGTTGGCTAAAGGGCACTTACAGCGGTCGTCATTGTGGCGGTTGATAGCTGTGTCGTGGGGGAGGTCATCGGATGGCGGCGATGGGATGGGAGCTCGACGCTGTCCTTGAAGAGCGGGAAACAAGGCGTGGAAGCCTGCCCACAGAGACCTGGTGGTTCTCCCAGCGAAGGAGGTCTTTTGGCGTGACTGCGCGGGTCGTGCGTGTACGCTCTTGAAGCGCTAGCTAAAGCGATAGGATGGGCTGAATGGGCCGTCTGTTCTCGTATATACGGTGAGGATACAAATAGAATCTTGAGCAATTCTATGAAACTGCATGCAATGCAAGACAAGGTCAGCGCACATTGAGGAATAATAAGGGGGGTGTGTGGGTGGTGGGGGAGAGAAATGCAAGCAAGGTTTGGTAAGGCTGATGGGCACCACTGCAAGACCGAAGGTAATATTTGTTTGTTGGGGGGGGGGGGTTCTGCGATCTCCCTTGCCCGGATAGACAATGGGTCGTGGGTGGCCCAGATGAACCTTGGGCCGTGGGTGGTCCAAAGAGCGGCTGGCTGGTGAGGGAGCTGAATTGCTGACCGCGAATTCGCGGAAATGCGACATGCAAGCACTTACCACAGGTATTAATTATTTTTTGGAGCCCATAGACACGCCCCCCGAGGTTTTGCGCGCTGTATGCGGGGATGAGCGTCGATTATGCAAACAGGTACCGCCGACCGTGGGTGCAGCAGCCGGCGTTCATGTACGGATGGGTACTTAAAGGTACCCCAGGAATGGTAGATACAAAGCTCCCGAGATCGCCTAGTGTGCTGCGAGGGCCAGCGCGCCGCCAGAGGTTCACGTCGTCCGTTCGGAGCACCAGCGCTTTGGTGGGGAGTTCGGGCGAGCGAGCAACGGACGGGGGGATAGCGGACGCTCTTCGGACACCACAGCAGCGACAGACTGACAGAGCGAAAGAACGAGGCGCGGCGACGGAGAGAGAACGGCTCGAGGACAAGGAGAGCCGAACAAAGTGTAAAAAAGAAAATCGATTGGGAGAGAAAAATAAAAAGAGGTAAGAATGCACTGGCGAGTCAAGGCAATGGGCGTCGGAATGTAAGTCGATGTTCACGCCAAGTCAAGGGATGGCTGTCTGTCTCTCTTTCCAAAAAGCAACCACCTAACGGGAGGGGCTGCGTTTTTGAGATGGAGCGGATGGGATTCGCGACGAAATGGGATTGGCCTAGTCTCGCTGGGGAGGTGAAAGGGCCAGGGATGGGCAGGGAGGGTGCATCTAAAGCGAACCCAACTCGAAAAAATATGGGGCCAGGGCAGGGCAGGCAAGAAAGGCTCAGGACCAGGGACCAGGGTTAACTATCTGGGTAACCCCAAAAAAGAAGTTTTTGTGGGGGATCTCTAGTGCCGCATTCGAGCCTGGCGGGCTTCTCTTACTGCGTAGGGCGCTAGCTCCCAGGCGACAGGGGTAAGCGGAGTCGAGGACGGAGGGGCCTGCCTGGGCTGAGAAGGAGGGGGCCGAAAAAGGGTGGACGTCGCTGCAGGTCAACGCCCGCGATCGACTTCAGACGAGGGGCGAGCAATGCGATGTTCCCGCGTCGGCTGGCTAGAGATGACTGGGGGGGCTAGGACATCTGCGGTTGCATCCGTGACGACCGTTGGTGACAGAGATGGCAAGAAGAAAGGAAGGACAAGAGAGAAGAAAGTTGCTGCGAGTCTTTCCTCCGTGGTGGTTTTGGTTTTGCCTCGCGTGCTGACAATGGAACCTAACCTTGGTTGACGCAAAAGCCTAGATGGAATTCCGCAAGGGCAGGTCAGGTACCTTCGGAAGCTCAGGTTGGTGGTGGGCTGTGTCGAAATGTGGAGACTGGAGCTCCCGCCTTAAGGTGGTTCCTTGCCCCCAACGCTCGTGGCAGACTGTGGTGCTTTGGCAGCGAGCGAGCAGTGCCGTCCACTGCGACGAGATTCTGTTCTAAAATTCCGTTACAGCTTGGGTAGGTTGTTAGCCGTTGGTAGATAGGAGTTGCTAGACACTTGCACCGCCCGAAAGGCCGATCACAGGCAGAGAATCCGCACCGCCGTGGACGTCGCTTGCTTGCTTGCAGCCAACTAGATTACCCCGATTAGGTGTTGTCTTACAAAGAGCAGCCAGCCGGAGGCGACCTGGTGGTACTGTATCTAACTAGGCAAGTACAATACCGTGGAACAGCAACACCGCGGCAGTGGGATTGCAGCCGCTCGTGTGCTTTGGACGGCCGGCCGGGTTGACTGGCTGTTGTTGCCTGGCGTGTGCGTTGTGGTGTCTGTGTCTGGAAAGGTGGGGATGGTGGGATGGTGGGATGTGCGAGGCCGGCGTAGCTGGATGCGTGTGCCTCCCGGGCAGCACTGGAAGGTAATCTGTAACCTGCACAGCGAGGGAGTTGCACGTTGAGATTTGCGGCCACGCTGGAATGTCCTGACGACCTGAGATGTCGTTGGGTTGACGGCACGCGCTTTGACAAGACGGGAGTTCAGGATCCGTCTAGTTGGAGATAAGCCAGATGTTTCTGTTTCCTCAGTGCAGCAGCTTGCCTGCCTACCTACAGTACCAGGGCGGGCAGCGAGGGCCGAGGCCAGGAAACAAACCCTAGGTTCAAGGTCAAGGTTGTGTTGGCTTGCCTTGCGGTGTTTGATGTCAAACTTAGATGTGCTTGGGCCAGGGTTGGTGGATGCGCGATTGGCGAGGCGGCGGATACCCCGGTCTCGCTAGCGTTCGTGCCGCCGCCCTCCTGTTGTTTGTTAGTTGGGACCGACCGAACAGCAACCAACACCTCAGTATTTGAGATGACCCGTTTCGTGCGGGTGTAACAGCTGCTCTCATGTTAGCCCGGGGCCTGATGGGGGTCGGCCTGTGGATGGACGCACCGTGGCGGGAGGCCAGTTAGGCCAGGGCAAGTAATAAGGCCAGAATTGGATTATTGTACAGTGCGCTAGGTGTGAGGTCGATGTGCTATTACTTCAGTGGAGGGCATCTCATCTATGGGATGGGATCTGCGATGAACAGCAAGGGAAGGCAGGCAATCAGGGGCCGAACGCGAGGACAGATCGCGGTGCTTTTGTATTGTGTCTCTGTGTCTTGCGTTTCAGGGAATATCCTCACTTCACGCAGTCATTTCTTATGAGGCAGACTTGGGTCTGTATTATGTACATGCTCGGGGTGCAGAGTGCCCACGGTGGGCAAGGCAGGCAAGTGAATTAGGTTGAAAGCTGTCAGACAGCAGAGTGCCAAAGCACCAATACGGATACAAGAGGTAGAGCGAACAGCATGCACAGTACGCATACTCCGCCCAGTGGTGGTCTCCCCTATACGCGGCGAGGAGTGACCGGCCACTGCGAAGGATCGGCCGAGAGAGAGAGAAAGAGGGGCAAAAGAGCAATTCCCCAAGCCCGGTGAAGGGAGGCTGTCGTGCGTTATTGTATTCGGCTCATGATATGAAGTCGGAGGAAGACGGCCAGGTCGGTCGGCCGTGCTGCGCTCTTGATGCAGGGCCGTACGCCAAAAGCCGAGCTGGAAGTAAAGATGGATACCTTACCTTACCATTGGATTGTACCCGACGTACTTGCCTGGGTACCGAGGGTGTCTCCGTATGTACGTGTTCTGCACACCGGCCATACCACTCAAGATCAAGGGTAATCGATCACCGATCATCGATCATCGATATGGCACGGTAGATTTGGCTGGCAGAATCTGGCGTCAGATAACGCAATAGCGCAGTGCAGTGCAGCTGCCTGGGTAATTTAACAGCCCAATAAGTAATCAACAACAAGGAGGCCCAAAGTAAGGGTCGAAATTCGCACCGATGCTTTTGGGGCTGGATCACTCATCCGCAAGATGAATTTGGCGAACAATGCAAGGCAAGGGAGGTCTGGCTGAGCTGTTGACCTCAAGGCCCGGCTAGGCTCGCTAGGCCCCGCCTTGCCCCCTTGGCCAGACGTACTCGGAAGGCGAGGACGGCGTGGAGGGCAAGAGGGCCAAGAGGGCCAAGAGGCGTGAGCAGGGCGAAGAGAGTGCAGCTCTCTCTGCCTTTGGAGGAGACAATCAGCGATATCCGCGCGAGACCAAGGTTGAGGTGGTGGTGCTGGCCACCGGATAAGGCCGAGAAACCTGGAATACAACGACAGATCTCAGCTGCTCTTGCCGTGCCCCTCGCCCCCCTCCCCTTCCCCTTTCCCGGGCAACTTGTTTGTTGGGGTGTACGGATCCATTCTGAATAAATCTGATGTTTCTGTTTCTGTCCGCCGAAACCAAGTCTGGGGTAGGCAGTGTACAACCGGGTCTCTCAAGTCACACCCGCGCCCTCTGATTGGCCGATATTATTGATTCGCGTGTTTCAGAAGGTAAGCGCAGGCCACCCTCTGCCCCCTCGTCGGCTCGTCCACCCCACCCCCGAAGTGGCACTTCACTCAGTAAAGTCCCGTCACTGGCTGCGCTGCTGCGTGGCATCATCGGCTGACTTGCACAAGAGACCCAAAGGCCGCAGTCCCGCCCGGGCTCCGCTCCAACAAAGCCTCGACCAACCGTTGTGCACCGCCTCTGACGTGAATTGGGGCGCCCGGAACTAATCAAAAGAAATGCTTGTTTACTGTCCGTCGTGGACTGTCAGGTTGTAACCTGTGTGTGTTGGTGCTGCTACCGTGCCCTCCACTGCTCACTCGGTTCCCGAATCGATCGCGGCCTGCCTTGGGGCTTACACCCGACCTCAAGAGATGCTTCTCCGTACGGTACTCGGCAACAGACCAAAAGGCATACGCCTCTGGGCTCAGAATTGGCATGCGTTTCAGAACCAGAGAAGACGCAGACCGCGGGCATCACAAGGCCAGGCCTACGGTTGGGCGACTACTGTTCGCGGAGCCAACGCCGAGCCGGGGAGCGCAAGGCTGGACTCTAGAGAGGCCCTAGAGTGTTAGAAGCTTGAGGGTGGCCTTTCGAGCTGAGTTCCATCTGACAAGAGGGCACTTTCGCCCATTTGTTATCATGGGCTGAGAAAACGGCCCCCGAAAAACAAAACCCTCGGGGGCTCTGGCATCTGAAAGTGCACGCCGCCGCCCTTCCACCGCCGAAGCTGAGCCCCATTCTCGATCACGTCTTTCTGCTTGGCAAGGGTTTTGCACACCGAGAAGGCATATTTCTTGCCGTCGCCCGGCACTCAGTCTCGGGCAAAGCCCCGCTCGGCTTCATTCTGGTGTCTAACTAACAACCGACAATGATTTCGACACGTCGGACTTCAAAATGCTCCCCAGCCACGCAACAAGTTACATATCGTCATCATCAAGCACGCCCATAGCGCGAGCGAAGTTGCAGTATCCTGACACATATAGGTGATGCCTAGGCACTGTATCTCAGGTTTCTTGACGAGGCCCTGGATGCGAGTGCTGTCCAATGAGTTGCGAATGTATACTGTCGAACATGCTCTACCCCCTGATGGCTTCCATATGCCCTGTCGTCCAAAGGCAATGGCCGTTGTACTCCGTACACACATACCGTACAATACAGCACCCTGCTGTTGGGCAGAGCGACCATCAAGGCATCCACCACGGCTGCCTGCATACCCCGCCTTGAGAAACACGTCGAACAATAGACAGAACTCGCTTGGAATAACTGCCGAGTCTCTCAACGGGTCATGGCCCGTCTGGTGGCATCGGCCTAGCCCTGTGGATTGGAAGCAGACGCCCCATGACTCTTCAGATCAAGATGCCAAACTCCGTGGCTGCCCCGCAGATGGCGACGACAACATACCCCCCTGGCCTCGTGGTGGCATGCGTAACTGCACTTGCAGCCTCTTCCGAATATCCCGTCTAGCAGAATATGACGCGCTTTTTAGAGCAGATTTCTAGGCCACCAAGCCCTCCTGTCGTTGCATGTGGTCAAGAAAGTGTTGAGCAGGCTGAGATTCGGCGTGGAGCGAAATGTCATCCCCAGCCCGATTCGCCAATATGTGCATGCGCATATATCTCTAGGCTCACTTCTGCACCCTCACCGCCGTTCAACAGGAGCGACGTCGCTGCTGGCGACACGCTGGCACTTTCAAGAACAGGCAGAAGCTGGCGTGCTGTGACTCAGACAGGCGCAAAGGACATTTTCCCAAAATACGTACGTATCTTTAAACGTGGAAAGAACGCTCGTTTTGGTAAGCGGGGGTAGGGCATCTAATAGGCCGGGCGTCTGCGCGAGTTGGATTGCTCGTTATGGCTATGATTTGACCGCCCAGCACTTTGTCAGATATCGACAGACCACAGCATATGGAAGAAAAATCACTCGTCTTGACCGAGCCGAACTGCAGTTAGTAACAAGTTAGTAACAGCAGCCGTACAATTTGAAAGTAAGCCTCTCATTACTCGGTACCTAAGTAGGTATACCTTAAGAACCGCGGAGGGTTCCCTCAAGCTGCAAGCGGGATTGATTGGTTGAGCACGGCTTTAGAATCAAGAAGCAAATCGCTAACCTACCTTTCCTAAAGTCGCTGTTGTGGTAAACCAATGATTCCAGTCTGTAACAAACGGTCTCATCGGGGAAACATGCGATGGCCGAGGCTTGCCTGATATACCTTTCTTGTATGCGTCGTCAAGATGCGGAACGGATTTGCTTTTTTGAGAATTAGGAGACGATGTGAAAAGGTCCTCGAACAATAACTAAAACTTCGGTGAATGGAGCTGTGCAGTTTCGATATAGCTTTTGCTAGGCTATATACATCGTTTCGAGTCAAACAATACAAAGCTGCAAAATATCTAGAAACTGGAAAGAAACAACAAATAACAAACAATCCACAACCCACAGCCCCCAAACTCACGATGTTTTAAAACAACAAACAGAAAACGAAACTCTGGGTTGAGACTTTCAAGCCTGGTCGATGGAAATGGGACCTCGAAAACAAATGGTGTGACCAACCAGCGTCGCCCACAGGACCCACCAGCAATAAGACCGTGTTCATGCTCCTTCACCTTGTTTGCAACTTTTGCCCGGATTTCCCAAGCTTGAGTGGCCAAGCCGCGCTCAGCCCGCTAAGCCCAGGGGAAAAGCCAGGAACCTACCGCCCGAGAGCACGGGCCATCCTTTCAACGTGCAGGGCGGGGCAGGGGGGAAAGCGGTAAGCTCAAATTGGACCCGTTTTTTGCCCTCTGCTTGGAAGCGATGATTGGCAATTGATTGGCTCAAGTGGATCAATTATCCCAATTGAGCAAACCTCACCCGCCCAAATGAAGCGCCATCGCGAACGGGGCTTGATGGGGGCTGGCAAAAGGGCCTCCCCCCTGAACGAGGTAGGCGCAACTACCTAACTGGCGAGGCCCCCAGGACCTGGTTTTCCTCTCCTCTTTTCCATCCTCAAAACATCGTCGGCGTCAAAGGTTCTGGTCGTCGTTCTTTCCCGTCGCTCTTTCCTTCCCCCAGTTCCTCAGGGATCGACTTCACTCTTTCAGTCGATTCCGTCCAGTCCTTTTGGGTTGATGCCACTCTCACGACCATTTTGGGAATTATACGCGGCAAATACAAGTTAACGAACAGCCCCCTTGCGTACATAGTAGGAATCCCCGAATATCCGCCCCCTTCATTCATAATTCACCGAATATGGCACCCGAGTGCCAGCTACCCCAGCCAAGGGCGACAGAAGTCTCGAGGGGAAAGGATGGAATAAGTTACTGACAATGAGTTTTGCCTTTCAGCTTCAGCTCTCTCAACCCACTCGCATTGCCCTTGGAGCATCGATCCAACCACATCGCATCACGCACCCAAACATTCTTTAAAACAATTATACCACTCACTCATTATTCGCGATGGATTCGTTCAGCACCATTATGGCGAGAGACATCTCTGATGCGCCAAACGCGTCAGTGGTGAACCTCATGATCGCCCTGCTCGTCCTCATCTTCGTCGGCCTCTTGTCCTTCGCGATGCTCATCCTCTTCCGGAGGATCCGGAAACAGAGGCAGGTGCGCTCCGAGACGTTGCCGCAGTACAACGACGTGAAGCGGACGGGCAACCACCGGCGCCTGACCATCTCGACGGGCCCCGGCGGCGCCGGCCGGTCGAGCGTCATCGTCTTCAAGGACGGCCAGCCCATGCTGTCGAACCCGCAGTCGCCGCCCCACTCCCCGGACAACGTTCCGCAGATCCACATCACGTTCCCCGACGAGCACGATGACAACGGCAGGCCCAAGAGCGGCCGCGTCGTCATCGTCCGCGTCGGAGAGACCACGGTCGGCCTCGAGCCCCTGTCCGACGACCAGCTTCCCGCGTACGAGAAGGAGAGCAAGACTCAGTTCTACTCCCTCGACCTCGAGAAGATAGGCGGCCTTCGTGAGAAGGAGTACCGTTAAATCTGCCTACGCAGAGAATTTTAAAATATCTTGCGTGCTTCCTCCGGACCGCACGCGGGGGAAGCACAGTGCTCGTTCTAGCTTTTTTTTCATGAACGAGCTGCAAAACTTTCTCACGACCTGTTCTTTTTTTGATATTGGCTCGGAGTTGGCAGGGAGCAGGCAGGGGGGGTGGGGGTGACCGGGCACGACGTGCCACCAGCCAGCGTTTGCTTTTTTTCCAAGAAAAAAAACCTTAATCTATTCTCCACGGCCAAGGGATGGGGGGCGCGACTTTACCAGCAAACCACCGAATGAGATGGGCAGGCTGTGGGGAGCATGTTCACGACTGCTCTTGTACATAAAAGCAGGCTACGCTTGACCAGACGGGAGGGTTTGGACTACGATTCCGGCCATGGACATTCGAATGTTTTTTTTAACGTCCTTTGTCATGGCAGATCTTTTTCTTCGGGAAACGCCAAGAACGTGTCAAGTTTCATCGTCGAGACGTCATCGATCAGCAAGCGACGGATGGGGGGTGGGCTTGACTTGACTTGTTGAGCATCTGGTTGTACCGAATATTCTTAGTATTGTATAATTACTATTCCGTGCTCGATCTCGGGCTGATTAAAACAAACCCTTTTTTGTACATGATTTCGTGTCTAAGTGAGAGGAGGGACTAGGCGAGTCACTATGAAGGGGGCTTGCTTTTCAACGTAAAGAGTCGCGTTTGAACCAGAGAAATTTCCTGCACAGATTTACGGAAGCTACGGAGCTTTAACGGGTGGGAACAATTTGGAGTCTGACGACACAGCGACTGCCAGCCAGGAATGGATACCTCGAGCAGGAGCCTAATCGGACATTTACACTGGCTGGCGGCTGCGTCACCCTGGCGGTTGGCAGAGTTTTGAGAACTGTAGGTACTCCAGCGAATGAGTATGCGGGTTGGGACTCTGATATCATCATCAAATTGCTAGAAAGGTTCATATTTCTCAGGTCCTTTCTCTGGCAGGTTTCGAAAATGAAACATGAGTACTCCGTAGAGTGAGGTGGTTATTGAGGTCTTGGATTGCCCTCTAAACGGGAATTCGAGCTATGTAGGAACGGTCTAAAGGGAGATTCTTTGGGTGTCTAGCCAAAATTTACACCAATCAGTTCAATTATTCATGTGCATGCATGCATGAATGGGTGGAAGCTAGAGCCGAGCTTTTGGATGCGGCTGCTGTGGTGCAGGTCGAGGGAGGTGGACCGTGGGAAGCTGCCGCCGCCAGAAACACCCGCGCAAGTGGGGACTCAACTGCTCTTCATCCAAGAGTGGGAAGCTGTCTCGAAATCTTCGACAGGGAAACAGCTAACAACTCCATCCGTACCGAAACCTGGCCAACTCCAAAATGGCGCACAATTATTTCTCTCTGCCTGCTCTTCGTTCCTCGTGAGCAGTTCACTGTCAATGGCAGCTAAAGCGGCTCCTTGAACAGAATCCGGCGCACGCTTCCTTTTTTTATGTAACATTTTCTTCTCCTTTTTCTTTTTAATTTATTCCCGTCCCTCCTTTCCACCTCTTCTAGCCTCGCCCGTCCGCCCGCCCGTTCGCGGCTCTTCGTCCTCCTCCTTTCTATCACACAATGCCGAAACCAAAGACTGCGCCGCCGATAGCGGCACCGATACCGCCGACGCCGACGCCGAGCAAGAGCAGAATGGCTCCAAAGTCCGAGTCGGAATACGCAGCCATTTCGGCCCAGTTCGACGCTGCGAAGAGCGCCAAGGCCGAGGAAGATGCGTTGCGAGATGTGGAGCGCGAGAAGGCTAGTGTGCTGGAGCGGCAGCGAGAGGCGCTCGAGTCAGCGCGCAAGGCGAGCTACGAGGCGCGCTGGCTGTGGACCGTGGGCGTCTGGGTCTGGATGCTGTGCATCCACGTCGTCGGCATTGGCCTCTTCACTGGCGGCTTCCTGCTGGCGCGCCTCGTGCTGGACGACAAGTCGAGCTGCGACGCGCCGCCGACCCTGAACAGCACGACTGGACACGGCCTGGACATCTTGGGCCCCTGGGCGGGCAAGGGCACGGTCGAGGGCGGCTGCTGGCACCCCAAGACGTTCGACCGCGCCGTCATCGTGCTTATCGACGCGCTGCGCTACGACTTCACGGTCCCTGTCGACGACAATTCCGCCTTCCACAACGCCCTCCCCTTCATGTACGACACGTCGCTCGCGTCGCCCAACAATGCCTTCCTCAGGCCGTTCATTGCGGACCCGCCCACGGCTACGATGCAGCGGCTGAAGGGCCTGACCACGGGCACGTTGCCGACGTTCATCGACCTGGGCAGCAGCTTTGCTGGCACGGCAATCGAGGAGGACAACCTTCTGATGCAGCTCCGGGATGCTGGGAAACGCATTGTGCACCTGGGGGACGACACCTGGGACTCGCTGTTTCCCGGCTACTTTGAGGCGAACCTGAGCAGGCCCTATGACAGCTTCAACGTCCGGGATCTGCACACTGTCGATAATGGGGTAATTGAGCACATCTTCCCCCTGATGAGCGGAAAGGGCGACTGGGACGTTCTGATTGGTCATTGTCTCGGCGTCGACCACGCCGGCCATCGATACGGTCCGGAGCATGTCGAAATGACCAAGAAATTGCGCCAGATGGACACCTTCATCCGGGACCTGGCGGCGACAATGGACGAGAAGACGGTGCTGATTGTGATGGGAGATCACGGCATGGACGAAAAGGGCGACCACGGCGGCGAAAGCGACGACGAGGTCGAGGCGGCCTTGTGGATGTACTCTCCCAAACCAGTGTTTGGCAGGACAGACCCCCAGTTTGTTACGCCCCCGGCCACCGCAAAGCTTCGCCCTGTCAACCAAATTGATCTTGTTCCTACGTTGGCCTTGTTGCTGGGCATTCCTATCCCATTCAACAATCTGGGGCGCCCTATCGAGGAGGCCTTTGCCGGACCGACTGGCAAGGCTTGGAATAATCTGGCTGCTGCCGAAAGGACGACGGCGGCCGGTATCCAACGCTACCAGGCCTCCTACTCGGCCGCTCGGGGTATCCAACTGGCTTCGTTACCTGGCTCGCCCGCTGATCTCTGGAACCAGGCTGAGGCGCTCGTGTCTGGCAGCAAGAAGCGCGACTGGGCTGCCGTCTATTCTGCCTTTGCAGCGTACCAGCAAGAGAACCTGAAGCGGTTCAAGAGCCTGTGGGCAAGATTTGACCTCACAAACATGATCCTCGGAATTGCCATTATGGCCCTCGGTGTCATCACCCTCCTTGTATATGTTGCTAGTGGTGGCGGCGACGATACTGCTGTGGACGACCCGGAGCTAGATCGCGCAGAAAAGAGCTTGCAGATGCAGGGAATCACGGCAGACGAACAGGTGTCAGCTAGCACTAGCATCGACAAACGGATTGTTACTGCTGCACTCGTCGGCGCCGTGCCCGTGTTTTTGGGCGGGGTGGTCCAGTCCCTGGTCTCGGGGGCTGGCGGCTGGTATAGAGGTGCTGGGGTGGCAGCCTTAACAAGTATTGTAGCAGTTCTGGTAGCTCTGTTCAGGGCCGAAGAGTCCGTCTTCAAGATTATGCCCAGAACATTCTGGGGCTGGTTGGCCGTGGTTTTCACACTCAGCCAGTCCATCGGCTTTGCCTCCAACTCGTACACGATCTGGGAAGACTCAATTCTCCTGTTCTTCGTCACGACATTTGGCTTCGTCACGGCCCTGTCGGCGTTCAGGCTGCCGTCTCTCCCCGACCGTTATCTGAGCATCTATCACTCCATTCTCTTTGTCCTGCTCGGCCGTGTCGCGTCGTTCTCCAAACTTTGCCGCGAAGAGCAAATGCCCTACTGCACCTCGACATACTACGCGTCGGCAACGTCGTCGACTTCAGCACCGTGGCAGCTGGCGATACCCTTTCTTATCTTTTTCATTCTGCCTACCATCGTCAAGGCATATCTCACGCCTACACGATCATACGAAGGCCTGGCCCCGGTCTGGATTGGCTATGTGTTCCGCACAGGTCTCTTCTTGTCCGCAACATACTGGGCACTCGACGCCGCAGATAACGGAAACTGGGTTCAGGGCCTGCCAGAGAAGATGTTTAGGAACATCAGCGTCTACACTGCCCAGATAGTCCTTGGTTTGGCCTTTGTGGCCGGGACGACGGCCTTCATTTGGGCCCCGCCGTGCGTCTCCATCGTCACTACGGCGCTGAAGCCCGGCAAAGCACAGGTCGTTGTTTTGGGACACGCCAACGCCCACGGTGCCCGCTATCTATTCCTTCCTCTGAATTTCCTCGCCGCGTGCTTCCTGCTGTCCAAGCCCATGGGGGGTGGTGCCCTAGGCATAATGATGTGGCAGATCCTTTCACTCCTTGAGATCCTCGACCTCAATTCCTTAACTACCTCGCCAATCGGCCCCATAATACTCGCCCTCCTCGGCAACTTCCACTTCTTCAAGACGGGCCACCAGGCCACACTCAGCAGCATCCAGTGGGACAGCGCCTTTATCCCCCTCTTCAACCTCCGCTACCCTTGGAGCCCTGTTGTTGTCGCCCTCAACACCTTCGCCGGCCAGATTCTCGCCACTGTCGCCGTCCCGCTTGTCGTGTTGTGGAAGGTCAACCCTGCCAGCAAAGGCGCCCTGGACCGCGTCAGCCGCGCGCTCGGCACCTTTGTCGCATTTTTCGCCGTCGAGTCGCTGGCCACCATGGCCTGGGCCGGCTGGCTGCGCCGCCACCTCATGCTCTTCCGCGTCTTTAGCCCGCGGTTCATGACGGCCGCTATCGTGTTGCTCATCGTCGACGTCGTCGGCATCGCCGTCACGCTTACGGGCGTGCGGTGCAACACTCTCGCTATAAGCGACGTGTTTGGGTGGGCTGAATAAAATAAACACGACGGACTCACGCCTCCTATATAGGCACCTACCTACCTTGCCTTGCCTCATCTCTTTTGGATAAGCCACTCTAGAATAGCGCCTGGCACCCTCACGCGTGTGCAATGCAGAGCATTATTTTCCGAGACTGGCTAGCTTGGCGGGATTTTAGTTACGACAGGTGGTCGCTATACAAACCTAGAAAATGTACAAGTACATGTATATACATGGCATGGCATGGCTTTGAGGGGTGTTGGAATCTAAAATGTGACTTCTCTTTTTTCTTCGCATAATTGGTGTGCGTGCCTGCCCGTTACGTAGACATTCTCTAGAGAAATCGTCATCTAAGCTTTGTCTCGTCGTTCGTGGGTTTTTTAAGCACAGCTCGTCGTACGTACGTACGTACGTACGTACGTAACAGCCCGTGAATAAAAAGGCGGCGAGGAGAGTCTAGTTTTACCGCGACCTCGGTAGCCGATACTCGATATGCTTATTCGTACCTTATTTAGAAGCGGGTATGTAGGTTGATTCTAGCAGCACAGCGTAGCACAGCAGCATGATATTAAGCCCTCGGCATGGAATAAAGTCTAGGCATTCATTCATAAATTAACTCTTGCCTCGACTATCTATCTCGGTCCTAGGCTTGCATGCGTGGTGCTCGCTCGCCCGTCCGCCCGCCGGCTCAACTCTGCCTTGATCCCCATGGTTGGTAGTTCCACATTCAAGACATATGGCTTCCGTTTCCGCATACTGAGTATTACACATGAAAATACCATATATGCACCGAGACTAACACATCAAGCAACTCTCTTTTGCACAAACATAGGATCATCGCCGATTCTAAATAATCGGCAAATTGGGTCTGCGTCTAGGTGTGTAAATCGGGCGACCAGAAGTGGTTGACCACTCATCTTTACATGTCTGAATCTAACCTCATCTAGAAGTGACTCCAATGCCCTGAGCCCGGCGGCACACCGCCCGCCAACGACAGCCCCGCAGACCAAGAACATAGCATCTTGTTGAAGACGCAGCTCGCAGCCCAAGGCTCCCCCATATATTAAGAGCCGTTCCCACGTAAACACCGAACCCCAAATGAAAATGGTATTTTTCGTCACCTCCTGAACCTTCAACGCCGAGTTGAGAATGGCGGCCCCCTCAAAATATGCTAATGCTGTTGAAAACAAATCCGGATTTTCCTCTGTCCCACCAACGCCGAGTTGAGAATGGCGCTTTTTGAGGTATCATCAATGTCGCCCGTTTTGGAAAACCGTTAGACCCCAAAATGCTAATGCTGTTGAAACAAAAAATCCGGCCATACATGTGCATCATGGCGATGCATAAAATTATGCCTTCTGCTGCTGCTCACGGAAGTACTTGGCAGCGTTGACCATGTGGGTGAGGGCACCCTTGACCTCATCCCACTTGCGAGTCTTCAGGCCACAGTCTAAGGTCAATGTTAGCCAACATCCATATGCCGTTGTCGACGAGACACTTACCAGGGTTGATCCAGAGCTGATCAGGGCGAACTTTTCATAAATAGTTAGCACATGGACTGGGCAGCATTCTTCAAAGGCCTAGTATGGGATAGTCTTACGGAACTGGAGCATCTCAGAGATGCGCTGCTTGAACTCGTCCTCGGAAGGAATACGAGGGCTGTGGATGTCATAGACACCTGAAAGTCGGAGTTAGCATTGATCGCTTCACAGCAGTGAACCGGAGCTATGGATTGGTAACTTACCAGGGCCAATGTGGCGCGGGTAATCCTCGTCGATGAAGACCTTGAGGAGCTTGGCGTCGGACTTGGAGTTCTCAATCGAGAGGACATCGGCATCCAAAGCGGCAATGGCTATTTTCCAAAGTTAGCATACTTCCAACGACCGAATGCAATCGGGGACGACGAGGACAGAAAACATACCATGGAAGAAATCCTGGAATTCGGAGTAACAGAAGTGAGAGTGGATCTGGGTAGAATCCTCAACACCAGCGGTGGCGAGCTTGAAGCTGTCGACAGCCCACTTGAGGTAGGCGTCACGCTCAGATCCCTTCCTCAAGGGAAGACCCTCCCGAAGAGCAGGCTCATCGACCTGGATGACGAAAATTCCGTTCTTCTCAAGATCGACGACCTCGTCACGGAGGGCAAGGGCAAGCTGCTGGCACTGAACGGACTGGTGGACATCGTTACGGGGGAAAGACCACCGGAGGCAGGTCACGGGCCCAGTAAGCATGCCCTTCATGGGCTTCTTGGAGATGGACGCAGCGTACTTGGACTCCTTGACGGTCATGGGGAGAGGGCGGGAGATGTCGCCCACGATAATGGGGGGACGGACACAGCGGGAGCCGTAGGATTGAACCCTTTCAATCCTGTTAGCAGTGACTCCGGGAAGTAAAAAGACTGGACTGGACATACCAGGCGTGGGTGGTGAAGACATAGCCTGTGAGACGCTCGCCGAAGTACTGAACCATGTCGTTACGCTCGGGCTCGCCGTGCACATACACATCTAAACGTTGTTAGGACATGAAATATTGGCATAGTGGCGAGTATGTCAAATCGCTCAAGGAGCAACAAAGTAACAATCCCAAAGAATTGACTCACCAAGGTCAAGCTCATCCTGAATCTGGACAGCAAGGTCAATCTCCTTCCTGATAAACTCGTCGTACTGCGCCTCAGAGATATCCCCCTTGGTGAACTTGTTACGCTGAACGCGGATCTCCTGTGTCTGGGGGAAAGATCCAATTGTAGTGGTGGGGAAGAGGGGAAGCTTGAGGTGGGCCTTCTGCTGGGCATAGCGCGTGTCGAAGTGAGACTTGCGGTTGTGCTGCTCAGGGGTAACCTTGGCCTGGCGCTCCTTGACCTTGGGGTCGTTGGTGCGGGTAGACTCGGACCGGGCCTTGATGGTAGCAGCGTTGGCATCAAGCTCGGCGCGGACAGCCTCGGGGTTAGTCACAGCCTTGGCGAGGATGGCAACCTCCTTGGTCTTCTCGGTAGCAAAGGCGAACCAGTCGTAAACCTCGGCGGGAAGCTTCTTCTCGCTGGTCAGGGTGTGGGGTGTGTGGAGGAGAGAGCTGGAAGTGGAAACAATGACACGGTCGGCACCGAGAGCAGCGATGGCAGTCTTGACTAGCGCAATGGACTTCTGGAAGTCATTCTTCCAGATGTTACGGCCGTCAACGACACCGGCAGCTGCAGATTGGAGGTTAGCTCAAGACTTTTTAAGACTGGGAGCGGGGAACTTTTCTAAGACTGGGAGCGGGTAACTAACAAAGAATCTGCTTGGGGCCGAGCTGCTTGAGGACGGGCTCGAGCTGCTCGGGGTTCCGAACAAGGTCGATGTGCAGACCCTGGACCCTAGCAAAGGCGGGGAGAACGTCAAAGTTGTGAACGATATCACCGAAGTAGGTGGCGACGACAACAGAAGGAGCAGCACTGCCCAGGGTGCTGATGGCCTCATAGGCGGGCTTGAAGGCAGCCTTGACCTCGGGTGCGAGGTCAAAGACCAGGATGGGCTCGTCAATCTGGACGCTCTCAGCGCCGGCAGCCTTGAGAGCCTTCAGGAGCTCGACGTAGACAGGGATGAGCTTGTCAAGGAGGGTGATGGGGTTGACGGACGAGCCACGGTCAGCCTTGCCAAGAGCCAGGAACGAGACGGGGCCGACAAGAACAGGGCGGGTAACAAAGCCAGCCTCCTTGGCCTCGAGGAACTCGCGCACAGGCTTGGGGTCCTTGGCGAGGGAGAAAGTCTGGTTGTCTTGGAGGGTGGGCTTCACGTAGTGGTAGTTGGAGTCGAACCACTTGACCATCTCCAGGGCGGGGACATCTACACCGCCCTTTTGGTGGCCACGGCCCATGGCGAAGTACTCATCGATGGGAGCAAGCTTCTGGGATGTGTAGCGCTCGGGAACGGCCTGCGTGGTATGGTCAATTTGCAAGCCCCGAACGGAGAGAGCGGTGTGCTTGTAGGGTGACTCACATTGAAGAGCTGGATGTGGTCGAGGACATGGTCGTAGTGAGCAAAGTCGTTGGAGGGGATGATGTCTACTCCGGCATCCTTCTGGATCTTCCAGTGGGCCAGACGCAGTCTCTTGCCTTCGGCGAGGAGGTCGGCCTGCGAGATCTTGTCGGCCCAGTATGCCTCGTTGGCCTTCTTCAGGTCACGAAGGACTCCGATTCGCCTTTGGACAAAGGGCCGTCAGCAAACGCCAATGGCAATGGAACGGAATGGGATGGAGAATCTCGGCCAATTGGGCTTGAATTGATCGACTTACGGAAATCCCAACACGGATGACTGAACCATCTTGAATATGGGGGGGAGGAGTCTTAAAGTTTGGGTACGAGACAGAATGCTGCTTCTTTCTTGACCTGCGTCTTGCTCGGTCGGATCTACCAGGCAAGCAAGCGGAAGATGAAGGTAGATGAGGAAGATGAATGAAGGAGAGAATGAGCAGCCTGACGGGGGAGCGGGGAGGCTATTAAGAAAGAAGCAGCAGAGCTGCTGTGTACCTAAGAGGGCGAGTTTTGTGCTCGACGCCCCGGGATCGGTGGGGTCCCCCACCTTGTTCGGAGCCCGACCCTCAACGTCCCCTCCTTTCTTTGGGCCATTTGGTGGGGTGAAAAATCCATAGCTCGGCGCTTCAGGGCACTGCAGGGTCTGTGGGTTTTCGGCCGTTGTTAGTGTTTACCGCAACGAATGCGTGCCGACACTATCGTGCAGAGGCCGATGATGTGATTGAGCCTCTGATGAACATTGGATTTTTGGCCCCCTCCGACCAGGACTCAAGCTCCGGGAACCGGGTATGTACTTTGGCGGGGCACTGTACAGTCGGGGTCTTCCCAGTCTGGCCTCGCTCCGCTCGCTTCCCTGCGGAAGAAACTATAGCCGTCTCCGAGGGACCTTGGCGGGTCCAGCCCCTGGCGCCCCACATTAAATTGGGCACCTCATTTCCAAGGTTGCGCGCATGTGGACAGTGGGCAAGACTGCAGTGCGTGCGTGTGCGTGTGCGTCTGAGACGGACGGATGGGTTGATTTGATGCAGTTCAGCCGAGCAAGCAAGCGCCACGGTTTCTGCCATTCCATTCGCCTACGACAGACTGCCTGGAACCTCCAACCACAGCTCAGACAGAGCAGGAGCCCAAGGACTGGTGCACGCAGCTTCGCAAGAGCTTCGTCATCGTCAAATCCACGACTGGTCCCCTCGGCAGCAACCAGATTTGCAAACTCTACAATTAATTGTTCACAATCTCCATTAAATTTATTTTCAAACCTCTTGCAGACGCGCACTCCTCAACGAGCTGCCACCGCTTTACCCGACGGGTTTGTCGCGCCCGTCATTCGACTTAGGTCGCTGCTCTATTCCACTGTCTCGACACGACTCCCATAATATATCCCTCGCCATGTATTCGAATCCGAACTCGTTCCTAGGCGGCAACAGCCTACGCCCCGGCCCGCAACAATATGGCGGCGGCTCCTTCGGCGCGGCAGGCGGCCAGCAGCAGCCACAGCAGTCACAGCAACAAGCAGGCCAGTTCGCTCCCCAGCCCACTGGCTATGGACAGGTTCCGCTCCAGCAGCAGTATACCGGCTACCCCGGAATACAGCCGCAGCAGGGCGCCGGGCAGCTCCAGCCTCAGTTCACTGGCTACGTGCCGGCACAGCAGGGGAACTTCCAGTCCGCGGTGCCGCCAATGCCGGCGATTCCCTCTCAGTTTCAGCAACAGGCGGGCGCGTTTGCATCTGCGCAGCCGCAACCTCAACAGTCTGCCCAGACTTTGGCGCCCCCTCCTACACCCGTCAAACCGCAGCCTACTGGATTTACCGAAATGGCGGCCTCGTTCCAGACGGGCGGCTCGGCAAAGCCCAAGGGGCGCAGGGCTGAGAAGCAAGCGATCAAGATTCCAAACATCCGTCTTTCGTTCATCACGGCGCAAGACCAAGCCAAATTCGAGACGTTGTTCAAGTCAGCCGTCGGTGATGGTCAAACCACCATGTCTGGAGACAAGGCGAGAGATCTTTTGTTGCGCTCGAGGCTCGACGGAGATTCGCTCTCCCAAATCTGGTGAGTACCGCTTCCGCACACAGACCGTGACGGCACGAGCTGATTAAACTGCGCAGGACCTTGGCCGATACTACAAGATCAGGCCAGCTGCATTTCCCCGAGTTTGCCCTGGCCATGTACCTTTGCAATTTGAAGCTTACTGGGAAGACCGTCCCTTCCAACCTTCCTGAAAACATCAAGAACGAGGTGTCCAGTATGGTGGACATCATCAACTTCAGCATAGTTGAGGAAGCTGGCGGCAGCTCCACTCCCAACAGCAACGCCCCTGATTTTGCCCCTATGCAAAGCACGGCCACTCCTCCCGCTATCCAGCATCCTCAACCACAGGCGTCCAACTCGCAGATCCTTCAGGCACAGATGACGGGCTTCCCCGGTCAGCAGACTGGATATATGGGCCAGAACCAGGGCCTTCAGGCGCAACAGACAGGATTCCTGCAAGCCACTGGGTATACCGGTCCTCGCCCTCCTATGCTGCCAATGCCGACCGGGTTTGGATCGACCTTGGGGCCTAATGCTGGCCCCGGAGGATTGGTAGCTCCGCTGAACGCTCAGCCAACGGGAAGACCTGGCCAGTGGGGTCTTGTTAACACTCCATCGACTGGACTTCCGAATATTGATGCTCTTCAGGCACGCATGATGCCCCAGCAAGGCCGCGAGCAGCAAAGCTATACCACTGCCGGATTGCAGGGCAATGCAGTTATTCCTTGGGCAATCACCAAGGACGAGAAGACGAGATATGACTCTCTGTTCAGAGCGTGGGACGGCCTAAACAAGGGATACATCGCCGGTGCTCAGGCCATCGAGATCTTTGGCCAAAGTGGTTTGGACGAAGGTGAACTTATGAGAGTCTGGACTCTCGCTGATAACGGAAATAAGGGTCGCTTGGATCTGGACGAGTTTGCCGTTGCAATGCATTTGATCTACCGGAAGCTTAACGGGTACCCCATCCCGAATCAGCTTCCTGCCGAACTAGTACCTCCGTCAAGCAGGAACCTGAACGAGTCTCTTGGCACAATCAAGAACATGTTGAACCAAGAGTCGGATTTTCGGAAGAACTCCGGTGCGGCTTTGTTACCCCAAAAGACTGGTGTCAGCTACCTGAAAAGCCACTCGTTCAGGGGCAGTGGTGGAGCCTTCGGCGGTAACCGCAAGGATGCTACTGTCTTCAAGAACAACGACGACGAAGTGGGCTATCGGTCGAGCGCGCGCCGCAGGCTTGGCAATGGATCACCGCGCCCTGAATCTCCATCGTCTGTCACTTCAAATGATGAAATGACCTTGGATCAGCTCCGGAAAAAGATCAAGGAGAAGCAGATTCTGCTAGATGCCATGGACTTCAAAGACGAGAAGTATGCCGAAGAGGACGATATTCTTGACCGGCGCGATCGCCGTGAAGCTGAGGAACTCTACCGCCGTGTTAGAAGGATTCAAGAGGATATCAATAATCACCCCGACGCATCCTCAATCGGCGGGGACTCTGACGCCGAGAGAAGAGCGCTGAAGCGGCAGCTTCAGAATTTGACAGACAAGATCCCCGAACTCGCATCTCAGGTTAGAAAGACTGAAAAAGCTATTGCTGAGGCAAGAATGGAGCTCTTCCGCCTGAAAGATGCCAAGGCTCATCCAAGCAGTGCTGCTACAATCATCGGCACTGGCCCCGGCGGCACGGTCACCGAGTCTGACAGACTCAAGGCCCGGGCTAAAGCCATGATGCAACAGCGGACCGCTGCTTTAACTGGCCGAAAAGTTGATGTTGGCAGCGGCGAGGATCTGGATGCCCCCAAGAGGCTCGAAGAAGAGAGCATCAAAACCAGAACCGAGAAGGAAAACAACGAGCGTATGGTACGCGATGTGGAAGACAGTGTTCGGGAATTTGCAAGGGGCGTTGAAGACAATCTAAAGGAAGGTGGCCAGGATTCAACAACAGAACACGAGAGACGCCGCTGGGAAGATGGCCTTGGAGTCGAGGACGAAATTAGGGATTTTATATATGATTTGCAGCGCGAGAGCCGAGCTGCTCGTGTCCGAATCCAGGATCGCCAGGGAGGTCGCAGGGCTGCGCAAGAGCCTGTTAGAGCAGAGGCGCCTCCATCTGCTCGCTTCGACACCCCTCCCGAGACGTCTCGTACGTCTACCCCAAGCGCTGCCCCAGCCGCTGCTAGTGGCTCATACGCCTCGTACAAGACACCCGAGGAGCGAGCTGCGTTTATCAAGCAACAGGCAGAGCAACGGATGGCTGAGAGACTGGCCGCATTGGGCATCAAAGCTCCCAGTAAGCCCGGCGAGACTACGGCTCAGAGGATGGAGCGTGAACGAGCCGAGAGGGCGGCAAAACTACGCCAGGCAGAGGAAGAAGACGCTCGGCGGGAAACTGAGAGACAAGCCAGGCTTGCTGAAGAGCATGGAACGCCGACAACAGCGGTCCAGTCTCCCAAGGGCGAGGCCAAGAGGCCTCCTCCGCCTCCGAGCAGAAAAACCGCGAAGGCCGATGACAGACGACAGGAGGAGGAGGCTGCTGCTGTTGCTGCTGCGAGGAAGGCAGACGAGGAGCGACAACAGCAGGAGCGCGAGGCACAGCAACATGCTTCTCAGCAATTTGAGTACGTGTGTCCTTCCCCCCCCCAGTCGGGTCGTATCTAACTAGGTTTCGCAGGGCAAGCGCGAGAGCTCAAGAAGAGGCGCTCGCAACCGAACGTGAAGCAGCCGATGCCAGCCTGAAGGCGCTCGAAGAAAGAGTCCGGCAAAGCAAGCTGAAGAAAGAAGAAGAGAAGCGGAAGAAGAAAGCTGCGCAGGCCGAGGCAAAAGAAAAGGAAGCCAAATTGGCGCAGCGTCGGGCTGAAATCGAGGCGACTCGCAAACGCGAGGAGGAGCTTCGGAGGCAGCTAGAGGCAATTGACAACGACGACAGTTCGTCTGACGACGACGAGGGAGCAGAGCAAATCACTCCGCAGGCATCAACTCCAACACTGGGCGGTAGCCAGGTCGGCAGCCAGGAGCTGGAGCCCAGGCCTACTCCCCCTATGATTCCTGTAGCCTCGCCACCGCAAATCACTACAACCAGTCCTGCCGCCGCCGAGACTGAGAGCCGCAACCCGTATTTCAAGCTGATGTCGCAGTCCTCGGAGCCGTCATCAGTCTCGGGAGGCCCGCCAGCAGCGCCGCCACCGCCGCCGCAGCCAGATGTGTCTACCAACCCATTTCACCGAATGTCCATGTCGCAGGCAGCTGCGCCAGCAGCTCCGTCTGGACTCGTATCTAGGAAGCAGCCTGACGACGATGGCTGGGGCTCTGATAAGGACGAAGACGACGAAGATTCCGATGACGATAGACCTGGCGGCAAAAGCGCCGCTCATCTGGCGTCTATCCTGTTTGGTACTATGGCGCCACCGCGCCCGTTGTCTGCGGCGGGCGACAAGTCTGCAGCATCTCCTACTTCTCCAGTTACGCCGACACTTTTGGACACATCTGCTTCCCCAGTAGCGACCGGCCCTCCGCCGACGCTGCCGCCTCCAATGCCGAGTGGCATCCCGGACGGCCCTCCGCTTCCGCCACCGCCACCGCCGATGCCGCAGTTCGGAGCCCCAGCGGCTCCTCCCCCGCCGCCTCCGATTCCAGGCATGGCTCCTCCGGCACCACCGCCCCCTCCTCCGGCAATGGGAGGCATGCCAGCACCGGCAGCAGGTCGCCCCTCGGCTCTGTTAGGCGAGATTCAGATGGGTAGAGCACTGAAGAAGACGGAAACGCGTGACAAGAGCGGGGCAGCAGTAGCGGGGAAGGTTTTGGGTTAATATAATAGTTTATGCGGCTACACCAAGTGGCAAGGAGAAGGATAGCAGATGGCCAGTTGGTGGGAACGGGCCGGCAACGGCAGCCGGGGTGGTTGACTAAAGAGGGGCAATACAATATGGAGCTGTGATCTCATTTACGTAGCACGCGGCATGCAATCGCCCCCTTCACAACGGCGGCCGCTAGTTTGACAAACACGAATCCCCATGAGCCAATGTTTCTCTCTCCCTCAGTAGAAACATGCATTGGATGCGGACGGACGCCCTGGCCTTATCTAGAAGCCGGGCAGTTTCTCGGCCAAAAGAAGAAAAAAAGATGGAGCTGCAAGTGTGTATGTGCTGTAAGGTAAGAAAGAGCAGAGCGAGGATCTCACGGCTGTCAACAGGCCCATGGGATAAGTCAGGCACTGCCAATGCTTTCTTACTCTCACTGTGACTATGGCTTTGGGTCTTATGCACCCCAATTCTTTTACACCATTGATGGGACGTATGCCCCGTGTCATCCGGCTGCATTTGGTTTGAAGAGTTATGAGTTAGATTTAGAGGGGAAGCTGAACCCTGTGTAAGAGCTTCCAGGGACCAAGTATTCTGTTCTGTCAGGTGCCCCGTGCCGTATTTAGACCTTTTTTTCTTCGAGATGATGCATGCCTTGAACCTAGTTAGCTAACTAAAGAGTGAATCCCCCGCGGGTTTGTCTGCTACTGCTTGCTTGCTGCATGGGCCTACTCACTCACTTACTACGTATGCATGTACGTACCAGAAGGGATAAGGTATATATGTGTGTAGAGCAAAGCTTGTACCACTTCCGCGCCTGCATCTAGGTATCTGTCTGCAGTTTATGATGAAACACATGCACATATAGCACCCGTCGAAAGCGGGGGTGGGGAGGGGAGGGGGCATGTGTGCTTGTAGATAGGTGTAGTAGGTAATGTATGCGTTCGAAGATGCAAAGGAGCTGAGTGAACTGAGTGTGTGTGTATATGTGTGAGTATATGTGCAGATGTTGATTTGGAGATTGGGCTACATGTTTGGTACATAGGCACCTCGTCTCGTGTACGAAGTATCATGTGTAGAACTGTCTTATCTCAGGCATTTCCCTTCAGGCACATACAGCTCTCCCTCCCCATTCGGCGTAGGGTTCAAAAAGACATGGTCCTACCACTTCTCGATATTTTTTTCCTGTTTCTATCTCTCATCTCTTTGCGTGGGCCGTGGAGTAGGTAATCAGGTGGAGGGTCTCTTCTTCCCAGTGACCTTCTGGGGCCGGGATATCCGTAATGGGATATATATAAATGGAAATCCCTATAGGGCAGGGATAACGCGTTCCTCCACCCCACTCCGTTGCGGATTTACCCCGAGGGGAGGCCCTTATTTCCGTGACCAAGTTTACCTAGACGATCTCTAGCTCGTTAATGGCCGTGTGTTATAACGTCGCTACTACACAGTAGGAACTGGAGAAAAAAAGTAGAACCGACCGAGAAGGAAGGAAAAAAAAAACTTGCCTGGCCCGGCCCGGCCTGCCCTTGCAGAACAGCCCAGGCAGGTTTCCGAGTCAAGTAACACGCCGATCGAAAATAGGCAATTACCGGTGCCTCGGTACGCACTCCCTAGCAGGAAAAGAAGAGAAAGGTAGTCTTACATCGGGGATGGCAGCAAAAGCCGGCGAAAAGTAAGATGGGTTCGGAGGACCTAACTTACCTGGGCCATCAACGAGTCCGAATGCACGCTGTTGCCTTTTTTGACCTTTGAGCAGACTCCAAAGCCCAAATGGGACTACAATTCAATCATCACAGTACTAAGGTACTCATAAAAGTTTGCCTATGCGAGCTTGGGCATTTACTGGGATGCCGATCTGAAGGCGAGGGCCAAGAATGAAAGACGAGATAGCCGTACTACGTATACGTATCCCCCTTTGACGCCCCATCGGAAACAAGAGCCTGCCGAATGCGATGTGCAATGTGCATCGGCAACTGCATGCGCTTCTGCTGCCGCCAATGCTCTGCCGAGTGTCATCTGTGGATACGGATGACAACTAGGGCGGATCACTGTCGGTCGCCGTTGAGCCAATGATGTCAAGTCGGCGATCTGGTCCTCAGACCAGAGCCACCAGAACTAGGACTAGGCCTAGGCCACAGGCCACACCGGCCCAGAGAGAGAGAAGAGACGCATCCGAGCGAGCGAGCGGCCGGCCGGCCGAGTGGACAAGCGAGAGGGCAGTGCGAAACGAAACATGGCCGATGATGAAAAGACAGCATCCCAGGCCGGGCAATGAATGACATGCTCAGTGCTAGTAAGTTACCCTTACACGGTAGCTATCTCGCATCTTCGGCGGTGAATGAGCCGTTTGTTGAGTGACGAGTCGGGGAATGGCGCAGCATGGAAGGAAGGCCTCGAGACTGGGCCTCTGACAAGCACATTCCATAGCCAACGCCTGGGGGAGGCATTCATGGGATTTATGCCGCTCTTTGGCATGTCTCAAAATTAGGGCCGAGCGAGTTTGTGAGGCCACAATCTTTTTAAACTTGAAGCTTGCCTGAGCGGTGGGCGGCGGGCAGGCAAAGCAGCTGAGAATTGGCGGGAAGTGGGGTGGGATCTCCACTGACCAGGGGTCTCTCTTAGTCGTCGTCGGAAACCCCGCGAATTCGTCATTAATGGGCCGCTGTGATTGGACCAGCCGGCGGCCGGTGACGCGCGAATGCGACGCGAACAGTCGCGCTTGCGCAGACTTTCAATTTCCATAAACAAAAAAGCGCGACGCCGCGCCTTCCTGTTGGATCGTCTGAAGTCGACCCCCTCCACAAGCTCGCACGGCGTCGTCGACTCGTCGCCAGCCGATTGCATCGCAGCCAACCAACTTCGGCCGACGACTCTCATTGCCAAACGTCTGGCTTTTTGGCAATTAATTTTTCTTCTTCTTCCTCGCCTGGCACGTCGTCTAGCAAGCACCCCGCAGCGCACAGGCCGTTTCGGACAGATAGCCAAGACATTCCTGACTGCCTGAAGAAGGAGAGGTAACAGCCTGATGGTTCGGTGCTGCACCCTCACCTCACTTACAAGTGCGGCGTGGTCGTTCGTCTCTCTCCGCTCTTGACCGACTAAGTGCTGTACGGATACCTAAGACCTGGCCAGTACCCGTGTGTGGAACTGGGCCGTTTGCACGACCGCCATCGCGCATCTAGTAGGGGATTGGATTGGATTGGGTTGGGTTGCCGCATTGCACAGCCTCTCCACTCGTCGAGTCTCACAGAAGAGCTACCTCGTCTATCAGGTCGAGTCTGCGAACCGAGTCCATCTCCTCATCGCTGCTCATCCCACGTCGGCTTGCCAGCGTCTCAGGTCACCTTTCCCCGCCCATCTGCCGTCAGGAAACCTTGTCGCCTGCTGCCCGCTTCGCCCGCATTGATTGCCTTTGTCGCTAGGTGCGCTGTGGATGGGCCTCCTGCCATCGAGAAATAACGAAGAAAGAAAAAAGGCATATCTTTGACGACATCACATATCATCGCAGCCAAGCTGCCTTGAACTTGAGAACACCCGGGGCCACTTAAACGAGAGGCCCTGCCCTGCCGCACCCTTGCACCTGACCCCAGACCCTTGTCATTGGTGGTCAGCCTGTGTCCGTCTCTCGTCCAATCCACTGAGCTGCTAGCCTCCCCCCCTCCTTGCCTGGTGCCGTCTCGACTCTTGGCTGCGTTCTTGGAACAGGCGTGTGCGTGCGTGCAGTGTGCGTGCAGCGTGTGAGCTGGCAGTGGGCTCAAATCATCTTTTACTGCCCGCAACCTGCAACCTTCCCTCCACAGCCAGTCAGTCGTCCTCTTCACTGTTGGCCCTCCCACGTCGCTTGCCGCCCGCCCTCCGCCCTCCACCCAGCCTGTCTCTCCCAACTACCCTACTCGACTCCCTCACTTTTCGACTTTCTTGATGCTCGACCGTGTCGATCGCCATTGCTTGCCTTCATCTTCTCGCTCGACGCGCGAGAACGACCTTTTTTGCCCTTGCAGCCGCCAGCTTTCCGCGACAACGTTTCTGCCCTGAGAAAACGCAGCAGCCGCACTCCCGGGGCTTGTCATTGACATTAACCACAGCCGCCCGTCCTGCAACTTTGAACCCTCCGGACTTCTTAACGCCCTCCACGTGTACCCGCCACCGCCATCCCTGGCTTGAGCCCCCCACAGTTAATTAAACTTAGTCCTGGTTCGAGGTCAGCAGTAGCACAGCACACAGGGCCTTTTACCATCCCAATCCCTCTTCTCGTCAGACTCGAGCAATCCGTCACCCATCCGAGAACGCGATACGAAACCTGACGGCGACGTGCAGTCAACCGGCCGCTGCCAGGTCTTTGTAGTCCCCGACTGTCGACTTGTTGGTCCCAAACCGCTCGCTTGATTGCCGATTCTCTCCCGCTGTTCGACAAGGACGCCCTCTCGCTCGGCCAGCAATGGCCAGGCAAGCGCGTTTCGCGGCGCCCGAGCCGCTTCATATCTTCCAGGACGAGTTTTACGACCACGCAGCTCCTCCAACCATCAGCCATGCCCCCATGCCGCAAGCATCCAAGCCACATCGGCAGCCCCTTCAGAGTACCAATGCCAATGTGGTGCTGAACCCGCCGAGTACGACTTTTATCAAGCAGTCGCCGTTCAAGTCCAATGCCCGGTCATCAAACGCACCCCTCACCCCTCTCAAGGCGTCACAAGGCAATAAGCTCAACATGGTACCGATGATGCCCCCCAGCAACTTTCAGCAATCGACAGACTCTCTGGAGAAGAAACAGCCTCTCATGTCCAGATTCAAGACTGTGGCACAGAAGCCTACTCCACCCGAGATGGGTATGCAGTTTATGGGCAAGGAGAATTCACATCCTCCGATATTTCCGGCCCCGATGCCCCCTCAGTTCAACATCCCTCTAGAGAACTACTACCAGAAGCCCTCAGGCAAACGCGTCCTTCTGGAAGCGGCGCCGATCAAGGAACTTAGGCCAGCGAAGAAGCCGAGACTGGAAGAGCCGCTGCCAACGCCGGATTCCTTCCCTTCCATTGTCGACGACGGTGCAAAGCCCGGCCACAGCTATGCTACCCTAATCGGAATGGCGATCCTCCGGTCCCCGCAGAGGCGTCTTACGCTGGCCCAGATATACAAGTGGATATCTGACACGTTCTCCTTCTACAATGCCAACGACGCCGGATGGCAGAACAGCATTCGGCATAATCTCAGCCTCAATAAGCACTTCATCAAGCAGGAACGGCCAAAGGACGACCCGGGCAAGGGAAATTATTGGGCCATCGAACCGGGAGCGGAGCACCTCTTCATCAAAGAAAAGCCGTCGAGGAAGGCGGCGTCCACCGCCGAGAATCTTCCCGTCATGTCGACACGTCTTGAGCCATCCCAACCTCACATGTCCTTCATCCAGGAACCTATCCTTCCCCCCCAGCTCCCAATGAGCCAGTCTTCGTTGTCTGCGTTGCCGCCGATGCCGCAACCTTCGCAGCATACCAATGCCCCTCTACCTGAGATCTCATCGGACGCGACGATACCGGTTTCGGACATGGCAACCCTAGATGACATTCCCGAGAGACAGAATGAGGCGGAAACTGTGAACGAGGCCGACTTGTATCCCAACCTTCCTGCTGCCATGCACTCGTCTCCTCCAGTTCCCAGGCATATGGACGCCCTCCACAGCGGGACGCCGCCTCCCCCGCTGCAGCTGCATAACTCATCCGCGACCAAGTCACGCTCCCGGAAGCGAAGATTCACGTCGATGGATGATAGCGGCTATATCTCATCCCTCGAGTCCTCGGTAATGCGCCCTAACCAACACGCCAAACTCCTCACCTCCGAGGCAGACCGTCCGCGAATCAAGAGAGGTCGGGCGGAAGAAGAAATTGCACGACTCCGTGCTTCGTCATACGACAGCCCCTCCAAGGGACGGCCCTTTGGATATCATCCGGCTTCTTCGTCCCCTCTTCGGCAAACTTCCAACAGCGGGCAGGGGCAGATGTTGCCACCCCTGACGCCCGCCATGAAGTTGAAAGCGCCTCCAAAGCCCCCGCCGTCTGTCTCTCCAAGCACAAACTTGCGGTTGCACCGAGAGAGCATCCAGTCCATGATGGACTCGCCGTATAAACGCGTCAATGCGTTGCTACCGGAAGGAGACAATCTGCTGCAACTTACACCGGGCTTTAGCGTCGATGAGGTGTTTTACGGATACGATCGGAAGAGTGAAGAGCATCTAGACCTCGATATCTTCCAGGATTCACCCTACGCGTCTATATTTACCGTTACTCCCGCTGCTGTTCGCAATGGATCGCCAACTAAGAAGTCGGCTAAGAGGCAACGTATGGACCGGTCACTGTCTACCAGCGCACTACACGACATGTCCAACTTTGGTGGCTCGCACAACTTTACCGACTCTTTCCTCAAAGTTCCCGCGCCGTCGGCCAACCTGATGTTTGATACCCCAAGCAAGATGTTTGACAACCTTCCGTCTTCCCCAAGCAAACTATTCATGACGTCGCCAAGCAAGATGCCTGAGATCAACGACGAAAACGTGGCACCCTTTTTCTCTCTGGACGATCTTTGTGCTCCAGACTTCCTCGAGGATAGCGACTTTGCAGGGATTGATATGCTTGCCGGGTTTGAGAAAATCGGATCCAATAATGCCCAGGCCTCTTCATCGCGAGGCACGAAGCCTTCTCAGAAGGCGCCGCTCAGCCGGTGCTACACTTCCAACTTCTAGACCGCCTCATTGGGTAATTTTGCTCTTTTTTGTCACCTTTGTCGCGCATACGTGCCATAGGCGCTGAGCATTCACGACTGTTACGATTTTATGAAGATTTATATCTCGATGGCCTCAATTGGAGCCCAAGCAGAAGATGGGTTAGGGCTATTGTTCATTGCGGTCCATAAACTCAACTCGACGATAATGACCTCTGACCACCTCACAATGGGAGGAGGAACCGATATATATGTGGATGCGGATCCGAGAGAGAGCCCTACGCATTTCTCTTCCTCCCACCCGAAACCAATACCCTCGCCCCAAGGCTTTCTCTGTCTATGAATAGGGTTCTTTTTTCTTTGGCCTGTTCTGCCTGTCACGAATACTAATGAAGGGATGTCTCACTACTATCATTACGGAGTACATAACAAAGCAGCATATTGGAGTCTTAATGTCTTTTTTTTGTCTTGTTAGGATGTTTTTCAAGGATATGCCCGCGCACATTTGCTTCTCTGGGGAATAGGGAATGAATAGGGGGTTGGTACACGGTTCTGGGTTTTGTAGCCTGCAGCTACGGGAGGCTTTTTTCTTTTTTTACTGTTAATGGCCATGATGACGGGGCCACGGCTCAAGTGCACCTACTGGGAAAGTAACGGTTTTGCTAATTGCCGGGGTTTTCTCGTCCTGATTTGCTATTGTCCTTTTTGGGGCTTAAGGAATACAGTCCTTATCTCGTCTTCTCTCACGGTCCGAATTACTATTGGTAACCGCATGATTTTGCACGAATTGATTCAGTCAACCTGACGTTTCCGAGATATGAATGCTGTGCATGTGATGTCATGATGGGTACGGAAGGTTTGTTCCTTCGTGATCTGAAATTTGTGTTGTCCGAGGAGAACGAATCGAGGTCTTTCCGTCTTAAACCGGCAGAGGTTTCCTTAATGGACTGAATCACGGATTCGGTATCAACTGATGGGATCAACTGGTGGGACGGACGGCATATGTCCTCTATACACGGCGAGTAGCAACGTCAAGGTCAGCTTAGTTTTATTCCTCTCAACGTTACTCGATTGCGAGTTCCTGCAACTATATTACCTAGGTAGGTAGGCAAAGCAGCGGTGGCAATGCAGACATGGAATGCAGTTGACCCAAGATGGTCAAACGTTGTCCGTAGGTACCCATCCATATCTCTAGACCCAGTCTCTAATAAAACTCCCGTGGCCCATGCCAAAAGAATAATAACGCCTGGAATGAAATTGAAAGAAAATGAAAAACAAGACAAGGTCTCGGGAATCTATTCCTCGTGTGCTCCACATGGGCATGTTGTCGACCACGAAGACAAATGCATGAGCGATATGTGCCATGTAAATATATGTGCTGGAAAGAGAAGAGGAGGGGGCGAAAAGGCACCATCAATATCCATCCATCCAATTCAGTTTTCAAAAGTCAAAAAAAGAAAGAAAGAAAAAAATGATTTGTCTTTGGGTTTCCCGCCGTTCACGCCGTACGCCCCTGGGCCCCATCATATACACATAAAGCAGTCAGTCATATAGTCACTCCTTTTACTCCTTTCACTCTCACGCCCAATCATAGGCCACCGCCAAACTCACTCAGACCAGTGGTCACGATCCGCTTGCTGCCGGACCGAACCAGACCCGTGATATGGGGCCCAGAAAGGCAAAGGCACCACGCAGGGAAAACGGCTCCTAGTAGATTCCCATGCGCGAGGCCCAGCCGGGGTCCTTTTGGTGGTTAACGGTGATCTGGTAGGGGAACGGGTTCGACTCGGTCGTCATGATGGGCGGGATGTGGTCCTTGTGCGTGTTGGCCAGCGTCACGGCCTTCATGATGGTGTTGTGCAGCGTCGACTCCATGGCCTTGCGGACTTTGGCGCGTTCTATATGTGTGTTCAGGTCTTGTTAGCTCGCATGTTTCTTGATCCCAAGCTCCAGGGTTCCAAGAAAGTATCTGTCGCCATCGATGTGTTCCGCCGCGGCTTTTCCAGACACAAAAGGAGAGTTCGAGTCAAGCCAGAGAGGCCGACCACCCGGTAGCCCGTGATATGTCTCCCTGACGAACCGCAGGCTGGAGTCAGCGGACAGGGAGACCACTCTCTCTCCCGCCCTTCCCATAAAGCATCTCGATAGCGCGACTCCCCCATGTCATAGCACGAAGGAAAGAAGTATAGTACGAGCAGATAACTCACCACCCTCTGTCCTCGGCTCCGCGATGGTTACCTTGACGGTCCAGCTCTCCCAGCACACCTCGTCGCCGCCGCGCATGTCGTACCAGGCCTTGCGGCGCTTCTTCTCAAAGAACGAGACGGTGATCTGGCCGCGGCCGCTGCCGCTGGACGAGGCCGTCACCTGGTGTCCCGGACCACCACCACCACCACCACCACCACCACTACCACTACCACCACCGCCGCCGCCGATTGAATGCGGGTGGTTGTGCGTGTGCGGCTGGCTCCGCTCCGTCTCGAGCTGGCGCACCAGCGACCCCACGCGCTGGTCGATTAGCGTCTCGATCTCGGCCTCGGGCACGTAGGCCAGCTCGAGCCCGATCACGTCCCGCGTCTGCGGGAGCACCGACGGGAAGAAGCGCAGGAAGAAGATGGTGTGGAGGATTCCTGCAAATATGTGTTTACTTAGTAAAAACCCAATGGTATTTTGTCTCTCTCTTCGAAGGCGAGCGAGTTGATTGGGATTCGTAATGAAATAGAGGATGGCGTACCCCGTAAAACATCGCGCGCCGAATTCGGGTCGGCAAATGCCTCGAGGATGAACTCGGGCGCGCCGCGTTGCTCCATGGTCGGAAATGCAGCTGCGGCCGAGAAAATCGCGGGTACGGACACGGATGGCAAGCGAGGTTTGTTCTGTTACTATTGATTGTCTTTTGGTCAGAAGAGAGTTGTGCCGTTTGTGTCTTGTTGTTAGAGTTAAAGTTGAAGGCAGGTGTGTGGTGGTGGTGGTCGCTAGGAGGGGTAGCAGAGTGAGCCGCCGATCGGGTGCAATTGATGAGGGGCAACTGCACGCAACCCAGCTCATCCTGCATGGAGCCCCAAACTCGATAAAGAAAAGCGCTACGTCAATTGAGTCGGTCAAGTGCTACAGTATTTGGCAATGATAAATTGGTCCGTGGGTCATTGCTTGCCCTGACTTCTCTCATTGTGACTGTTTGCCCGCCCCTGAATACCTAGGTTACCAACGTCACCAACAGTCGCGTGCACCAGGAACCCCCACACCCCAGAACCGATGACTATGGCTGTCATGGGACATCGATAGTGCGCTGGGGTGTGAGTGTCTTGTAATTTGTGCAAGGAGGTATCTTAAAGATAGCTCAAGGCAGCTCGAATGAATCACTATTTTCACGGCTCATCAGGAAAGAAAACATGTTCGGAAAGCTTTATCTTTGGTTGTCGGCGTCGTTCAGATGTTGAAATGGCCGACTTACATCCGGATAGACGATGGTCGGGGTTAGGGTTGTAAACGCTCAGCTGCGCCTGAGCGGTCTTGGCAGTTTTAAAGTGCCTTGATCTGGGCGCGCATGCACTGTATACATGCATCCCAGCCGCTATCAAATTGCCGAGCCGAGGTAGGTGCGTGCCATTTACAGCACCTCGCAGCTCTCATCCAAACTTGCGCAGCTGCGGTCCCGTCACGGCTGATCGCTAACGAACGTTGAAGCTTGCGCGACAGCATCAAACGTCGCCCTGCCGATCGCCGCAGACGACGACTCAAACGCAGACGCCGTGCTCTGCGCCGGCCGAGTTTCACCATGTTTGGAGCCACGCGCCGATGGTTTCGCCGCAACCGCACGCCCATCGCCATCGGCCTGGGCGTCGTCGGCGCCGGCTACGTCGTCACCCACTATGTCCTGAACAAGCTCAACGACGCGCGCGAACGCATGAGCAGCGATCGCATCGCCAAGGAGAAGTATGTCGTCCCATGCCATTCCTCCCTCGAATATCGTCCCGACTGACAGGCGACAAAAAAACAGCTTGCGCCGTCGCTTCGAGCAGAACCAGGAAGACTGCACCTTCACCGTCCTCGCCCTGCTGCCAACTGCCACGACAAACATCCTCGAGGCCATGAATACGGAGAAGATCACCTACGAAATCCAGCAGCTCAAGGGCTCCGTGGCCAAGACACGCAACGTCGGCTCCGTGAGCCCCCCCAGCTTGTCCGAGACCAACGCGACCGACGATGACGGCCGGAGCATTATCAGCGTCAGCGTCCAGAGCGAAGCCGGCATCCACGCGAGCCAAATCTCGGTGCCGTCCCCGCTGGCCACCGTCGATGGCGGCCCCCAAGAAGGCGCCCCCGCACAGCCACAGAAAGCCCGCAAGACCAAGAGACAGCTCTGGGACGACCTGACTATTAGCTGTGAGTATTCTGGACGAGGCTGCCGCCGGCCTGCGCTAGACTTTGTCTCTGACTACAAGCTAACTCGTCCTTCCTTTGAAAACTAGCTATCACAAGAGCGTACACGTTACTCTACACGTTAGGGCTGCTAGCTATGCTGACGAGGATACAACTCAACCTCCTGGGCCGGAGAAGCTACCTGTCGAGCGTCGTGTCGCTGGCCACCGGGGGCGCCCAGGCGACCATCAGCCTCGAGAACAACGACGACGACAGCCCGGAACAGGCCTATGGCAGCGACTTTGATGTTAACCGTAAGTACCTGACGTTTAGCTGGTGGCTGTTGAACCGCGGGTGGGTTGATGTCATGCAGCGCGTCGAGCAGGCTGTGCGGCAGGTGTTTGGCCAGCTCAGCCCGCGTGACTCGATCACGCTCAGCACCTTCTCAGAACTCACCAGCGACGTGCGGAGGCTCGTAGAAGGCAGCGTGCCGGGAAGTGCGGCCTCGGGCACCAGGTGGCTGCCCATCCTGCTTCCCCCGCCCAACATGGAGGACTTTGTGCTGCGCGAGTCGGGCATCCTGGACGAGGCCGCGTCTTCGACGTCGTCAGTCTCGCCGCCCGCCTCGCCCTCGTCGGCTGCCTCCCTCCGCCGGCTTCTGGACGAGACGTCGGACCTCGTCGAGTCGCCGACCTTCTCGCAGGTGCTCACGCAAATCCTAGACCAGGGCTTCTCGATGCTACTAGACAAGAAGCTAACCGCCGGCGCCTTCGACGCTGCGCCACCGACGACGGGGCCGGCCGCTAGCATCGACCTCCGCGAGTCGCACATTAGCCGCGCCGTGCTCTTGCCCAAGATCCTCAGCGTGCTGGCCCGCCAGGCCCACGTCATCGGCGACGGCATGCCCAACGAGTACCTGCAGGCCATGGAGGCGGTGCGCGACCTCGAGGGCTTCGCCGCCGTCGTGTACTCGAGCAACTGGCAGGCTGAGATTGCGCGGGACGAGGAAGTCGAGGCCCGCAGCGGCGGCGCAAGCAGACAGAAGCCGGCCTACGGCACGCAGCAAGACTCGGAGGCGCTGCTGCGGCAGAGCCAGACGTCTGTAGGAGCTGAGTCCAGTCTGGTCATGGTTGACCCGCAAGTTAGTTTCGACAGCGCATGGGAACGGGCGTTTGAGCAAAAGGGAAGCACAGAATAGCATGAACGAGGGGCACGACGAAATAATATGTGGGGAAAGGTATTACGGGTTCTTGTTTTTATTTTCTTCTTTCTTTCTCTTTTTGATGTAGACAAGCCAAATCAATCTTCATAGCAAGAGGAGTCGGGATGGGATGGAATCCATGGTGGGCAAACAAACAAACAAACAGCAAGGGGCCTAATACATACACACATACATACATACATACATATAGGCGTATTCTTGGGTCTTGTTTGAATACATATAGCTTGATGTTGCCCTTCACTCGCATGTGGCCGTGGTAATACTGGTTTTATTTTGTTTTCCTTGTTCGAACTGACAGTGAATATGGGATTTCTAAACCGTTGGTTCGGATTTGGAAAGGGGGTACAGGTAGGTACTTGGCCTGTCTGCCCTGGAGACATGGCGTGGTGTTTATTTGCAGATAGTGTAGACAGTTGAGAGAAACTTTTTCGCCATCCATTGACAGAAGGGCAATGTCATGTCATGTCACACGTGTCTATTTCCATATTTTCCAAGTATGTATTTGGTCTTGTTCTCCTTGGCGGCGCTTTCGGGCCCGATTTCCCATCATTCAATTCAGCTGTGTCCGCCAAGGCCTCTGAGGCCCATCGGAGTTTTAATGAATAACAACAAAACAGACACTACTGCTGTCGAATACTCTCTTCCTGCTCGGCCCGCACCCCTTCCGTTAGCTTGCTCGCGCGGCTGAATACGTGCTCACGGCCATCTGGCCGATCTCGACTGCCGTCCTCGGGTTGAGTCTTGTAGTTCTGTAACAGCGATGTCGGGGGACTAATGCTGTTGCTGCCTGGCGTCTCTCCCTCTTTGTCGACCGGAGGGGCTGTTTTCGGTCTTGTTGTCGTCTCCTTGCGCCCGTCCAGACCGCCGGGAGGCGTTGAGGACGTTGTCGCTTTTCCGCTGCTGTTGCTTTTCGTCCTCTTGCGCTTCTCGTCCTCACATCAGTCCCCGCACGAACTGGTCGAGCCCGAGTTCGAAGAGCTCGTTCTTCACCCCGTCGCCTCCCTTGTGCTCGACTGGCGCGAGAGGGTTCTTGACCACTGCGGAGCGAGATGGGATGGTTAGTCACCCGCTTCTTTCTTCTCTCCTGACTTTTTTCCTACCAGGCCAGGACAGAACAATGTTGGGATGGTGCATCACATACCGTACTCGACCCACAGGTTGATGTAGATCTGGTGCAGCACGCTGCGCATGCTCAGCGTGGTGGTGTCGGTCAGCATGACGAAGCGCAGGCTGCTGGCCGTCTCGTAGTAGTGCAACTTGTACTGGCCGGTGCGGTAGCTGATGAAGGCGTCGTCGTCACCGCCGAGCTTGCGCACCATGTTGCGCAGCGAGAACACGGTGCCGAAGATCAGCTTGGCGTCGTCGCTGGCCTTGACCTTGACCGACCGCCGGTCCGTGTTGTGCGGCCCGCCCCGCGGCGCCAGCGTGACGCTGCCGGCGCCGTCGCCCGTGACGATGTTCGCCGTCGCCGGCGTCGCGGGAGCAGCCGCGGCCGCGGCCGACGGCGGGAGCCAGAGCTTAGAGTAGATGCATTCCGCTAAGTAGTCACGCGCGCGCGCCGGCAGGGTGTCAGCAATGTTTGCGTATGAGGGACGGCCGTGGGCCAAGTCAGATTGCGAATAGAAGCAAGGAATGTGACGTACTATGCCGGTCGAAGATGTAGAAGGAGTAGATGACCATGGCGCAGGACAACTCGGCTCGCCGTCCCCTGGGGCGACGATTGGTCGCAGAGGAGGACAGGTCAATTGATGTTTCAAGGTGTCTGTCGCTCCCGGGGTAAAGGCGGCGGCAGCGGGTCGCGATGGTGGTGGATTGACATTTGACATGCGTACGTACAGTGTGCATGGAAAGTTGTCACTGGGGGTTTGGTCCCGTTCTCGTACTTACCAAGCTAGCCCGCGTCGGAGCTGACCCTGGTCACATTTGATTTTCTAAAAATGGGGTAGGGTAACCCTTGTCTTGGCCGGATGGGGGATCAGAAACTTGGGGGGAAGGAGAGGAAACAGACTGAAAAGGATAATCTTATCATCTCATGTCTGGGCATGGAGCCCGCGATGCAAATCTACGATTTCCGTCCGTCACTTACCTACAATCTACAATGCAGACATGTTCGTTTTTGACAGTCCGGCAGGGGATAGCGCGGGGCCCGACCAGGTGCCGATGAAACAGTGGAGGCTTGTTTGTGCTCGCTTTGGCCCGATGTGAGGCTCTTGTACAATCAATTGATCGCTGGGCGGCCCTAGGTTGGGCTGTGATGGAGGGGTGTGAAGGGGCAGGCAGCTGAGGGGTTAGGTTGCGCCTGCCCTATGGACGCAGAGTTCGACTCCTGCAGGTGGTGGTTCCATTTTCCACGGGCCTGGGCGGGCAGTGTCTCGGACACGACCTCAGCAGGGCCTGGGCCACCAGAATGGACCCAGAGCCCTGCGTCAATCGTCGCTCGCCGTTGGACTTTAAAAGCCTAACCGGGCGGCCCAAGCACGGCGCTCTGCCTGGCCGCTGGAATAGGCTTATTGCAGCCCGGCAGACCTCCACGGGACCGGGCAGTAGACGCCTTTTACGGATACCTGGCGTACCTATCAAAGGGAACCTGGAAGGCAGCCGCTTGGGCAGCCGCTTGCGGGCGCATCCCAATGGCGGGCAGTCGGTTCCATTCACGATCCCAAGGACGTGGCCCAGCTCAAGAGAAAAGGGCACGCGTTCAATGAAGACCAGACCAGACCAGACCAGACCAGGTGATGGACGATACAAAGAGAGCTGCTGAAAACTTCCTGGAACTACCTTACCAACCTCAACCTTAGGTGCAGCCTCATGCGGAGCCTCCCCACGTCGGTAACCTACGGTACTGTACATACCTAAGCAATAGACAACTAGTGGAGGTCTAACTGACCCCCAACCCACGCCCGCACGACGAGGGCTTGGCCAGCATCCATCTCCTGGGAGTTGGAGCTGTCTCTGCATCACTAGTCGCAAGTGCTGCCCCCGCTCTCTGCGAGAGAGAGAGAGAGAAGTTGGAACAATGCCGACACACGATTCCTCGCGGGCTCGACCACCGACGTTTTCGTTTCCCCTTCGCCCGCGTCAGGGCGGCGACGGCGAGCGCGACGGCGACAGCAACGGCGACGACGACGCCATGGCTTCCCCTCCAAAGACGGCGCATCCCACGGGCCTAGGCATGAGCATAGGCTCTGGTCTGGGCTCGGCCATGGGCTTGCCCTCGCCCGGCATATCAATTGAATTCCACGACGGGGACGGTGATGCGGGCTTACCCTCCGCGCTTGACCAGTATGTCGTCGAATTTGATCTGCTTGGGCATCGTGATTGATGGTGCGCATGTATGTTAACAGCACCCCAGCCCGAACTCTGCGCCCGCCCACATCCAGCAGTTCAAGAGCCCGATGCGACACCATAGGAGGACGCCATCTGCGCATCGCGAAGTAAAGGTGTGATGAGATGAGAATTGTATCTGTATTTGCAACTTGGCTCACTCAAGGGCGGCGCGCGCGCTTGTAAAGGGGAGGCTGACGCTGACGCTGACGCTGACGCTTTCATCTTAGGAAACTCTCAATGCGCGGTCCGAGTACATGAGCGACGACTTGGATGGCCAGTATCACCATTGTATCAACCAGTACATCCTCAAGGACGAGATTGGCCGCGGCTCATACGGCGCCGTCTACCTGGCCACGGACCAGTTTGGCAATGAATTCGTGAGTTCGGTTCTACCTCGCCCTGACACTGACACGTTCTAAATGTGACGAACAAACGGGACGAAAGGAGCAAAGTTCAAAAACTAACTCGGCTGTTCTTTGCCAGGCCGTCAAAGCCTTCTCCAAATCGAGGCTGCGGAAGCGCGCGCAGTCCAACATCCTCCGTCGGGGCCCTAGGGGCCTTGGTGGCTTCCCTCCCCGCGTAGGCTTCGGTGCTCCCGATGCCGCCAACACGCGCTTCTCAGACCAAAAGGCGCGCGAATCCCAGGACGCCCTCTTCCTCATCCGCGAGGAGATCGCCATCATGAAGAAACTCAACCACCCCAATCTCGTGCAGCTCATCGAGGTCCTCGACGACCCCGAAGAGGACTCTCTATTCATGGTGCTAGAGATGTGTAAGAAAGGCGTCGTCATGAAGATAGGGCTCGGCGAGCCGTCAAAGCCCTATCCCGAGGAGGAATGCCGCTGCTGGTTCCGGGATCTGATCCTGGGCATCGAGTATCGTGAGTCCCCCCCCTTCTCCCATAGAAGCAATGTCATTCTCATCATGTGCCGCCGTGCTAGTTCATTCCCAAGGCGTCGTGCATCGCGACATCAAGCCGGATAACCTCCTTCTCACCGGGGATGACGTTCTCAAGATTGTCGACTTTGGCGTGTCTGAGATCTTTGAAAAGACTGACGAGATGCGGACCGCCAAGCCGGCCGGCTCCCCGGCTTTCCTCCCCCCCGAGCTGTGCGTCGCCAAACACGGGGATGTCTCTGGCAAAGCAGCCGACATCTGGTCCATGGGAGTCTCGCTCTATTGCCTGCGCTATGGCAGGCTCCCATTTGAAAGAGACAATGTGCTCGAAATGTATGAGGCGATCAAGACCGAGACGCCACAGTTACCTCCCGACGAAAACGCCGATTTTGTAGACCTGATGGGGAGGCTAATGGAGAAAGACCCAGAGAAGAGAATAACGATGGCCGAGCTCAGGGTAAGCTTCTGCTCTTCCCCGGATTTAGTGACAAAAGCGCCATCGCAAGTTCTAACCAGCGTATAGGAACACCCTTGGGTGACAAAAGGGGGCGAGGATCCTTTGCTCAGTGCCGAAGAGAACTGCTCTGACCCTGTTGATCTTCCCAACGCGCTCGAAGTTAACCACGCCTTTACACGGAGGATGAGCCACCTCCTCTGCGTGGTACGTAACCGCTGCCACCAGCCCTGGTTGTTTTTCTAACACATGATCAGGTGAAAGCGATAAGGAAATTCAAGAGCCTTCTGGGTCCCAAGGGTGATGGGGTACCGCCCCAGGAACTACCGTCTTCGACTGAACCGGAGAAGGATACGACACGGCAACCAGATGCTGTGAGTGGCGAAAAGGAAGAACAGCCATTGTTGGAGGGAGGAGATTCCACGGTCGACCACGCGAAACGTGTCTTGATGGAGCGCGAGAACTTCCTCAAGCTCAAAGGCAACACGCGCGGAAATGCCAGCTCGAGGGGGCGACAGGCGATGCACGACCTGACCATAACGACAGACAGCGTAGATACCCTGCTGCTCGGCATTGGGACGGGCGGTATGGACGATTTCTCGCGCGAGGCACCTGAGGCCGACATCATCTCGGACTCGCCCACCGTTGTCGACTTTAACATTTACGACCAAGCCTTCGAGGCCGAAGTTGACCGCATCAAGAGGTCCTCGAGCCTTCGCAGGGGCGGCGGGGACAACAGCCGCAAGGGAACGGGCACGCTCTACCACACCAAACTTAACGAGAGGAGCCACTACAGGACAGACGACGAGAACCTGACTTGGGCAGCCCCAACCGCGGGAGGCTCCAAAAGCGAGGCGGTTCCTCCCAAACGAAGTGGCTTCAAGTTTGCACAGCTGGTAGCACAGGCCGTCCAAGACGCAAAGGACGGCAAGGAAAAGGCTGCAGCCCAGTGAAGACGAGAGCCAGGACAAGGCGACGGATTGAGTATTTATTCTTTGGCTATAGTTCGGACCCAACATTGGATTTGTTTCATCTGGTTCTTGTACCGATAGCCTCGCCCTCCGGCGCTGGGATTGGGAGGCAACTCGGCAGGGTAAGGAGAGGCAAGGAGGATAGGAGATAAATTGACTCTGGGAAGAGCGGCAGGACCCGCGACTGATAAAAGGAAGCAGCACCGAGGGCTTCTATGTTTTGCATACCTACCTACGTTTTTGGAGAAGAAATGAGATGACAAATCCCCCCAGTCGGTTCTCGACGCTGTCCCTTTCTCATCCTACGGCCTTGCGTCAAACACGCCAACCTGCCCCCATCTCCAGGTAGCAATCCCTATTTTCATCCAGGCACCAATCTGATTTTTGATCCACGACACTGGAACTGCGACGCCTGGGCCTTAATAACGACCGCATGCAGCGTTGTCGCCTGGCCCGTGATTGGCCGTCACGGCAGTTTTGATACCTTAGTTCGATGCACGACGGGACGGTGCCTCCCACCTCGCAGCTCTGCAAAGTGAGGCTGAAGCTGACATACATCGTTACGTGCCTCATCATTTCCCGAACCTCGTCGCTCTAGGCTTGCCCCCTTTTTGTGCGGTCTCGTTTTCACAGCCCTTGTACTTGTACCCATATATCAGTGCCTCCTTACCATGTTTCCCTACCGAGCAGTCAGGCTGCTGCTGCTGCCGCCACCGCCGCTTCTCTACCACGGCTCGTATAAGTCTGCTGCGGCCTGAAGGATGTTATTTACTCTGGCCTCTCTCGCTTGCCTGTTGTCGCTTGTCCTCGTCGCGCAAGCGCAGTTCTTCGACCCGCCCCCCGACACAAACACCAACGTGCTACCGGGCTGGCAGTTTACGCTCTCATGGACCACGTCCGGCTGGGGCGCCGACGCCCACGTCTCGCTCGCCGTCTTCCAGAGCGACGGGGCAGGCGGCTATGCTTCGCACGTGCTTCTCAGTATGTGACACACTGCCTTCTTTGCTTTTGCCTGCGTCGTTCCCTCACACACACACACACACACGTTGCGATGAGCGGGACAGGACAAGCTGACTAGGGACGGCGGATGTGTTATCAGACAACGCCGCTGACCCAGGAACCTACCAATGGCTGGCTCAACCCCTCAACGGCCTGACCGCCGCCGGCGAGATACACTTCTCGCTGTGGTCCGGCGGGCTCGACCAAGAGAAGTTGCACGGCGACGACGGGCTGTCCTTCAACAGCGGCAAAGTCTTCCTCGAGTCCAACCCAGACACGCCAGTGTCCTCAGCCAGCGCCCACGTCTCGTCCCCAAGGCCGTCCACCTCATCGCAGCATCCCGTCGCCTCGCCGCACCAGAGCACGCCCCCCGCTCCTCCCCGCGAGAGCACACCCCCCGCGTCTCCCCAGCAGCAGACCACCGCCCGCCCGCAGATGCCCGCCGCGCCGCCCCAGAGCACCGCGTCCCCGCAACACAACACCGTCTCGCCCCAGGCCGCCGCCGCCTCTCCCTCGGCCGCCACCTCGGCCCCCGCCAAGCCGCCAGCCGGCAGCAGCCCCGGCCCGCCCGCCTCGCCGGCCGCAAACAACACCACCGAGACCGCGCCCCCGTCTGCCTCTACAACATCACTCACCAAGGACCCCGCGCACCCTCAGCAGACAGCAAACCCAACAACCACGGACCCCAGCGACACATCCTCGGCAAGCACCACGGAGTCCGCCGCAGGGAGCAGCAGCAGCAGCTCCGGAACCGGCAGCAGCTCCGGCGCCAGTGGCGGCAGCAGCCCGGGGGAACTGTCACGCGCGGCAAGCATCGCGACCATCGTCGGCGCGGTGGTGGGGGGCGTGTTCGGCTCCGCGACGCTCGTGCTCGGCTGGCTCGGCTTCCGCAAGAACAGCAAGGGCAGCCGGCGCATCCCCGACACGCTGAAGGAGCTCCGCCGCAATCTCACGAGCATGCGCTGGTCGGTGCTGTCGCCGGAGTCGGAGTCGCGTCCGGGTTTTGAGGCCGGGGCCGGGGCCGGGGGGAAAGGCGGTTTTGGTGGATTTGGAGGAAAAGGAGGGTTCGGTGGAAAGGGAGGCATATGGGGACGCGGAAGTGCACTGGTGGCAGAGCCGGATGGGGCGCTTTTGGGGGGGAAGTTTTCAGTCTAGCTTCTGGCTTGTATTTGTATGCTAGCATGTCTGGATTATAACACTGAGGGGGGGGGGGGGTTGTCTATTTGATTTTTTTATTCATCTGTGTATTTTATGTATTTACTCCGAGGCATATGTCGTAACCCCTGAACGAAGGGGCGGGATCTAGGGAGTGAGGGGCTTTTTTTTGTCATGGCCGGATATAGATATGGTCTGAGTAAGCGAGATGTCGTCTAAAGAGGAGGAGAGGGAAATAGAGAAAAGGATAGAAGGAAAGAAAGAGAAGAAGAGACTCGGCTCAACCCCTAATTGCCTACCTACCTAATTATCTACCCCAAGATCAGACCCGAGCTCTCGGCCCCTATACCTAACCAGCTAGCCAGGGAGGAACCGGGAAATATTCCCTCCGCTTCATAGTAGTAATAGCAGGGTGACTGATACATCAAGAAAAACACAAGGCATTGTGGCAGAGTGGTCTAATGCGTTAGACTCGAAATCTAATCTCTTCGGAGGCGTCTGTTCAAATCAGGCCAATGTCGGAATCTTTCTTTTTTCTTATTTCTGCCGACTCGCTCATCTTTGTATCATGCCTCTCTATGTTTGTGTGTAAATCAAGAAGAGGAAGAGGGAATTTTGGGGTGACCGTCTCATAGCAGGAAACCTTATTTCATCTAACGTCGCAAAAAACCACAATTAGGTAAATTAAGCTTTTTTTTTTTTTTGGTATACGTAACTCAATTCTTAATTTCTTCCCTGTTCATGTTCTACTGGACATCCCTCCTCTCGACTTCGTCCATGAGCCTGTCGTAGAAGCCCAGCTTGCCGGTGCTGGCGAAGGCGCCGTACGCATAGGCCAGCGCCTGGCTCCTGGCGCTGGCGAGACACTTCGAGAGCAGGCTGTCCTTGTCTTCGGCCGCCCTGACTATGTCGACGTATTCGCACCGCTCGCGCCACATCTGCCGCACTTGGCCGTCGAGCGGCTGCCCGCCGTCCTCGGCCAGGGCGTCGTATCTGTGAGGCAGGTCGAACGACGCCGGCATGGCCTGCAGGAACTCGGGGAACGCGCCCAGCTCCCACGGCACCGTGCACGCGCCCTCCCAGTCGATGATGCCCGTGACGGTGAAGTCGTCGTGGCAGAGCGGGAACGGCCCGTCGTTGGTGTGAGTGTGACTTGCGGAAAGCCGGCTCGCCATGGCCTTGATCCGCGACGGGAACTGCTCGACGATGGTGACCATGCGCTCCGCCGGGATCGGCGACCGCTGCTGCGTCATGCGCCCGATAGTCTCCCTGTCCCACTTGAACCGGACCGTGTCGGTCCAGGCCTCGAAGAAGGCCGCGGCCGTGTCGAACGGGCCGCCGATATTTTCCGGCAACGGGCTCGACTCGTAACCCCCTAGTCTCTCGGTTTCGGACTACGGTGCCGGTTTTTGGCATCCGTAGCGAGGCTATCTGGACCTGATGTGAAAAAATTGTAAGCTGCCAATGTACAAGATTTGTGGAGGATCAATCAAAGAGAAGGGGAGAACGAACATGGCACGCTGCTACGGAGCGGTAGAAAGACGGACGGTACTCCGCCGGTATCACGCCGCGGTGCACGTCGTAGCCGTCGAGCGCATCCATGGCGACGATGTCCGGGAGGACCTCAATCGGCATGTACGCGGCTGCCGGCGGGTTGTTATTGTCGTCGTCGTCGTCGTCGTCGTCGTCGTCGTCGAGGGCGTGGGCAAAAACTCTGGGGACAGGCAGGTCGGAATTCTCATTGATGAATTGTATCGTCGCCACCTCGGCCTCGAGCCTCCCGGCGGTGCCACCACCCTGGAGAGAAGTCTTGATGCGGACCCGGGCTTCCTAGCGGCTGCGGCTGCGGCTGCGGTCCGAGAATTCTAGCAGGCGGACGACGTTTTTCATGCCGCTCGTGACCTGGTCCAGGGCCACACATGACAGACGATGGCTGTTTACGCCCGGGGCGATGAGGCACAGCTGATCCCGCCGGGTCCGTCCGAAATAGGCGACGGCCCGGCTGTCGCCGTTTGGAAAAAGTAGTCGACGGTCGTCTACGAGGACGAGGTCGAGTCTGCAGTAGGCATGGCGATATACCGTATTGATTGCATACCTATCTTACGTGGCTGAGAAGCTTCGCTAGCCGGTGCATTTTGGTTTGTTTCTCAACAAGTTGCTGCAGACCATTCTCAAGGAGAGGGGCACATGTGTATGCTGTGCATACTGTACAGTGAGTGCAATGGGCTGGCGGGTAGGACGCGCTGATTTATTGATGTTCCATCCACGCGTAAACGAGACGTGCTATGTTGCCAGCCAGTTCGTGTAACAGAACGACTATAGCTGGTCGGCAGCTCCAATTCAACTTGCAGAAGTGAGAGGAGAAAAGAAGCACTCCGTCACAGGGGAAGAAAGGGGACCGAAAAGGTATATATTTTCAAACCCAGAAATAAAAACTTGATAATAAATCTAAACCATTTGTAAACATCAACACCACCTTCACCTCCCACTACCGCCGCTCCCGGGATTCGGAAGCGGCCTGGGCCCGACGATCTGCCGCCTCCCCGCACCGATGCCCTGGGCGCCCTTGTTCTGGCTGTCGCCGCCCGTGTAGCCCGTGAACTGGCCGATGTCCCAGCGGCCACCGATGCCGCCACCAATGCCGTCGACGCCGCCGTCGGCCGGGCGGGCCGCCTTGGCCGTCTCCTTCTGCGACTCCTCCCACTCGCGCTGCCGCTGCCGCTCTTGCTCCATCTCGCGCTCCAGCAGCGACTTGGATGCCCACCCCATCGCCTTGGTCTGCTTCTGCGCCGCCGCCCGCCACCGGTCCTCGGTTTCGCGCTCCGCCACCGACCCGATCAGCGCCTCCCGCGAGTACGTCGTCTGCTGCGCCGGCGGCTCGGGCGCGGGGTTGGATGCCAGATACCGTTCCGTGCGAGACTTGTTGGCGCCCCCGGATTTTTGAGGCTGTAACTTTTGTGGGGGCTGCTGCTGCTGCTGCTGCTGCTGTTGTTGTTGGTATCGCAGCGGCTGTTGCGGTGGGGGAGGACTTGTCATCGCGTATGCGGCCGGGTCGGGGAGCGGCCGTGAGCCTGTGTGGTGTTTCCGGACGGGAATCTCCGGTGGCCCATCTCCGCCTGTCCTGTGAGTTCTAACCTTGGCAGGCGGGAGGGCCGCCGTAGTCGGGTCGGGCAGCGGCCGTGGAGAGCGCGAGGGGAGCGGTGGAGGCGGTGCAGCTGCTAGAGCGTCTTGGGCATCCTGCTGCTGCTGCTGCTGTTGCTGCTGCTGGGTATCCCACTGGCTTTGCAGGAACTCGGGCTCGTCACGAACACTCCACGAGTCCTGCCTGCTGACCGGCCGCGCAGGCCGGCTGCGTGACCGGCCGCGAGACTTGGCGTCGTCGCCTACAGCATCTCGTCGGCGTGAGCGGTCTTGGCGCTCTCGCTCGTAGTCGGCCTCTCGTTGGCGGGCCTGCTCGAGCTCCTTCTCCAGCTCTTTGATGCGGCTGCTATAGCCGTTGTCCTGTTTTGGTTCCTGCTGCTCGGCCTGGTACTGGCTGAGAAACTGGCCGCGCAACTTGGCGTCGCTCTTGGCTCTGGCCCGTTGACGGTCGTCTCGCAGCCGGGCCTCGGCCTCCTCTTCCTCCTTGCGCCTCTTCTCCTCGGTTAGCTTCCACTGGCGCTCCTCATCCTCCCAGCGCTGCTTCTCCTCCTCTATCCTCTTGCGCTCCTGTTCTCTCAGCTGGTTCGCCTTCTCTTCCCACAGGCGCTCCTCTTCTAGGCGCGCCTGCTCCTCCTCGGCCTCGCGCTCGGCTCTCCGCCGGCGGTTCTCCTCCTCCATCTGCTGGCGCTGGCGCTCGGTTTCGGCCTCCTCTTCCTTTCTCCTCCGCTCCTTCTCGGCCATGTTGGGGACGCTGGGACCAGCGCTAGTGATCTGGCGACGGCCGCCAAAGGCGACGCCAAGGTTGCCTTGGCTCGCGCCGCCCATGTATCCGTATTGCGCAATATTCCAGGCGGGTGATGTGGCGCCCTCGTGCTCCTTCCTGCTCCAGCTACTGACATTGGCAGGCGACGTAGAGCCGTTCTGAGTTGGGGATTTGGTGGGACTCCATCGGCCTGAGCCCGAATCACCAGTCTTGGATGAGGCTAGCACGGGGGTCCTCCCGTAGAACGAGGAGGATGCGTTGCTAGCACTGGAGATGCCGCGGCCCCGAAGACCGGTAGGTGTAGAAGGGCCGGTGGACTGGGGGCTCATTACACCGCCCCCACTGCGGGAACCGATTGACGTGGGGAAGTCGGAGGGGTTGGCGCTGTTGGCAGCGCGGCTGAAAGCTATAAGACACTGGAGGACCTGGGCAGGGTCCTTTTTCTCAAAGAGATCGACGGTTAGGAACGTGTCGTGTTGCTGGAGGTTGAGGGGCGGGGCCTGGCAGTAGCGCAGGAAGTGCGATATGTTCTCCATCTGGACGAAGGGCATGGCCGACTGCTTGAACTTGATGCCCGGTGGCCCAACGACAAGGTTGACGAGTCTAGGGGCGGGTTCCAGAGTCAGTATTGATGCGCCATGGGACAAGAGAGGATAGAGGCGCGGGGAGCTGGGAGGCGACTCACTTGCACAGGGCAACCCCGTCTTTGAGGCCGTCGAGCAGATCATTGGCACGCAAGGGCTCGCCCAGAACATCTTCGATCCACGAGCGAACCTCGTTTGCCGCGGCGGGAGTGTATTTGTCCAGGCGCATCTTGCGCAGGTCCTTGTCTAAGGACGAGACCGACGCCATGGTTGCGAGCTTTCTCGGCCTGCGGTGTGGTGTGCCAATGGGGTGGGGTGGGGGTGGTGAGTTGCGGCCTCTGCTGTCGTGGGATACTCGTGTGTGTGAGGGAGTATAACCTCTGAGGTCTACTGCTGCGATTGATTGTGTATAACCTGGTGTGTGATGGTCAGGCAGCACGATGTAAGGAATAGCGCAATGGATGTAGGTTCTTGTCGGGTTCAGGTCGTCGGTCGGCGATGGGGGGTTAGCAAGCAGGCAAGGCAAGGCAAGGCAAGGCAGGATCGGCACGAAGCTAGTGGGTGCCCGGCTTAAGCGCTTTTCGAAGGGCTGCCAAAGGAAGCGCAAGACAGACAATGACAGTGCGCTGCTGCGATAGCGTCGGGTATCGTAAAACAAGTGTGGTTGCCCGCAAGTAGATAGGTATTCTTCAGCGCCGGCATCCTGTTCAAGTCGGGTTGTTCCAGTCCAGGTTCTCCCTCCCTGCGTTCCCGTCGCTCTTCGCAATGGGACCTAACTCCACTGACGCAGCCTGGCCCCGCCAACTGCCCGCCCACTGCCCGCCCACTGCCCGCCCACTGCACGCCCACCCCTCCTGGCAAAATACCGCTACCCGCTGAGCCACGGCAGTGACGCAGAGGCTGAAGTGGGTCGCATTGCTGGGGTGGCTTGCTAAGAACAGTGCCAAGTGAAGCTTTGAATTACAAAACTGCACTGTATCCTATCATTTCACAGTCCGTCTAGACAACGTCTCTAATCACTCAAAGTCTAGAAAGTGAAAATGAGATTGATCACTGACCAACTCACAACACATTCACGCAACTTCATGAATTAGTCCCTCCCGAACCTACAAACACTCGGCCCTCACTACCCATGGCGGGGAAGGAAATCACGCCTCTTTTCCGGGCGTGGTGCAGGTGGAAGAAGTTGCGGCTCCCGTGGCGGAGACAGTTTCTGGTCGGTCAGTGATAACGCCCGCCCCGACATATACTAAAAATGAGACAACTGACACCGACACTCCAGGCCTCGATCTGCAAGGCAACACGTACTGGGAGTTCCGCAACCGGGGCGCGCGCGTCGCCGAGGACGGGCGGTGGCGGCGCATCGTGCAGTACCCGTCGGGCACGCACCTCGGCGACGTCAAGGTTCCGCCGCTGTGGCACCAGTGGCTGCGTCACACGCGCCACGACCCGCCCTCGCTCGCCGAGCAGCGCGGTGACGTTGCCCGCCAGGCCCGCATGAAGGTGCTCGCCGCCCAGGCCGACGCCCGCTGGGCTGCCAAGCCGAGTCTGCTAGACGCTCTGCCGCGCCGCCAGGCCCCGCTGCCCGCCTTCTCGCCGCGTCCGCCGGTAGCCGCGCCACACCAAGAACAGCAGCAGCAGCAGCCAGAGCCGACAGAGTCTGCTGCTGCCGGTGCGCCGGTAGATAGCAGCACCTCCGAGACTGCGCCGCCGCCTAGGCAAGACACGTGGCGCAAGATGCAGCAAGACGCCAAGCCGGCACCGGCAGCGGCGCCGGGCCCGGACCCGTGGAAGAAAGCCCGCGGCGGGCCCGGCGAGGCGTGGCAGCCCCAGGCGTGGTCCCCGGGCTCGCCCAAGAAGCCATGAACCTGATTCACCGCCACTCTCACTTTGCAAGCACCACGAAAATCGGATGCACCAACCAAGCCGTCTCCTGTCTCTAACATCTAAACGTCCGGAAGCTCTTCAGAGGACAGGGCAGACCAAGGCAGAGCAGATCAGTGACAGCACTCACTAATACGGGAAAACACACCAACAACCCGAGACCTGAGATATCAGATCCCAGCATACATATCGAGGTTGTAAAATAAACAAAAGCTAGCCATCGCAAAGCTGTCCAGCTTATCTTTTACCATACGACGTGTGCCTAGGAGGCATGTTGTTTGGGGGGGAGGAGGGACAATAGAAGGAAGAGCCATTCATTACCACCGCTCTGTCGCGTCGTATAATCGAGGACTAGTTTGTACATACAAAGAAAGATCATTGTATAAATACAAAAGGGGGACGAAATGCGGTGCGCGAACAAATAGAGGGGGTAAAAACGGAATTAGATAGTGGTCTGGTTAGCCATCAGGAGACCAAAATACCCGGCTCACATTTTTTCGACTGGATATAATAGCCTCGACCCCAATGGCCTGACATTTTGTCGAACAAGGAACGAAATGAGGATTGACGCCAGTCAGGCACGGCAAGACTGGTATCATGACAAGTAATTATTGTTTTGTTTTGTTTGAGTTGTTCAAAAGCAAAAGCGCCAGGTGCTCATGCATATAGCCGCACGTCCGTCCGTCTATAGAGACAGGTATCTCCTCCTCCAAGTACTTCGTACAGTCAGTACACCAAACAAGACTCCTTCCCCGTGTCCAAAGTCCACGCCCTCCTCCCGTTTAGCTGTTAGACACCGTCTCTGTACTGTACAAGAACACGTGTGTCCGCGACAACCCTCGTCCTGTCCCCCATCCCGAGTAAACATCCCACCGAGCAATAAGCCCCGGAAAACAATTTCGTTATACAGACTGCCCAACTCACACTCTATGCAGCATTGCTTTAACTTCTGCTTCGCCTCAAGCAGGAGACAGGTAACAATAAAACTCCTAGCAATAAAAAACACATGGGATGCTTTCCTCTCGCCGCAGCAACAGCGGTGGGAGGTGGGGTATCAAAGCGTACAAAAGAAAAAAAAAGAAAAGGCCAGCAAGGTACAAGAGACAGAAATGTGAAGAAAAAAGGGGCGGTAAACAAACGCCCCGGGAGTAGACTCAAGAACGCAGATTCATTCGTCGTCATCCTCGCTTGGGCTCGCGAGGATGTCAACAAACAGCCGCATGCTCTTGGCCGACCGCTGCAGCGCATCTCGCGCCGCCTTTTCAGCGCCATCCGCCTTGGATGCACCGGCAGCCCCCCCCCTGCGGGCGCTCATGATTTTGTCTTCGCGAGCCTTGATGCCCGTCTCGACGGCAGCGCGCAGGTCGTCAGAGTAGACGACGTCGGCGGCACTGCGCACGTATATGTACCAGAGCATGTTCTCGAGCACGAGCGAGAGCTTAGCATTGTCCTCGGCGGAGACGCGGTTAGCGGCAAACGGGAGAAAGCAGAGCTGGAGCATGACCACCGACACGCCGTGCGCGGCGTCCGTGTCTGGGTCGACGGAACTAGGGTCCGGGTGGTGCGCATGCAGAAGCCCGTCTACGATGTGGCGAAGCAACGAGACGTATACGTAGTGCGGCAGTGTCGTCGCGTGCGACTCGATCAGCAACCGGAACATCGGTAACGGCAGCGCGCGTATGCGATCGGAAAACGTCTCATAAAGGTCATCGACGCGCGCAAAGGGGTCCGGTAGGTAATATGACGCTGCCGAGAGGATCCGGAACAGTCGTAGCCGTAACGGCACCGTCTCGGCCACGCTGTCCGTGACGCGAAACGTTGCTAATAAGGCGGATTCTGCTTTCACCGACTGCTTGCTACTTGTTATCCTTCCTCTTCTTGTTGTGCGCGGCCGTAATGGTGCTTCCGACTGTGTGGATTTCTTCTGTCTCGCGGTCTTTAATCGACCGTCATCAGCGCCTTCGTCATCCGTAGAGTCGGAGTCGAAATCGGTTTCTCTGTCCAGATAGTCCCCGAACTGGCTCTTTTCGAGGTCGACTACGGCCTGCGCTCGCTTCCGCTTGCTGATCCGGGGTAGGTCTGCCACAACCATCTCGCGGTCAAAAATCTCCTTGTAGGCGACCTTGTCGGCAGCCTGGTCGTCGTCGGCAAACGCGAGCAGCGCCCGCACCACCTCCCGCAGCGCGTTCTTGCGCTCCCTCCGCAGATCGTCTAAGTAGACGGCAAGAAGGCTTCCCTGCAGCACCGGATACTGGCACCGCTTCTTCCGTTCATACCCCACATCTTGCTCGTGTTGTTCCTCATCCAGCTTGACGCGCTCGTCCAAGTCGGCCTCCAACACGTCGATCATGTACTCCAGCCACACCTTCCAGTGCCGCCAGCGGTGCGGATATTCTACTGCACACCGGAATATCCAGCCGAGGAGTGACCAGAAGTCGGGCGCCCGTCTCCACAGGCTCTGCACCGTTGCCAATCTACCGGTTATGATGTCAGAGTCGCTACCGCTTCCGCTGTCACCGCTGTATTCATGCAGTCCTCCTCCGCGGCCGCCGCGTCCGGTGCTACAACTGATGGGGCGAAATGCAAAAGCGGCGCTCAGATTCGCGTTTACGGGCCCAGGGACGACGAGGAGAGCACGGAGGTATGCAAACGACCGGGCAGCAATGTGGGCGTTGTGCTTTTCTACGACACGCGACGTGAAGTGTGGATGAATGGTTAGGGTGCTTAGAAGGGCAATCTGCGACGCCGGGGCGACGCGGGCCGGTGTCATGGGCTCGGCGGCTGGTCGGCGGCCGCGCATAGGCGCCAGTGTGCTGCCATCGCTGAGGAGGCCGTTGAGGAGGTGGATGGCGGGAGAGTCTGGCGGGTAGGGCAGGACAGGCGCGTTTAGCTGCAGCTCAATTTTTGGGAGGAAAATACTATAAAGAAGGGTTGCAATTACATAGTTCCTCTTCGATGTGGATTTGGCAGTGTTGCTTCAGCTCGTGGGGCAGCTGGGTGGCGTCGCGGTATCGAGGGCCGTTGGAAAACGTATCGTCGACGAGGGGACTACTGAGGGCGCTTGTGTCTGCTAGCGGCGCTGGCGAGAAGCCCTTGGCTGTGTAGAATGTATTGGGAGTCGATATGCTGTCGAGCGTCGTGAGGGACGAAGTCGTTATGTCCATTCTGGGCGGCCAGCCCTCTCGCGTTGTCGTGTAGAGGTTGTGTGGGCGGCAGATGGGACTTGTGGGCGTGGTGTAAGTAGAACTGGCAAAGGCGTGTTCTTGGTTTTGGCCTGGAATCAGCTTTGGCGCTGGCGACGCGACATGGCGGGCGGGGGTGTGGGGTCGCGCCTCCCAGCCCATGGCTCCTTGTGCAGCGCCGCTCCTGTACATACATACTCCGTAGCCGGCCGCTCTTTCCAAACAATGCGCAGTTCCAGCGCAGAAAAAGGGGCACCTGCTGCCTCCCGCAATCCAAACAATCCTCCGATCTCCAAGATACGCAACAAATCAAAATATTCATAATTAACTTGAGATCAAAAGGCCTCAGCCCTCTTGAACCCCATTCATTCTAACTCTTACAAATCGGACCGCGAACTAAAACATTTGACACGAGGCCGCCATCTCGCAAAGAAACTCATAGTTTGATTGTCTGCCCCAATTATAAATGAATTATGTCGATGTTTATATTTATATTTATGAGAGATGTGGCTGGATCTCTGGCAACAGCAGCTACGGGTCCGTATAACCAACCCCCACCACAAGAGAGGCGCCTAGTCATACGTGACGCTGAAATCAACCAGCAACCACTTCCGAGATACCGAATCTTCCAGTATCAAGCTTTACAACCATAATGGCATAAAGACACATCGCGACACGGCCCCTACCCCATCACCATCACATGTTCACCTCTTCAGCTTCAAGACCAGCCACGCGGCGATGCGGTACCCGGCAATAATGCCCATCATAATACCCACATCCTTACCCATGTACCCGGGGCGATAGCCATACTGATCTAGCACGCCCTGGCCGCGGATGAGGCACTGGTCCGCGAGGTCGGTCTGCCACATGCACTGGCAATCACCCCCAGGCAAACTGGCGGAAGCGCACGCATAGACCCTGTCGGCGAACTCGTTGACCATCATGTTCTCAAAGACGTACTTTTGGTAGTCCCAGAAGTGGAACACGTAGCGGTAGAAGACGTTGAGCACCGTCGGCGGCACCATGAAGCCGTCGACGCTCATCCACAGGCCGTTGGCGAACGCGACCAGCGCCAGCGCGATGACGAAGACGGGGAACGCCGACGTCACCAGCACCACCAGGCCCTCGGCCGCCAGCAGGTCGAGGAACAGCCACAGCACCCACGTGAAGAAGGCGCGCGCCGTCGGCTGGAAGTTAGACAGCCAGTACGAGATAGCTGAGAAGACTACGGAGAAGACGACTGTGTGACCAAAGTTCTGGCGGTTAGCTTTTGGAGAAAAGAAACACTGATAATATCTCAGGTTGGAAACGTCTTGTAGGCTGTCACCTACACAGGTATGGTGTCCCAATCAGGAAATTTGAGATCACCAGCTCGGTCGCGCCGTAGAGCCCGTTGCGCTTCTCCTTGAGGAACTGCTCGTAGTCCTCGAGAAAGGCAGGGCAATATGCTACGGCCATGAAGGACATGAACGCGCTCCCGCTGTTTTGGGGGGCAAACGGCCCATGTTAGCAAACCTCTCTCTCTCTCTCTCTCTCTGGGTGGTTGTTGTCAGACATACAAGAAAATGGCGTTGGTCAGGGGGATGATGGAGGACTGGTCGGCACCGAGCCGCAGCCAGACGGTGCCCATCATGATGGCGAGGCCTAGAGCACAAAAGTCGTTGGGCGTCAGTCCAAAGCCGGGATCTCTCTGTCAAATACGAAAACAGGCAAAATCACGGAAACACTCACCTGTGTACATGGCCAGGCGGATGCCATAGACAACCACGTCGCGGTAGCTCTTGACAAAGCTGCGATGGAGGAGCGTCAGGACCAAGCTGGGCGCGCTGGGTCTCTTTTCGGCGGCTGCGAGCTCGAGCGTCGTGTCCGAAAAAGAAGACAGGGCTGCGCCCTTAGCCTCGACGTCGGCGACAGCCGCGGCGAGCTCTGCGGCCCGCCGGGACGCCGCCCAGGCGTGCTGCATCTGCTCGAGGCGCCGATGGCGCGTCGCCGCAAAGTCCACGTTGACCAGCTCGAGCAGGAACTCGGCAGGGTTGACCTGCAGAGGCAACTCGAGGCCGAGCGAATTGTAGTGCGGCCCGACGACGGCCACAGGGCCAAAGTAGTGCGTCTTGCCGGCCGACAGGAGTAGCAGCTTATCGAACAAGTTGAAGGTCGACGTGCTCGGCTGGTGGATGGAAGCGATGACGATGAGCTGTGAGTCAAGAGTTAGTGCCGTGCAAGTTCATCTTGAAGACACAGAGCGGCCGCCTACATTGTTCCTCTTGGCCACACCCTTCAGATAGTTGACGACCTCCCAGCTGGCTGCCGAGTCGAGGCCGCTGGTGGGCTCGTCGAGGAACAGGATCTTGGGGCTCGTGATGAGCTGGCTGGCGACGCCGACGCGGCGCTTCTGGCCGCCGCTGATGCCCTTGCGGATAGGGGTGCCGATGAGGGTGTCGGCCTGCTCGACGAGGCCGAACGAGTCGAGGAGCCCGTCGATGCGGGCGATGCGCTCCCTCTTGGGCAGCGAGCTCGTGCTGGCGAGCCGCGACGCGAAGTTGAGCGTCTCCCGCACCGTCAGCGCGCCGATCAGGGCGTCGTCCTGCTCGACGAACCGGCTCATCTCGCGGAAGGCCGCGCGAGAGGGCCCGACGCCGTTGACCAGCACGGTGCTCTCGACCTTAAGGGCGCCCGTGGGCCGCGATGCGAGCACGTTGAGGAGAGTCGTCTTGCCGCAGCCCGAAGGGCCCATCAAGGCACATATCTCGCCTGGGTGTTTGGGAAATCACAGGAGCTTAGCCAAGGGTCACTCAGAGGGGGGTTCAGCTCGGCACCGTACCAGCCTCGACGATGCCCTCGACGTTTTCAACAATGGCCTTGGGGAGCTTCGTCTCTCGGTCTTTGACAGTAACAGTGACGCCGCGCCAGCTGATGTTCCGGACCGTCGTGTTTTGCAGGTGCGCCTCGGCTACAGCTCGTCGTTCAATGTCGACGGGCCCCGTGTCTTTCGGGGCCCGGTCGAGACGGGAGTCATCCGAAGTTGTGCTGGTCATTGCGGACAGAATGCCTTGATTGTTCTGGATGGAGTAAACTAGGGTATGTGCATGACAAATTGGAAAGAAAGGGAACTAGTAAAGAAGATATATAAGTAGAGCTCATGCTGGTACCCAGATCCAATGCCGACCACTCCTGAGGGCCGGTAGCTTGAAACCAGGCCGGCGAGGAGAAGATGACGGCAAACCAAAAGCCCCTTGACAGCCAAGATGGCCGGCGAAGTATGTACCTCGGCGATAGGTGAGACTAACAACATGGCATAGAGCCCGAGGAACTACTCCGTACACAAGAGAGCCACCAGGCACACGCCCCAGATCACCGGCCCTCATCAGCCACGCATCGCGGGAGCCAACCGAAAGGCTCCCAGAGTCAGTCTTGTTCGCGAAGGAGGCAGTTGGGCATGTAACGATGATTCGGCACAGCCACAGCGGCGCCGCGGGTTAGCTCCAGGCTCTAGGGTCCAGACGGCGACATTGATGACAGGTTTAAAGACAAAGGATTTGGAGGTCGCCGGCGGCGTCCCAACAGGCTGGCAACCGACATGTCAGCTTATTAACCGACTTACCTGATTTCAGGCTTAACCTAGTCTCGAGACCGAAGCACGACACTCCCGTTGTGTACGCAGTAGATTAGGCCGGAACTCGGCAGGGACCGAAATTATGGGGCTCGTTTTGGCCATCCAATCGACGTGAGAGCTTCCTGCTGGACAGATGACGGGCGTCGTTGCTTGCCATGAACGAACAGTTCCCAAGTTCAAGATGCAATGTCAGCATGGATACTGTGCTGGAGGTGCTGAGGGTAGTTTGTGAATTGTCGTCTCTCTCGGCCAAACCCAGCGTAGCGTACGGAGGTAGCGCCGGACCGCCGCTGTGTCTCGTGCAGAGTCGGCGATGTCGCTGCAGGCCGATGAGACACTGCGGCGTGGGCCAAGCCCAATCGAAAACTTTGTTCGAGATGGAGGTGCCCGAAAGGAGCGGGCAGCCACATTTCCCCATTTGCACTTGCACCGCGGAACCTCCCGTTCGGACCAGGACAGTGCTAGTGCGGCTAGTGGTAATTCGTTCCACGTCCATGGCTCCATTGGAGCCAGCAAAGCCCAAGGAAGGAACCAACGACAAAGTTAAATCCAGTATTGAGGTGCCCGCTGACGTTCAATACGCCCATACCTGCCAGGTACGTAGTGTCTGCACATATGGCGTAGCATTGTAAATGGGCACACATGAAATACATGACCGAGAACGGCGCAGCGAAGAGCCTAAGACGGGAAAATTAATATAACCAAAAGAAAATCAAGACTTTTTTTCAGCCAGAGCCGCAAGCCAACCACGACAGACTTAGAAATACCATACAGACTTGCATACGCAGGCCAAAGGAGCAGTCCTGCGAAGCCGGCCACCTAGAGAACCTTCTCCAAACCATGGAAGGTATCCATCCATCCAGAACGGCAACAGAGAGACCTAGATCCATACTAGACTAGACTTGGACTACAGAGAACTTGCAGAACCAGACCCAAACTCTGACGGCGAGGTAGAAAAGCAGTGTAACAAAGTAGACAGGTGTATGTATGTGCTAGCTGGTGTGCAGCAGCGAGCAACCTAGTCTCATGCAACCTGACCAGATCAAACTCTGGCGAGCCATTCGCTGGTTGCTCTCCTGATCACTCTGTTGTTACTTCTTTCTCGTCGGGGATCAAAAACTCGCTCAGGTAGGAATGAATGAATTATTAGTCGTCCCATTCTTCTCCGTGCAGAGTTCCATCCGGGGACCTTCAATTTCTTTTTTCTTTTTCTTTTGATACCCCTTCTTCTCATCAGCCAATCCTTTTTCCTTTTTCCTTTTTCCTTTTCCCTCTCTCTTCCTCTTAATCCTCAAAAATCTCTCGCGGAGTTTCTTACTTACCTGCCACCCTATCCATCCATCATTTTGCCATTTGGCCTTCCTACATACGTATCGTTGTGTGTGTAACGTGATGTGTCAAACTCATTTTCAGCCAGCCACGAAACACGGGGACCACAGCGTCTGCCGACCAAGAACAGAACTGGAATGAGCCGGCACCTATCACAGTGCGTCGGCCCTTAACGGTATCGCCGTCTACCGGTTGTGATCGTCGCGTTCGGGTCGGCGACAACCACAATAGAAACAGTGGGTCCAAGAGTGAGACAAATTGTTCACAGACGGAGAGACAGCAAAAACGCCCTTATGTCGCCTGCCAAGTAGCAGAGAGGAAAAAAAGTCTGATTTCAGTTAGTTTACGCCCTGCTAGCCAAACCGTCCAGCTAACTGGCTGCCCTCAAGCATCCGCCCCTGGGAAAGTTCCCCTGGTATTGGTGCTGAGCCCCTACCTACCCCTTACATACTCATCTGCTTGTCCGCCTCGCTCGCCCCGAGGAGGATTGGCAGTGCAAACGAGAGAGAAATAAAGGGAAAGAAGATGCCCAAGAAAAAAATCGAAATCGAAATATATACTGGACAAGGAAAACAAGCTCGCCGACTCCTTTTTAGGCCCCCCTCGCTACCAGCAGATTGAAACCGCTCTCATTATCACATTTTCATCCCATAACACCTCAAGCACACTACCCGTCACACGTGAGCTAACCCAATCATCACACAAGTTTTTTGATCTCGTACAGCAGACAGAGAAAGCGGCTCCCAGTCACTGACCCTGCGTCACTTGCGTGAGCATACTGTTGAACTCGCTCATGATGCCCTCGTCGGCATTGATGTTGCTGATCATCTGCTCCTGCGTGAAGCCGACCCAGAAGGTCGGGCTGATCTGCTGGGCCTTCTTCTCGCGATAGATCTCCTGGGCGACGCCGCGGACCTGGCCCCACGCCGTGTTGGCCGCCTTCCAGACCTTGCTGATCTTGTTGAGCGCGCCAATGTTGAGCCGGATCTGCTGCCGGAGGTCCTCTTCGTCGTCGATAAAGTACAGCGCCCACTTGGAGAGGTGCACAATCGACGACAGCGTCACCACGCACGTGAAGAAGTGTGTGTGGTTGAGGATCGGTACTGGCTGCGTCACCATTTTGCTGATCTCGCAAGCCGCCGTGATGGTGTGCCGGGTATGCGCGTTGAAGTTGTCGCCCGCGGGCACCGGCCGGTGCGGGGCGCACGACGTCACCGCCTGGACCGGCGACGAGTCCAGCTGCGACAGCGGCTGGTGGAGCATGATGGTGCACCTATAAAACCAATGTCGTTGTTAGCGTCTGTCGGAGATAGAGCGCGTGCGCTACCGCTGGCCAGACTTACGCATGGGTAATGAAGTGGGCCTGGAACATCATCTCGTCGAGCTGGCAGCTCTTGCCCAGATCGTCCCTCTTAGACTCGGGGAGGTGTATCCTCCAGTTGGTGAGGAGCGCCTCCACCCTGGCGACGTTTTCGTCGTCGGGAAACATGAGGTTTGGCATCCGCATGAACCGTCCGAGATTCCTCGCGGCGGCGATGCGGTAAGCGAACGATGAGAACTCGCGGTCTTCGCCAGAGAAGATCTGGTCGTCAAAGTCTTCCATGTATGCGGTCGGAGGGATGCGCTGCAGAATTCGGTCAGCTGGGAACATGTCAGGGCCGGGAAAAGATCGCAAACACTCACCCCAGTGAGATACTGTTGCTCTTCGCACGGCAGCCCCACATCTGCCGAGATGTCGAAGAGCAAGAAGTTGGTGACGCGGTGGACGCCGGCAATCATGCCGTCGCAGACGTAGAGCTCCCACCAGGTCCGCCGCCAGCTTTCCTCTAAGACGTTATTGCCGTGGCCTCGCATCGAGGCGAACTCGCGCTTGTTGAGATCAATCTCAATGGCGAACCGCTCACAGTCGGCCAGAAGCTCCCTAGCTCTTTCCTGCTCGCAGCTGCCGTCCAGTCCGATGATGATGAGCAGGAGGGCCTGGATGAGATAGCCGTCCTTGGCCGTCGAGGATAGATAGCACAGCCTGATTGCCTCGTCAAGGTACGTCGCCCGGGCCGGGCCGGCGTCTAGATACAGGGAGCCGATGTATCTCATGGCGGCCAGCACAACGTTGACATTGGGGGCCGAGTTGTCCTTGAGCAGGCGGACGAAGAATTCCTTTGGGAGCACAAAGGGGTGGCCGGCGTGGAAGAAGTGATAAAAGGCATCGAAGCACCGCTCGGCCAGGCTCAAGACGGGGGCCTGGGTGGGCGGGACAGTAGTCGTCGTCAAGGCCATGGCGTTGGGATCCAGGACGGGGGCGAAGGGGTTCCGGTAGAGAGGCGGGTTTGGCTGGGCCGGAGTGGTCGTCGCGTAGGAGACGGGCGACTGCTCCGGAAGAGCGATGGTTGGGTTGAAGACATGGACAGCAGGGGGAGGGATAGATACGGGTGCACGACCGAGCAGCATCGGGCAGCTGTCTGCGGGCTCGGAATACGGGGGCGACGAAGATGCATGGCGCTTGTTAGGGTTCTGCGCGGTGTTTCTGCGCGGGCCCTTGTAGCCACGGCGCGAAGCGATATAGACGCACTCGCAGTTAGAGCTCGAGCAGCGCGAGCAGGGAGTGAGCCCGTCGCACTTCAGATGCTTGCTGCGCTATTCGACCATGTCATCTCAGCAGGTGCCCGGGGTGTGGTGTGTGTGGACTGTTGAGGGCTGGCTGTGGGTAGGTAGGTAGGTAGGTACAGATACAGTAGGTTTACGTGCGATGTGCATGACGGGCAAGACATGCGGCGTGCAGAAAACGGAATCAACTCACGCAGGCAAGGCATGCGGCGGGGACTGAAGGCGGCTGCGCGGCCGAAGACTGCGACAGGCGGACATCCGAGGTCGCCGATAGTGTGGAAGGAGTCGACGAGGTCGCCGTCCCCGGGCTCTCGCTGGACACGGTAGGCGAACCGTTACTGGAAGCGGCAGATGAGTGTGGGGCATCCCGCGAGAAGGGATCCATGGTCGGCAATAAGATCAGGCCACAATAGTTAGGGCGATGCGAGGGCGCGAGCGATGGGCGGGATGCGTGGTGGAGGGCGCAATCGAGGAGTCGGAGAGCGAGGACGAGGGCAAATCGGAGACGCCCTATCCGTATGGTAGGTAGATACAGGTATGTATAATTACCTTATGTATGCGCGGTGAGCCCAGACCAGACCGTCGCCGGTATCGAAAGATGGCTTGCCGTGCCTTCGGGGACCAACCCTGGGGCCCCAGCTCTCTTGCTCCTCTCTGTCTCTCTGGCACCGCGCGTGTGCAGGTGCTCTGGCTCTGGCTCTCCTATTGCTTCTCAGGACTCGGGAGTCGAGATGACAGTGGAGGCGGCGTGTCGGGCTCGACGGGCTCGAGAGTCGAACGAACAGGGCGCACACCTAATAGTAGCAATAACCTAAGCTGCACGGACGTTGTTAGTCCACTTTCCGCACCGTTTTTCGCTTGATGCTCTCCGCGTCGCCGCCCTCCGCACGCTGCGGCTCGAACCCCATCAGCGTCGCATCTCCATCGGCGGCGGGGTAGCGGCCAAAGCCTGCCCGTCGCTGCCGACAAGATAGCGGCCACCTCCCCCTTCCACGAAACAAAGCGGGCTTTTCCGGACATAGTCTGACCTTCCTGTGGGCAGTCCTCGAGAGGCTGAGGTGCCGACGTTGTTCTGTGCTGCGACTCGGCCTGCAACAAGGGCGATGTCCTCGTGTCGCGGAACGGACAGGATAGAAAGGCTGCGAGTCCAGGTTGGAGAGGATGCGATAACGTTATTAGCAGGCGCGCGCGCGCAGGAATGGCTCCGGCGGCCTGTTTATGTTTCATCGACTAGTCCGGACGCTCAGCAGCAAAGAGCCAAAAAGACAGCTTTGTGCTCGGGTTTAAAGACCCCAAACCCTGCCTTTCATTTGTCGCCGCTCCCTCTCACCTTGGCGACTGACAAGACTCGGAACTGGCGAATATGTTGATTGTTGAGCAAAGGCACTGGACGTGCCCAATTTCACGACCTCGGAACCAGCGTCGGCGGATGGTTGTCGAGTCCAGAGGCATCCCACCCTCACACTTCGAGTCCCGTACCCGGCGTGATCCAGCCGTCGACTTCCTTTTGTTCCTGTGTCCCCCCTTTCCCCTTTTTTATTGTTCTTTACTGATTGTCCAGTCCTGCTTGCCCATGTGGTGAATGCACAGCAATGGCAGGGACAGTCTCCTCTCGTTTGCCTGCTCAGCTGAAACCGAATGCTTCCGATGGCTTGATTGGAGCTACCCATATGCCCTTGCAGCTCGCAACGGGCGCGAATACCACCTTTTGCTTTGGCCCGGCCGCCGTGCCCGCTGATAAGTCCCCCAATACAGGCACTAACAGGGCACCAAGGAGCGTTTTCCCTGTGGTTGCAATTGCCCGCAATGGCACAAACGCGGTAAACAATCCGAAAGCGCCAAGCGTCGCAACCCATGCCGCCGATGAAGTCATGATTCATCTACACGTGTATTCCCATCGCCACTGCCATGTGCGTTGTCATGTGTTGCATAGACTCGTGTTGACCCGACGAACTTGGTTACGTTGACGGTCCCTCATTCTGGCCGAGGTTTGGTGAACCGCGAAAAGGCAACGAATCTTCCGCCCTCAAGTTGTACGGAATACTTGCAGCTATCCGGAATATTGTCTGACCAGGTAACCGTGCCCAGCTAGCTCTACCCCGGAAGACGGGATACGGATCCGATGGACGAGGTCTCACCGACCTGGAAAATGCGGTGAGACTCGAGCGGGCGAGCATGCTCGAGATACTGAGAGCGATGGCGCAATTCTGCGGACGCAAGCCTGAGGCACCAACGCAGCACAGATGTGTCCGAGTACGTCTCTTGAGGACGATGATTAGGTAGGCTGTCTAGGATGGAAAATATGATGCTTGGCTCGTCAAAGTGCATGAACTTTGGCAACCAGCTAGGGCTAGAATGATGCCCCAATTGCTCGAGAAGTAAGCGAAGTAGACCTCAGTTGCAGCTCTGGTACCTCGATCGTTGGTGGGCACTTCTATGTTTTCTCTGGCTTTAATTCTGCTGGAAACTGAAAGAGCAATTCGAGCCATTGTGTGGTACATGTACACACTCCCCGTTCATTGAACCTTCCTCTGCAAACAGTCGCGCCTGCCAACAGTAGCCCAAAGCGCCCAAACAACGGGAAGGTGCAAGCCTCAAGTTGTGAGATTGGGCAGATACGGATAGGTAGGTGCGGACTGAGAACGTCTTGAACGGAACATGGATGACATGAATTGATTTAAAACCGCTCCTTTCCACATCCCAGCCTCTCTCCTTGAGCATTTCTCAGCGATATTCCGTAAACTTGATGGCATTCGCAATGAGACAACCTGTCCTGGATCCGCAACAGAAGCAGGACTAGGATAAAAGATGCCGATTACGTGATCACGATGGGCCAATTATTAGCATGGGGTCGGTTTTCATCGCTGAAATCACGGGGTGCAACGCTCGACCCGGATAATTCGGGATGCTTGTTTGCGTGTACTATCTTCCTGGGGACCTGACAATCCGGAAGCTGGTACGGATTCAACAAAAGGCTTAGCTTGACACTATTACCTTAGTTCCCGTCTTCATTACGGTACCTTGGGTACCTCGCCCGCCTCGGAATCACATCATCACATCACACCGCATCATCACGACGGGAAGCAATGGACCCCGTCTCGGCTGCCGGGTTGGCCCTTGGGGTCGCATCAATAGGGCTGCAGGTCTACACGTCGTGTATACAAGGAGTGCAGTTGCTCGTGACGGCCATCAACTTCCCCGAAGACTGCCGCTATCTCAACCTGCGCTTGCGCATGGAGCAGCAGAGGCTCTTCGCCTGGAGCGAGACGTCTGGTCTGTTGGACCTCGACGCCAAAAAGGAGCAAAAGGTGCTCGAGTCCAACACATTCATCCTGCACCGCCAGACTGTTCTGGACTTGCTGGTCCAGGTCCAATGTCTGTTTAAGGAGTTCCAGGACCACCAGAAGCGGAACAAGCGCCTCCAGACAACTCCCGACACAGACCAGGTTCTGGAGAAGCCCGAGAAGGATGCCGCAGATGCGAACTTCCCCCTGCCCGAGCGGCGGAGGGCTTTCATCAAGAAGGCCATGCAGGGCCTCAAAGAGACGTCCCAAGAGTCTATCAAGAGGCTGAGGTGGGTGTCGTTTGACAAGGTTGCCTTTGAACTGCTGCTCTCGAGGTTTTCGGCTCTGAACGACAACATGACCGACATCCTAGACGCCCGCATGCAGGTCGAGATCCACCACACGGTCCAGGACACAAACAGGGGCGTTCTGCAACTGCATCGCAAAATCACAGATCTCTCCAGGCTCGTCATGGCCTTGAACGTGAAGCTCGAGGCAAGCTCGCCTCCCATGGTATCACCGATGTCGGTGACTCAGAAACGCGCCAATGCCGACGGGCTTCAGCTATTATCCCAACTCGCCAAGTTCAAGGCCTTCAACCAGTCGATCGAGTCCGACAAGAAGAGGCCGTGGGACGAAGCAACCGCCATGTGTCTCGACTTGGGGGGCCCGAACGAGCAAAAGAGTCTCCTGCTCGACCGCTCCATGGTTGAGATTGATCCTGCGGCGGAAGAGGCAGATTTGCCGAGGTGTGAGGCCATTCTCACCCTCCCTGGCCATGCCCGAAAGAAGGTCTGGATCGAGTGGAAGGAATACGAACGCCAGAGGCCGCAAGATTTATCGCCGCCCAAGGACGTGATTTTCGAGAGAGTGCGGAAGCTAGCGGCACTCCTGAACCACACACCCAAGCCAGAAGCGTTTAGGACGCCTCACTGCATCGGCTTCTTTGACCGGGCAAGCACAGGTGGGATAGTTGACCAGGACGAGGACAGCTTAAACAACCGCCTCGGCCTGGTCTTTGAGAGACCGCAAGACGACAGTCTACACACATCTATGCCTCCCATCTCGCTCCGGGAACTGCTGCAAACCACCCGTAAGCCACGCGTCACCGAACGGATAAAGCTCGCACATGCCATCAGCAACTGCCTCCTGTACCTACATGCTGTCAATTGGCTCCACAAAGGCCTGCGCAGTCATAATATAGTCTTCTTCCGAACCGCCAAAGGCCATGTTGACTACGCAAAACCTTACCTCTCGGGATTTGACTTCTCGCGGCCTGCTCCCGCAGACGAGATGACAGAGGTGCCTGTTGACAGCCCCGAGTACAACCTCTATAGGCACCCATTCGCTCAATCGACTAACCCTGTCGATCGCGAACGTTTCAAGAGGAGTTTTGATATATACAGTCTCGGGGTTCTCTTCGTGGAGATGGCACACTGGAAGACCGTCGACGTTATCCTCGGGCCAGGCCTCAATCCATTGCGTGTGCGCGAGAAGCTTCTCGCCGAGAACCAAATCGAAGAGCTCGGCGCGTGCATGGGCGGCGTGTACGAGGATGCTGCGCGGAAGTGCATTGTCGGGGTGACAGAATTCGGACTGTCCGAATCTGATGACGAGACTAACGATGCTGTGGCTGCCCGGCTTTCATATGCACTTCACGAAGATGTTGTCAAGCCGCTTGGGAATGTCCGGGTGTGACCCTCGACGTAGACCTGCGAGAGAAGTATGAGATTCTCCTTTCGGGTCGCCGGGCTGGGTCAGAAAGCAGCCGTCGGGAATTTCGGGTTTGAGGGATCACTAAGGAAATAGCTTTTCGTGGCAAATGGGAACACATACGACGGATGACCGCAAGAGCAAGAGAGAAACATACGGCTCAACTTTTGCACAATCCAGCCTTGTAGCCACCAGATTCTTTAACTAAGAATCCGCCAGCAAGCTTCCAATCGTTCAGAGTTACATCTAAAGCTGTCTGTCGTTTGATCTTGGCCTAACACTAGGAAGTCATTCGAGGAGTCTCAATCAACATTGAACTCCATGACGGAACACACAAAGACTGGAACAAGGCCCCATTGGATAGCCAGGGCGGAGACAGCTTCGGTTGGGGAAACGGGACTTCTGCAACCGTCCGCCTTACCCCAAAAATACCACGCATATCTCCCCAAAGCCACCGGAAATACTGAAGACTCAACACCGACGCGTAGGCGTTGTCATGTTTAGGCTATAAGCGTCTCCGCAGTCGGGACGACCCCCTCGGCAGCAACCTCGCCTCGACCTTTGCTACATGGGATTATCGCGGTACCTTAATCTGGAGCCGCGGGTAATCTTGGCTCACGGCGAGGTCCCATACCGGCCTAGCACGGCCTGTCTATACTGCCACGTCGAACAGTCCGCCCGGTTGGCTATTATGTCACAGGCAAAGGTCGAGGCCTTCGCGCGTGGGAGACGCCGACATGCAAGGCAAAAGCAAGCGGAGCGGGAAGGAGAGGGTTGGTGGGTTTGGCGTGTCCGAAGATACGGTACCTCCATATTAAAAGTATCACTGGGAATCTTGATCTCGCATTTGCTGCTCCACCCTCTTGTCACTCCTTTTGTGGCCTGGCTGTCGTCGACGATGTCTCTTCTCTGGGTGGCGGCCACCGCATTGATCGGTCTCGCTTCAGGCTTCCCCTCTCCCAAGAGCCTTCAGTCAGATCTGACAATATTAATCAACAATGACCTGCAAGGTGTGTTGCCGTAGTCTCCAGCAGAACCTGTATCTGGGCTTTACTGATCTGCAATAGGATCAAACAGTCCATACTCAACCTCGGGGGTCATAGTATTGGGTCGCCGGTCATACGATGATGCCGTTGCCGGCTGTCAAGCTCTAGGCGAGCAGCTATGGTCTCCTGAGCTGAACACGGCAAGCATACAGTCGAACCTTGACTACCTCAAATACCAAGGCAAGACCAATGGCTCGGCCACGTTCTGGATTGCCGCTCAAGGCAATGCCACGAGGGGAATTAGCTTGTCTGGCGCGGTATCGCTGGCCAGCTCGACGACGCTACAGCTCCCGGCACTCTGTTCTCAGACCGCGCCATATTCGACAAGGGGGTCTCAGGACACGAGCTCCCAGTGGCGGGTTACCATAGATGCCAACAACCAAACTCTCACCGGGTATGTCTTGGATCCCAAGAGCGTTTTAAGGTGGGGAGATAGACTGACATTCGCTCCAAGTTTCCGCGACCGACTCTCTTTCCGATTTCTGGGCATCCGGTACGCTCCACGGCCAAAGAGGTTTACATACTCTACCCTGTTCAAGGGGTCGGGCGAGTCTTCTTCAGCGCTATCCTACGGCTCTCAGTGCGCCCAAGGTTCCACGGGCAGCGAGGATTGTCTGTTTCTAAATATCTGGACCCCCTATTTGCCTAGCCAGAGCAGAGGCGAGGGAAAGGGTCGCCTCCGTCCCGTAGGGGTGTGGATTCACGGGGGGGCCTTTACGGGTGGAACTGCCAACGACGAGACTTTCGACGGCGGAAACATCGTGTCGAGAGGGGATATGGTCCTCGTGGCAATCAACTACCGCCTAGCAACACTCGGGTTCTTGGCTCTGAAGGACGGCGTCACCAACGGCAATTTTGGCCTGGCAGACCAGATCACCGCTTTGGACTGGGTACGAGCAAATATCCAGAGATTCGGCGGTGATCCCGAGCGCGTCACCATCTTTGGCCAGTCGGCGGGTGCCGGTTCGGTGAGGGCTCTGATGGCTTCGCCGGAGGCGGCAGGCAAATTTGCGGGTGCGATCCTGCTGAGCAACCTTGGCGGGATCAACTACGGAACGACCTACTCGAAGTATTACACGATCGACGAAGAGGTGTCGGTTGCGGCCGGTGCCATCGTCAAGGCGGCCAATTGTGCCGACGCCGCGTCTCAAGTTGACTGCCTCCGCGAGTTGCCTACCTCGGCATTCGGGAGCCTGGGCACAGTGGCGCGCTACCTCGTGGTTGACGGGACGTACCTGACCTCGCAGGAGCTGCCTCTCACCGGCGAAGCCCTCTCTATCCACGTCATGATGGGCATTGCGCATGACGACGGGAGCCCCTTTATCACGTACCCAAAGACAGCGGACCAGGCGGCATATCTCGCATCGCAGGGCTTTTCGGTCCCACCGTCGGCCCTATTCCCGATTCCCACCCCCGGCAGCGGCAACCAGACGCTCGACCTGTACAACTCGTCTTCGCAACTCGCCACGGACGGCATCTTCCGGTGCGTCGACCAGGCAACCGTCTCCAAGGGGGTCAACAGCGGCCGCCTGGGCCCGGTATTCTACTACGAGTTCGACCGCACGTACCAGACGACGGGCTGGCCGGGCACCGACGTCTGCAACCCGCCCAAGACGGCATCGCACCCGAACGGCGACCCGTCTCTGCCCTACTTCCGCTGCCACTCGGGCGAGCTCTACTACGTATTCGGCAACCTCGCGCGCCAGGGCCTCCCGGTGCGCGACGACGGCGACCTGCCGTTCGAGCAGCTCGTGCTCGACAGCTTCGCCTCGTTCGTGCGGTCCTACGACCCGAACCCGGACAAGGCGCTGCTGGTCGCGCGCGGCTACACGCACACGCTGCAGCAGCTCGCAGCGTCGGGCCCGTGGGTGCCCAGCACGCCCGGCGCCATGACGCTGCGCGCGCTAGACTGGCCGCGCTCGTCGCAGGGCCCGTTCCGAGAGCTGCCGCAGTGCAGCGGGCTCGGTCTGGGGCTGGATTACTATGGGTGATGGCATTCTGGGGGGGTTTAGCTTGCCATTGCGTGGTTCAGACGGGTTGTATATATATATGAGGTATGGAGCTGGGTAATACACCTCAGGGGTTGCGTTCTTGTAGAGCCTCTCAACATTTGACTGCCTTGCACTCTCAGTAACAACAACTTTCCGATTCAGGACAGCCGCATTTTTCTCTAGTGTCTTGTACTATATTGTATTTGCTTGTGCTCGAATGCTTTGTTTGCTATCTCGAGGTGTCCAATACGTCCGAGGTGGAGCGGCAGCTGCCTAGTTCCCCGATCAGACACGGGTCTTGTTCCTCATTGGCCTGTGTGATAAGCGGCCAGTTGGGCTCAGGCTCGGGCCGGCCTCCTCCTCCTCCTCTAGGCTGCCTGCCCATTGTGTCTCGTCGATCTCTTACTTGGTCGACAGCTGCGTAGCGTGTTGAAATGATTCAGGCCCAATACGGATGGGATACTTGAATACCTTACGCGCTTCATCCGATATACACATAGGAATTCGAACGTGCGGAGGGTGTGGTTTTCGTTGCGCGCATGTCTCTCGCGAGGTGTTGATCAACTGAAATACTTTACCTCGACCGCTTTCATTCACACTATAATAGAGTAGATGAATGAGTTATTGTTAATCAGTATGTTCATTGCTTTTTTTTTCTTAAGCAAGCGCTTTGTTCACCAAAGACATGTCTGGTTACGTCGTTTTACATGTTGGCTTGAACGGCGCTTCTCCTCTTTGAGTTCTACTGCTTTCTTTCCCTCCCCGACTGACCGCGGGGCTTTGTGTTTTTACTCGATTATAGGATATCGCACCAACAAGTCTAGGTGCAATGCGGTGCGGTATCTAGACCAGGTCTTAGAGTCTTGGGTATAGTCTAGTCCGTTGAAGGACCAGCCAGTACGGCTTTCATTTTTGTTCTTTCATTCATCCATTATCTCTTTGCGGGCTTGCGGCAGACAAACAAGCAACCAAGAAAGCTGACGCAGGGGAAGGGAAAAAGAAAAGAGGGGAAACAAATAAACCATGGGAAAGCCGGCCGCCGCCGCGCCGTGTGCCTCGGGGCTCTGGCACGGCTGGGACACCAAGGCCGGCGCGTCCGTGCCGGTTGAGCGCCTCGCCGACTGCGCCGCTGCCCGTTGCTGCCCGCCCTGCCGCATGCTCCAAGGCATCGTCGACCACCTCCGCCCCGGCTGGTTGTTTGGTGGCGGCAATGACAGTGGCGATGGTGCCAGGGCCATCGTCATCAAGCGCCGCGAGCGCTGGCTCTTCAACTCTAACATGGCGCTCTTGGGCGGCACCGAGGCGTTCCGCCTCGTCGAGGGCGGCGGCAACTGTGCCGGCAGGCCCGTGGCCGAGCTGCAGCTCTACCAATCTATTACAGGTGCGTTGTTTTGTGCCTGGTGTTTACTCCATCCCCCACACCTCTATTTGCTTGAGGGGTGAGTCAGGGGCTGCACGTTTCTTCCAAGTCCGGCCCGCCCGCTGAGACGCTAGCAACCGCCCCCTGGACTAGACGACGAGAAGCTGCTGGCGCTCGACGACGCGCTGGATCCGTTCGAGCGGCTGCTGTTCGGCGAGACGCTCGACATTGCGCCCGACTCGGGCGCCGACGCCACGTTTGCCCGCGCCGCCAAGTGGCTGGGCCACTGCGTCGCAAACCACGAGAGCTGCGCCCGCGTCCCGAGCGGCAGCGCCAGTGCGCCGTTCATGCCCAGCCGTCTGCTGAGGATAGACGGCACAGCCAGCAGCACGGCCCAAGCTGTCAGCGGGACGGTGACGCTCATCGAAACAGCGGCTGCGGCTGCGGTGCCATACGTCGCGCTGAGCTACTGTTGGGGCCCCTACACGGCGGACATCCGGACCACCGTCGCGGCGAACCTGCGCGAGCACATGCACGGCATCGCCGTGGCCGCGCTGCCGCGCACCGTGCAGGACGCCATCCTCGTAGTGGCCAGGCTGGGCGTGTCGTACATCTGGGTCGACGCGCTGTGCATCGTCCAGGACGACCCAGCTGATTGTAAGTTGGCACGCGCATATAATCACATGAGTGTTTCTACACACTTGTGGGAGATCTACAGAGTAAAGTCCCTGGGGATAAAGGCTTACGGAAGAGTTTAAACCAACGCCACAGGGACGCGCGAGGCCGCCACCATGGTCGACGTGTACGCGCACTCGCACTTCACCATCAGCGCCAAGGGCCCGGACTCGTGCCACCAGGGCTTCCTGGGGCCGCAGCTGTTCGGGGCGCCCGAGTGGCAGCGGCCCGTCCCCGTCGACGCTGTGCCGAGCGTCGTCCTCAGCGGCGGCGGCGCGCGGCCCAACCAGAAGATCATGGTGCGCGGCGGGCGGGTCGACCACGCGGACTCGGCGGCTCGGCGCTTCGCCCTCGACACGCGCGGGTGGTGCCTCCAGGAGACGGTGCTGCCGCGGCGCCGGCTGGTCTTCGACGGCTGCGAGATGTCATGGCACTGCCTCGAGTGCGCGCTGTGCGAGTGTGGCCACCTGGACGAGGACGTGTCTTTGGGGGGCGGCGATGGCGAGGAAGACACGCAGCAGCGGCTGTTTCGCAGCGTGGCCGACCGGCAGGTGGCGAATCTGCTGCGAACCGATGATGGCGGGCGGCGCCGCAAGAAGACGGTGGCGGCTGACTCCGATTTCCACTACCAGTGGACCGACATGGTGACGCAGTACTCGCGGCGGTTCCTGACCAAATCGGGCGACAAGCTGGTGGCCATCTCGGGGCTGGCCAAGACGTTTGGGAGAGCGATCGAGGCCGGAAAGGGGGAGCGGGGAAGCAGCGAGAGCGACCAGGTCGTCGCCGTGCTCCCGGGAAAGGTCGTCACCGTGCCGAGCCCACCCATCGCCATCCCCGAAGGCGGACCAGGAGACTACGTGGCGGGCATGTGGAGGCGGTCTCTCGTGGCCAGCCTGGCGTGGGTGGTGGATCTGCACGCTCTGCAGGCGACCGGGCGGCGGGCTCACGCGCGACACGGCGGGTACTGCGCGCCGTCGTGGTCGTGGGCGTCGGTGGACGGGCCCGTCATGTTCAACCTGCTGGAGATGGCCGTGTCGCAGACGCAGTGGAGCGACGCTGACTACATCGGCTGCGACGTTGTGGTGCGCGAGGTGGTGTGCCTTCCGGCCGACGCGGCCAACGTGCACGGCGCACTCTGGGCGGGCCATATCGTGGCGACGGGCCCCGTGGTGGCAGTGGAGCTGGCCGTGGTGCCCATGACGTACGAGGGCAAGGGCAAGGGGGACCGCGACACGGACCTGGACGACTTCCTCCGGCTCGGCGGCGTCGGCGGCAGGTGCCCGTGCCGGGTGCGCACCGAAGGCATGCAGTCGTTCAGCGTGCTGCTTGACGTGGAGCAGCCGCAGCACGTGGGTTACGACAAACGCGGGTGCTGGTTCGAGGGCCGCTGCCTGTGCGGCGACGGCGAGGCCTGCCGCTACGACAGGAACTCGCGCTACGCGTGCCTGCGGCTGCTTTCGTACAGGGCCGAGGCCAGAATCTCCGGCGGGCCCGAGTACGAGGTGGTCTTGTTCCTGGTGCTGCGGCGGGTGCGAGACGAGTCGTCGCCACTCTCAGACGTTGATGTCGACACATACGAACGTGTCGGACTGGGAACGTGGGCAACCCACTATTCAAGACAGAAGCCATTCACGCTGTTCTCGCACGGGCAGTCTAAGACGATCAAGCTCATATAGTTAATTATAAGCAAAAGCCCGCCCATTTCGTCGAGTCAAACCTGATGACCGTCAACTTCGCACACACAACACAAAGATGATGGTACACGTGTAAACATGGAGACCACAATCAGAACGTGTGTAAACTCGCCATGCACTCAATCCGTATGTAACTTAAATTCTCCTCAATCGAGAATGTTCAATAATTCAATAACCTCTTCCCATACCCGCACGCTGAAAGAGGGAAAAAAGAAGATGTGTCGGGAACACCCCCGATGCCAGGCAGAACACCGAGCCACGGAAGCGACCAAGCTGTGCAGTGCTCCGAGTCTCCCGGAGGAAACTATGGCGAGGAAGGAGAGACCCAGTTCGTCTAGCACGTAAATATGACCGATAGAAAGTGGGTGAGCGTTCAATATCGGTTGATTAGTCGTGCAAAAGTGTAAAGAAAAAAAAGGAAAATGAAAAATGCCGAACAGAAAATCTGGTACACTAAGTAACCACCCGTTCGGCAGCTTCTCGGGCCGCGTTTCTACACTACCCAGTGCAGTAAAAAAGTGTCGACTGTGGAGCGAACAAAGAGGGCGCACGGGCCATTTTAGCTTTTCCATATCAAGCCGGCTTTTCTTTCGCTGCCCAAAAATTCAATTTCTCTTCCCATCAACCACAGCAAGCACTTCGCCAAAGACTTGTCCCTTCGCACACACAGCGCCATGATCGCCTTCGTCGCTTCGCCCGCGGGCTGCAATCACCTGCTCTCTTGTCATTGAGATCTCTTTTTTGCCGCGGCGTTTTTCTGCCAGGCGACTGGTCGTCTGCTCAATCTGCAGACGGGACTCGAAGACGAGAGAGACGGGGCAATGGCTGCCGATGCGCCGTCGCACACTTGCACTTTTCCCCCCACCCCTCCAAACACCACACAAAACCACAATATGCCTGCCTCTGTGCTTGTTCTCTATGCGCAATGGGGTTACTTGATTAATATCGTTCGAGTGGGAGAAAAAACAAAGGGTCTAGACAACCCGTCCTGTCCACCCCGCTCTCGCAGATTCTCTGTGCGGCAGCGGGACTAACAAAGACAAATATTCTGCAAAACATGCCTTCTTTCAACTTCATCAATACACTATATTCTCTTGCGCATCCGTACATAATACAAGAACATTGCCGCCCTGCCTGCCTTGCACTGTCCATGTCATGTTTGAAGATGAAAGAAAGTCTGGGTATCCAACCAACCAACCAACCGTACCTATCCATGCTGCATTCAAATCCCAAAAACGCCGCTCTAATCATTATACCAACCCGGAACCCACCATGACCCGTCCGTGAGACAACTGCAAACTCCAAGATCGAATCATCCAAAGTCACATGCCTGTCAAGTGCTGCTGCTGCTGCGGCCGAATATGTACGTCTCGTCGGTAAACGAGAGCAGGAACTTGGCCACGAGGCGACCCGTGTAGTTGAAGGCCACGTCGCGAGGGTACGGGTGCTCCTCCTCGTTGGGAAGGATGGGATCCGCAGTCAGAAAGTCCAGTTCGGCCCCTGAATTCGCAGTCGACATGGTTAGCAACTTGGCTGTGACGACACAAAGCAACAAGGGGGAACTCACATTGCGGGTCATCCAGGAACCACCTCAGCTTGCGCACCATGTCGGCTGCGTCACTGTCCAGCTCGCCCTGGGCGATGCAGGCGTCGTCGACGAGGGGGTTGAAGCTGCGGGCGGCGGCGTCGCGCGAGTGCGTCTGGTAGATCTGGTGGAACTGGAAGGCGAACTGCTTGAAGGGCATGTTCTCGACCTCGCGGTTGACGCCCAGCGCAAACGACCGCTTCCACACGGGCGCCAGGCGGCTGCGCAGGCTGATCTCGTTCTCCGAGATGACAAACGTGTCGGCCGCCGTCTCGACCGACTCCATGAAGAGGCAGAGCACCAGGAAGGCGGCCAGGCACGGCGCCCACTCCTTGCGCGACTTGGGCTTGAGCGACTTGTTGAAGGTCTCGAACAGCAGCTGCATCTCGCGCAGCATCATGTCGTCCACCACGGCCTTGATCTGCCGGTTCAGCACCCGCGGCGTCACCCACGGGGTGTTCTGCGGCACCAGCTTGCTCGGCCCCAGCGTCGCCACCGCCCGCTGCGTCAGGCACAGGTGCCGCGTCATGACGTAGTGCATGGCGTAGATGGACAGCGCCCGCTTCACCATGCCCGACCCGCTGCGCTCCGAGTAGTCCTGCACGATGCGCAGCACCTGCCGCGGCAGCGCCGTGTGCCGCAGCGACTCCGTCACCAGCTCCGCGTACCGCGGCTCGCTGACCATGGCCTGGATGTACTCACGCGCCTTCTTCTTGAGCTCGTCCTTGTGCGGCACCGCTGACCCGCCCGCCCCGTCCGCCGTCGCCGCCGTCTCGAGCCCGATGGGCACCGCCTTGCGCGTCTGCAGGTCCAGCTTGTTGCCCCCGACCTGCATGTGCCAGTGCTGCAGCACGTCGGCCGTCTTGGCCGTGAAGAACTTGGCCCTGACCGACAGCACGGCGCGGAAGCCGTTACCAGAGAACAGCTCGACGGTGCACGGCTTGGCCACGCCGTCGACGGTGAAGTCCTTGATGTTGTCGGCGAGGAACTTGCTCATCTCGTCCTTGCGGAAGTGGCCGCGGATGAACTCGGGGAACAGCACCTGCAAAAAGTCGGGAAACTGCCAGCACATGGCCTCGGGCACCTGCAGCTTGAGCTTCTGGCAGTTGCGGCACGGCCGCTCCTTGTCACACTTGACCTTGCGCGCGTGGCAGCAGAAGCACGCCCCGACCCGCCGCACCTGCAGCGCGCTCTCCTTGGTCCCGCTCGCCAGCGGGCCCTTGCGCCCCCGCTGCGACTGCCGCATCGCCGTCTCGAAGCACTCGAACGGGTTCGGCTTGTCGGCGTGCGCGTTGACGCTCTCGGGCGTCACCACGAAGAACTTGCTGCTGCCGCCGCTGCTGCCGCCGCTGCCGTTGCTTCCCGCACTGAGGTTGCTGCTGCTCAGCGTCGACTCGAGCGACGATGATATCGACGTTGTCGTCGTCGTCTTCTTCTTTTGCACGCGAGCGTTGTTGTTCATCTTCCGGATGGCCATTGGTGCCGCCGCCGCCGCCGCCGCCGCCGCCGCCGCCGCCGCCGCCTGCCTGCGGTCCGCACCCGCGCTGGCTTCCCGCTTGACGTGCACGGGGGACGGCGGCACGCTGATGGCGCTCGCCGGAGAACCCACACTAACGCTGGTGCTGCCGCTGACGCTAATGCTGATGGAGGGAGAGTGCAGATATTGCTGCTGTTGTTGCTGTTGCTGCTGCCGCGGAGACAGGGATACAAAATTCCCCGTCACTCCATCCATGAAAAACATGGGCGAGCTGCTGTTATCCCCCAGGTTGGCGGGGTTCCACGGCGGCACGCGGGCGTCAGCCTGGAGAGGCTGGGGATTGACGAAGTCGAAGTTCATTTGGTGTTGCTGCTGCTGCTGCTGCTGCTGCTCCATACCGCTCGTCATATGCGACAGGTCGTTGTTGAGCAAGAGTGTGTTGATTTCTGTTGAAGCGAAAATGAAGTCTCACGGTCAGCACATGAAGAACACCACCACAACATTGGCAGGCTTACCGAACTGGAGTTGCTCGTTAAATGCCAGGTCGCTCTGCATGAAGTAGTCCTGCGTATCGTGGCCCAAGCCGGCGAAGCTGAGCTGGCTGTCTCCCCCGGCAGCCGCGGCAGACGTGACGTCGAACGAAGCGCTGCTCCCCGGATATGACGTCGGCGGGATGAGCGGCGGCGGGGCGAAGGCGCTCTGCTGGTCGAAGTCCAGGTCCAGCGGCGACACGGCCGCCGGCGACAGGTCGAAGCGGTGCCCGATGACGGCCCACGACCCGCCCAGGCTGCTCGCCGTGCCGCTCGCGGGGCTGGGGCTCGGAAAGAAGCCGCCCACCGACGACCCCGGGCCGGACCGCCCGCCGCTGCTGCTGCCCGGGGGGTGCTGGTGGCTGTGCGGGATCGACACGCCCGCCCACGGCAGGTCGTCGCTGTCGAGGTCGCCGGCTATTGACGAGTCGGTGCCCTGCACGAAGTCGTAGCTCGACAGGGGCGACGCCCCGGATGCGACTGACGCCATGCTACTGTCTTGATTTATTCTATTCCCGCTTGGCCTTTCGTCCTTCGACACGTGGTCGTCCGATTCCTCGGGTTACCTCTTGTCGACCCGTCTCGTCCAGTCTCCTTTTTCGTGCGACCTCCTAAGAGCCAGCCTTATCGTGGTGCTCGAACGTTTCGCAGGAATAGCAAGGTAGGTAACCTATCGAGGATCCAAGCACCAGGAAACCGGGGCCGTTTGCGCGCGCCCGTCCGAGCAGCTGACCGACGAGATGATTGTTTGTCCCGCGTGCTTGCGTTGCGTTGCGTGCGTATGTGTTTCGTTGCAAATAGCCCTCCTTAATACGGCACAATTCAGGTTCGTTCGGTATACTAGCAAAGTGGCGAGGGGGAGCGAAGAGGTGCCCTGGGGAAATCAAGCTCCCATCTCCTGCTGATTACTTGAAACAACAGCAAGCGATAAAGTCAAAAGTGTTTTGCGTGGTCGTGTGTTTATTATGGGAAGGAAGAAAGAAAACAAAAGAAGAAGAAGGGAACACGCCACTTCTTTTCTGTCCTGATCTACTAATTCCAAGCGACAAGAGAAAAACGGCAGCCATGCAATGAACACCCCTCTCTGCCCATCCAATGCAATGCGAAAAGGCATCGCGGCGCGGGGGAGACAGCCAGACCTCTTCCAGCTCAGCCTTGCTCGCTGTAACGAATGGGCGCTAGACCCGATCGAGCGACCGAGAGACGGTCGGCAGGCATGGGTGGTGCGAGCAAGCGGCGTTTTGCCTCGCCTGTTGTGCCCTGTTCCCCTTTGCCTACAATGCTAATATGATAGAACGGGCCACCGAGGGCTGTAATAAACGAAACGAAACGCTCTCTTCTCGTTTGGGTGTGCTAGGCCGCATTGGATCACCGATAATAATCCATCCCCTCCAAAGTTTTACCGTGGTCTAAGGGTAAGTTTTATTTCCCTGTCCAGTACCAGCAACCGTGTCTTGGCCAGTGCCGTCCCTGCTAGCGCTCAAGGCGCTGTAATTTTGAAATCGTGGCGCCCCGGGGGCCATGTCGGTACCCGGGCAAGGGATAAAGCTTTTGCTCGTCGCCTTAGTACACAGTATAGTAAATCCCGTCCGTGCTCCGTATACACTCACCGTTGCACCGCCTGCGTGCGGTGCGGTGCGGTGTAGTATCACCGAACGCCTTTTTTTCTCTCGTCTTGTCGACGGGATTCGGAATATAGAGGTAGTCGTTTACCACCACCGCTTTCTTACCGGTGTTCCAGCTTTCTTTCTATACATCCGATATACCTGGTTTCGCTGGTCATGACAATGACGACTGAATGAATTGCTGTGACGATTTACAATAACAAGAACAACAACCCCCGACAACAGCAGCGGTATCGGGAATTTAGCTAGCTGGCTGGCTGCCTTACCTGAGGTAATGTAATAAAGTAGGTGGTTACCCAACACGTGCGATGTCTTGTCTTGTCTTGTATATCTATCGTACATGTACATGTGCGATGCAATACAATACAAGTATGGCAGCAGCATATTCGCCTACTTCGTTTCCACTCAAACGAATCGAGTCTTGTTAGCTCGGTGCTCCGTGGTCTTTTTTTTGCCCGTTTGTCCTACCGAAGCTGCACAGGAGACAGACGAACTGGTTGCGAAACATGTAGTAGTGGGGAATAAATAGCATGGAAGGTGATGCGATAGTCCGTACTGTATGACACGCTGAACGAACCGACCAGGAACTTCTGTTGTCTATCCAAAGCTCGGCCAGTTTGTCGGTATGTAAGTAGGGAGTATTTATTCACTGCCTCGATTATTCCCTCGCTTAAATATTCCGTCACGATCCACTTCTTCCAACCATTCCCTAGGACGTGAAGGGGTGTGTGTGAAAGGTAGAAAAGACTCCTCAAATACACACGACTTGAGCAGAGTCTGTGCCATGGGCGGCTCTTCCTCATTGTAGTACATACACGCATAGCACCACAGCATAGTATAGCACAGCACAGCATAGCATAGTACAGCATAGCGTAGCGCAGCGTAGCACAGCCATCAATGACCGAGGCCAACCCGGTTCAGCTTCGCTCAGCGCAATTCAGCTCAACGTACGCTAACAAAAAAAAGGCTGAACAAGATTCTCTCCCCGCAGCCTCGTCCACAGGATCGATTGATCCATGACAGAACGGAAGCAAGGCAGGGAAAGCTGGGTGAGTAAATGATAGAAGAAAATAAAGAAGATAAAATATAAAGAACCCCCGCCCCGGGACAGAGACTGTTATATTTGCCTCTCGCTTTATAAAAAAAGAAAAAAGAAAACAAAGAGAAAAACTTCATCCGATGGGAAATCAGAGTCTAGCTTAGAACTAAAGCCGGGATATTAGTAAGAAACCGACATGCGACATGAGATTGTGGGTAATTAATTGCAGTGATCACGTTTCTCTCTCATAAGCCCGGACACGAAAAAGACAGACGTAAATATCAACGGGAACAAGAGACGAAAATGAAGACCCAAATAAAACTATTGGTCACTGACAGATACGAAGAACGATTTCCGCTGCCGTCTCGAGACCTGTCCTTCCCGTTTTGTCTCGTTTCATCTCATGTATCTGGCCGCACCAACACCATTCCATCACTCCAACAGGGTGACACGCTGGGACAGGAGCGAAGAAAAAAAGGGAGAATGGACAGGTACGAGAGAATTCGCATAAAAAACAGCTGTAAGCCAACCAACTAACCAACCGGTATAAAAAAAGGCAAATGTCCCTCCGTGTTAATTATACCAAAATACCTGGAACAAACAAGCACGAGCACAAGCACAAGCCCACCACCTCCCAGTAATAAAATCACCCGTCCAGCCTCCAACCTATGGCGTTGCGTTCCAAAGCCGTTCGTTGCAGCCTGTCCTGTCTCGTACTCAAAAAAACATGGAAACTCCAGGAACAAAAAAAAACCCCCCTCTCAAAGGAAAGGGAAAGCGCAAGGCTAAACAAGTCGTACAAAATCTGGCAGTTTAGATGAGAAAGGCCATGATCTCCAATATCCTTGGGCATGGCGAGCCCAGTGTCGTCTCGTCTCGTCTCACTTGGGGTATATGTGCTGATACTGTCTTTGGTGTGGGGGAGATTGGCGACAAGTCTATCGTGAGTTGGCTCCTCGACAAAAAGAAAACGCAACAGCACCGAATCTTGTCCAAAGACGGACGCAAGGGTAAATGTCGTCAAACCGAGAAGAGCTCCAAAGAGGGACGGGGGTAAAACGTATAGGGGGTGTTTGGAACACCCCGGAAATCTGATCAAAGCAGAAGAGAAAGATGTCAACGGAACCCAACCTTGACGGAGAGGAACCATTCTTCAACAAAAGAGATTCTAGTCTCTTCTTCTTTCTCAGCGGAACCGGGCCGCAGTGACGGCAGATCTCTCTTGGATCTGTTGCTCCGTCGAAACGTATAGTCTGTCCAAATAATCCATGGCTTGGGCATCCTTGAGGATCTTGGCAACCTGGATGCCAGCCGAAATGAGCTGCAAAATGTTCCGGTCGTCCTTGAGGGGGCGGGACTGGTGCTTGGCAGCATGCCGCATCTCCAACGAGTTCTCCAGGATCGTGACAAGCTGCTTGATCTGGCCGTTGTACAACACCCTGGCGGGGATCCTGCGCTTGGTGGCAAGGCGCTTGAGCAAATACACCCACTCGGTCCATTCACGGTCCTGGGGGCGTTCGACGGGGCGCATGTCCTGCGTCAGCGGGATCGGGAAGCTATACTTGGCTACAAAGTCAAAGGCGCACTGCGACAGGCGGTCATTGACTTGGCTCAGGACACTATCCTGCTCCTGGACCAAAAGGTTGGTTGGTAGGTGCGGCAAGTCCCGCTCCTGCATGGCAATGTATTCCGGCGGAGGCCGCTTCAGAAACTGGTGCGGACCGTCGAACTCATCGCGGTTGGACGGCCGCCGCTGCTGGGAGCGCGCCTTCCCGTCCGTCCTCCTGTTATTGCCATGGCTGTTACCTGAGGGCGTCGCTCCGGCCCCGTTGTCTAGCGAGTAATCGGAGAGGCTCGGCGAAATCATGAAATCGTCGACCGAGTCCGAGGGAGAGTACCTCCCTTGGTGGTCCCAGCCCTGCGAGCTCACGCTGTCCATGCTGAACGGGCCCTGACCGGGTTCCGGACCGGGACTGGTATATGCCGTGCCCATGGTCAGTCGCGGGTTGTAGGCCGCCGCCGACGGGGGAAAGGCGGCCTCGGCTCCGGCTCGTCCAAACTGGCCATTTCCGTTGCTCCCCATGGATATCGTGGCAGGTAGGTTATGCGAAGAATTGTTTCCGGATTTGTACGCCACGCTTGATTGACGACTGAGGTTATTTTGTTGTCCTCGAGGAAGGGTCTTAGCTGGCTGCCATCTTACCTTTGTGGCCGATAGGGGTTGCTGCCCGTCTCGAAGACGCCATTCTGGTACGTGTCATTGTAGATTGGACTTTTTGGGGGGAAACTAGTTAGCTGAAGAAACGGTCTCGGCCTGGCGGACACGGTTCGGGATTTTGTTCGCACCTGCGCGAAGAGAGCCATGGGTCGTTTGACACGAGGGCAGAAGTGCGGTAGGCAAAGTCTGGCTGTGTCATATTTCCTGGTCCGGGCCGGCTAGAGAATTTTAAAGGCTGGATTCTCGAAGAGCTCCCTCTCACTGGATTTTTGGCGCAGTGAAAATCACAGAACACAAAACGGGGAAAGGCAACACCTCCAAAAGGAGAGCCAGGGTGCCAGGTCAGTCCCAACGGTAGTGGGAAGGGGGAGAAAAGTCTGCAGCTGGGACTTCCTGGGATACAGGCCACCCAGACCCTTCGACTCCAAGGGGATCCACGCGGCGGCGATGGCCTCACTGGGATGTGTCTTTGGGGGATTGCCAGGTGTGTGTATGGCCCACCAGCAGCGGATTTGACAGTTCGATGGGCGCGTGCAAAGTGGGTTTCCTGCCTTGAACTGATCTTTTGGCTGGAGTGTACTTGTTCAAACCTGGCCGCTTTTTTCTCTTCTCTTCTGGGGTTGAAGTGTCCGTGATCAAATGAGTGCCGAGCGAGAGCTTAAAGACTAGAACAGACCAGACCAGACCAGACACGCGAAGGAGACCATATATGCCCTTTTCACGACGTTGAGTGGCAAAGTTGGCGATGTTGCAAAAGTAGGCAGCCGGCCAGGCAAGGCAAGCAATGAAGGCAAGGCAGGACAAGACAAGACCAAACCAGACCACACAGGGCAGCAGTGCGTGTGCAAGTTAAACACGCAACGTACATCAGAGTCGGTCCGCCTCAAACCAGGAGCTTGGGGGTGAGGCGTCTGGCCTCAGCAAGAACCCGCATACAGAGGCGGATTCGTGACCTCCGACAGACAGGGGATTGTCAAATGCCAACAAGTCGGGCGTCGACGGCGAGTTAACCGGGAGCTTGGTGCTCAGGCAGCGGGCGGCGCACAGCAACGCTGATCGCCCACGCGAGGCGGATGACTTGGAACGGGAAAATCGATGCACGGCCATCCAATGGCCAGCGCCAACGTACTTGGTGAGTAGTGCGGCCCTGAATCCCGTCTTCTGCCGCGTGCCCTTGATCCAGCGCGCACATTTTCGTCGGCAGAAGATGTGCTGGCCACGACGGCCGAGGCAACGCGGCGAGGCGTCGTTGGGCACAAGTGGAATTGCGAGGACGTAGTGGTAGTGCACATACATACATACTGTGCTTGCTGTGCCGTAGATTGTGGGCGACGACGGGCCATGATGTGCCGGCTGCCCAATCGCCCGGCGCCCGCAGAGCCGCGATTGGTGCAGGGAGCGTGCCTGTTTCTCGGCAGCAGTGGGCATGGTCCGCATGGAGGAGCTGGAAGGTTGGGCAGGAATACCTGCAGTACCTGCTGCTTCGTTGGCGAGGCCCAATTCCTATGATGAGCCCATGCATTGCCCGCACCAATGCCCAATGCACCCCCCAGCCCACTCGAGCCCGTCCGTTTTGGCTCTCTTTGGTGCCTTCTCTCTTCTTTGGTCTCGCTCGACCTGCCAGTGCCTCTTTGGGGTTTCAACTACCGTCCCCCTTCTGTCTTTTAAAAGCGCTGCGAGGGCCGGATCCGTAGCCGGCCGACTTGGCTGAAGATTTTGACCTCTTCAACACCGACGGCTTGGCCGACTGTGCGGTGCCGAAGACGGTGCCATCCTCGATTTCGATATGAGAGTAATAATCAAGACTTGCATCGCCCAAGATTCTTTTCCGCGTGCTCTTTCAAAAGTAACCGCCCGCCGCTATGGATTGGAAAGTTCTCCTCCAGTGTCTGTCTGGCTGCTTGCACAGCCGGCTGCAATTCCGCAGCGCCGCTCGTGTCGTTCCGCAACCCGAACCTGGAAGCTGCCTGCCACCCACCTATTTCATTCCGCCTGGTTTTAGGTACCTGTCGACTTGCGAACCCCCAAAACAACCAGTGCTGCAAGCAAATTCTTGGGGCTTGCTCGAGCCTTGTCCACCCGGGGAAGGGAGACGTCATCGTTCACGGGCCTGACTAAGGAGTTAGACCCGTCGCGGCCGACAAGCGAGAGCTTCGCTCGCGACTGAACACCGCACTTCACCGTTCCAGCTTCTGTTGCACCTCATCGGGGGTTTCGGTCTCACGGGGTTTCTTTTCATGTCATGTCAAACACCCGGCCAGTTTCCCCTAAGGACTTATCCGGAACCCTCGCCTCCAACTTTCATGAACTGCGTGGGCATATTCTCCGTGGTAAGGTGAGTATAAACGCCGAAGACATTTACCCGGCTGGAGCAACAAAGTGCGAACGATGGCAAGGCCCCCCCAGCCTTATTCGCGCCCCGGACATATGGCCGCCTAGGGATCGTTCAAGGAGAGATTTGACGCCGATATACCAGGATAGCTCTCACCCGGACATGTTCCTAGCTTTGATGAAACCCAAGGTATGTACAAGTACCTACTCCAGGCTTCAGCTCCTCGGATCTCCGGATGCTCTTGGACCATACTTTCTCTCTTTGACGCTGGTTGGCTGCCTGGATTCTAACCCCAGGGCTGTATTTCTCAGCCAAACTGGTCCTGTGAAGCTCCTACAGCCCTGCAAGAAACAATGGAGTCCGTGGAATGGCGCTGCCCTGTATTGGCAACCGTCGGTCTAGTCTCTTCCCGATGGGTTCATGTCGCCATACCAGATGATCGACTAACGAGGAGGCTACTCCCCTCGACCAATGGGTCGGCGTCCGCCCCAACATACACGGGACCCAAAGCACATTTGTCTGTTTTCGGAATCTGGAAGTACAAATTAGACTTCCCACATACTTCTAATGCAACGTTCTCTTCCGAAAGGAGAATGTGGCTGCTAGAGCTGGCCGATTCGGGAACATGGCTGAGAATCCATGAAGCAACCCAAGCATCAACCTTTGCACAAGCTACAAGGTCTGCGAGGCATCGAGGATGACGAGGCTGTTGTCAACGGGCCCGTCCCTTCTATTGTTGGAGGCTTTCCACGAGACCATACCCAGCCTCGCCAGAGCGAAATTCGAGGTGGCAGCGGGGGAACCATGGAGGCCCTACTGGACCAATATGGCCAAGCCTCGGCTGACCCTGGATACGAGGTCGAAATCTCTTCGGCGAGCTAGGTCCAACCCATTTGCTATACGCCATTGGAAAACGGTCATTGCTGACAACTTGGAAATTCACAGAAAGATGCTGGAAGTGGAGTTGCCACTGTTCCAGCTCCTTTTTGTCTCTGATGAGCATGGTTCAGGCGGCGAGTGCGTATTGTGGGGCTGGCTGGCCTCTGCCGAGATATCGGAGCCAGACTTGTCGGTCAGGGCAGACGAATGCAGACAATCACGTCTGCCTTCGTCGTTATGATCACACAGAGGAAGCCGGCATCTCACCTCTCAAACCACCGCAATAGATTCCACGTTTACCTGGAAGGTCCGTCAGAAGTCTGCCAAGCCTTGTCTCGGAGCAATTGAAGATCCGCCAGACTGCCAAATACTGGGCATGATGCCGAAGAGATGCCGGTGGTAAAATGTCTGAGAACCAAGAACATTCTCGGCATCGGCTCAGGAAACGGTTTCGCAAGCCCTTACCTCGATTTGTTGGAGCTGAGAATCGAGCAACAGATCCAGGGCAGGGCGCACTCTTTCATCCTGCAGTGACCAAAGAACCAGGCCAACCGCTTTCGTCAGACTCGAGGCATTGCCATCATCGACACCGGCACTTGTCCGCCAGTATTGCTTCTGAAGATGAATCAAACAAGACAAGTCGTCACCGGTCAACAGCGAGTGCCTTGTACAACCAGTGAGACTTTTCACAAGGGGCAGCGGATAAGTGAAAAGGGGCATCTTGGATGTATCGACTGCCATCTCTGACGAGCTAACCTTGGTGTGCCGGGCAATCCGTCCTTTTGAAGAAGGGTGGAACCTCGGACAGAACCTAGTCGACGCGTTGCGCCTCGAGATATTGCGGCAACGGCGGATGAAGCCAAAGACGGCGACAACCTTTGCCATGCACGCAACCACACTCGGTCGTCAATTTCGCCCCGAAACCCTTCGTCTGAGTAAATGAGGCCCAAACAGTCTGATCGAGCAAGTTCTCTGTTGCAGAAGACAGACGATTATGCGAGCACCAGCAATGAGGAGATGCCACACAAGCCGTTGCTTTCGGCATTTCTAAGCCATCATATCTCTTGTGCCGCATTGACTCATCGAGCCGCCGATAGAACCCAGCCCTTTGCGAGCAAGAAGAGTGAGGCGGCTGCATCTCAAGCGCAGATTCAGCCAAGGGAGCATCGTGTGTTTCCAGACATGGTGAGTTGTCGTGGAGTCCATGGATCTTAGCTAGCCGAGTGGCTATTCGAGGCTGCAACGACTGGTCGCCAGCACAAGGCACAGAAACCCTTCTCGCCCCAGTCGCCTCCATGAACGGCTCGGACCATCTTGGCTCTCGCCAATTTTCGCCAAAGGCAACGTTGATATTTCTCTCCACTGGCACACACAGGCAGAGAGCCGGGCAGCCCCAGAAACGATTCAGCTGCTCTCATCTCATGTCTGCATGCCAATTCAGCAAGGCAAAACACGAGCGGCCTTGTCTCACGACTGGCCCATCATGGCCATGTCCATCCACCCAGCGAGAACTCGCGAGCTACGTGCTCTGTACGGGGCCAGCCAGCGGCGCTTTGTCCGCATTGGCTGGAGCGGCAGCTTCTCATGCATGGTCCCAGACCCGCTTGCTGGACAGCGGTTGGACGGCGGAGGTGAGACAGTCGATGGTCGCTGTTGGACCCAAGGATCTGCTCGCCCACTTTCCTTTGCTCACACGAAGGGAGGGAAGGCAATGGAAGCAGTATTGCGGCCACTGCACTGTGACACGGCATGCTGGCTGGGCGCCGGCACGGGCTTTCTCTCTCTCAAAGAGAGGCGGAGGCGATGCTCGCATCGTGATTTGATGTGATGGAAAAGACAATCGTCCATGAGAGTGAGAAGGGTGGGTTCGACTTGGACGGGTCTGCCGCGTAGGCCGCTCGCTGCGTGAATGAGTTGCTGCGGAAGGCTCGCTCCATGGAGAGACTGAGAAGGCGGCGCCGCGCTAGACTGGCTGCAGGAGCCGTCCTTTGTTGCGGCGCCATCGACGCATTTCCATTTGGCTATTTCGCGCAACACCCGGCGAATAACCTCATGCACTTGTTGATGTGAGCAGGCTGGAAAGTGGGCTGGGCCATCTGCAATGATGAGTTGGCAAGCCGTCTGCTGCAGCCTATCCCCTGCAAATGTTGCGGGCTAGCGGTCGTCACCACGCATGATAGGCTGGCAGCTCCCCCTCAGGCCCCGCCAGACCCTCCTCTTCCGTCCGCCTCCCCAAAAAGAAGCCGGAAAGCTCGCGGACAGAGAGCGGTGTGCGACCAACCCATGCAACATGTGGCCTATGGCAGACGAGGTGGGTGCTGCCAGCACAGCTCGTCGACGAATGTGACAGGTCGTCAACCACGCAGGCCGAGCATTCAGCGTGGCAGCCGTCGACACGGATTGGTGAAGGGGCAGCAGTGAGGGCAGCGAGCACCAGCAAGCAAGGCGGAGCGACCAGAGCAGCGGCGGGTGAAGCGGGACCAGGACGAAAGTCAAGCGCCAGCGACAGAATGAAGCGGGGTCTGCATATCGCGATGGACGACGACATGGGACAGTATGGGACATGGGACGGTATGGGACATGGGCATGCATGGGATGCGATGGGGGGGAAAGGGGGACGACATGGCGGCATGCTAATTGGCAACGAGCATTAGAAGAGGGAAGAGACGAGTCGTCCGAGTCGTCCTCCTACATTAAGACCCGATCGCCCCTCCTCTGCCCAACTGTTGCTTTCTCCTCTCGAAAGTTTCTGAGCCCAACGACCTGACCCGCCAATCTTCGTGCCCAACAACGCGACACAGCCATTTAGGCCCCTCTCCGGATTTTGATTCTGCTCTGTTGCTCCTGCCACCCCTCTCACCCCTCACGCCTTCTCAGTTCCACGGCCTCTTATACCGCTCCCACGCCCGCGGCCTCTCTGTTGCTAGCTCCTTTCCAGGCTCCTCGCACCAGGTTGATCCATCCCTCGTCAGGACCTGATAATCGTCATCCCACTCCCAAGGACTGCCCCTGTCTCTTCTCTCTGTTCTACGCCAACCTCGTGCACCCACGACATCCATATCTCTTCCGCAGCCCAAGGATCTCTTCTTTTTGCCACAAGGATTTCTGCCCGCCCGGACTGAGCACTGCCCGCTCTTGAATTGCCATCCAGGAATGAGTGCCATTGTTCTTTCCCGGACTGAAACTATGCCTGGCTTCAATACCCAAATTGAGCTGGACGAGGTTCACACCCCCTCGAGGTATATTGCGCTTGCTTTCATAATCTTTTGTTTTTCCTTCTGGGAGGCCCATTGTGCTTTTAGTCATGTTGCGAATCAAGTCGTGTGTCGCGTTTCCTACTTATGTTCTCTGCTCTATCGGCTCGCCAATAATGCTTCAGTGAGGCTGGCTACGGCACTTGCAATGAACAAGAACCCGAGGAGAAAAACCTGCAGCCCAAGGACATACGCGGACCGTTTTCTGTGGCCTTTCTCTCTCTCAAATGGACTACCCACCTGGGCAGAGGACCTCAAAGCCGGGGTGGGGCGTCCGCCCCGGACTCCCGCACTCAGCCGACCCTCTGCGGTCAATGGAACCTCTTCAGCTAGCGTCCGCTTCTGAACGGGTGTTCTAAAAAGAAATTTGTTTCAAATAGCTCTCTGAGCTGATTCGGTAAGTATCGCCCGTTCATCGAGCATCGCCGGAAAAGGATCGCCTCTTGCAGATTGCCAGCCACTGGAGAAAAATACTATCTGGAAGCCGCCGGTTTCGTTTTTCTTGTCCCTATGAACCAGCCAGAAGGACCTCACGCCTGGACTATACAGGACAACTCCTGGACAGCCTACTGTTTCTCCACTCGGACAATTTGACTTTCTCAGGTCCAGAATGTGTTCTCCAGTTCCTTTCTTCTCCGGGACGCTGAAGGTGTTCGAAGACCGCGAGATAGCAACCCAGTGGTCAGAATCTCTACAGGTGTTTACCAGCCTGGAGTGAACATATCGACTTGTCCAGTTCCTGTCCTGTTTCCTTGCTCACCAAGTGTGACCACGCCACCGCCACCCTCGCCTTCCTTGAGCGGAACACCAACCAACCACGACCCGACCTGGAGTGATTACTACCGCGGCCCTTCTGGCCTTTTCTGCGCCCTTTTTTTTTCTCGACCATATGGAGCCACTTTTCTCTTCTTACTCATTCAGAGTAAAAGTTCATCGACAACAGGGAATGGATCCAGGACAAATCTCAACATCAAAGTGGCCCTCAGAATGCTTCTCACTCGAGCCCGAGTCGAGGGTTCAAAAATGGATCCAATATGTGCCCTGTGATTCCCCTGGACGTCTTGCCGGATCTTGAAATGTGTTGTCTCCATGGATCCAGGATTGCCGCATTTTCCACGGGTTTACTCATCCAGAGCCGCTCAGTTTGGTTTGTAACAGTCCTTCCGAGATGTAAACCGCGAGAAACTAACACGCCGGTGCAGGAACAAAGTTGTGCCCATCTGAAACATTGCTTTTCTTTGCTCGTCGCCTTTCTTTTGTTCTTTTCTGCCCCGTCCTTTGTTTTTCTTCTCTTGTTGCTTGCCGGACAAGTGGTTGTTGGACTTGACACTAACCTATGACCCCAGCGACTACAGCTTTGCTCAGCCCAACATGCTTTCCTCCACTGCCTCTGGGATGTTTTCTTTTTGTCAAACAGGACCAGCGGACCTTGCCGGTTCGTCCTGGGACGCGACAGCTGAAGGACCACAGAACTTCCCAGAGTTTACAGACCATGGAGAATACTACACTGGAGATGCCGAGGATTATGTTCTTCCGTTTGGCCAGATCACTCCCAAGCCGGATCTCGCCGATGGCATGGATGACCTCCAGGCCAGATGGAACCCTGCAGCCGCAGCTGATGCAAAGGCTCCCAAGGCAGAGCCGATGCGCCGATTGACATCCCGGAGCTCGGCTGGAAGCCACAAACACAGGAGCACCAAGACATCGACACCAACATCAAAGAAGAGCCGGCCGAGAGTCCAATCGATTCTCTCGCAGACATCTACACAAATGTCTAAGCTTGATATGACAGGTAATGCTTCCGCCTATCAGGATGGATCCATTGCAAATGGCCGGATGATGGATGTGCACCAATACCTCGCCCAAGACTTGGACTCGCTCTCAGTGTCGCCGCATGTGGCTGGGCCCGCCTTCTACCCCGACATGATTTTCCCAGACGGTCTTCACTACCCTAGTGACCTGGGCGCTTCAGTGGCGCAACATGTGAACCCTCAGATCTTTGATGCCGGTCTGCCAGGCAGCTCTCCTCATTCTTGGGGCTCGCTGAGCCCCGTTGATTCCCGCATGTCTTCTCCGGGACTCGCCGACGGTGTGTCAGATGATGTGTGGTCCGCGGTTCCATCCGCATCCTCGCCCGCAGAGAGCCAGAACTCGAACTCGCCGCCCATGCCAGGACAATCCCCAAGGTATGTGGTTCCAAGGCGAGCTTGTTTTCCCCCTTTGCAACACTATCTCACACTCTCGCGCGATAGCACAAGGCTGAGCCGGAGATTTGATGCCCCTCATTTTGTTACCACCGATGATCTGCATGGAAACAGCATGCCCGCCATTGGAGAGGACACCTTCTCCCTTCCCCCAGCATTCAACTCTCGCCGTCTTAGCGGCGAAGGTGAGTCCGCAAGGGACCATTATCTTTACAAGACCGCGTATCCCCAGGCGGACGGCTTGTTCCATTGCCCATGGGAAGGCCAGCCGAGCTGCAACCACAAGCCCGAGAAGCTCAAGTGTAACTACGAGTGAGCAGCTCCGCCAAAGTAAATATCCGTTCGTTTTTTCAGTCAACTGACCCCCTTGGAACTTTAGCAAGTTCGTGGATTCTCATCTGAAGCCCTACCGGTGCAAGGTTGAGGGTTGCCAGAATGCCCGGTTCTCTTCTACTGCTTGCCTCCTTCGGCACGAGCGTGAGGCCCATGCTATGCACGGCCACGGAGAGAAGCCATACCTGTGCACCTATGAGGGGTGCGAACGGGCCGAGCCTGGCCACGGCTTCCCCCGGCAATGGAACCTCAGAGACCACATGAGGCGGGTCCACAACGACAACGGCACCGCTGCCCAGCCCTCTTCCCCCCCACCGTCGGGAGTCACCGCTTCCACCAGAGGCCGGAAGAGGAAGAACGAGGTCCAGGAGAAGAACGCCAGCCAAGAGAAGTCCAGTGCCCGGAAGTCGTCCAACAAGGCGGCCATTGATGCCAAGGCTTCCAAGGCGGCCGAGGTCGCACTGAACGCCGAAATTGATGAGTGGTATGAGCACCAAAAGGCCCTGCAGAGCCTGGTCCAGGGATACATCCAGCCGGATGACCCCCAGAGTCTTCAGTACATCAAGGACGCCCAGGACCACTTGACCGCCATGGGCAAGATCTCGCACGAGATTGTTGTCACCAACAAGGCCGACGTTCTCTCGGGACCTTACCGGTCATGGAAGAGCTGAGCATCTCGTAAGTTCACTACGAAGACACATGCGTGATAGTTTTGTTCATAGCTGACCTGGCTGCTTGGGTCTTCAGCGATGCTTCTGTCTCTTGGTTGTAGGTACAGAACCCACAACTTTTATTCTTCAGTCTCTGCAAGTGCGAGACTGCCCGGGCCAATTTGGACGCCATGGGATGACGCCGAGTTTTCAAGGGCTCTTGCGTAAATGTCGCGCCGAGCCAGAGCCGATTTACCGGATTGAGGATTGTGTGGATCACGAGCAATGACTTCAAGTCATTGCGCGGGACTCCAATTGAATGCCCTGGACAAACCCCAAAGATTTGGACCTGAGGATACCAATGGCTGATGTCTTTTTTGTCTTTTTTTTTTATATGTTTTGAACGGAAGGTGACTACAGGACTTTTCTTTCGGGCCAGGAATGATGGACCCGACGATTGGGGAAAAAGGATACTTTGGAAATCTTGTCATTTGTAGATATTTGACATGATCGGCATCATCATGTAACAAGACAAGAAGGATGGGATGGGATGGGATGGGATGGGAGTGGGGGTTTTATGACTGACGATATGACAGACGGCTGTATGTGATGATATGTGTGATTTTGGGTTATGTCGGAAGCAGGTAGAAACTTATGGCAACATTGGATATCGGATTTTGTTTTATTTAGCTATTTTTGGTCTAGCATATTTCTTTTTTGATTTAACGGGTACAAAGAGAGTAAAAGCAAATACTTAATACACGCCCCGCTGGCGACATAATCACATTCTTGAGGTCAAATGTCATGGTTCTGGATATTTTTTGGGGACTGGCAGTCATGTGTGATTTGGTTCTCCCTGTATGAAAAGCTCATTCATGATGAAGAGATGGACCTTCTGTTCTAGGCTCTAGACGGAAAGAAACCCTCAAAGTGGGCGTGACTGGTAGCCGCGTTGGTGGTGAACGCGAGTCCATCGTTTCTAATACTCCTCCGCCCACCTCTTTCCTTTGCCCTGGCGTTTAGCATATTAGTCCTAGGCGCGTGGATAGCTGTCTTGTACTATCTCTCACTGTAATACCCTTTGCTTGGCTGGTTCTTTCACAGGTTCATCCAACACTCTCCCTTCCCATCCATAGGTTGCTTTGTGAGAGTCTCACAACATGACTGTATTCTCCTGTTTTCCGCCTTCTTTCACTCGGTTACTTCCCCGGCGCCTCTATTGGGGTTTTCTTGCCGTATGCTAGGTGTGTGCATCTATGTTTAGTGTGTGATGGCTAGGTATGTTGAAGAGTCTGGCCAGACCGGGAGCAGGGAAAGACTGGGGAAGGACTCTGTAAGAGATAGAGGTGTAGTGTGCTTGTTTGCTTGCTTACTTACTGGGGTCAAGGGGAAAGTCACTGCCACCGCCGGGCGTGTCCGTGCTGGGACCGTCCGAGCCCGGAGTGGGGCTGAGCGGCTCGCTGCTCGTGTCTCGGAGAAGGGTGGTGCTTTGCATTGCTGCGTTCTTTCCTGACAAGCTTTGGGGTTCGTTGTGGCTGGCTTGCTTGTTCGCTGGAACTGGAAGAAGGCACGGTGTAGCTGCTGGTAGACTCTTGTGAACTGGAAGTGAGGTAGATGAGATGAAGGAGCTGGAACTTGCTGCCTCTTGTCTCGTGCTTGGAATGTGGTATGCTAGGTCTCTGGGTTTCGTCTATCCGAGGGTCGCTTTATATACATGTACATGTATGGCCATTCATGTATGGCTATTTGAAAAGGGACAAACAAAGCGACCAAAGTTGTCCAGATCGGTTAGGAGGATACATTGCTTGAGGCCCTGCAGAAGAGCTTCAAGTGCCCTCAAGCTGTTCAGTGGAAAACTGTGGAACGTGCAAGACTAGCTTATAGGAGAGCCATGTCAATCGCTGCGGTAACAGTGTTGACGGAAGGCGAGCATCCCGTTGAATCTCGGAACTTCAACGTGGCCCGATTTTACGTGGTTCCCGGAGCTAAAGAGGCTAGGTTTTGGTTCTATCTGGCCTGGTTTGCCCGACGCTAAGAGGAAAACAGGAGAGCGAACCCCGTACGCCGCAATGGTTCAGATTGTGTTGCCCAGAAGCCAGAATGCCAGACGGATATGTGTAGCGGCTGCTCATAGCCGTCTCCCCTCCACTTGTTAATAAACCTAACCAACCGACAGCCATGTTCAGCGCCATTCCGAACGCACACATGTAGGCCAAGAACAGAGGTAGAAACCCTGTGCGAGCAACCGTGGCGCTCCTTTTTCTCATCTCGGAAGGACAGCGGCATTTTATAGCAGCACCAACTACGGCGTCATGGCAAGTAAGCAAATGCCGTCTTATCCATCCTCCCGCACAGTCTTTTGCTGCAGGCAGGTCATGGGGGTGGCAGAAAGCACCGCGGCTCTGGTTAACGGTGAGACAATATTCTCAGGGGAGCACGGCATCGCAAAGCAGCAGGGTCAAGCTGTGACTGATCCATCGACCCGGACAACGGAGCGCTGCCACTGGCGGATTCATTGGCGTTGTGGCAGGTTGAGAAAGTGTTGTACGACATGAAACTGGTTCGCCGGTCCCCGGTTGGGATTTCAAGCCTGCTTCGAAAGGTGTCTGCGTCACCAACTTCATGTGCGAGTCTACTCTGTACGGGCACAGTCAGATAGCCAGCTACCTTTCCTAGGAAAGGTAGCTAAACAATATGACTGGGCACGTGGTGGCATCATCTGCCCCCTTTTCAGCTCTCTTCCGCAGCCTGGCAGGGCTGACGAGGGACCAAGAGCGCGGACAAGTCCTTCCTCACAGCAATAGTGCTTGGGAACATGACATGATCAAAAAAAAGAACTATCTGGGGTATGTTGCTCTAAACCCCCACCCCACGCACACCCTGTGTCGTATCAACAAGCACACAGACGGACGGAAAGAGCGGGCGACGCTTGAGTTTAGGCAACTAGCCAGATTCGTGTCAGCTTTGTGTAAACCTTTGTAGAATTGTTACCCCAGATTTCCCCTCTAACGAGCTGCGCGCGATCTGACTCCAAGTCGAGGCTAACAATCCGAGAGGACCAGCCAAGACGTCTGACAAGGCAGACAGGAAGATAGCTTGTGCGGATCGCGTTTTGGGAGCAAGGCTCATAGAAAAGGAGGAAAAAAGGAAACAAAAGAGTCCCATATACATAGGGACAAGAAGAAAAAAACACAGAAACAGCACACTAACAGGGAGGAGAAAGCGGGCTTGCCCGAGAGAACGTGTCTGGGGAAAATGCAGGGAATAGCCCCCTTTTTTTTCTCACCGGCTTCTTTACTTGCTTCCGCGGTGAGTCAGCGGGATCGTGTCTGACGGAGAACAGAGTCTCCTCTCTCCTCTACCCAGCCACTACAGCAGGTGATGAACTGGGACGGTGGGTTCCCAAGGGATGGAAGGCGCGCTTGTCTCTCCTGACTGAGGGGGACAACAAAGGCGGCCAAACCTGTTTACATCGGATACCCAAGGTAGCCTCCCTACTTTACACCAGCCACACGAACACACACACACAACTCTACAGACAGGCTTGGCAAGCACACGGGGAACAGATCCTGGTGCATCCCCGAGAAGAGAGCTACGACAGAAAACAAGAAGCACGCCAGAGAGAACCCGAGATCACTTCTAGCCAGATACTAGAGAAAATATCACAAAGATCGCGCGAGCAGGCTGAACAGAGAGTGGGGAAGGACAACCGGCTGGCCGGCTATGCATGCCGCGCACCGATCAAAGCCCGCCGTCGATCAGATTTGTCAGACGAGCCCTGGGCAGCGACACACACACACACGGATGCGAATGTTCACGGCGAGGACAAGAGGGTGGGGCGCCTGCGACAGAATCTAGTCCAGCTCCGCTAGGTAGCCAAGGCAAGGCAAGGTAAGGCAAGGTAAGGCAAGACAAGACAATGCAAAATAAGTAAAGTAGGTAGGCCCCTACCTACTTAGCTATATACCGGCCACCCAAGGAAGCCTCCAGTACCAACACCAACATCAGTATCAGTATCAGAAGCACAAGAAACCAGTCAGCCAACAAACCGACAAAACAGGCAAGCCGGATCTTGTTCGACCAGGTTGATAGGTCCCTCGGCAGGTATGCAGAGCTCCCTTCCCTAACAAACACTACCAGAGAGAGAAGCGAAGCAGACAACGTAGGACGAAAGCCCGAGGCTGGCCAGCGAGCAGGCAGAGCCGTGGCCCCAACCCCCTAGGAACTTCCGTGGCCCGCAACAAGGCATATCTCCGCCCCCTGAAACAAAGAGAGCGCGAGGGTGAGAAAAGGGGGGTTTTGCCTCAATGTGAGGAACCCTTCCCCCCGACCCATCAGCTGCACGTCGGTCTTCCTCCTCAGACTTCGCATCCGTGAAATGCAAACTCGGGCTCCATGTTCGCATTCCCAGGTAAGAGGTTACGCCTCCCGTGGTGAATTACATGCACTTTCATACCGAGTCTGTTTGTCAGCGCTCCCCCCTTTCACCAACACACAAGTCGCCTTTCAAGATCGCACCCACATAGTCCCTAACAAAGGCATTATCATCTTGGTTACCGTACATAGCGCTACGCTGCTTCGAGCTAGGGTCATTGCCCTCTGCCATCACAGTTACAGTAATAATAACAATGTATGTACATGTGCGCACAGCTTGGTTGATGGATAGACATATATACCATTCCCCCCGACCGATATTACCACGGCCTCTGGACGGAAAGACTACCACCACCAACCTGGTAAGAAACCCCAGGGCTAGAGCGCATAGGCTTGCCGTCACATGCTGCCATATAGATATGACCAAACGCCTGACAAAAAAATCGTTTATATCATGACCCCCCAACACGGAATGCAAGTTCGTGTCCTCCAGGATATCTAGGAGGGGGGGATAATACAAGAGCTGGAGTCCCTTCAATGACTTGAAGAAAGGATAGAAAATAAGCGTATTAAATGCTGCCGCTTGATTCGAAGATATGAAAAGGCAGAGGAGCCTATGGTCACCGGTGAGGGGGGCCGGGTAAGGGTAGGGGTGGATATGTTGGTTGTCTGGTAAGTGCGGCAGTGTAGCCTTTTTGCCCTCTCCAGAGCAAACCGGCCGGCCGTCTCTCTTGGTCAGCTCCCGCGCGTCGGAACAGAATCGCCAGTGTCGTCGATGGCGAAGTACCACAAGGGCGAGTTATTAGAGGTCGCAAGGCTGCTTTTGAGCCAACATGTGGTCTGGCCAACATTGGAAATGCCCCAACCCGCGCCAACGCATTCACTCTGGGTTGCACATAGGTTAATACAGTCGTCCATGCTCACGGTGATCGTATTAGACAGGTCTACCGATCCCTGATCTTCATTGTAGTCGTGGCCACACAGGAGCAGAAACTGGCGGCTGTTGTTATTTTGCGGCGTGTAGAGCGTCAAGTTGTCGAACGGGCAGTTGATGATCTGAGAGCCGCCGGTGACGGCTGAGGCCGTGGGCACAGGAAGTGTCCGCGTGCTTATGGGGGCCGTCGTGGTAACAGTAGTTGTGGACGCTGATTTTACCGGGGTTGGGACGCTAGTAACTGAATCAGTGTCACGTTATGGAGATCGGGCCTTTGATATACAATGAACCACAGCAAGACGATGGTAAGTGTGGCTGTCTGGTTGCTTGTCTGCGAAGGGGATCAACCGACCTTGTTGACGTGTCGCTGCTTTTGCGCGAAGTCGCAACACCCACACCAACACCGGCGGCAGCGCCAACAACCAAGAGGAATATCACGATGGCCAAAACGATCCAGAATGTCTGCCTCTTCAGACCGCATATCCTCTCACGTTGCGAAAAGGGCGCTCCGCCGCCGCCGCTACCGCCACCGCCTTTGGCACTGGGCGGCACCAAGGGTTGGTGGTCATAGGGGTTATTGAAGCCGTAAGGGGGGGCTATGGAGCTGTAAGAGGTGAGCGGCGTCCCATGCGGGCCGGTGCCCATGTGGCCGGGGCCGGGTTCGGTTTGACGGCTGTCCTGCCGATGGTGGCGCTGCTGGCCGTAGTCGTGGCCGGTGAGGTAGGGGTTATGTGGTTCTGGCAGGCCGCTCGTCTTCTCCCACGTCTTGGTCTGTGACAGGCCTTGCCTTGAGGTCACTACCTCGAGGTTGGAATGCTCGACCACCTCCATGCCGGGAACGCTGTGCTCTTGGAACTGCGGTCTCGTGGGCGCCAGCTCAATGCCCTGGCCAATGGCCACTTCCAAGCCCTGCGAATTTGCCATGACGTCGTCATTCCACCTTCTTGAGCCCATGGCGGAGACCGTCCGTCTATTGTCGTCTATTGCTACCGTGGCGCTGGCGCAGACGGGACGAGCACCATGTTTCGGGTTGCTATCAGATCAGACGGAGGAAGAAAACGAAAAAGACGAAAAGGAAGAAGTAGAAGAACGGACCAAACACTGTACAAAGCACAGAAATGGCGTCGGTGGGAAATGAAATAATGAGGGTGGGGTGTGTGAGGCGAGTACGGACGGATAGAGAGAGCGAAAGAAAAGAGAGACGAAAAGACGCCGCCAAGGTCAGCCGTCGAGCGGCACCATTGCGGCGACAATGGAACCAGGAGGCCAATTCGGCGTCAGCACCCATCGTTTTTAAGCTTAGCATGCGGCGAGGATCTCTCGCTACCCTTGATCAGGCAAGCCACCGGCACGTCAGTCCTGTGGGCAGGGCAGTATTCGTACACACAGATGACTAGCCGAGACACGGACCCAGGGGCGACTCCATGAAGGACAAGCTTCCATTGTCTCTCAGGGCCTAGAAAGCTTCTGTGGGCTGGTGTCCGTCCATGGTTGTTGACCCCCTCAGCCCGGTAGGGTAGCACTTGCTTTACAGGGCGGTCGATGGCGGTCGCCCCTGCCAGAAGCCTGAGTTGCTGCACGCGCCATCATTCTGCAAAAGCAGGTGCAGCCTAGCCAGCAACGGCTAGACTCCCGGACATTTTGTAGGAACCAAGAACCTGCTCTTTGACGATCTAAGAGGCGGGCCGCGACCCGAGCCAAGAGCCCCTGCCGGATGATCTCGAGTCTCGTAACGACAGAATGCCGGTTAGGCTCGTCGTGTTATCAGCAGCGTCGCTGCCAGGCTCATTTCCCACGTCGAATCTCGCCGGCCCGCAGTTCGCCGTCTTGCCCCGTCTTGGGTGAAGGGCTGTAAAAAAGGGGGTCTGCGTGAGTGCCAATCATCATTCGTGCCCATCCCATCCATCTGAGCTGAGGAGCGACGACACAAGTGCTGACCAAAGGCCACCCCGCTTGCTGTGTAAGCGAACCGCCTGTTGATTTTTAATGAGCTAACGTGCGCCAAGCCAATCTGCAGTGCATCCGCTGCGTATCTGCGGGGAACCCTCCTCAGTTGCGACTTCCAGGTGTGGCCTCGACGATTTCATATCCAGCCCCAGGCGGCCGAAACAGCAGTAATAATTGACTATCGGTAATTTATTTATCAAAGGGCGGGTGTTCACCTGTGACTCGTACACACACTTCCCTTAGCTCAGATACGGGGTGCCCGGCATGTTCCCAGGGACGGCCGCACCACCAACTATTCTAATTACATATTCCGTACTCCGCAAGTGCTGAAGCACTATGTAACGGTCGGTGGCGTCTGTTTCAGCAAGCAATCACGACACTTGAGCTTCGGCTTCGGATAGATAGCGGCACTACGCGAGATAGGCTCTAGAACGTACCAGCCATGGCTGGGTCGTCGGGGACAGCTCCGGGGTTTGGGGTCGTCAGCGGCACGGCTCAGAAACACGACCTCACCAAACAATCCTCCATGCAATCCATATTCCAAGCTTCCAAGGATAGTTGGTCGACGTGCATGCCTGCGTGTCCACGACAGAGACCGGCCGCCACGAGGAACACGATCTTGTCGCAGCTCGGGGCAGATAACCTCTACCCACCATTGGATGTCCTAAAGTCTGCTATGCACTTCATGAAGCACTTTACAGATTGTCTGTACCTGCATTCCACCCCCTATCGGGACGGGAGGTCAGACGAACGGGCCCTGACCCGCACTACGTTTCCCTGTTTGGGCCAGCCTACGTGAGCCACCACCCCTTCTGTGATTGGGGCCTTATTAGGGCTGAAGTTGCCATTCTGCGCCGTTGTGCCACCCCCATCCATCCCCGCCCACCTCACAGCACGTCGCCAATCCCAATCCCAATCCCAATCCCAAGATCCTCCGCACAAAAGCCCTTCTCGCTACCGTAGTTCCTGCAAAGCCTCGAACTAGGGCAAGGGTAGGGGTTGTTCACCTTGGGATTCCGAGCCTGTGGCATCACATCACTATCGGACGAGCGAAGAATACCACTCTGTATGCACACCGGGGACCTAACAATTGGACGTCGACGTCTCACTCTCAAATGAACCATCATACAAACCGTAAATACACCAAGGCGGTTCTCCAGCTTTCTCCCTCTCGATTGTTATTGCTAAATTCGGAAGGTTGCTACTGATCGTGATAGCCCGGCATACTAGCAATTCCAGCTCTCTCGTTGCCTTGTTTCGCCTTCTCTGCCCTTGCTTCAACACAATACGAAGTCGTTGGCGGTTGCGGGTTTTTGTCAGAAGACCAAGACAGGGTAAAAATTACTGAGTGGCAGTAGCAAACAAAGACGACAGCCCACCGTGCCGCTATCCCACATGGTGTTCGTAGATACAACCAATGCATGGAATGCAGAGAAGAAGAAGAAGCGGGGGGCTGTGGATTTTCTCCTTTCTTCCTGACGAATAGACTGGAAAAGCACAGAGCCCTTTCGGGTTTTTTAAATGAGCTCGTGGGGTTGTCGGTTAGTAAACAGCCACATATCGCCATGTGAATCATTTCGATATAAGCCTGGTGCGCTGGCCATGTGTCCATTCGACCCCTTTCGTCTCCATCCTGAGTTGGTCACTTTATTAACGTTCCAGAAGACCGGGAGGGAGCAGAGAAAACCCGCCGAAGGCCTTTCACAACGAGTTTTCGCCAACCAACAACCACCGAGTGGGTTTCTTGATAAATAATGAAAACCCTGCCCCCTTTCTTCTCCCCCACCCCCTAATTCCCTTGTCTCGGCACATCACCCGGAGACGCAGATAACCGGCCGGTTTTCTCACTTCCGAGCCGAAGAACCTAGACCTAAACACAGAGAGCAAGAAATCAAGCGACTACCTAACTTACGAAGCCAACAAAAGAGGGTTCAACCCCCGCCCAAAATAAGAACCTAAAATAAGAAAAAAGGGGGGATGGATTGTTAGTGAAGACCAAGAGATCGGAGCAACGAGAGTCTACAGCCGCAAAAGAAAACAATACAACAGTATGTAAGTAGAAAAATACTTGTCGTCGTATGCAAGCAAATAAATAAAAGAAAGTCTCCTCAAGCGCCACACCCTCGAGAAGTTAAAAAAAAATTTAAAAGTAGGGCTTAACAAAGTTTAAAAACGAATAAAGACATGTGCAAAGTTCAACTCTAATCTTAGAACATGGTAAATAAATGAAACCTATAGATAAACATCCTAGGCTACCTACCGCTGCATCGGCTTAGACAAAACATATCCCTCTGCTGTCTGAGACTCTTGGGGGGGTTGGGGGTGCAGGTACCCAGCACAATAAGGGAAGAATTTTTTTGCTGCGCCGGGCCTCGTATCGTGCGTATATAGTGCGTATATTCCGTATGCGTATTATTAGCCAACCAAAAAAGGCGCAGATACCCCAAGGTATCTATCCTCATTATTGTACGGTACAGTATAGTACATATACGCTCACCTCGCCTGGACTTGCCTCGCAATTATTGTGATTTTACCTTTTTCTTCTCATTGAAATGCACCACTTCAACGCTGTGGCAACACCGCTGGGCCATCTCTCTTACTTACACAGTCTACCTTTCGAAAAAAAGAAGCAACACGATAACATGATCACGAATGGAAAACAAGGATGAAAAATGATATCACCCACGACAGCAAAACCAAATCACCCTCTTCAAATTTAAGTTGTTATTATCCTAACCAGACCGACTACCTAACAAGAGCAGCAACCAACATCAACCAACATCAACCAGAACAGAGAAAGAAGCAACTCAAAACGAATCATCTATCCATCATCATCATGACCCTCACCTCTTGGGCTTGGGGTGGACAAGGTTGCAGACGACGCCGCGGCCGCTCTTGTCGTCGTCCATGACGTGGCTGTTCTCCTCCATGTTCCTCGCGACGTGGCTCCCCGTTGGCCTGAACGGATTGCTGTCGTCATTATCCTCGTCGTCGTTGTCGTCGTCCTCTCTATTACTCTCGACCTCTGCCTCCTTCGCCTCTTCTTTATCCTTCTTTTCTTCTTCCTGCCGCTGCTTCTCCTTCTCCGATCCTTCCTCGTCCTTCTTCTTCTCCTTCTGGCCTTTCTCATCGGCCGCCACAGTCTCAGCAGCAGCAGCCGAGGCGGGGCTACTCTTTCCGCCAACGACAGCATTGCGACCCGTGTTGCCCCTGCCGATGACCGTGTCGACGTCCTCGCCCCTCTTGAGGGCGGCGAGTGCGCGCTTGGCCGTCTCGACGCTCTCAAACGCCGCGCCCTGGCCGCGCCTCGTGAGGTGGCCGGCCCTGGCGCTGCGCATGCGCGCCTTGACGCCGGGCGGGCCGCGCAGCTTGGAGGCCTTCTTGTCGGCGGCCTCAAGCGCCTCCCAGAGCGCGCGCATGGTTTCCCACCCGCGGACGACCTCGTTCTCCATGGCGCGCCGGTCTCCTGCGGGACCTCCGTCGAGCTCGTGCGTCTCACGCTGGCCCTGTACGATGCGCGCGCGGCGGATCAGCTTGGCCGGCTGCCGGCTGCGCTGCGCCTGCTTGACGATGCCCTTGAGGGTGTAGCCAACGGGGCCGATGATGGCGGCAATGTCCTTGAGGACGAAGCCAGTGACACCCATGCCCACGCCCTTGGCGAAACCGCGCGCGCCGCCGTCGCGGGCGCCACGGTACGGCAGCCTCACTACTCCCGTCCAGCCGTCGTATATGCCGTAGAAAAACTCATGTTTGGCCGCCCGCAGGCCCGACTTGATCCCTGTCACGCGCGTCGGCCGTCGGACCGTGTCATCTCCGTACAGCCTCGGAGCGTTGTGGAAGCCCTGAGCTAGCGCCAAGGAGAGGTCCATGGGCGCCCGAACCAGTGCCGCTGCCGACTTGAAAGCCCCCTTGCCCACCTCAGCAGCGAACTCCTCAGCGGGGTTGTCTTCCGTGTACGTCGTGGACGCTGTTGTCGCTTGCGTATCATAGCGGCCCATGGCGTTGCTGGCCTTCGTATGTGTCTGCCGGAGACCTTCCTCGTCCTCGTCTTCGCCATTATCTTCCTCCCCGTTGTTACTCGTAGCAGTTTTGCCCGCACCAGCATCGGCGTCCGTCTTGACCGCGTGATCCACCACTTGCGTTTCAGGCGAGCGGGCTCCTTTGGAACCCTTGCCTTTCGCCTTATGATCTCTCGCAGCAGCAGCCGCCGCCGCACTCTCCTCCTTTTTCTGTTTCCTCTTCCTCCTCTTCTCATTGCGCTCCCGCCTCTCCGTCGCGCTCCTGTGTACGCGATACGGCACGCCGCCGATACCGCCAAAGATATTGCCAACGGTGCCCATCAGAGAACCCGCGACCCCAGTGACGGGCTCGCCGGGGCCTTCAAAGTCGTTCCACTCGTTGTGCCGGAGCAGCCGGAGCCTCTTCCAGGAAATGTAGCCGCGCTGGACGAGGAAGTCGGCCGCCATGGTGCTGAGCCGCAGGCTCGTGTTCTTCAGCAGCCACACCGCTACGCGGTTGGGCAGGATCGAGCAGCGGACTGAGTTCGTGCCCGACATGGCCATATGCTTGTGGAAAGACTTGCAGGCATTCTCGGCGCCGTCGCCCTCGAGCTCGATCCCTTTGGCGAGCTCGCGGGCGGCTTCGGCCGCCTCATCAGTAAGGCAGTATTTGATGCCTTTGGCTAGGTTCTCGGCCGTGAGGCTCTTGTACGGCACCGGCTCGGGGCCGGCCTTGGCAGTGCCGACCATGGACCCCCAGAAGTTCTGGTCGCCGAAGAAAGGGACGATCATGGTTGGCTTCCCGCACTTGAGCGCGATAGCTGTGGTGCCGGCACCGCCGTGGATCACGCAGGCGCGCATTTTAGGGAAGAGCCAGTCGTGTGGCGTGTTGTCTAGGAGGAAAATGTTGTCGGGGACGTTGAGACTGTCGCCCCCGAGGCCACCCCAGCCTTTCGATACCAGAGCGCGGACGCCCGCCATCTTGACAGCCTCGAAGATCATGTGCGTAAAGCGGTCTGCATCGTCAACGATGATGGAGCCGAACCCGATGTAGATCGGTGCCTCGCCGGCCTCGAGGAACTTGGTCAGCGGGTCAGGGGGGTGGAATGCAGATGCAAGATCGAGAAACACGAAGCCGGAGATGTCGATTTCGTCGCCCCAGTCTGCAGGCTTAGGAACCAATCCAGGACTCCAGAGGTACGTGTAGGGGACATGCATGCGGTAGGTGGCGCCAGGCGCCCACAGGGTCGACAGCGGATCCAGAGCTAGCGTGTTCACTCGGAAGTCGTTGATGAGATCTCCAAGCCCTTGCCAGACCATCATCTCGACCAGCGGGTACGATATGAAATTGGCGTATCCGGGATCGACATTCGACCTCTTGATACTCGCGAGAGGGTGCGGGAAGGCCTGGGTTGGCGTGTATGGAAACGTGAACATGAGGTGCAGGGGAATCCCCAGAGCTTCGGCGCAGTGGATGTGGGCGAAACTCGGCGGGTTCGCGATGATGGCGTCGGCAACAAAGGGGTCCTTGGACCCCATCATCTTGATGTTGTGCGTGTCGTGTTCGTCGTCGGTGGCGTTGATGCAGGCCCTCCAGAAGCCGGCAAACATCTCGGCCATGGCAGCCCGCCGCTTCCCGATGTCGCCCGCCTTGACCGTCTCGAGGGTCGGTATCATGCCGGGGTTTTTCACCATGAAGGCCATCAGCTCCGACGGGTCGCCCCCCACCGAGAAGAACTCTAGGCCCGAGTCCTTCTCGACGAACTCGCGGAAGGCCGGGTGCGTGGCGATGCGCACGCGGTGGCCGTACTGCTCCTTCAGCACCTTGCCAATCTTAAGGAAGGGCTGTGCGTCGCCGCGCGAGCCGATGACCATGATGACGATGTTCAGCTTGGGGCCCGAGAAGGTTTCCGGGCCGGCCGCCGTCGAGGCCGATGACAGCCTCGCTACTGCATAGGGGCGTGACCCATTAGCGCCGTCGACGCCATTCTTCAGGGGCACCACTCTCTTGACCGCCGTGCCGAGGGCCTTTGCCAGATAGCCCGTGTTGCTCGTGTCCTTGACCGAGATGTTTAGTCGGCCGTCGTGCTTCGAGACTTTCCCCTTGGTGTGATAGTGCTCGTTTCCCACTTGAAAGCGCCGAAAGTGGTCTTTGTCGAATCTGTGCTTGCGCGACCGCTTCTTGGTCGTGGACTTTGCGGCTTCTGAACCGACGGTCTCGTCGTCCGACGATGACTCGCTGCTCGACGGGTCAATATCACGCAGCAGTCCAGCGTCGGAGTAGTGGCGCGGCTTCTGGGATTTGTCGTAATCCCACCCAACTTGCTTCGCCGAAGAATCGACATGTGTGCCTGCGCGCCTGATGGGCGGCAGGACGATAGAGACGCTTGAGTTGCTTCTGTCTCGGCGCAGTGGCAGCTCGGTAGCCCATTGCCTTGAGACGGACGCGCTTGGGCGCGCTGAGAGTCCGGGGTTGGGCTGGAGGAGGCCGGAGTCGGGTGCGATGTCTTCATCTTGGAGCGCTCGCGGCGGCGTGGGCGACGTGGGCGTGGTCGGGGACTCGGTGGCCGGAGGGACGTAGGTGGGATAGACGGTGTGGCCCTTCTCGTCGCGAACCACAGTCACTGGCTGGCCGTGATAGACGGTGCTCTGAAACTGCACCACGCCATCGTCGCCCATGTCGTTGGCAGCGCGGCAGGTTTGCTGGCCGAGTCTAGACATTGGATACTGGCACCTTTCGGTGGCGGTGACACCGAGTGAAGTGGTACGGACGGCGGGCTGCTCGTCAATGTCCGGCGACTATTTATTTCTGTCTTCTGAGCGTCTTCTTCGGCGTTCCGTCCAGCTCCGGAGCTGCTTCGCCTGCCGTTGAACTGGGCAGCCAGACCAGTACTTAGTAGAGATAGTACTTGGTACTGGGCAAGAAGCCGAAGTTTGCTAGATGTTTCGGCTGTAGCACGCACACGGCGTCTAGTTCTGATTCGGCCGTGATAGGCACAGTCGGCTTTTCGAAGAGACACCCCTGCACGTATTGTCAAATGGCGTGGGTTATTGTGTGGTCGTCATGGTGTAAGCGCGGCTTAGTGATCACGCATTGCAGGACATGGTTTCGAATGTTTATCTTAGGATCTAGGTGTCGAGTCGAAGGGGAAATGCAAGGCGCACGTCCAACAGTAGGCCTAAAAGCTGGACTTAATGGCTACAGGGTACGGTAAGGTGTTGTAGTAACCAACAAGCCAAAAGGGCAAGAACGATGGATCGAGGTGCGTGTGAACGGTGGCCGGGGGAGGGGTCGTGTGTGCTTGACGCCGTTGTTGATACGGAATTCCGTACTTAAGAAACCCGACCTTAGTAATGTCCAATAATCTTGGTAGCCGAGTCTCCACCCCTGCACAAATTTCGATAATGCAACTGAAGTGCATCAAGGCACTCGAGCTTTGCCTGTTGGCGGTATCTCCCTTGCTCTTCTGCCTCAAGCGTTCCTAGGTCCTTCCGAGAGCCTCCAGGGAGGGGTTGGCACCAACCAGCAGCACCAGCCGTGCGTCGATTTTTTGCTTGTGATGCCATATCTGAAGCGGGAAAAGTGATGTCACCGACGCTAACCCTGCCAGGGGTTTCCGTGCTTGGCCCACGCCAGCCAATCGTGCCTTTGTGCCGCAAGCCTCGCCGTTGGCCAGACAGGGTGGATCGTGTGGTGTGGTGGGGTGGGGGCACCAGCAGGAATAGTTGTTGACCAACTTTTTATTTCAATATAACCTCAATTATTTATTGTCTATTCCGGCTATGGCAGACTAACTGCCTTGTTCCCACGAGAATTCCGCAACCGCATGAGCTGACGGACCGCATGAGCTGACGGAGAGAAAAACAAGACACTCAAAAGAGCTGTTTCGACTAATTATTGGTAGCTCGTATCTGCTAGATCGGGAATTAACCTTAATAGGGTACTCCGTAAGTGACTACCTTGGATTGTGGTTCTAAAAGCATAGATCACACAAACTGGACCCACTTCACTGGGCTGCTGGACCGAAAAGCTTAGAGCTCAAACCCTCTCCCCTACATGAAGACCGTTTCATCTCTTTTAGTTACGGCCGTACCTACCTTACCTAGCTTTTTGAGCTTGGGTCATTCCAAGGAAGCAAAACCACTTCGAGAGCTTGCGGCTAAGAGATCAAATCAGCGCCCCACATGAACACCATTTCATCTCTTCGAGATACGGCCGTATATTCTCTCGAAAGTCGTAAACCTAATCGGCGAGGAGATCAACAATGAAGAAACTCTCACGGATAGCAAATAAGAGACCTACTCTAGCAACGATTCCACAGCTTCAGAAGCCACTTGGAGGACCTCAAATTGTACCTTATTTGCTTATGATTGGTCACGTAGACGGGTTTCTCCAATTTTAGTCCCGTCCTCACCTATTTGCGGGTAACCTGAGGCGACCTCTAGGAATGGCCAGTAAGAGACAGGATTCCACAGCTTCAGAGGCAAGAAGCCACCTAGATGACCTCAGGCTGTACCTTGTTTGCTCATTATTGGTCATTGTTAGCTTGAACGATTTTCTCCATTTTAGTCTCCTCACCTGGGTGTTTGCGACTTTCGAGAGACACGGTAGGCTGTGTAGCTAGCAGTGTCGAAAGACAAACGTTCAAGGTTGCTCGCCCAACAACACCCGATTGCACCGCTTTTCCAACAAATGATAGTTTTAACTTCCGCAGTGGATCTGGTATTTACTCCTCTCCTTCTCGCCACTGCTTGTGCTGTATTGTGGACTGTTGCATGTTCCCTCCTTGTTCCCTGCCAAACCCCGGCCGGCGCCCGGATCACCCGGGGAGGACGAGGAGGAACCCTATGCCGTCCAATATTCTCCGCCAAGTCCATGACTTAGCCGGCCGTATGGCTCTCCTACGCCGCAAGTACTCAGCAAACTCGCCTTCATCATCTGATCCAAATCCTATAGGCGAATATGCTTTCCCCCCCACCGACGCCAGTGCCGTAAATTTATCTCCAAGCCGCGCGCGAGGCTTCCCCTCGCAGCCCTCACATATGCCTTGTCTCACTAGTACCTCGCACAGGACGTCCTAGTCGTCCAGGCTAGCCCGTCCCATTAGGCTCTCGCGGCTTCCTCCGTGACCCTAAACCCTTCGGCCGCCGCTAGGAGGGGCAAGCGCTCGCGCAGCACGTCGAGGTCAAAGGCCAGGGGCCCGAGCTCCCCCGCGAGCTCGCCAGAATGCGTGTCCTTTTCCAGCTTGTCGAGCGCGCCCTGAAGCGGCTCAAACCAGCGCTCCTTGACCGCGGCGTCCGAGTTGGTCGGGAGCACGTGCTTCCACTTGTCCGACGACCACAAGAACAGGCCAAAGTTGGCCGCCTGGATGAGGTACGGCGAGTTCTGCGCCAGGTACTCGACCAATTCTTCCTGGTCGAGCCCCTGAAGTGAATCCAGGTTGGGGAACACAACGTACTCCACCGTCTCGAGCGCCTGCGGTCCCGAGAAAACGCTAGCTGCACCGGCCGTACCAGCAGTCTCGCTCTCTGTCGAGGCCGATGCAGCGATTAACTCGTCGCGCAGCCACGTGATGGCGCACGCCTTTAAGGAGGCGAACATGCAGTTCTCCAGCAGGTCGTAGAGGATGCGGAGGCGGTCGTCGTCGGCTGGGTCGGCGTGCAGGATCTGGCCCGCAAGCGTTGTTGCCGCGTTGCGGACCAGGAGCTGGGGGTGGTAGAGGGCGATGAGAGTCGTGAGATGGAGGTGCCTCATAAAGTCGGAAGAGGTGTCGTCGGAAGAAGACGATGTTGCCGGGTTGGCCACCGAGGAAGTCGGGTTAACCGCGACAAGGTCGTTTGCCCGAAGCCACAGACCGATGGCCACCAGGCTCTCTATTGTGCCCGCGTGTTTTTCTATCTGCTGCTCGGGGTCTTCATGCAGGAATTTTTCCAGTATCATGAAGTGCTCTGGGAAGATGTGCATGGCCGGCGTCGGCTGGTCTGCGTCGAAGACGGTCGACGAGAAAACCCAGTATGCCAACAAGCATACGCCGCCGCCTGTCGACAGTTTGATGCTGTCGATGCTCGAGAAGTCCTCTGATCCTGCCAACGGGGTGTCGTGGGAGGGCCCTTCGCAGAGCTGGCCGATGAACGCCTTTGTGCAAGAATGGTGACCCAAGTCGCTTATCAGTGCCTATGTTGTACGCGTCGAGGTCAGCTTTGTCAGGTAGGTGTGGTGCAACGAAACGAGGGGTCCATGGGGCGACATACGACCAACTGCCCGACAATGGCGTCCCTCGCCAGAAGCACCTGGTCCTCTCGGAAAGCCGCCATCAGCGTCGGTCTCCCAGGCACCATCTTGCCGGGGTTGTAAAACTCGATCAGCCTGGCCGCCCATGCCATCTCGTTGCCGTTGACATAGGCCTCGAGGACCCACGTGGCGAAGCTGAGCAGGAGCCTCTTCTGCAGGGAAGCCTCGGTCGGATCCTCGCGGTCGTCCTTGTCGGCCTCGGGGTCTGGCGCGTTCTTGGACACGTCGCCGTCCTGGTCCGGGTTGGCCACGTTCACGCTCGACTTTCTACTGGGCAGAGCCGGCCTCTGCGTCCCCGACAGGCTGTGCATCAGGTTGATGACGGAAGCCGTCATCTCCTGGTTCGGGCTGTATGTGTTGTAGACGGTCTGCAGCGTCTGGGCCAGGAAGCGGCTGGGGTATTTGGTCTTGATGCGCTTGTGCAGGATGGCGAGCATGCCCAGAAGCGTGATGAACTTGTGCGGCGACAGCGTCGCTGGCTCCTGGGCCTCGGTGTCCTGCCCTCCATCGCTGCCCTGGTCGCTGCCCTTGGAGTCGCTGCTGAGGACTTCCAGAGTCTCGAGCACCTTGAGGATCACCTCGCGCGGGTTGCCCAGCCTCGCGATGGTCTCGAGACAGGCTTCGGAGCCGGGCAGGTTGACCAGGTTGTACACGAGGTCCCACCCAATCTCTTGCGTGAGTTCGGCGTCCTGCAAGATTTCGTTGAGCACGGGGAGCACGACCGGCGAGAGATTTGTCTCGATTATGGTGAGGTAGGTGAAGCGGTCCGTTGCTGGCGGCCGGGCGTCTCGGATCGCCGCGATGGCCTTTAAGGGGTCGACGTGGGGCGCATCGGCAGCCATGGTGCTGATGTTTGTCGGTGGCGGTCTCGAACGAGATAGCAGCAGGCTCTTGCACGGGCAGGGACGACAAAAGCAAGGGAATTCTGCTTCTTTTTGGCCCGCGTTTGCGTCTTGGGAAAGAAACCGGTCCAAAAGCGCGGGAGCCTGGAGGAGGCAGGCGGGAGTGGTGGGAAAGTAGGCTAGTTATCCGTACTAGCAACGCAAATACCCCGCACTGCACTTGCCCGCAGCGTTAGGTTGCGTGGATCATGGAAACAACTAAAATTCACGGGCCAGGATGTCTTGCATGTAATGGCTTCTGTGACGCGTTAACCTAGACTAGTCGTGCCATCGAAAGAGCTCAGAGCCAATGGCCAAGGAAACTCCAGCACGTTGCATACGTGCACCTACATCGCCTGGTAGGTGTCCGTAGTTGCCTGCTAAAAAAGGTAAGGTAACTAGGTAAGGTATGCTTTGTCTATTTGTTTTTTTAATACCTTCTGGTGTCGGATTAAAAACAAAAATACAGAGGACGATTGTTTGAACTGGGTATGCACTCAAATTACAGTCCGCATGAGCTTGACGACGTCGGAAGCACTGGAATAGACCGTAGCACCTGGGATACTGGAACGGCCGGTGGAGTTGATGACATATTCCCGGATGCCGCGGAAAGCGTTCTGGCAGTCGGCGACCATGGCATCCACCAAGTCCCCAGGCGTGACGAGAAGGTGAGGCCCGTATTTTCGTTGAGGCTCCTTGTCGCTAGGAATGACCGTGGTTGCGGCCTCCTTCAGCTGAAGGGCTCAGACGTACCAGCTTAGTTCGAAGGTGATAGTCTTGCCCAAGCCTATTTCTGCACCGAGCATAAAATAAAGGATGGGACCACTGATGTAGTCGTTGATAATCTTGGCCTCTGTTCCTAGCATTAGCATGAACAAAGACGGGGGGTAATTATTCCATATGGAGCAAGGGCCACGACGGGGAAAGAAATACATACCGGCAATTTGGTGGGGGAGAAGGGTAAATGCCTCTCGGAGGTTCTCACCGCCACCTGGCGCTTCAGCGGCCGGAGCTTCACCATTTGTGTTGAGAACGACTCTGATACGACGCCGTGCCGCGTTGGAGAGATTGCAAGCAGCCTTTTTGCTGATGCGAGTGTTCTCGCTATTGAATGCGTACGTCTTCCGATCCTCGCCCTTCAAACCCACGAGGTCCATGGCCTCTTCGAAATCAGCATTCTGTGGTGGGAGGCTGGCCGTGAGGGTTGAAAGAGCGTATGAGAATGCGATATCAGTATCGGCACCCACCTCCGCACTTGCCGGTGCGGTCAGGAAGTCGGCCTGGCGCTTGGCCTTATCATCTTTCTGGCGATTTTCCAACTTCCGGAGCATGTCGCCGGTCTCACGACCCGCCCAGTACTGGCGGAAAAAAGTCCTGCTTGCGTTTTTGTCCATAGTGAATGGAGGACCTGTTCCAAAACATGCGTAGGTAGCAGAGCAGGGTAATCGAACGCTGCCAGTCCTCCATGGAATAGCCGAGGAAGCGGTTTAGGATGGCGTCGTGTGCCCCGTCGCCATAGTGCTCCATGAGTTCCTCTTTGGAGCGCTTGTCGCAGCGAAACCGCGCGGGATCCGCAAAGTCGGCATCGAAAAGCCCCGACAAACTGTCTTCGCCGTCATCGACCGGAAACTTCTAGGCATATTCCGCCTAGGTTTCCACGGTAATACCGGCGTCGAACTCTGGGCCCTTCGTCATCCATTTAAGAGCCTGGCACACATAAAGAACTATAGTTACGACCATAAAAACTTCGCGGCTCGGGTCAAGTGTGTCCAGCAGCGGGGACGATGGGTTGAGCATTTTTGACAGGGCCAACGGCCTATAAGATGGAGAGCGGTCGATCTCGTCGATCAAGGTCATGAAGTAATCATCCGAGGGTTGTTGATTGATAAGATCGAATACCTGCTGTAGCGGGAAAGGAGACGTGGCGAACTTTTCTCCAACTCAGTTGGACCATTCTCTCCACAAAGCGCCAAAGAGCTGCAACCCTATAGTATTCTAGTAAATATTAGCTCGCTTTCTGCATTTGAGTCGCTTGGTCCACGTGGAGTAGAAAGCCTATTAGTGAAGCTCTTAGTCCACAGTATGACACATTTGGTCAAGGCGGGTCAATATTGTAGGAATTTAAGACATACCCTCTGTTAGAGCAAACGCAGCTAATGCACCGTGGTCAGGAAACCCAAGATATGCCACAACTTGGGCCGGTCCGAGTTCCGATGTCTTCAGTATGACCAGGTTTCTCGAGCCCATGACCTTTGTCGTGCTTTTCGACCATGCTCGGTAAAGTTCGTTGCGTACTTCGTCATCTGTCTGCTCGCCGGCTAGTTTTTTGCGTCCGCTACCGGAACCGGGTCTGATAAGCTTCTTGATAAGCCCCTCATCTTCTCGTTCTCGTAGAGGCAAGGGGCCCTAAACAAGAGTAACCCAAGGCGAGCGTGGGAGAATCCGTTCCTCTGTGGGACCAGAAGTGCCAGCTTGCCAAATAGCATCGGTGACGTTCTTCAGATAGCTCGAGTCTTCTTCGTCCGTGAATTTGTATGGGTCAAGATGCGGGTTGACCTCTGTCGAAGACCGCTTCTTCTGTGTCTTGGTCTTGCCTCTAGGTGTAGGTTCCGCGGTGGCAGACGACGCCTCCGCATCGTCTACCATAATGGCGGTCGCGAGTTTTGAGATTCCTGAGCCTGTTAGCCTGCTTGGTCCACGTGGAGCAGGCTAAAGAAGTTAAAATAGCTGAGGAGGGGAAGTTGGAAGAGGAGAAAGGAGCGATGAGAGATTAAGATAACTTACAGGGAGGCTGGTGTTTCGAGAGCCTGATGGAGTTGGCCTTCGAGGGCTGGTAGTATGAGCGGGTTGGTCCACGTGGAGTAAGTTGAAAAAAATGGAAACAGTTAAGAAGGGGAAGTCGGAGGGGAAGAAAGAAGAGATGAGAAAATAACTTAAGAGAAGAAGGGAGCGATAAGAGATTAAGATAACTTACAGGGTAGTCTAGCTTTTTAAGGGCCTTATGGTGTTGGTCTCCTAGGGCTGGTGGTTGAGCCGCTTGGTCCACGTGGAGAAAGCAGAAAGGGTTGAGAGAGTGAAGTTGGAGGAGAATGGAGAGGCTGAGCCGGAGTCTTAGCCCTTTCGGGGATATCATCTTGCAGCCGCGGTTGCCGTCGGCTTTTAGATAATGATCATTATCGATGACTCCAGTTAATTTTTGTGCATTTTAGGGGAGAAATATGTCAAGGAGGCGACTGGATATATGAAGCATATTAGATGCCGTGTTCCTGGATTCCGGGCCCGGCGTCCTGAATCCGGGATCCCGGGCCCCGGCGGGCAGCTGGTGCGCCTATTCGGCGTGACTCGGTGCAGCTGGGCCAGTGCGCCGAAAAGCCCGGCCACCGGCACCAGACGTTGTGGTTTGTCTACGTCCGGTTTCTTGGGCGCAATCCCGACAGCACTAGCAGGGCGCTGTGATTAAAGGCGGTCTTATTGGACTACGATGGAAGCTACCTAACCGCCATGCCCCAGGCCCGCTACCCGTGTCTCTTTCCAACTCGTATAATTATTTTTGAACGTAGGCCGTTCTCCCTGATCTTCAGTGTTGAACTTCCACCTCGCAGAGGTGCCTGATACTCCGGCGACATGATTGGTCTTGGCCACAGCTGGCAGCTTTTTACTCCCCGGGGTCACAGGTTTAATCCGCACTCTGAAGCTGCATCTATGGAAGCGGGCAGCATGGGTTTTGAAACACTCTGGGCATCTAAAACTATCCCGTTGCACTCCTCGCGGGGGCAGACTAAGGGCTCGCCTTTGGCGCGTTCGAAATGGTCCTCTAGATGATCCCACAGCGCGTCTATCCGCGTGTACACCTTCCCGCAAAAGATACAGGGTTCCGGCTTCTTCCGAGTGTAAGAGCGCCGATGGTTCGGGGCCACATGGCGAGCAGGCTCGGTAGAATGGCTCGCGAATGCCCTGCAACTGATTTTGCAGTTCTCGGTCGTCACTCGCAATAAAGTAATTCTTGTACAATTTTCGGAAGACCTTTCTTGGCTGTTTTTGTCTCGCGGCGCTCAGCTGAGCTTGGGTCGTCTCATATTGTTGGATTTCGTCTTCTGTAGCCCAGCTGGGACGTCCGTACTTTTGCCGGAGTGCTGTGTGCAAAGCCTCCAACTTTTGCTCCAGCCGCCGGACAGCGGCGTTAGGACCAATCATGCGCATCATCTCGTCGGGCACTCTTTTTGGAGCGTTCTCATCTAGACGGAGGCCCATATAGTTGAAGATGGCTAGGTAGGGTGTTTGCGTACCGCGACCTAGGAAGGCATCTTAGACAACGGAATTTATCTTGGCGTTATGATAGTATTCCTGATAAAGAGTACTGTTCGCTTTATCCCGCAGGCCTTGGTCGCGGACCGCCTAGCTATAGTGTGCTTCGTAGTGTTAGTATATAGCCAGACTAAGGCGAGGGGAACCTACTATCGAGGTATTCCGCAAACCCTCGTCGTTGAGAATATTATACTAGCAGTTCGAGTAGCCCCATACGAATCCTGAGCCGTTCTGAATAATGATTATATATAGCCGCCGTTTAAGCATTATTAGATTTCTCCTACAAGTTAAAGAGGCCCCTTTTTATACTCTGTATACTCTCGTACCCGGCTTTCCTCGTGCTATTGATCTTCGTATAGAGCTCCTCAATTGCCGATTCCTCTTTTTAAGACCTTGTTTGTCTTGCGGAATACCGGTTATATACCCACTCCTTCTTCCAGCGAATCTTCAAGGCGCGCTTATTGAGCTTTATGGCGAAGAACGAGTCGACGTTGGTCTGGTATCCCTCGTTCGCGATGACACCCTCGGCCAGCGCCCTAGTTAGGATGTGGGTAATAGGATAGAGGACTGGGAGTTTCTCTTCGATAAATATATACTAGGTCAGTACAATTTTTTTGTTCTCGCCCTTATGGTATCGGAGAAGAACCTATATACCCAGGCGGTCCCGGCCACCGTTTCTCTCCGGGTCGCGAAGAATCCAGAGATCGATATCCTCCAAGTAGAGGACTTTAAGCTTCGGGTTATTATCGCGTTCATCTGGCTCGTCGTACACCTAGTACGTTTTCATACGTGGCTTGATGTGCTTGTCCGTAGTACAATCTACATCTATATAAGCATCCGATTCTTCGTCATACTCCTGAACTTTTGCTATAAGGTCTCTCGGTTTCGCGTAGATAAGCTCGTGCTTTCGGTAACCGGTATACATATAGAATTGGCAGAGGCACACACCATGTCACCGCACAGTCAACTGTAGAGAGGCAGGGCTGCAATGTGGTTGCTGTATTCGTAGAATCTAAAGCTAAAGAAGGAAAAAGGAAAGAAAGCTTCCAAGGCCTAGGCGGGGCGCAGGGGAAGTGGGTTGTGATGTGGGTCACGTGGTTATGGTGTGCACGGACCACCACCCAAATCTGGTCAGCTGTCTGCACCTGCCGTGACACACCATCGATTCTTGACCCTGCCTACGCAGCGTCAAGATGACTGCTTTGAGCTCCGGGATTCTGGCTCCAAGACGATGGTGTGCAAGCGTGAATTGGGATGCCGCTTTGGAGTTCCTGAGCTGTGAAGAGGTTTTGGCATGTACTCGATGGCCCGAGTTCTGGGCAGGGTGGGCGACGATAAGCTTATCGCCGATATATTGAATCAATAATTGTTATCGCCGATATTGACGATATCGACCGATATCGTCGATATCGGTTGCTTAGTAAGCAGATAATTTTTTACCCCTCCTCTCCCCTCAATATCATCATCTTCATCGGCTACGCCTTGTAATATAGCTACGAAAGTGGCTCAACTACAAAATGTCCACTCCCTCGACACAAGATACCGAGGAATCTCTGGTATCTCAAGAAACTATTCAGTCAAGTCTACATGATCATCTTCGACAGCCACTATCGACTGAGCCTTCACACAAAGGCAAAAATCGTCTCTACTATTGCCAATACTGCCCTTGGTTTGGGCAAAGCACCACGAATGTACGACTTCACCTTCGCAAGCATGCTATCACCCTCGAAGCCCCATCTCGTACGGCATCTCAATCTCTTCATTTCTTATACAACAAGGCATCGGAAATCGATCAGACTTCTGAATTGGATACCCGAGTTATGAGGAAGATTCTCAACCAGAAAACCCTCAATGAAGCCCTTGTTGCTATGATTGTCACCCAAAATCTTCCCTTCCGGATTATCGAGAGCCCATTCTTTCGTGCCTTTTGTCAGGAGCTAAATCCTGAGGCTCAGAGTCTTATCTCATCACATTCGACGCTTAAACTACGGATTAGCAGCTCGTTCAATCTTCATAAAGATATTCTACGGAAGAAGCTCCAATCAGCGCTCTCAACAATCCACCTTGCTCTGGATATTTGGACTTCTCCAAATCACAAGCTATTCCTAGGGATTTGTGCTCAATTTGTGGATTTCGAAACCGAGGAATTAGTCAAGGCCCTAATCGCTCTACCTTCTATTCCTTCACACCACTCTGAGGTCCAGCACGATATTCTCTTCCAAACTCTTCAGGATTTCGGAATCTATCACAAGATTGGGGCATTTATCGGCGATAATGCTACCTCTAATGACAAACTTTGTTTACTTCTCGATTCGAAGTTTGAAGAAGAAGGCCTCTATTGGAAGGCGTCAGAGAATCGAATCAGATGTACGGGGCATATTATCAACCTAGCAGTCCAAGCGTTTCTTTTCCAAAAGGATGAAGAAGAAGAAGATTTCGAATCGGGCTTCTTTCGCAATATCGGCCCCCTTGGAAAGCTTCATAATATCGTCATCCACATCCGTGGTTCAGTCTCTCGTACGAATCAGTTTAAAACTCTTGCCGGCCGGAATATTCCTCTCGATAATAGCACAAGGTGGAATAGCTGGTACGAGATGTTAAGAGTTGCACTGGAAAAGGAATCAGCCCTTGATACCTATTCGAAAGCTTGGTACGAAGAGCTGAAGTCTGACTTTCTTTCTCCGCAAGATTGGGAGATTCTTCGATTTATCCAATCCTTCCTTAAGCCGTTTTATTCAGCAACAAAAACTACTGAGGGAGATCATGCAACAATCGACCGAGTTCTTCTTGTTATGGATGCGTTGGTTCAGCATTATAGGAGGAGCCAGGAAACCTTCAAATCTAATCCCTTTATCTCTCAACGAATCCAAAAGAGCTGGCAGACTTTCGACAAATACTATGCCAAAACGGAAGATACTCCGTATTATGCTGCTGCGATTCTTTTCCATCCTTCGAGGAAGACTGAATATCTCAAGTATAATTGGGAGAAAAAATGGGTCAAGCCAGCAATCCAAGCGGTCAAAACGCTCTGGATCAACTTCAAAGGAGCAGAAAATAAACCACAGTCAGCTCTTCTGATTGAGAAGGAGAGGAGCCAAGATCAGAATCCGAATCCGAATGATGATTTGGATACCTTAATGCGAGGTCTTGAGAACTTTCCAAGGCCACCAAGCAAAGATGAACTTGAAGAGTACTTGTCAGAGCCACCTCGTCAAATCGAAGGATCATCTCTCTATTGGTGGCTCCGTATAGAGCAACGAAGACGCTGGCCGAAGCTATCTCAATTGGCAATCAACATCCTATCAATCCCGGCAATGAGTGCTGAGCCGGAAAGGGTCTTTTCTGGGGCTCGTCGTACGATAATGTGGGAAAGAATGCGACTAGGAGAAAGTACAGTGGAAATGCTTGAATGCTTGAAGCATTGGATTAGGTCAGGGCTTACGGGGGAGCCAGGATGTATTCGAGAACGAGTTGTGGAGGTTGAGGCGGAGATAGATTGATAGCTGACTAAGCATTATCAATGTTATCGATATTTATCGACGATATCGCACGATTATCGGCGATAAGCGATATTTATCGTTGCCCCAGCGATAATATTTCGCCCACCCTGGTTCTGGGTACCTCTAGAGGGCGGTTGAGGGTGCCGAAACAGCGGGTCAAGGCTAGCCAGAATTGGCACCCAGGACGGCAAAACATCTGTTCTGTATTAACAGGGCCGCATCTTCAATTATGGGAAATCTTAGAGATACTATGACACTGTGCATGTAAATTTCCAGGATTGGGACGAGAAACGGGAGTCTCGGAATATATTGTTTTCTTTTATTTTCGTTTTAGCATGGAAACGTTTCGTGTTACCAAAAGGAGTGTCTAGTTTATATTGGCCGACTGTGTTAACCAAGAGAAATGCTACAATGGGACGAACCATGACAGATGCAATCACCAGAAAAAGGTGAGGTGGGACAGGTGAGGTGCAGGGGACTAGGACAGTTGACCTGCAAGAGGCTCAGTGGTCCAAAATTACGACCGTTTAGGTCACATATTCAGGCACGTAGTGCCAAGGCCTTCTATTATATGCCCAGCTCAAAATCTCCTACCCTTTCTTCAACTTTACTACACACCTACCCGTCCTCGCATCTGCTAGACTATAGACGAAACCTTTTTCTCCAGAAGATATACGGTCGCTGCTTCCCGTGCAGCACCGTTTTTTACGCAGTCCATTGCAGACCACATCCAGTACAAGGTCGACTGGAGTAGCGGCTTCGCGATCGCAGACTTCATCAAGTGGAATATTCTGATGGATATTTCAACAAGCCCGAACCTGAAATTGCCGCCGAAATGTATTGATGATTTCCTTTTCTCAACGCAACAAATTCTTTTAAGCGACGCGTCTAAGCTTATTCGCTCCTAAGCTTAGGCCTTTAATGAGTCGGTCGGTATCTACGGTTTGGCCGATAAGTTCATTAGGTTGCGCCTAGTAAGGGAGGCAATACTCGACTTCATTGATGGCATTGCCTATTAGGCTAAAGAGGCTGCTGCCCAGGCAGTCCTGTTCCACCTAGAGCAAGCAGACCAAATACCCTAGCTAGCGGGTAGCAATACGCCAACCAACCTAGGAATGAAGAGAGATATCCCTCTACTGAAGGATTATTAACTATAGTGCTTAGATCTACTACGGGAGAGCCATCCGCTAATACCGAGTTATACCTAATTATCCGACTGCAACTTGAGGGGTCGATAATTCTCGAAGCTTGGAATGGGAACCTAATAACCAGGGTGTTGCACGCGATCGAAGTTGACAGCGCATTGAATTGTCTGCTCAATAGGTCTAAAAGTACAGAAAAGAACGCTTCCTTATACTCATGGAGAGAGGGCAAGGGAGGCGTTGTAATCAGCCCGAAAGAGGGCATTCCGAATGAAATGAGGACATTCCGAGTCAAGAATGAAGGAAATAACAAAGAATGAAGGAAGCTCAGAGGCATGTCAACCAGGGCCTGTCCAATTCCATGAAAAGTGGGTCAATTCCAGACGACACAGGGTAATAGAATAGCTTACTAATACGTACGAAAGAAATGCCGATCCGATACACTTTTCGTTCCGGGCCCTTCCCGTCTACCACGGCACGGATGCATCTATTGGGTTTGCTTTTCAGGGAAGTGACGAGATTAGATACGGGATACTCTACAGATCCGTTACGGCAAACCAAGTCGCCCCGCGTCATCCATGCCTCCCAATCCTATAGACGGGGTTTAGCCCTTTACGATGCTTCTTCTGGGCTATATTCAAGAGTGATATTTTGTAGTCGGTCCCGGGTCTAATAGTATAAAGGAGATACTATAGAATTACGGCGACTATAAGTATGCTAGGGTATTGCTATTCAAATTCTAACCAGTATTGCTATTAGCACTAGGCGAGGTAAGCTACATTATACCCCTAGGACAAGAGCAGGAATGGACAACTCTAGCTCGGGCTCAAACTGGAAGCGGAACTCCAGAGTCTTGGTAGAGGCAGTTTGCGCCGATCCATCGTAACGTTCAACTAACCTGGCCCGAGACAATTCATTATCGGGAGTATAGTACACAGATGTCAATGCTATTGCCATATATTAAATAATTCTAGGGAACGGTTTGGTTTGGCACCGGGATTACGATATTATAGGCCTCATACCAAGCAATATACTCGATCTCGTTTACGCAGAGACCAGAGGCGCCACCGACCGATTAGGATACCAAGGCTAAAAAGCACCGGACTTCGACTTAGAGGGGTGTGGGACGGAGCTTAAGGCTATTTCGTTGGCAAACTTCAAGGAACATAAATAGATGGCGAGGACAGGAGGGCGAGGATAGGACTGTAAATAGTCTCCAAGCTTTGCTAGCGATCCACCCGAGGTAATTGGTAGCCATGGTTAGAGAATTAGTCAACTTAGACGAAGTAGCTAGCTCCTCATTACCTGACCTAGTTGGTCCACATAGAGCAACCGGTCCTTTCGTTATGTTCTACTTCTTCCCCTTCTCTTAGAGATGTCTTGGGGCAATCTGGGAGTAATACGTACCGGAGATAGGAACGATATAGCTAGCTAATCGGAGAATAATTTTGCCGAGGTCCCGTACAAAATGAATGTCCTAGTATCTATTTTTATTCCTCTTTTCTTCTTGTCACGACAATAAGGATTAGTGGGGAAAAGAAGGACTTAGAAGGTGCCACTTGATTCTTCGCTAATAAATTTTGCCACTATTCATAACTATAAAAGAGAGACTTTTGGCCCTCCCAAAGGAAACAAAAGACAGACCTTTTCAGACAATTCAAGCTTTACCTCCCTGCATCAAATGCTCTATTTCCATTGCCCTGTGAATGCGCGTGATACTTCTCTTCCAATTTCCCATCAAATACGTAGTCAAGCGTCGGGACTATGAAGGCCATTTACCATATCCTATAGCATTACCCTACTTTCTGCACCGACAAGGAAGATTCCGGGCACCTTATAGACCAGTCAAACCCATCTCTTCTAGTATAGGTAACCAAGATTGGTGCCCCGCGGATAGTTAGGACCACGGATTTTATACCTATGCGGCATGAGATGGTTCACTCCAAAAAAAAAAAGCGTAGCCTAGGAGGATACGTTTAGGCAGCATTGGCCGAAAATCCGCCAGCTATTCCTAGACTTCAACTACCGTCTTCTGCTCCAAGCTCCAATTTCTCTTATTATTGGCAAACACACTGGCGAAGTTTTCTCTGAACTATTTACCAAGGACTCATCACATCTTGTCGAAATAATCAGCCGCAGCGGTCTTACTTCGAAAAACCCACGGCATGAATTTCTCATATTCGCTCCTTGGCGACTCACCACATCAAACACTTGGTTTTCTTTTCATATTACGAATCTCACGCTCTTTTCAGCAGCTTAGGTATATCCTCTTCTATCGCTACAGATGTGGTGTGGAACAGTGTTTGCACCCTCTCGGGCCTCGACATCCAGAATGAGTCCTGGTTTACATGGCGAAGGACTCGGGATGGGCAGACCGGGACTAACCCCTATCAAGCCGCCCAAGCCGCTGCGGGATACACAAACCTCAAGAAGGCGCGTGCAATTCAAGCTACCTTGGGTGATCCCCACCGCAAAAAGGCCCGCGAGGTTCACGCTGCCCTCAATTACCCCGGCCTCAGGAACGGCCACAAAACTATGGCTGCGGGGGGGTATGCCCATCTCAAGCAGAAAGTCAAGGCTCAAGCCGCTGCGGGCTACCTTGGCCTTAAAAAGGCATGGGCGGTCAATGCAGCTGCGGGCCATCCCAATTTCCGGAAGGCACACGCGGCCGATGCTGCTGCAGGTTACCCCAGGCTCAAGAAGGCGACTGCGGTTAGTATTGCCTTGGGTAACCCTGACCTCCAGGCAGCGAGAGCGAGGCGCAACGCTGAGAGGATTGCAAAAATTAGCGCACTTCGAGGTGCGATAGAGATTAGACAGTTTCTGGCTCAAGGTCCAAGTATTTCCGCACCTCTCTATGTAAATAGGAACGGCTTTAGAGAAGGGCGGCCTCGCAGCAAACAGAATGCAGGACAATCGAGAACCATGCTATATGGTATCACCCCACGGAGGCACCGTTTGGTGTACGTTGGCGGGGCGATGGTGTGGGCCGATATTTGACGAGAGCGAGTATGTGAGCAAACCAAATCCTGCAATCTCTGTCAGACTAGTGTAGGACAAACTGGCCTGGGCTGCACAACTGCGTCGCGAGGTAACTCCTACAACCCTTATACTTTTTGTTGTCAAAAGCTGACGGAAAGTACAGTGGGAGAAGGAGAACCAGCCTGCGCCCAAACACTAGGCTGTGATGGTGGCGGATTGGGAAATGCGGTACATCTTACACCAACTTTTGACACCAGCTGATGTGAAGGCCAGTATGGTTGAACTTCTTAGCTGTTCCCTTGAATAGCAGCCGCCGTTTCTCAAAGATCGGGGAGTCGGGCATTGCGAGGTGAAGCAAATGCTGGCCTGAGCCGTGGTGACAGGAAGCGGTGGTTGTGGGTGTCGAGATAGATGTAGGAAGTAAGTTATCGCAGCCGTCGCCCTCGAGATGGAGGGGGAAACCGCTCCTTTTATCGGCGAAGCTCTAGAAGCAGTGCGCCGCCACGCGGACGGACAAACAGAGACGCCGACGGTGACGCCTATAACCCAAAGCGAATAGGGGTGAGGACCCTCAAGATGTCGTGCATACGGTCGAATCTAAAGGGCCAGCAAGGCTGCCACTGCCGACCTCGTCGCGCGATGCCCGAGGAGTCGGCAATGGACGAGGCAAGCTGTGGTCGGGGTTAAGGCGATCGATGGGGAGAGTCACCAGCAACGTCGAGGGGCGTGCCACAATCACGGGAAAGGCTCGATCGGGTACGCTCAAGAACTTTACTCGCACACCAACTAGGTCGAGATGTGGCATCGATCTGCGGCCCAGATCAGTCAGGAGCTTGACCGAGAATGGTCGCCGGTGAGGATGGACAGCATGGTCGTACCGTGAGGCGCGGGCTTCTTCCGAGCATACCGAGTGTGCCAAGGTCCGGGACATCACGCAGGGTACGGTAAGACCGCACCCGACTCTCTTGTAGATGCCTGCCTTGTGGCAGACCTTATAAATTTTCTTATCTGTAGTATCTAGATTCGTGTACCTCACATTGTACGCGGCTGTCCTGTTGAAGATGTATGGATTCTGGGGCATCATCGCGATATGTTCGTGCAACCTACGACGCAGTATCTCCATTGAATGAAATATTCGCCACCGTCCGTCTCGATTTGAGCTGCTGGACTCCTCTGGCAAAGAGGCTATTCCCAGCCACCCCCCTGCAGTCGCCCTTGCCTCTCGGAAGCGCCGTGGCAGACCCCCTGGCTCCAAGAACAAGCCGAGGCCCATGCCAGAATCGGAGGTTGAAGAAGAGTGTGAAGAAGAGGGTGGTCCGGCCGAACAACGCCCTACTCTTGTGCTTCGATCACGGAAACGGGGCCTCCCCATTGCCTCAGAGCCTCGGGGACGGGCAACGACAAGAGGAGCCAAGACCCTGGGTACCGGCGGGCAACCAGGGGCCACAGCCATAGAGAATTAGGTGGGCAGATGCCCCCTTGAGCCCGGAGCGACCCACGAAGAGAACATAGAGCGGCCGAGCTGTACGCCCTACAGCCTAGGCACGAGGAGAGGTGTAGATCTTTGAAGACAGAAACATCTAGAGGCTATGGAGCCGGTCAGTTGCTCAAACAGCCCTGTTACAGGGCTTGTGACAGATTAGACACTATAGAATAACGCGTTTGAGCCTAAGAATACCACTTGCAGGGCCTGAAATTGGCCGAGATTGGCTGAGAATGGCTGGCCTTGCCTGAAAACGCGCTGTGTGTGCGGTCTTCTTGCTGGGGGTTTAGTGGAGCCCTGACCCTGGGGAGTGTGTGAGGGATCCTTCTAAACGCCTAACATTCTGTACATTGCTTGTGGGCTATAAAATGGCCATCATCTATGTGCGACCGGACGACTGGAGGTAGCGTTAAACATCCTCGCGATGCTCTGTAAGTGGAGATTGTCGTTTGGTTGCACATGGGTGATGGTCATTTTGTCCCGAAGCGTCGTCCGGTCAAGGCTGGGATGGAGATTCGTAAGTTGGTGAGGCAAAAGCGACAAGGATGAGAAGGAAGGATACCAAGAGCGAGAGGGCATTATATACACTGGAACTCCCCCGTGATACCCCAAAGCAATTGTGGGTGGACAGGTGAATGCTCTAGCTCTAGAACCGTACCCCCTTTCCAGCACAGTGGCCTCCTGGGTGGCAGCTTGGCTATTCCGGCGCAAACCACGCCGCCTTTGGCTTTGATAACAGCCTGGGTGCAGCGCCTCTGACAGAAATAATGTGACATTGACTACCTGGGCTGCCCAATTGATCCCGACCCTATGTCCCCGAGGGGCGTGACAACAGATCCGCCAAACCTCTCTCTTCGGGCCGGACACAGCTGCGTAGTCGGCTACTCTGGCGCAGAATCAGGTTTTGACCTCCTTGGGCCTTTCGCTGCCTTCCCAGGACTTCTCCAGACCGGTGATGTGAAAAGGTGGTTCCGTCCACTGGCTGCCCCGAAGCAGCTCCATCCACAGCCTCAGTCGGTTGCGGCCCGTTCTGTTGCGCCCCGAGATTCTTCTGATCCTCGATCAGTCACAGTCGTGAGAGGCCAGCTGCCACCTTCGAAAGATAACTCACCATCACAAAACCACCGCCTGCAGGACCCGCAGGCTTCTTCTTTTCCTTTTCCTTTCTTTAGTTTAGTTATTTACGAATACAGCCACTCCTTACTTACAGCCCTGTCTCTTGTGGATGCCTGCCTTCACAGCACGCTATGATAGAAAAAAGAGAGAGAAAGAGAGATCACTAGTTGTCTATCGGGAACGTCATAATTAAGACACGTCCCGAATGACAGCCAATGGCAATCGTCGATGCCGCTACGGCAAAACACGCCAGCGGATATCCTGGAGGCAGCCATAATCAGTTTTCTAAGCGCCTCGTAATCCGCCTCGTAATCCACCTTTCGTCCGAGCCTATACTATAGTCTTGGTGATAGAGGGTGAGAGAGATGACCTTGGCCGCTAGTTCGACTATTGCGATGGTGCTTGCGGCTGCCCCGAGCACCTCCATCGTGCTAGAAAACGACGAGACGGCAAGGGCCGGATATCGGCAGCCTGTAGGTGATGAATGTATACTGTCGTTGAGGGAGTGGTTCAATCGAGCGCTGAACAATCGTAGTTGTGGTAGTCTGTCAAAGACCGCAAGGCTCGGAAGGGATGGACATTGAGCTGCCCAACTACTGTCTAATGCAATGGCGCTGAGGTGCCAATCAGGCCGAAGCTTCACAGACAAATGACTCCTTGAGGTTCTATTGGTTGTTTCGAGTGCGCTCAGCCCCGAAAGCAATATTGGGAGTTGTCCATTGAGGCTGGACACAGCCAGACGTCTAGGCCAGCCGCCTTGACGCCATAGCAAGCTCTCCGCTTCTACCTACGCCTGAACGGCAGCACCGCTCTTTGGTGTCGACAACTCAACCGTCGTTCAATATTACCAGCCCTTTTGCGTAGCCGCACGGCTTCTTATAACTAGTAATACAATCTAACCACGCTCTCAGGTCGTTTATGTTGTATCCCGTCTACCGCTACCCTGTACACGACTTGAGAAATGGGGGTTCTGAATCATCACCATAGGAGATGCCTCGGGTTGGGATAGCCGGTTCAATTACTGCCGCCGTCTTGCGAGACCTTAGGACCTGCGAGAGTTGGAAGAGGGCTTGATCTTTCAATAGAGATGCCCGCTTATTCGTTGTCAAGCCGCTGATTTCAGGCTCCTGATCGTCTCCTAATGGCCGCAAAAATCCCGTTGCCTAGCACCCAGATCTGCCGAGCGGAAGCAGGTGACCAAAGGCGCCAACAGACACATCATCGCTCAAGGCCGGCCCTGCCAAGACTCTCCCCCCCGGTAACTCCTCGCTGCTCCAACCTGACACGGCCGGGCACGCCGTTCCGTCCCAGAGATAGTATTATACTGGGCCGCGCTTTCGTATTCAGGTTTTTGTCGTCGGGTAGGAACTAGCTGGTCGCTGTCGACACCCTATTACTTGTTGATCCTTGTCTCTTTCCAAATAAAGACTGCCTTAACCACTCCAGTTCTTTGCAGGGATATCCGTCACCAACACCGAGAAATAGAGCCACACTCCGTACCCCATTTATGTAGATTGCTCTTCTCGTCCACAAATCCAGCCTGTGTGTTCGATAGGTAAACGTCTGAGTCGTCGGCTAATAGCAGTTTGAGGGCATCACGGCGGGTGCTCCAGCTTCGAAAAACATGGTATCTACATTGTGGTTAGACGCTGGAGATTCCGAGAAAGGGGATCTTCACCTCGTCGTCCTTGGACTCCACAGCTTATGGCTGGAGTCCCAAAATTTTCATTAGCGGCTCAGTTTCTGCCCCTTGTCCTGGTGTGACTGGCCGGCATTGCCTCGAAGCAGGCATCAGCGATCCTGCTGGATTGGCGCTTAGGCGTTCAATCCGCTGCGCAGACCTGTTGGGCGGCGGTCCGCCTGACTTGTCCCTCGAAAGCGAGCGTCATGAAATTGAGGTTCTCGCTGCTCATTGAGACGCTAGCTTCTACCCTCAGTCTGCGGAGCTCAAATACATTTAGGCGTAGTTCCTAGCGTAGCGGATCGAGAGAGTCGTGGATCAATTCGAAAGACTTGCGAGTTGATCCGTCCCTCAAATGCCGGCGTCGAGCGGTGTGGCAGTCGTGTTGCGTTGCGTCACGTTGCACGTCTGAGCTTGAGTGCAGCATTTTTGCCATTGGTTAGAATACGCAAAGCCAGAGCCAGAGGAACGAAAGGAGGAGGAGGAAAGGCAGAATCGGGGGGAGGGACCGAGGACATGAAAGCATTTATCGTCAAAGTTGACTTCGCGATCCAGCAGCTGGTACGTGGGGCACCAGGAATGAGGGACAAATTCTGGGCCCGTGCGCTGAACTGTGATTGGCGGATGCCGCGACCAGGCCGACCACTCAGAAAACGGAAGCCTTGACGGCGACACATGGATTACAAACCTGCCCCTAACCCCAGCCCAAACGCCTTGCCTACTTAAATTTAGAATGCCTAGAAATGGTAATGGATAACGCCTCTTCCCACGCCATGCTTTTACGCCTCGTTCGTACCACCACTGGTGCCTCAACCGCCCGGACGTGCGGCTTGGGGCAGTCTGTGACGAGGCGTCCAACCAACCAAAAGTGACTCGACTACTGCCACCTCCTATTCGTCGTCGGCGGGTTCTTTGCCCCATCCGTTCTTCTTTCGCGTACGAAGCATCCAGCTCCAGTGCTTCCAGGGGTCGACGACGAGTTCCTTCATGTCGTTCACGTCGCCATCCTTTTCTCCGACCGTCGTCAGACCCCATTCGATGGCGAGACGGGCATATTTGGTTGCAGTCCAAGCATCACCAATGCCGTTGTACTCGAGTGCCGCAAACGTGTATGCCTCGTACATTGTGCCGCCCAGCGTTTCTTGCTCTGCGAGACTGATGAGCAGCTCGGCCATCTGCGGGCTAGCGCGGCTGCTAGACTGGAAGCTGCGGAGGTCCGGGTACAGCTCTTTGATCTGGTCGATGCGCTCGTCAGAGGCTTCCGCCTGCGCGCGCCCCTGAGCGCACAGATGGCAAGCACAGTCGAAACCCCAGAGACGCTTTAGCCGTTCCATGCGGTCGGCGCGCCGCATCTTCGGGTTGATGTATGATATTGTAATCTCCTCGCCGGGGCTGATGGGCCGCATGGCGTGGATGTACTGAGTCATGGTATCGTGATCGTAATAATAATCCGCATTGGCACGGCAGTCGTGGTTCATACGGGCTATCCCCGGGAAAACGACAAAGAAGGCGTAATCTTGATCTTCGTCATTGTGGTCCGGATTGATGTCGAAGGCGTTGGTTGCCGTGATCTTGTCGACACGAGCAGCGTACGGAAGGTCCGTCTCTTCGTGGGTCGACAGTTTCAGGAGGGCCGATCGATGCGGACCAGGGAGGTGGTCGAACGCGGCCGCCTCGAGCTGTATATACTGCTCCTTGGGCAGCTCGTTAAAAACCTTGTAGTCAATCATCAGGGAGACGGTGTTGCCCATGATGAGATCTCCACGGCGGATGTGATCTGTGGCAACTAGCCCCATACCCTTACCCGGGAACTCCCTCATCTCGTACTTGGCCGGGCTGGCGGGTTCGAGATCCTCGTTCACGCCCTTGATGATCTCGGGGTTGACGAAGCCTGAATGGGTCGCAAGATAGCTTGCTCTCTTGGCAGTCATGACGAAGGAAGCACCCCTACCCTGAGCAAAGTTTGCATCTGTGAAGGTACATATCTCGATGTCTGAAATGGTGCCCTTGAAGCACGGCGTCGAATGCGTCCAAGTATGGTCCGGCACGTGGCCGCAGCCGGTTCCGTTCCCACAAGCCCGGCCGCCGTCGACAAGCTGGCGGCCAAGGTCGTCATATTGTGGTGTCGTCACCAGGTAATCTGAGCTGGCCAGGCACATGGAACTGCCGTCCGGCTGCGGCTGGCCATGTCCCAGGGGCCCGCAGCTCTCGGTGTGGTCATGATTATGGGGATAGTCATTGCTGCTGTGAGCTAGAGCTGAAGTAGCATAGATGGAAAGGAGAGGTAACAACTTCATATTGTAGAGAGAAGCACGGCCCGAACCATCAGGCAAGAAGAAAAGGAGCAATAGCAACAGCTTGCCAGCCGACCATGAGGATCAATGACTTAGTGGATGGTGATAGAAAGACAGAATGAAAACAAGAGGTCCCCAGGCATCTCCTTGGATGAATAGGCGGGGGACGGCTTAACTACCGTGGAAGCTTTATATTAGGTGCCGCACAACAGGTACTACACAATGGCCGTGGGAATGGGTGTCGGAGCATGCTCTAGACCTTGCACAGCTTCGTTTCCAACGCTCACGGCATCTCATCTGCCCCATTCTCGTTTGAAACGGCGGCAGGGGTGGCCAGCTCCGAGTGCCATTGTCACTTGTGCGCCAAGGATGCTTGACGGCGCTGAAAGTGCCCGTTTATTGGACCTGAGGCCGTGTGATGGTAGGCTGGCGGCGCAATGAGGCTGCTATCAGCTTCCAAAGCAGCAGCCTGGGTACGTTACTGGTGTGGGCGGGGGAGTGAACATGGATTGTTGGAACTTGGAAGGCTGCCCAGTGCTGGGATTGTGCCTCAACGTATCAGACTTGTTCCAGAATCTCTTCTGCGCCGCCTCCACTACGCCACGGACCGGCTCTTGGACAGTGGACACAGCTTCCCGGCTTTTCGCAGTGCAACTATTTACACGCAGATGAGTGGACGGCGAGCTGGACCGAGACGTGAGAAGAGACGAAGCCAAGGAAGCCAAGATTCTCGGTCCCAACTGTTAGGCTTGGACTAAAACAGTCAAGCCTCTTGGCGGGCGCGTTCACGGTCGGGGCTTGACGTCGATCCAAGCCCCCGTTTCGAAAAGCAGGAGCAGCCGATCTGGGAAAGCAGGCATGAAGCTGGAGATGGGGCTTACACCCATCTCTCGGCAGCCTTAGGTACGGAGTATTGTTGGAAGATTATTTCGGGCAGAGTGCGGAAGAGCGCAGCAGGTTTACTAAATAGGCCGTGTCCGGACTGCCGAATTCACAGGTAATAATTGGAGGCAATGGATGGGTTGTTCCTCCCAAATTACCCTTACCTACCACCAACGGATACCTGGCCAGGTACCCCACCTGACATGGAGAGCCAAGCCTCCTGACAGCTGGAGCTGCTTAACTTGGTTAGCGGATCCTGGACCGCTTGGCACGGCTAAAACGCCCCTACTACCAATTCCATGATCGGGCTAGGCTTATTGCTGTTGGCGAGGTGCCTGAGGTGTAGCGGTTCTTGTTCACGCAATTCTTAGAAAGATATCGGTCATCTAATTAAGCATGAAAATCGGACATTGATAAGATTACCCCTGTTCTACCTTGATGTACTTGATTATCTGATCGTGGTTATGGTTTGTGGCCTTCCTGGCTTACCTAACGCCCCCAAGCCTATTGATGTGGCTGAGAAACCTCTGGTTGGCTAAGGTGCTTTCTTGAAATGGCCCTAAACCAGGAGGCAGAGTTGATGGCCGAGGTCGGGATAACGTTGCGAGTAACATACATTCATTATATTAGAAAAGTAGATTCTTTCCTGTCCGAAGACGGCTCAGATCATGCATCGTGGCTTTCCCCGCGACGCCCAAAAGTGGCCAGGGCAGGAAGAACTGGTAGGTGCTGCGTTCAGGAGGTTGCTGCAGCTGAATCAGCACCCGAGAGAATTACCCACGTGAAGTTGCACCACCTGCGGGACGGACACAGTCAAGTCATACAACCTCTATTTTTTTGGATGCCTAATACATTAGCCATCGTTAGCTAATGCAGCTCCAACGGCCACTCGTCGCGCAAGTCCGAAATATTATGGGGGACTTTTGAGAATTTGCCCACATCTCTCCCCTCACCCCTATTGCCAAGAAATCCTCAAATGCTTATACGTTGCTGACTCCCGTCATTCAGACATCACAAGACAGTGACACTCTACACGCAGCCTTCGCCATACACCAGAACTGTGCGCTGGTTCGCTTAGTCGTATTACAGCGACTGCTTTGGACTCCACCGTAGATGGTAGACTTTCCAACTGGGAACCAGAACTAGACTCAGTCGAGACGCTTCTACGGCTACACGGCCGACAGCCATACAGACAAAGCCCGGGCTTGCGCGATGCAACACTGCTTGATAATACCTCCACTCTGAACCCTGACATGCAATTCTCAGGTAAATACATGCGAGACACCTCTGGACGGCACTCGACCTCACAAGTCGGCGGCGAACATGGCAGGCCCTAGCTTGGCTGCTGGTAGTTTTGTAAGGTAGTTAAAAGTACCAAATAGACGTCTTTGTCAGAGAGAAGAATAATAGCACCGACCCAAGCTCATACCGTCTACAGCATGTGGCTGATTGTCAGAAAGCTCTAAACAGCTAGTAGGCTGGGTAGTAGTGACCATCTCGTGTCCACACATGCATGTGCGCTGAGCAAGCGATTAGCATATGCTTGGATCATGCCTCGACCGTCTTCGTTGTTGGTGTGAGAGACCCCATGGAGGCAAAAACAGGGCAGAGAATGGCGATGCCACCCGATGTGATAGAAAATAGTCTTGGAAACAGGACGGATACTTCGTGGCTCATGCCCGTCCGTTGGTGTATAAAAGGGGGATGTTGCTGCTGTTGTTGAGATGTTGGCGGCCTCTGCACAGAAACATCATCGCTTTCATCACTCCTCGTCTCGTCATCAGCCTCTTGGATTCTCCTCAAATTTCACAGTTCAAACTCCGGACTTTGCCCCCAGCTGAAAGCAAAAAAGAAACATGAAGCTCGGTGCCAACGTAATCTCTGTTGCCGCCATCATGGCGAGCACTGCCGTGGCTGCTCTCGGCGAGAGTAAGAAACCGAGATCTATCCCTGCCCTCCAGATATAGCGCCGCCTGCTAACACAACACAGGCGTCCCATGGGAAAGACTGGACAAGAACGACTCGCTGCTGGTCATTGTCGACCTGCAAGAGGGCCTGTACAACCTGGCTCGCGACTGGGGTACGTGAAATACCACACACATCAAGGAGCCTCAGAGCAGTCCTACTTCTCACCATTGGTTAGAGAAGAAGACCCGAGTTCGACCGGGACAGCGTGTAACCTGGCTCTTAACCACCCGGTTCTAACCTTTGTGTGTTTATAGACCCCACTCTCTACAGGCAGAATCTACTAGCCTACGCCAGCCTTGCGACGGTATTTCCCATGCCCGTGATTTTGACGACGTCAGCCGAGACTGGTTCGTGTTACCCCCCCAGTTACCTCTTTTTCCTGTTGGAAGACGCAACCTCCCGGGAATATTGCTAACCTGTTCTATATCCAGGCCCCAACGGTCCCTTGCCGCAGGAGATCCAGGATTGGTATCCCACGGCCCCTTTCATCAAACGCCTGGGCGAGGTCGACGCGTGGGACAACTCGGATTTCCGGGCCGCCGTCCGCGCCTCCAACAAGTCCCAGATCATAATAGGAGGGATTGTGACTGACGTTTGTGAGTGCCTCTTCCTCTTTACGTTACCCATCACCCACTCATCTCCTTTCCCGACCTCGTCGCTAACCTGTCTCTCTCAAGGCACGGCCTTCCTCGCGCGGTCTCTACGGGCCGAAGGCTACTCAGTCTGGGCCGTGCTCGAGGCCAGCGGCACGACGTCGGCCGAGGTGCGCGACATTGCCAACGCCGGGATGCTGAGGGCCGGCGTCAACGTGGTCTCGCTCTTCTACGTCGTGTGCGACCTGATGCGCGACTGGCGCAACACCCCGGGCGCCGTCCAAGTCTTCCCCTGGCTGGACAAGTGGATGCCCGTCTACGGTCAGACAGCGCGCAGCCACAAGTTCGCCGTCCAGAATGGAACCGTTCTAGCTGGCGAGAACTTGCTGCCCATCTAAAAGGCAAGGAACTCGCGAAAAGGGGGGGTGGTGTATCGCGAAAGGGTTAGGGTTGTGAAGGGGTGAAGCCTTTACAGCTTCACACGGTACATGAAACAACCTAGAAGCATATGGTACCTGCCTTTGTATTCTCTTCCGCTGCAGGCCGATACGTGGCTCATAGTAGGGCGATACTGTTGACAGTCAATGACGAACTATGGACGATGAGGGCAGGGGAGAACTCTAGAAGTAAAAAGGGGGTGGATAACTCGGCGAGCGCGTCTTTGCCAGGCCGTATGAGTCGCTGGACCTGCAATCCAGGCAATAACCCCATATACGTTCAATTACTGGTAGATACTCACCTTGATAAGTGCTTCGTGACCTGCAAAGATGAATTGACCCATTCCTTTGAGTTTGTCCTGCGCAACACCATGACCAAACTTTGGCTTTGAGTTGATAGAGAGAGAGTTTGTTAGATCCGAGCCAAAGGCAAAGCCCGAGATGTTTGTCGGCCGTCTCATTGCTAGCAGCTGCCGCCAGCCGGCACCAAGATTTCCAGGACCCACCTTCCGGGCGTATTGAACCTCCCCACCCCCGCCGACCTGCGCACACAAAATTCCTGGTAATTCGCAAATTCGGTTCTGCGACATCCAAATCCTCCCAACGACGCAATAAACCACACCTATAGAAGCAATTCTACTGGAAGACGGTCAAGATGTCAAAGATTACCGTCGGTAAGGGCTGCTCGGCTGTTCGAATTGTCGCCGCGCATCCTGGCTAACCTCCCTCGCAGCCGGTGTGCGTCAGAATGTCGCCGACCTTCTCGAGTACAGCAACGAGACCAAGAAGCGCAACTTCCTGGAGACCGTCGAGTATGCTCCCCGAAACCCGCCCAGAGACGGAGAGACTCGCAAGAAGTGGAAATATTGACATACCGCAAAGGCTCCAAATCGGCCTGAAGAACTATGACCCCCAACGTGATAAGCGTACGTTGCCTCGAATCGGAACCATCTCGACAAACAAAAAATGCTGACCCCAACTAGGTTTCTCGGGCACCGTCCGCCTGCCGACCATCCCCCGCCCGAACATGAGCATCTGCATCCTCGGTGACCAGCACGATATCGATCGTGCCAAGCACGGCGGTGTCGATGCCATGAGCGCCGACGACTTGAAGAAGCTGAACAAGAACAAGAAGCTCATCAAGAAGCTCGCTCGCAAGTACGATGCGTTCGTCGCCTCCGACACCCTGATCAAGCAGATCCCACGTCTGCTTGGTCCCGGTCTCTCTAAGGGTAAGCCGCCTTCTCTCTTCCAGCCGTGTTTTCCCGTGACAGTGCAGTGCTAACAGTCCAAATGCAGCCGGCAAGTTCCCGACCCCCGTCTCGCACGCCGACGACCTGACTGGCAAGCTCAACGAGGTCAAGTCGACCATCAAGTTCCAGCTCAAGAAGGTGCTGTGCATGGGCGTCGCCGTCGGCAACGTTGGCATGACCCAGGACCAGCTGATTGGCAACATCATGTTGGCCATCAACTACCTCGTCTCTCTCCTGAAGAAGGGTTGGCAGAACGTTGGTAGCCTGACCATCAAGGCTACCATGTCCCCCCCCAAGCGCATCTACTAAATGGTGTCTGCTGGCGTAGGCCTTTGCTGGCTTGATACTGCTGGACATCATGGGGCTTAGTTACACGGACAAGAAATAAATACACTCGATGCCCCCCCCCACTTGATGCCTTGACTCAGTGGACTCTCGGTGACATGATATCTGAAGCTGGAGACTGATGACGCGTGATGACGTCTCTAACTCACGGAATATCGTACTGCACTTGTCTACACTGGCAAAGATGAACAAAGCCGAACAGCAACAGCTGTCCGCATGTACAGTCCAGTCACCGAATCATTGTCGGCGGGGAACTTTCCGAGATATGAAAGACCTTATTACTTGTAAAAGCGGCTCGTACTTTCTGGCGGCAGATATGCCCAGCCTACGCTACGTACATGATCACACGACGGATGCAGACACTGGGCAGGCATGCCAGTCTGACGTGAACTATACCGATAGCACATGGATATTCAATCGACAAGTCAGGTGGTTACTACCTAACAGTTACACATCATCTTGCCCCAGAGCGAAATCTTGGGCAGTCCCAAGCCCTGTGCCACCACGAAGCACACGCCCCAGACCGCTAGGCCGGCATACGTGATCTTCGGGTCGACATGATGGGCTAGAGCGGCAGCCAGAAAGCCGGCACAACCCACCAACTCAACCGTGTCCTCGATGACGTCCAGCACGACTACGGCGCCGTCTTCCTTTTCGTCATCATCGTCGGATAGCTGCTCCTGGCCCAAGGCCATGGTCATCTGCAGCGCGTAGGTGCGGAGGGTATAATTATTCATGTGAGAAGAGAGGCGTGGGGGGGCTGCGACGGGCTGAATCCAGAGCGAGACGACGCGCGTCAAGGCATGTCACCAGTCAATGTGTTAGGTATGTCGGCTCGGCTCTGACGACACCCTCCGGGTACCATCATCAGGTCTAGAACAGAGCCTCAAAAGGTAACCTGCAGAAGGGACGCAAGGCAACTAATATTTATTTGCTCTCATTCTATCCTAGGTACGTCCGGGTTACTTAAAAAAGGGTTTCAAACGCTAACTCGCTTGCTCTGCTCATCACCATTTCGGCAGTTTTAGGTGCGTGGTTGTGTTCATGAGTAGCCGAAAGTACACTCTGTTGTCCAATCGTAGAGACTTCTTCCCCTCTTCACATTGATCCATGTCCATCCCGATGGCTTCCCCTCTTCTTCATCTGCTCAAGTCATACCGTCATAGTCGTGGGTTAGGTCTGTGTGTGGTCCAGCCTTCAGAGCATATAAAGTCACGGAAAGCCTGATCTCTTCTTCGTTACCTGGCTCAAATAACAGCACCAGTACCGTACCTACCTACCTAGCCAGCCAGCCAGCCAGCAGACACCAGTAACAATCATCGAACGCGCTCACCATGACTGACAACGCTTTCAGCACGAGCTATGCTTGGAACACAAACACGGGCTATGAATCTCCGGGCAATGCCGACGTCGAAGCCAGGCCGCTAATCTAGACCAGCCCCCGTCTCGGCGGTTGCTGAATACCCTCTGCGAGAACCAGCTACCCTCCCCACCAAGGCAATCGTTTCGTCCGACTCGGGTGAAGCGTTGCATTCGCATGTCTCGTTCGCTGGCGTTGAGCCGCACCACGGGCCCCGGCTCGAAGGATCCACTACTAGGCGGGAAGACACCCAGGAAATGCTACGTAGTAGTACTAGCGAATGGGATCCCGAGTTGGCTGTCTTGAAGGCTGGTATTGAGAGCGCCTATGGACAAGGGTATCTACATTAGCCTCGCCCCATTGCAGCCCGGTGCGGAGAATAAGCGGCGTAGGCGGCAATGCGGCCTTCGGGGATGTATCTTGTCGCGCTTTCGTCATATTCCCCCGGTATATGTAAGGACTAGCGCTCAAGCTGACCTGTTGGCCTTCAAAACAACTGGCTCGTTGGCCCTCACGCTAGTCTGTTAGCCCTCAAGCTAGGCTGTTTGCCCCAAAATAACACTCTATTGACCAATTAGACCGCTGGCGGACTCAGTATCCTACACTCATTCAGACGTGCCGTGGTCACGCCTTATTTCATCATGTCGTTAACCATCTCGTAAAAGAAGCGCGGAACAAGAAACAGGAGACCATCAGTCATTTTTAGCAGCGCTATGTCCCCGTTCACGCAGTTGGCCGCAGCTGACCGCAGCTGGCCGCAGCTGGCCGCAACGACCCATCATCTATCACAACAACCGCGGAGGAGATCTCTCCAGCAGGTCCCAACTGCTTTCCATCATCTCTTTGATTGCGTATGGTTTAACAAATTTCTGGGGGAGAAGCAAGAGGGAAATGGAACAGACCCAAGTACAATCACCTCTGAAATATAGACGTACGTCTGAGGCAAAACTCTAATGGCGCCTAGAGCTTTCCCAATATGATAATAACAGAGACAGGTGTTCATTCATCTGAGCAAGACAAACGACAAATTCACCCAACACAACAGGAAATCAATACATCATTACCAAATTCTCTACATTTACCCAAGCACCAATGTTCCAATTCACCCAACAATGGCTGCATTCGCAAACACCACCAACCTCGTCAACTACGCGAAAAAGCTCAAGCCTGTAACTTATCCGAAATGCCAGAATTGTGATGAGGGAACAAGGCTGGTTTAGGAAACTCTGAGCAGCAGGGTAGCGTGGCAATTACTGTATCATTTGTTTCCTTTTTACTCGGATGTGTTGTGAGGCGATTGTAGAGCGCGAGAAAAGACCTAAAACTTTTCATAAATATATGAATTGTCTTTAAGATGACTGACCGTGCTATAATTACGCTGCTTCCAAACACGGAACTCAAGGCTACCTAATTCCATCTCCGGTTTTGGAGCTGAGCTCGTGCTGCTCTGAGTTGAGTTACCGCGGAGCTCAAGCTGAAGAGCCCAAATGCGGAGCTATACTAACATTACTCGTCTAGGAAAGTAGAAAATTCATCATCTAGAATAATCTCCGACTCTGTCTCTGAGGCTTCGTCAACGGTCTTACCATCTACGTCTCACGCAATACCGTCCTCCAGGATCATAGTCTTACCAGTCAAGACATGCAACGACTTTGTTTCAAACTGCAGAAGTGAATGAGTCAGGATCCTCATGACTTCAGGGAATGCCATTTGGGTCGCGAGAGCTTCTGCCTGTTCGCATAGATCCGCTTTCAGTTGAAGCAATCCTTCGCCCTGGGAACCGCATCGTTTAGAGTGAGCCGCTGATGTTATATCTGGCAGGTTCTAAGTCAGACTCAGGTTGATGACTACCTCGCTCAACTGTAGACTGCTATTAGAATGTCGGGATATTAAAACATCGGGGCAGATGCTGCGCATGCGTAGGTGAAGGGTTCGAAGAGTGCAAAGAAGGGCGCCAATAGCTGGACAGAGATGATAACCGTTTCCTTGCTGTCCTGACGAGTTCAGAAAGCCGCCAGATAGATCTAGCACCAGAACTCTCAGATTCTCCACCAAGAGCAAGGCCTGAATTGTGGGTAGCGGCAGACAATCCTCGGTGCTGTCGAAGGGCTCAGGACAGCGAAAGCCCCAGGCTCGTATACGTAAGGTATACAGCTTGTGGGATTGTTGGGTAATGATGGCAAGCTGGTCGAAGTCTTTATTTAGGGCCTTTATGGAGGTCTTGATCGGATTGTCACTGGGAGCCTCGTTCGGTGTAGTAGCCACCAGAGCATTCGACTCCTGCGTTTATTCTGGGGGATAGGACGTGGAGATGCATGGCTGATCTCCCCTCAGTTCCAAGTTGTTTTGGAGCGGGGATGGCCTTTTCATTACCCCAGAGATCATTAGACTCCGCAGGGTCTTTTGAGAAAGTGTGATTCTTGGGAGGGCCTTCTTCACCTCGTGTACACGAGATTGCTTTGGTCACAAAATGCCGACACATGCGCAGCGTTACACGTCTGAGCTAGCCTGCGGCAATTTTGCCATTGGCTAGAATACGGCCGGTCGAAACGAAAGAAAATGAATGGAAAAGGAGAAGAGGGGGAGGAGGATCGATGGACCGGGGCATAGAGTATTTATCAAGAACAGTTGACCTCGAGATCAACCGGTACGCAGAGGGCCAGGGTTGAGGGAAAAAAGTCGGGTCCGTGCACTGGGCTCTGGTGGAGGGAGGCCGACTACTCTCGGCAGTGTCGACAGCAACACATGTCGCTGGTTGGGGACACCTCCCCGTTTTCTTCCTGCTGCCGCCCCTGTACATCAACAGCTAAGGCCCAGGAGAAAAACAGTTGCTAGGGGAAAGTCTCCTAGACGCAAATTCGGCGGCCAGAACACCGCATTCTCGGTTTATGTTGTATGTGTAAGTATCTGCCAACAGCTGCCCCGAAAGCGCGAAGGATTTCTGGGAATAATTCAAATTACATCATGGTTTCTGTCAATTACTTGTCAAGTCATCGGAAAGGACTCAAGAGCCTTATCGAACAGAGGCGCAAAAGGACAAGACAATTGGTGCATGCAAAATCCGGGCGGCATCAAAATTCGATTTTCAGGACATTGAGAATATAGACTAGCGGAAAGTGCTGCACGAGACGCGTCCTGAGAAGCGCGGATTATCCACTTCCAATAAACGAATTCGTACCTACGGCCGAGAGTTGCGTCGCCCCAGCGCCATTCCAACAGCTACCCAAGTAGGCAGACAATTCCAATGAGCCAACAATATCCAACTAGGAACCACAAAAGAGCGCAAGAGGGCAAGAGTATATCGAGACCACCCCACCGCCGCGGACCTCGGAGAGTCGCCGCCCGCGGCGATAGTTTTGAAGGGAAGAGGCGGCCAAGCGTTGCTGTAGGAGGCCGGGAACGGAGGGATACCCACAGAGGACACGGGTAACCCTCAGCAAGCCACTTATAGTGGAGCCTTCCGCCAACAGGCTGACGAGCCTCTCTTTAAGCTCTGCAACTCTCTTCACGTGGCGGTGTAGAGGAAGCAAAGGGCTGAGAAGAATCCCCAGCCTGTTGGCTGATGGAGGAAAAGAAAAAAGAGGAGGAAGAATGGGAGAGGGGATTGCTTTTATGGGTGTGCTGGGACAGCTGGGTGGGGCCCGCCGCTAGTGCGTTTCGGGCGTAGCGTTTTGGGGGAAATTTTTCTTTTCCAGTTTGCTGAAATTCTGAATCAGGCCCAGCAAAGAGTTTACAAGACTCCACTGTGCTGAAAGTTGTTTGTGGAAACAACCTTGCAGCTTCGTTAACCTTTTCCATTGCCCATGTTGCTTTTTTTCTTTTCTCGTCTACGGGATGCTGATTCGCATTGCAAGTAGGATTCATTGCCATCTGTTTGTCTAACTAGGTGGGTTGTTGAAATTGATGTGCGAAGTATTCCGTATATCCCTTGAACTCTAACGTGGTGGTGCAGACAACACAGCCAACTCTGTGATTGCTGGGATGGCAGTAGCTAGCTAAGGTGGGGTTTGTGTAATATGACACCCGTCCATGGACTTGATTGCACAATGTCTGGCACGGGTGTACTGTAGCTCTCTGCTCCAGGAGTCCAGTGATGACATATAAGGGTTTGGCAGTCTGCAAGTGACAGCCGGCCAGGAAACAAGACAATGGAAACTGTGAAACTCTCATATCGGAAGGCAAACGCTTCTAGTAAGGGGCCGTGTTCGTAAGGTGAAACCGCAGACAGATGAGCCACTGAACGAGAGAAGCGATTGGCGTCATTGAGCTTCTGTCATAGAAATGACACGTCTTGGGCAGACATCACGGTCACAGTGTGGTTTGAGAGGTACCAGTTGTAGACATGCTTACAATGTAAATAAAAAAGCTAGTGGCTCCTTGGAAACGATTGAGATAGATATATTTCTTTCCCATCCACTCCAGGTCCTATAAAACCGCAGCTTCCAATAGGCATAACTAGCAACAGCCCAGACAGACAAAAGCCGCGACGCACGCCTTCAGGCTCTGGTCTCTCTTGGTGATACCAGCAGAACTGTACGAGGAATAATTATCTCGCCCTTCTCCCATCCGTAATCATCCCCGTCCTAAGCTGGACTAATCGCAAACATCATCCTCACAAATTACTTTCACAAGACAAAACCCCATCTCCATGTCCATAGCTCTTTACAGCCAAACTTCAAGCAGCAATTCCCCCAAAGCCTAGTTGGAAACTCTTCCTCGCTTAGCAGGCAACGGCGACCGCGATCTTGAGCTACTGTAGTGTCTTCTCCGCTTGTTGCCCGCCGGAGATGGCGACCGACTATCTCTCCTGGCCGATCTGTGCGGAGAGGGACTAACCCGAGCACCTCTAGCCCTGGGGGGAGGCGAGGGACTGTCCCGAGCACCCCTAGCCCTGAGAGGAGGAGAGAGACTATCTCTTCCCCCCGCTCGGGGCGGCCGTGGGCTTGGGCTATCTCGCTGGCGGTACCTGCTGGGTGCGCCCCGGGCCCCTACTTGTGCGGCTGCTATCGCCGAGATCCGGGGTGGAGATCGCGACCGAGAAAGCGATCTCCGTGACACTCGCAAGGGCGAGCGGCTATAGCGGGTGTATGGCTTGCGAGGCGCCGCGCTGACCGACGATGTGTTTCGACGGCGGCGCTGTGGGGGAGGAGAGGGGCTGCGCGAGTAGGACGCGTCTCTCTGACGCTTCGAAGCGCCGTTGATTGGCGAGCGCGTGCGATCCCGGGCCGGGAGCGGGGCGCGCGAGTCAGACCGGCTGCGTGTGCGGCCGCGACGGACTGGAAGAGGAGACAGAGAGCGTGTCGGTGAGCGAGAATAGTCGCCAGGGCTTCGTCTTCGGCTTCGGCTTCGGCTTCGGCTTCGGCTTCGGCTCCGGCTCCGGCTCCGGCTCCGGCTCCGGCTATCACGGCCACCGCGGCGAGGGCTGATGGACCGCGAATCTTGGCGTGCGGCTCGTCGTGGGGGAGGCGAGCGCGAGAGAGATCGCGAGATGGACCGCCGTGTAGAGACGGACCGCGTGTAGCTACGACTATAAGACCTGTCCGCGACTCGACGTGGCGGGGACCGCGTGACAGACCGACCACGGCCGGCAGCCTTGCGCGGCGTCCGCGAGCGCGATCGCGACGGCGTGCCTGATCTTGAGCGAGACGAGTATGAATAATAGCTCGAACCCGACTCGGAATCAGAGTACTCGGGCGCGGCCGCGGCCGGGAGGGTAGGCTTTGGCAAGTTCTCCAAGAAGCTGCGCATCTCTTCGGTGAGATATCCCAGCTTGATGGAAGTGAAGAAGTTGATGGAGAAACGAGTGTCGCGGGGGTTACCGTGGGGGAATATCCCCTGCAGACTAGGCTGCAGCATGTCTTCGCTGAGCCGCTTCTTGAGCTTCTCTACGCCCATGTTCTCCTGAATATCTTCAAACAAAATCTTGATAAAGATGCGGCTGGAGGATGTCGTCTCGTTCTCGTTCAGGTGGATGACGGACAGAACGTGCCAGCCGATCGAATCCGAGGCGAGGAGATGGCTAAAGAACCTAGCGATATTGCGCAGCTTGTTTGTTTCATATCGGTGGATGGTGGAATAGTATTTAGCGAAGCTCTCTTCGAAGAGCTCAGTCCACATGCGATTTAGCTGGGCGAACTGTTGTCCCAGCAAGCCCATGAACTTCAGGTAGACCTTCTCTTGCGCGCAAGATTCCACGATCATGGACACCAACTCGGGTTCCTGGCCGGCAGGAAGCCGAAGCTTCATTAGCTTGTGAGCGGCTTCCTGGGGGTCCGCGCTCGATTGTATGCTGAGATAGATGGTCCTCCTGAGGTTGACAAGATCGGCATTGCTCTGGTCCTTGATTTCAATAGCCTTCTGCTCCTCATCTTCCTCTTCAGACTCGTCCTCGTCGCTGTCGTCATCATCTTCGTCCTCGCTCCCCTCTCCCAGAATCTCAGCCTTGAGCTTCTTGTACTCGGCTTCGTTGGCCTCCCAGTCCGGATCGAACTTGAAAATATTAAGCGTGTCCTGCGTCTCCATTTCTTCGTCCAGCCCGATGCGGTGCGTGATCTGGTCTTCCTCCTCGATAAGATCCAGCTCCTCCTTGATGACCGGGTTGTCCTTGTACTTGTCCTTGCGCACCTGGAATAGAACCTCGACCATGTACTGGGTGCGACGGTCGATGTCGGCTTCGTGGAGGATGTTGCGGAACTGGTCAAAGACGGCATGGGCGATGGTGGGCGACATCTCCTCCAAGAACATGCCGACCTCGCGCATGAGGCCGACGGCAATCTCGACGCTGTCGTCTGTGGGCTTCTGGAGCAGCAGCAAGAGGATCTGGGCGGCGAGCATCTCGTGCACGACCTGGTTGTTGACCAGGTGGGCGATGAACATGGTGGACGAGAGGCACACGGCCTTGTCGTTCCGCTTGAAGGCCTTGCGGAAGCGCATAATCAGGCGCTTGACGAGCAGCTCGCCGACCTGGGGCAGCTTGGTGTTGCAGATGGCGGCAAGGCAGGCGTAGATGGGGGTGAAGGGCAAACTGGCGTGCTGGGCCTTGAGCAAACTCTGGCAGAACAGGCCACGGCCGCGGATGAGATTCTCGCCGAAGAGCTCGGGGACCACAAACTTGATGTTTGCCGTGTTGATCTTGTTTACGAGGCCGTTGATGGACTTCTTGAGCGCCTCCCAGGCCATGCGCTGGTATTCCTTGGATGACCGGTCGGTGATGGCGGCCTGCAAGGCGCGCAGCTTCTGGGGCGGCAGGTACACGCCCTGGCTGCGCAAATTGAGCAGCTTCTGGTATTCGGCCTTGGCGGCATCAAGCTTCTCTGCCTCTGTCATGACGGGAGCGGCCGGCGGCGGCGTGCGCTCTTTCCTTGCTGGACGGTAATTGTCTGCGCCATCGCGACGTGCGGGAGGAGACCGTCTTCGCGGCGGAGGGGAGCGGTCTCTAGCGGGCGGCGAGCGGTTCCTGGTAGGCGGCATACTGCCGCGTGAGGATGGAGAGCGGTCGCGGCGCGGTGGTGATCGAGGGCGCGGGTTGGCCGACCGATCGTCGAGGTGGCGGCGAGCGGGCGACATTGTATCGGCCGACGCCATTTTAGCTGCGTCGCGCTTCTCTCTCAAAACCCCTATTCCGTGCTAACGGGGAGTTGGAGATGGATCGGGGCGCAGTCTCGTTGGCAAGCCCGAGATGATGCAGAAAGAAAAGGAAGAGAGCGGCCCGCTTGTTGGAAGATGACTCTATTCGCGGCCAAAAATTTGAAGATTGATTGACGAGGCTGGTTCTCCGTACTGGTCCCGTCGTTCTAAAAACCCGGCAGTCACGCTAAATCGAATAAATGTGGGCCCCTGCGCCCCGCTATTCTGCCCATCCAGACCCATGCACAGGCGCGCGCTGCATACGCGAACCCCTGCGATCTGAATCCGTGGCGCAAAAGGGAAGCTGTCGGGTGTCCAGCAAGGAGAGAGCTAAACTCAGGCCACCTGGTATGTACGTAGTGCGCTATTGATCGCCGACAACGACAACGACAACGACAACCTCGCTTTTGAACCCAGGGCGGCGGCGCATAACTAGCAGCAGCAACACGACGACGACGACATTGACATCTCCGTACCTTGCTTTTGCCAATTCCATCTCCCCATACACAGATACAACAAACAATCACACAGACAACCAAACCCTGTTCTAGTTCCAACTGCCGACCTTTTCAACGATGGTAACCATCTCCCTACGGCGCCCCTTTTCCCCGAGCCCAGAGTCAAAAATGACAACTACACACTCTACAACAATACCTCTAAACCAACTAATTTCTCTCTGTAGCTTGACAGACTCGTCGGCCTCGCTATGCTCGTGGCTGCGACCGTCGTGTTTCTCTACTACACCATCTGGACGCTACTGATGGTACGCCCCCCATCCCCATTTCCATCCCCCTTTCCTCCCCTTAATCTACCCCCCAACACCCTCAAAAAACGATACAAAAAAAACTGACGAACCAAAAATTAAAAAAAGCCCTTCGTCGACTCCGACCACCCTCTCCAAAACTTCTTCCCGCCGCGCGTGTGGGCGATCCGCATTCCCGTGATGCTAGTGCTAGTAGGGTGTGCGGTGGTCGGGTCGTTCCTCAGCGTGGTGATGATCCGGAGCAACAGGAAGAAGGCGGCCAAGGCGCTGGCGCTGGCGCAGGCGCAGGCCCAACAGCAGGGCCAGGCCAGCAAGAAGAAGGCCTGAAGAAGAAAAAAGTCAGAGTCACCCAATTATCTGCTGAGGGGGAGAGATAATAATATGTGGAATATGAGGATGGGGATGAGGATGACGAACGAGGGGGGTTTAAAAAGAGTTATCAAAGAGGAGAAGAAGCAGAAGAGAAGAAAAAAATTACGACCAAACCGCTTCCATCCCAACTACTTGACGTGTGTGTGTATGTGGCAGAGGGACTCGGGCTGGCATCGTCGATGGGTTACTGATGACAGACAGACAGACAGAGATGCAGTGTAGTGAGCGGGCTGTACGAGAGTGTTTGTAATATGTTCCACACTCAGGTGCGAGGGCATATTCTATTCAGTATGAGATATGCAGAGACGCCGGCGAATAGAAACACTACGTCTCAAACAAAAAATGCAACTACGCCACAGAGCAATGGAGCTAAATAGAACACACGCTCAGGGCCCAGGGGTCTTCATTGAGATGCGTGTTCTATCATATGCCTAACTACCTTCCCCAGCAGATGAAGCTGTGGGATGCTATGCTTGTGCCGTGGCCTACACTTGTCCGACAGAACCTAGCTACAGTAGCCAAATATCGCCGAGCGCCAAATCTCAAAAAAGGAGTGGAGAGCTCAGGCAAATGCAATGGTTGTGCATGAGCCCAGACGGGCGTACGATCGCAGTCCCGCAAATGCCAAGCCATGATATCCATTCCTTTCTATCCCTTCTTTCCATGGTACCAAAATGATCCTCAGATAAAAGATGCAAGGCGGTCCCTCGAGGCACTCCGAAAACACTGACTGCTTGCGCTTCTCAAACTCGCTGGTCCGCAAAATCAAGCACTTCGCAATCGTCCTCGAAGAATCCATCATCGTCCTGATTGGCCGAATGCGCAGCCCCACGTCTGCGACGCGTAGTGACGACGATCTGATCATCGTCCCCAGTCCGGTGGAGAATCCTCTCCATGGCCGAAGGGGGCAGAGCACGCGAATCGTCCGACGCAATGTTGAATGATTCTTCGTCCGGAACATGGGGCAGGCCCAAGTCAAGCTTGCTCGCGTTGACCGCCTGCCCAAACGCCCATGTCTTTCTCGACCTGAATGGGTCGATCGATAGATGCTGATGGGCCTTGAAAACCCGTAAGCGCTCTCTCTGCTTGCGGTTGAGCTGCGGCTCAGGCTCCCCGAACGTCGACTCAGACTCGGGTGTAGACAGCGAGGTATGGGGCGCTCCTACTTCGAACAATGCAACCCGCCTGTCGGTGTAGAATGGCTGATATGGTGCGCTGGACTCTATCTCGGCCTGGGGAATCGACGACTCTGCGCTGACGTCGCGGGGCTGCATCCGGGGCCTGGCGCTATTGAGCACCATGGTGTTATTGCCAGGTTCCAGGTTCTTCTCAGTGAACTCCAAGTACTCCTCGGGGTCCAGCACGTTCCTCACGTACGGCGAGAGCAAGTCGTCCGGCAGAGACGGCAGCTTGAAGTCTCTGTATCGCGACAGACGCGGTGCACGCTTGTCTGCGCCCACCTGTGCCCTCCGACTCTTCGTCGGAAACTTGCGGACAAGACCGGCGCCAATGACAAAGAGGAAGTGGTTCTTCCTGCTCGCAACCCAGACTACGCACGACGACCCAGGTGACATGGACGAGCTGGGCAGCGAGACTCGATTCTCTCCAGTATGCCTCAGTTGGTTGAGGGCACTTCCAGTTTTGCCAAGAGAGTGGCTAATGCTGGCAGCGATGACCTTTCCTCCGTGAGTAGCATACTCTCCAATGCCAGAGCCCGCCAGCGGCGGCGCATTGGAGTTGCTACGGCGCGGCCTGGTGATCAGAGGGCGAGCGACGTCCCGGACGGAGCTCAGCGCATTTGACGCAATCGAGACAGCCGAGTTGGTGCTCTCTGCAATCGCGCCCCTGGCGTCCTGCGCTTGTGTCTTACGACGTGGGGGAGGCCAGGTGAAGGCACTGGACGGAAGATCCAACAGGTGGACCGTCCCCCTCTCAGTGACCATGGCAGCACGTTCACCGTTCGGCCTCGTCCAAGCCACGTCGACGATACGGGCCACCGTCATGCGAGAGAACTGCGCAACCTGGCGAACACGTGGTCCTCCCGAAGGCGGCAATCCAGTTGCTTGGAGCGGAGAGCCCTTGGTGTACTGGATGCGCATGAGGTCCCAGACCGTTTGCACGTCACCCTTGCTGCTCGCCGTGAAGAGAGAAATACTAGAGGGCGAAAATGACAGGAAACTGCAGCCGTGGGGAACACTGAACGTCGTTATCGGGTGCAGGTTTGCGGAAGAACCCAGCTGCTCAGTATCCAAGATGGATACAATGCCTGGCTCCTTAGCAACTGGCGGAGTGACGGTGCCGTGCGTGGGAGGGAACTGAGGTGGTTCCGGGCGTGGTGTGCCAACCCCTCCCCAGTTAGGGGGCGAAAGGGTAGGAGATCGTGGCTGCTGGCCCGGCTGTCCACTGCTCCAGTAGTTGTGCCACACCTGCATGCTCTGCTTGCCGACCCACTTTGCGCCTTGGATCAGCTCCTGGGTGGCATCTCGCATGATCTTGTTCACCACGCTCTCGGAGATGGGTAGATCAACATCTGAGTTGGCGGGAGGCAGCTGGGGCGGCGTGAGCGACGACAATCCCGGAGCCCGACCATACGCAGGCACTGATACCATCGCCCTGAGTGCGAGCTGTGACGAGGGCGCCGCCGGGCAGTAGGCAATCCACCTGCCGCTGACGCTCAATATTGCGCTCTGGGTCCGAGGACGTGGCGGGATAGCAACGCGATTCCGCTCCGGCTCCTGCGCCGTGTCCCCTTTCGGGGGCTGCTGGAGAGTCGTCCAAAGTTTCCCGTGGCACCTGAAGTGGAGCGGGTATTCATCCGAGATCGGGGCTTGACGATAGACCCAACACTCGCCGGTGATTCCCGAGGACACAACAACATTGCCCCCATCAGCGTGGATGTGAAAGGTTCCGCTCGGAGGTGGGGGTTGGAAAAGCGGGCTCGTAACCGGTGTCTTGAGGGGAATCTTAGGCGCCTCAAGAAGAACGCTCACCAGCTTGCTATTCCTCAACGAGTAGACTTCGACTGTGGTCTGATATGACTCAACAAATCCGGGGGCCGCCCTGCCGCTGGAGCTCTCCCTGGCGTTGGAGTCAGAATTAACATTAGCCATCGCCTCGGATCTATCGGCAGAAACGGCATCGTAGTCGCCGTCAACATTAGAGCCAGGGGCTGGGAGGGGAAGATTCGGGCCATGGACGACGACAGCGACCAGGGGAAACAAGTCAGAGCCTGCCGAAGCCCAAGGCAGAATCTTTGCTTGATACACGCCTCCCCGCAACCCTTTCAGGCTTGCAGCATGTTCGACGCCCCGCTTACCGACCAAGTACACCTCCATACCCCCCTCATAGCCGGCAAGAACCACGTTGTCTTTTCCAGAACCATAGTCGGCACCTAGCGTTGGGAGTGTATCAAACCCAAAGTAGTAGCCCCTCTCGCCCGCCTTCATGCCGGATTTGGGCTGGGGATCGAGGTCGATTTCTGGAGAGCCGTAGAAATGTGCCTGGGGCTGGTGTGGAAGCGGCGGGTTTGGAACGCCGCGGACCTGGGCAAAGTGCGAGTGCATCGAGCTGCGCCTTGAGGCGACGGCAGCCGCGATCTGGCCGTGGACGTCCGGGGGTGAGTAGTGGCCCTCCATGTGGAAGCTCAAGGGGCGCCGCCCAGCCGCGGTCGGAGGGGAAACCGAAGGGGCATGGTAATTAACAGCTGGTCTCGGGGAAGACCAGCCCGAGTGGATGCCCCGCGTGTCCTCGTACGAGGAGGGCGCTGTTGGAGGGGACTCCCCGATCAGGCTTATCAGATTTCCCGGCGATCCAGCCATGCCCGCTGGGATGCCCCGGGTCCATTCCCTTGTGCTCAAAGAGTTGCTTGTCGCGAAAGACGACGCGGAAATCGCGTCCAAAAGCGGAGAGGCGGCGGGGTTGTCGTTCAAAGGGGCGCTGACAGGTTTGAATTCTGGGGACTGGAGTACCGACGGCGGAGAAGGGCTTGATGAGAGACCCTTGGTGCCGCTCCCGTTGCTGCATGGACACGGAAACCTTCAGTCAGCTTGAGCAAACATTGGCCGCCGGCACAAAAGAGAGGGGGTTAAAGGCGTCGACAAGAAAGGGGGCCTCTTCGCATGGGACTGGACTGGAACTCACGAGAATTTGGCACCATGCTTCGTCACCGCTGCAACAACTCCTCCGGGTTCTTTGCCATTCTTTTTGTCCTTCTTGGAGCCTGTTAGGGGGCCGTCAAGGTCAGCGATGCACTCATCAGAGAGACGTGGCTGCTTCCCAAGGGGACCACTACTACTTCCTCATGCAAGGCGGGGAGGGGTCCGGCAATCTGGGCGCCGCGGCATGACCGGACGCTGGCAGGTGTGAGAGTGTTGGAAATGGAAGAGACCAACCTGGCATGAATGGCGACCAGGAGCAGATGAGCAGTTTCCTGCTCGCGCAACGAAAGTAGCAGCAGCAGCAGCAGACACCCTTGGACAAGGACAACGGAGCTGCGAGTGCAGTTGCTGAAAGCCGGCTTTGCCCCAAAGATTGCAGACGACGCGAAAGGTTATCGAGCCGGGAAGTCAAAACACTTGGGTTCTGAACCGAACGGTGTCACCTCGTTAGGTATGACGAGTTTCTCGAGGGCGGCCGTTGACAGCCCTGGCGATGTGGTTGCGCGCGCCGAGAGAGAGAGAGAGAGAGGGCGGGTTCGAGACAAAGGAGTGGAGCGGAATGCACGAGACAGGCGCTACTTTCAGACAGGCGATACCTTCTCCAAAAGTACCAAGGAAATGACTTTATAATTATTCCCAGAAAATCCCACTTTATAAAAGACCAAAAAGGAAAGAAACAGTCGGCCGTTTGAAAGAAGCAGCTTGTGTCGACAGAGACTAGAAAGAGTAGATGTCTGTTGGTTTCGTGTTTGGGTCGGATGAAAGAGACGGGCAGAGGGTCGTCAACAAGATGGCCAGGAGCGACGGCTGGGCTGGGTCCTGACACGCAGCGCCAAAGGCGGGGCTTGCGTCTGCTCTGCTGTAGAGTAGGAGAGCTGCGCTTGCTTGCTGCACGTCCTGGAGGGGAAGGGGGGTCGAGGGGCTTCGTGGACCCACTGCGTTCCTGAGCGGGCTGGGGAGTATCAGGCCTCTTTGGTGGGGTGTGCAGGCGTAAGATCCGTACGATCCACTTGTGGACTGGGTTCTGCCCCTCCGAGTGGAATAGCGCGGATGCGAGGGCCAGATAAGGACGGATAAGCGTCAACCTCGATGCTTGACCCCTTCAGCGCAGGCGGGGTTGAGACTCAGCTCCGAGACGGTGCAAGTGAAAGTCAATCGAGTAACCATTCATCAGGATCTCATTGCAGAAATGTAATGCACTACACTACGAAGGAAGTACTCGTTTCGGCAGAGCCCGGGATTTCCGTTTTTATTTGTTTCCTATTTTAGCGGGAGCAGACAGACCAGCAGACCAGAAATGTCGACGTTATTCCGTATTTCCAGTACCCAGGCGAGGCAGCCCATTCGTTGTTTCGAGGCATTGATACGTCATCCTGGGCACCCGGGCAGGCCTCGAGCTAGGTCACGTTTTCTGTTTTCTAGAGGCTCAGTGGACGACTGACTCCCAACCGCTGACCTCGGTCAAAAATGGAAGTACAAAGAAGTCCTGATAATAATGCCTCCCGTAAGCGCGCAAAACATTCCACGGCCATTCCAAGGAGGGGGCGCGCGCCCTTTGACGAAAACGCGCGTGGGCAGCATGATGGGTGCCGAATGAGTCGACGCCCAGGATACCAGTCACGCCGATTCGGCTCGCGAGGATAGCCCCATCACGTAATTCGCCGGCCAAAACTTAGGGTGCTGTTTGTTCACAGCTCGATGCAGTCATTTCCCCTCTCCGAGGCGAACAGCTCTCTGGCCGTGGCAAGGCCCAGGTTAGTAACTCTTTAGCTCTCTATCTGCCTTGTCTCATTGTCTCATTTTCTCACGAAACTGGCCGCCTGGCGCGCGGCCTCTTCCAACAGAGACTTGTCTGGCTGTGTGTAAGCAGCACATTTACCAGGTGGTAGGTAAGGTACGTGAGTCGGGGCCAAGTAAGACAAACGACGCAATAGCACCATCCTATTACCGCAGGCAAGCATCTGGATGGATGGCATCGCCGAATGCCCGGCAGTTGCCGTTTGCTGCCACATACCTTTTTACCTTACCTTTACGTACTGGGACGGAGGTGGGGGAAACAAGGGAATCAGAGTGGCAGAAGAGGGCACATGGACAGGCCGGAGTGGATACGCGGTAGGTGCTGCCCGTACACTTAGACGAGGACGAAGCGAAGCCACGCGCCCCCTTATTATTGTATGTAGTGCTGGATGGCTATTAACCCATCCCGTCTTTTAGTTGCTCTGCCCGTCCCCGCCTCGTCTTGAATATTGAGAGAAATAAACCCAGGTACTCCGCAGGTCTACTTCTGCAGATAGACCCTGTAATAGACAAAGGCCCACGGCGACTCGACACCACCTCTCTTGAGCCTTGCGTGTGCTGCCCAGTCGGTCGCGGCCTGCGGCGTCCCCGCCCCCGCCCCCGCCGCCGTTGCCGGAGTCTGTTTCAGGACGTAGGCGACGGAGCCGAAGAGCATCAGCTCGGCCGCCGTGTCCGCCTCGCCGTCGAAGCTGCCCGGGAACACCTTTGCGATGTGGTGTTTTCGCGCCTCGACTTTGTCCCACATGCGCTGCCGAAGACTGCGGATTTCTGTTTTGCGAGGGTTTTCCCTCGTGGGATTTCTTTTTAATTACATTGCATATGTAAAAATATCAAGCTTGGTATGGAGTATGTGTAAAGCAAGAAGAAAGCAAGGAGAAAAGAAAAGAAAAAAGAAGAAAAGAAATAAAAAACGAACCTTGTATCCCCGTCGCCGTCTCGCTGCCCATAACGACCGTCGCGTCATCGCTGAAAAAGGCCATCCACTCGTCCGTCAGGCCGGGCGTGTCCGAAGTAACGAAGAAGCGGGCGACGAAGTCCCTCAGGGCCGGGTCGACGGCGGGGGCCCTCGGGTATGCAGGCGCGTAGCCGGCGATATCCATTGCTGCGTCCGTTGTTTGACGGGGTCTTTGTGTGGGTTTCGCTTGCCTCAGATGCTGTCTTGCTATCAGGAACGTACGTCGGCATGTCTGTCGTTTTTATCCTTCAAACGGCGAGCTGGATTTTTTGCGTGCACAACAAACGGTGCCAAGATAGGAGGATGGCATCTTTGGAGTATAACTGCCTAGCTGCATTGCTTGCTGTGGGGTCGCCTAAATAATCGTATATCATTCACCTAGGGGTACGGAGTACAACACTGCAAGTTGTAGATGAGACGAGATAAATCCCTTCGCACCTATATAGATCGAACGATCAACATGACCATCTCAAGTGCGCAGACTCCCGAAACTCTCTACGGTATAGTGCAATCTGCCTACAGGGAGTATGTTCTATGTATACATGTCTCTCGTGCATATGTATCCCAATCCCTATTTGGACAATAAGGAAAGCATCCACCTGCGGCTTTACCCGCCACATCTCTCCACGAACCAAAGGAGCCTCTTTTCATACAATGTCTATTCTTTTTCCCCCTCGCCCCCCTTTATTCCGTTCAAAGGACGAAAGTCGTCGAGTGCAACGACCTGCTGTATCCCTAGGGGTTTTTTGTACGCGCTGTCGTCAACGCTTACCAACTGCCGCTTTTTCCCTTAACCGGTCCGGTGTCCCGTATCGGACGTACAACAACTGTAGGGCAGTAGCTACTGCCTTATCTATCGGATTAAACGATGAGCCTGAGCGTATTACACGGGGCCGAAACGCTGCCGCCCGTGCCCAGCCAGCCGCTGCGGGTTTAGAGAGGGACCGCCACCCTGATGACCCAGTAGCTTGGATGCCTAGATCCGGTATGGAGGGTGTTGCAGCATACGGCCTTGGCCCGAAAACGGTTGTTTGTGAGTAATGTGGTGCTTTCCACTGGATCAATGAGCGTTTACAGGTATATTGTAAGTGAAGGTAGGTACGCCTGATCAAGGTGGTCATAATGAAGGTACTGAAGAGAGCGAGTAATGACTGGTATTGGTAAGAGACTTCAACCTGGCCCTCGCAAAGGAAGGGGGCGAGGGCCACTGCTTATATACATGACAGAGTGCAGGGTGGGCCATGACAAAGGAGTAAGGTTTTGGCCCGCTCGGTACGCGTATGAGTTGGTTGTATGTGTGGGTGTGGGTTGGGGTTCTTTCCTTATACTCTACCATACGCCGTAACTCGGCTAACGTCATGTTTTTCGGGATAAAAGTGTCCCGCATAACCTGGGCAATACCAGCCGGAAGCTTATACTGGCTGGCTCCAGGTGCAGACTGGGGCATGATACCTTGTATGCGGCTGATCTCGGCGAGGTATTGCGGGTGCGTTTGACTCGTTACGGCCGTACCCTCATCCTCTAGAACGCCATCCATGGCATCGTTACGGCTGGGGGTGCCCATCTGCGTACGGCCGAAACGCTTGCTGGTGCTGCGGCGTTTCCAGGGAGGTGTCAGGCCCGGAACGGCCTGGAATCCGCTTTGCGTATTCGGCGAGATGCTCGGAAGGTTGGCTTGTACTTCTACGCGCCTTGCACGAGGGGTGCTGGGAACTTCCGGGCTCTGCTGCTGGGTGTGCCTCGCGTGGAACGTGCAACGGCTGCCGTCTGAATTATAGTGACAGCCGCCGCAGGAACCCTTCCCGAAACGGCCGTGTATCACGCACGTAGTGAAGGGACCGCTGCCGTCAGAGCAGGACTGGCAGGGCGGGTTGCGGACCGTGCCCGTCATGGTGATCAGAACGGCCTCAACGTTCGTGGCGCGGCCCCAGCCGATTTCCTTTCCGTCCCGGAGCACGGCTTTACGGACCATCTATCACCTGTTAGTTACTATCTCTTAAGCCGTTATACGCTCGGGTTTGACTTACGGCGCTCATCCAGCATGATTTTTATGGCCGCAGATTGCTTCAGGCCGCCCATATTACTAAAGACGTCGGCTACCGACAGTCCCGTATTTACATCCATAGCGGGGGTTTCGGCCGCGGGCCTGCCAATCATATCCGCAGGGTGACCCTCCGGAGAGCTGAAGCTGGGGACTTCGGCCATTTTCTCATGCGCGCGCGTTAGCAGTGTCACGAAAATTACGCGCCCGATAGAATGAAACATACGCGATTGAATTCTGGTGCTCGCGAAGCCGTAGCGGGCCGGCGCGGCCGGTAAAGTGTGTGCAAAGATGTGGTGCGCTCCTGGAAAATTGTCTTGTGTTGAAAGGTTATGTTGCCCCGCTAGGCCCAAAATATAAGCCTTACGCCCTCGCTTCGCTCGGGCGTCTGAGCATAGCGAGGCACCCCCTAGTTGGTATACCTATGTCATAGCAGCCTTTCTATCGCATCTCTGTCACGGTCGAAAGAGTATCTAGGTGGGTGCTTCAAGAGACAACACAACATAATTGATCAGTTCATCCGTTCCAGGGGCATCCGGGATCTGGGTATATGCCGCCACGTTTCGAACCTGGATGGAGGACTTCGTAACCAAGCCTGGATTCAAAGCTACAAAAAGGAAGAAGGACAGAGCAGGAAAAGGATATGGGAGCGCAGACTACAGCTTAAATATCTATATGGGGGCGCCCAGAACTCGGATCCGCGTGAATAATTCTACAAACTCCATCTTGGCCAAGATTAATCCTGCTCTGGGGTATAGTCTCCGTCCTGGTCGCTGAGCTGCTTCTCAACTTCTTCCTCGGTTGCCTTGAATCGTTTCCCGTCTGAGGATCTGAGTTTCTCTGGCGACGGGTAGACCGGCTCCGGCTTGAACATCTTCTACATGCTTCTACTTTCGAGAGCCTCGTCTGACCCCCGCCTCCGCTTCCGTATCTGATCACAAGCCTCGCTCTCCTATACCAACTTATACAATTAAGTAAAAGAGATGGTAATTACCCCTTCGACTTTTCGGATCTCGGAGTAATCAAGCTTATTACTGAAATCCTGCAGCCAAATCCGGAGGTTCTTTTTGCCATTGACCAAATCCCCATCTACATTCCGAAAGGTACCCTTAAAGGTCTCTTGTATTATAAGGGTCGTTTTTCCGTTCTCCTTGGTCTTGTTTAGTCGCCATAACATAACTCTTGCTTCCTTTCCCTAGTACGCAAGGTCGATCCCGATAACAGCCTGGGTCAACCCATTTGAACCTTGGACGTAGTTATATATGAGGAATAGTAGATCTTGGCGTTTTTACGAATGTAAGACCTCCAGGATAACACCACACTCTATGGCACCTTTATATGTAAACGACCTGTCTGGGCAATGGGAGCTACCATCCCTCTCAATCTTGGGACTTCCTCTTGCGCGGGTGCCCCGAGCGAAATCGGCAGCGACTTAGTCGTTACTCTACTCGATCATCCATAGTTGTCGTGCAACTAAGTTTTCGAATCCTCTGATAACGTCTTCGTGGACAATGCCCGCCATACGTAGGACGAACTTGTCGAGCTGAGGGAAGTAGTCGTACCTAATCAAAGGTTACCCACCGCAACGCTGAATAAGGGACAACTGGGTAAAGAGAGACAGAGGGACAGGCTAGCTACTTTGGCCAGCAGTAATCCCCTTCGGCTTCAAAACGCGCCTCAAAAGCCTTGAGCTCGTCGCGGCTGAGGCTGATGCACTACCGCTCCTCTTCGACCTCGACTCGGCCACAGATGCGATTGCGAATTTCGGCGATAATCTTATCGACGCCCGAGACCGGCAAGCCCACAGACGGTCTGGTGGAGGCGGGAGATACTGTCTCTGGGGGCGTTGGGAGCGTTACCGGGATAGATATCCGATTGAGCCCGGCGATTATTCTCTTGTTAGCCATGTGGGTGGATGGCTTTGGTGATGAAGATTGCATGTGCGTGTGTATCTAGGGCGACTGCAAGGAGCAGGGCTCGCTTGCTTGTTGACGACGGAAGGAACAAGTGTTGTAGGGTGATTGCGATAAGTAGTTCGCTTACTTGTTAATGAAGGAAGGTTCTTAATAAAGGAAGGTTGTTAACGAAGGGGGGAATAGGTGTTGTAGGGCGATTGCTTGTTGACGACGGACCCCGCCAAAAATGTAGTGTTTTGGGGTGCCGGCCCAAGCTGCCAAGAACGGAGCGATACAGACCAACAATTAAATAGGGCCAAAGATCACAAGTGCGGCCGCCGCGTTGCACGCCCCCAACCTGCTATGTCCCGACCTAGATACAGTCCAGCCCCCTCGCCCTCGGGAGCCGTAACAACGACAACGACGATCGTTGAAAAAAAGCCCGACAAAGCTTATACATTACAAAAAAAAGATAAGACAAGATAGAACAAACCCCTCTCGCCTCCCAGCAAATCAGAAAATCCCCTTCGCCCTGCCCGGGAAGGTGGAAGATGTAAAAAGAATGAACACCCCTGGAAAAAAGAAATCAAGCCTTGACGCCCCTAGCGCTGACCTCGCCCTTCTCGCCAATGTTAAGGAGGATGCGGCAGTCGGGACAGTACCACTTTGTGGTGCGGGCGGGTATCTCTGCGAGCGAGACGCATTCGAGATGGAACCACTCTTGCTTGCAGTTCTGCGGCGGAGCAAAAGGGGAGGAGGCCTTGTTAGCCGGGCTTCGCACAGTAGTAGTGGTGTCGGTGGCGGCAGCAGCAGCAGTTGTGCCGCCGCACCTTCTCCGCCGCTTCTTATGGGAGATGGTTTTACTCACATCGACATTGTCGCATTGGACCATGGTGCCGAAGCTGACCCGGTTGCAGAGGCAGTATCTCGGCTCGTCCGGGTCAATCACGTTCCCCTCGTCGTCGACCTCGACCTCGAAAACGTCGCCCCCGCCGGCCGCGTCGGCTGCCCCGCCGGCCCCGCCCTTGTCCTTGCTGTTGCTGCCGCCGGCGCCCAGGGCTGGCCGGCCTCGCTTCTTCTTTGGCGCTGCCTTGCGAGTGCCCACCGCGCTGTTACCCCCGCTGTTGGTGCGGCTAATGACACCCGGTGCTGGCCGCTTAGGCCCTCGTTCCGGCATTGCCCGTTCTGCCCGCCTGCTGCTGGGCCGCGTTGTCGTCGTGGTCGTGATCGGCTGTTCTAGCCGTTCTGGTGCAGGCGTGTTCCGTGCGGTACTAGTGCGCCGGGGTCGGTCTGCTGCCAGAGACGGCTGCGGTTCTTGACTGCCAGCCTTGCCTCTGGATCCAGGACGCCGTGTTGTCGTCACCACCGCCACAGCAGTAGCAGTGGAAGCGGCACCGTTTGTACTGGCACCAGGGGCCGGGGTCAATAACGCTGCCGGTGGTGCTGTCGGCTGGGTATCTGGGTCTGGCTTGGGAGTAAGTGGGGCCGGGCTCGTTGCCCGAGAGGGTGACTTGAGCGTTAGCGGGGCCAGCGTCTCCTTTTGGAGCTCTTTCTGGTTCTCGTGCATGCGGGCTGCCTGTGTCTTCCGAGTTTCTCTCACGGGTGGCAGGATTGGTGTCGTGGACTTTTTCGGTGAGTGAATAGGGGGAGGGATCGGAGTCTCGGTAGGGGCCAGTTTAACAGGGGCCAATGCCGCTGATGTACTCGAAGGACCCGCGTTATGGCTTGGAGTCGGGGACGCCGCCGAGACTACTGACGCACCCGACTTTGCTGTGATAGACTGGTCCTGGCCGTGCACCGGTAGGGGAATGGGAGTAGTCGAATGAAGAACTGCTGCAGGGCCTGGAGCACGCTGGGGAACCTGAACCGGCGTCTCCTGGGCCATTTGCCCGGGGTTGGAGAGCTGGGGTGGAGGGACCGGTGTCTCTGTCTTTGTGCGCTTAAATTGCGGTCTCTGAGCCTGACCCTCGGGCAGTTCTGGCTTTTCAGCGTCGGCCTCTGCAACTGAGTCCCTCTTCCGTTTCTTGGGGGGTCTCGGCTTGTTCGCTGCCTTGCTCGGCTGTTCCTGCGCCATGGGCTGAGGCGCATCGGACATGAGGGTTCGAGCAATGGCGTCGAACCTCCTTGCCGACTCCTCAGCTTCCTCGGCAGCCATCTTCGCGAGTAACTCTCGCTTGAGCTTCTTAGCCTCATTCAGCTTCATGCCGCGGTTGCTAAAGTTTTTGTCGTCCGAGGCCAAAGCCTCCATGGTCAAGGCTCCCAGGGGCATTCGTTCTTCTCCCGTGTCCGGGTCAACGATAGGTGCCGGCATTTGCCCATCAAAGGGCTTTCCTTCCTCCTCAGCCTTCTGCTTTGCCGCCTTAAAATGATCAACGCCCCGGCCAAGATCGTTGAGCTCGCGTGCCACCATAGTGTCGCTCGGAGTCCAGGCGGCGTTCTTCTTCATCCGCTTCCTCAGTCTCGCCAGCTCAAAAGGTGTGAGCTGGCCCCATGGTGCATCAGAGCTACCGATGACAGCATTCTCGGGCGGCGGAGCCAGCTGGGCCAGTGCCGCGCTTGTGGACACGCCTATGTAGTTAGAGGGCGGAACAGAAGGTCGGAATTTTGGAGCTCTATTCGACTTGGGCGGCTTTGCGATGGCCTTCATGACCTTGATGCGACCCTGGGGGGCGGGCGTGAGCCGGTTCGGTATTGCCGAGTCATCATCGTCGTTCGACTCTTCCTCGGAGCTGCTCTCGCTCTCACTCGAGAAAGCATCGTAGTTCAGCTCATAGGGGGCCAGAACCTCGCCCGGGACCGTTATTCGGGGGACTCGTGGCCTCCGGACCTTGTGGCCGTCAAGGCGCAGGGTGATCTTCTGCGGTCGCGCGAGCTGGGGAGACTTGGACGCGGCAACGGGGCTCTTGTGGTCGTCAGCGGGGTAGTTGTCACGCATCGTCTCGAGCTTCGCAAGTATGGTCTTGGCACGGTTGTAGTGGCGGTTGATGTTTTCGGCCATTCGCACCGCCTCGGCATGCGCGTAGACGCGCGAGCTGATGGCCTGCTGGAGATTCTCTGAGATCTGGGCGCGCAACTCGACAGGCCCGAGTCCATGGCGCTCGGCAGGCGGGATGGAGGGCAGCTGGCCCCAGACGGTGGTGAGGTCGTGAACACTAGCAGACGCGTTGACGTAGGTCTCGTCGAGCTTGCCGACCAGGGTTAGCGAGCGCATCATGTCGGACGGCAGGTACTCGGTGAAATCGAGGTAGTCGGTGACGGCAGCCTGGGCATCGGGGTCGGCGCGCATGGCGAGCGAGTTGAGCGAGTTGTCCATGGAGCCGACGTTTCGGATCGCCTGCTCGACCGAGGAAGCATTCTGGCGTGGAGAGAGAGCCTCGTCCGGCCCAGGGCGCTTGAGGTCTGCTGACGCCATTGTGTATTATTTTTGTGACGCAATCGTGCCTTTGGCGCAGCCTTTCGCGGCCTACGCGGCCTCTCCTTGCGGGTTGGAAGGTCTGGTGAGTTGTGTCGGGTTGACGTGTTCGGGTTGGGCTGGGCTGAGGATGGTCGGGTTAAGATTTTGGAGTTGCACCGTCGTCGACCTTTCGACTTCGGGCCTGCCTGGGACGTTGACAGTTGGCACGAAAAGCGCGACGTGCTGTCCGTACGCAATGCAATGCCTAGGCGACCATGCAGGTTCGTAGCTATGGGCGCCAGTCGGAATCGGAGTGGGTGTGCGAGGGTAGAGGCAGGTTGTATAGGTGTGGGTGGAGAAGCGGCAGCGACAGCGACGTGCGTCGTTGAATGCGATTGCGGGTTTCGCTTCGACGCGTGAGGCCCGAGAAATCTACCTCCAGCGATGAAGCTCAGTGATAGATAGAGCGCGGCGCAGGTACAGTACAACTCCACTGACTGCCTTTCGCAGCGGAAGGTGCCGCGCCACTAGCAGCTGGCGCCCCCACATTTGGGGTTAGCGGGGCTATGTTGATAGCCATAAGTGGGTCCGTCTGCCGCTAGCGACGGTTTGGGTTACAACTTGCGACCTGCTTCTCCGTGCCATATCAACTACGTTAGGGAAGGTCGGTGGTTTTTTTAATATTTGAACATCAATGCAATACTCTATCGTTAATGAATGAGCATGACATCATATTTTAGGACTCTCCAGGTGTTTCAATTATTTACTGTCCTGATCTTTTTGTTCACACCAGGCGCCTAGGTAGGTAAGGTATTTACGGCGTAAATTCCCCTTACCTTACTTTCTATAACCTTCTGTCCTCGAGATTTCTAGGACTCTCGTTGAGAAACCGCAGTCGTATCTGTAAGTTGCAGCCTGGGTCAGGTAGTACGGGTCGAGCAAGGTGGACACGGGAGACATGGACATGACTCTCGCCGAAAGGCTCATCCCTGGATTTGGCAGTGACCCCTGAAATGTCTTACCTATCTATAAGCTGTGCATACACCGCTCTTGACCAACCCCTGACCTTGACAGACACATACACAATTCCACCTTCACTCACCTAGGTGACCATCAATCGAAATTTTCGGCAACTTCGGTTTCCTAATTCTAACGGGAAGGGGTGGGGGATAGTCCAAAGTCTCTCAAAACAAACATTTCACAAAACCCAAACTCGATTGGCTGCGAGGCACCCGGGAACTTTGTTATAGGCAGGAATACGATCATCCCATTGACTATCTGCATGCTTCCCCTGCGGAAGAGAGCAGAATAGTTCGTAATATCATCGTCCATCCCTGAGTAGCTAGGTACCTATCCCCCGCCAAAACCCCCTAAGAAAAGAAAAGGAAAGAAAACCCAGCACTGCAGCGTGAGCCGCATCTATGACATCCACTGGACTCTGCTTTGGTGGTGTACAGTTACAAGAATGAAGGAGAGTAAGAAACGAAGTCGAAGAGAGAAGAACAACTGCCAAAACTGTGATCAAGGCATGTAGAGAGAGAGGGAGAGGGGAAGAAAAAGAAGAAAAAAAGGCATCCCAACAGCCCAGATGAAGGAGAGTTAAGAAGAGAAGGAGAAGCCAAGAGAGAGAAAAAAAATGCAATCCCAGAAAGCCGAGTTTCATGCACAAAAACGCCAGTAAGCCACGCGTGGTGACATCAAACCCTCCTTAACAAAAAGACTGGGGGAAAAAACAAGTCAAGGGCAAAAAAGAAAAGAAGAAAGTAGGGAAGAAAAAAAACCAGAAAAAAAAACAAAAAGACACTAGCGGCAAGGGCCTTCGCGTGGGGGGAGTCTATATCAGAGCGAGTGTTAAAGGCCCAAAGACTTCCTAGCCCTCGTAGTTGGTTCTCTGCACCAACTTAGCTCCGTGGATGATTTCCGTTTCCTCGATCTCGTACCACGAGTGGTCGCCCACCGTTGTCAGGGATGCGTAGGCCGTCAGGGACTTGCATTTTCTGTGCGGGGTTTGTCGTTAGAATGACAGAGACAAAAAGTAAACTGGCGGGGTTTGGATCTCAAACTTACAGATACCCGTTGATTGTGAGCGCTCCCCAGACTTCGATCTCGCCCTGTACCTCCAGGGTCCCTTCCACCTTCAGCTTGCCAAAGATCTTGACCTTGTCTCTGTGGTTGACTGTCAGTTCGCTGCATATTCATCACAGTGATATTTGTGAGACGGTTCGCCGATGAGACTTACGCGCAAAGTGCACTCCCCTTGATCTTGACGTTTCCAAACGACTTGAGCTTGCCGCTATTGTGGAACCATGTCAGCCAAAGCTCAACTTGCTTGTGTGTATGAGGGCTACTGAGGGGGCCCTTACCTGCACGTCATGTTCCCGTTGAGATCAATATTTCCGTAGGCCTCGATCCTGTCCCGCACGACAAAGTCGCCGAACAGAGTGACGGCGCCCATGGACTTGACCGAGCCGTCGACCTCCATGGGCCCCCGCAGGTCGACTGACGAGTCCGACTTGATGCTCTTCTTCTTCTTGATGGCGACCTGCTGCTGGCCCATCGACGAGCCCCCGGCCATAGCCGACGGGTCGTAGCCTCCCGCCGGCTCGTCGAACGTCATGACATGCTCATAGGCGTACATGGTAGTAGTGTCTTCTTCAGCGGTAGTTGTTGCTACAGATGGCAAGGGCGATGAGGGTGAAGGGGCAGTGGATGAGGACGAAGAAGGTGTTGAGACGGCAGGATGCTTGCCCTTTTTCATAGTCGACGAGGTGGTGCCTTTGTACGACTTGGTGATGCAGGAAAACTTCAGCGGCATCGCCGTTTTCATGCTGATGCTCACTAGACTGGTGAGGCTAAGGTGAGTCGGATACGCCGTGGAGGAGGACTTCGGGAAGCTATATAGAAAGGGGAAACCTCGAGGAGATACATCGAGGAGCGGGTATAGGTAGTAGCAGAGAGACGGGGAGCCAAGAAGGTAGGCAGGCAAGTAGGTACGGTAGGTAGTAGGAAAGGTAGGTAGGTAGGAAGGTAGAGGTGTTGACATCCCGAAGCTAGGACCCGTCGACGCCAGGGACCAAGTTCTGGTGCCCCGTCCGTCTGCCTGCCCTGTAGCGAGGTCCTGACGGACTGGCTCTCCGAACTAGAGCTCCACATGGTGTGTGTGAGTCTTTAATTGCTCGTCTGCTTGACCCGTCGTCCTGGAAAGTAGTACTATTGCTTTGGAATGACGGCATGGGCACGATCACGCGCGTTACAGCCCGGCCTTGTATTGAAACGACATGTAACCGTCGCTATGCACCCCCTCGACAGGCCCACCGAGCAGAGGAAGGGGATATCCCAGCTTTGGGGTTTGGCCTGACAAAGAAGACCAACACCGAGGCAGCAACAGGGGTGACATCTAGGAGAGTAGCGCGGCTCTAGGCTCTTCGGCTTTGCTTGAGACACTTGCTCATTGGCCTGTCCGACGCCAGCAAGGCGCAGTTGGGGTATTACTGGTTGCTTGGCCTGGCTATTTATTTCCCCTTTGAAGCGCGCAACTCGGCTGTTGTAGCCGTTGAGCAGCAACAGCAGCCGAAGCGAAGCCGACGGAGCCCTATACCTAGCCCTACCTAGGTGCATACATAGTGTAAGCTCGCTCGAGCTAGGGCTTCGGTCGCTTGGGCTTGGGGGCAATTGCTCGATTGGGGGGGAGGCCGCCAGCAGGTGGTGCATCTCCGTTCGGTACATGGAGTACTGCCATTGCCCAACTGTCTGTTAACGCCCCGGATAGGTGCGAAATGAAGGCGCCGAATATTGGCCTTCGATTCGCCCAAGCTGTCGGGAGCTGCCACTAAAAACGAGGGGCGCAGCAGGGCTGAAGTTGCTTTTGTCTAGTAGTCGCGCCTAACAAGAACTGTTTGCTGTCCCCCTCCACCGACTTTCCCCTCGCGACCTTTGCTCCATCGGAAAACGGGGGGATTTCTCACTTATGCACCCGGAACGCCTTGCCTTGCCCGTTGAGGCAATTCAGCTGAGGCTTGGCGGGAAAAACTCTTACCTGGTCTCTGGGCGCCGCACCTCACCCCCCATGCATCATCGCCCTAGGGACACACATGCGGGCACTACACCCATGTCGACTGTCAATGCAAGCAAGGAATGGAAGGCTTCGAATTCGATGATGCTGCTGCTGCTGCTGCTGCCCTTGGCGCGTTCCACGACAGGTTGGCTGCACAACGTCGACGAGCGACGACCTCTCCGCACCACTCATACCACTCAATACTGGGCGGAAACACTGCAGAAGGTTTCGGAGAAGATGCCTGCAATCGTAGTCACGGATGCCGGACCCCGGCAGCCTGCCGCCCGGACAAGTCCTAGAACATTCTGAATTCTCCCATCTTGCAGCCTAGCGCAAATCTCGACTGGAATCCAACCCATTTGTCGGTGCCTTCCCCGATGTCAATAGGGACGTCATAGCATCCCGGATCCCGTGACGCACCCCAGAGAAGACGCGCAAGTCCCACGACTCATACGGTTGCTACATATTTCATCGCGAGTCCAGTCACAAGGGTAGCCATGACCCAGGCGCTGGCGTACACAACGGCGCCGTATGATTCCACGCCGTTGATTGTTAGGGCACATTGTAGGTACGTGCCGACTCCCGTGAAGAGCATGGCCACAGCCGTCCGCGAGATCGACACCTTGGTCCGGCTTGTGAAGCCCCACAAATTCCACGCGACCGTTTCCCCGAGCGTGGCACGAACAGGATCGAACTCTGCATTCTCTTGGTCTTGCGCCGTCGGGGGCGTCGTCACGGTAGGCGTGAAGATAAAAGACCGCGCAGCTACCCCGAACAACATGGTAGCCGCTTGTGTGAGCGGGCTGCCAACGAAGAACATTCCGGCCTCCGCCGCGGGTATGATGGTGGGGATGTCATCGAAGTAGAGCACCAGGGCGGTCGGGAGATAGGCCCGAGATGCCAGGAACAGAATTACGGTGTACGTGAGGCCCGAAAGCAGTCCGGTGAGCACCTGGATGCCTCTATCGACAACAATCTCCCGGTTTGGGACGCCAGGTGCGGCTGAGTGGGCTCCTGAAATCTGGCGCAAGAGCAGGAACGGTAAGAACGTTGATACAACGTCAAGGCCAAGGTAGGCGGCGGCGGTCAAGGCACGAATCCCGTAGAAGGCCGAGGTGAGATGGGCCTGCCACGCGAGTCAGAGTCAGTAGTTGCTTAGATAGGTGGTGTGATAGGTGAGAGGCGATAGTGCATCGGGTTGGGTATGTAAGGCTGCGCCGAGGGTTGCCATGTGGTAGAGTGGTCATGGCCATGGCCATGGTGGAGGTGGTTAGTGGGTTGTGTCACGGTGTGGTGGAATCATTCCCCCGGACCGTTCGGCGGCCACGGCTCACGGGAAGGAACCCAACTTACTGCAGGGCCATGCGAGAGCAGGGCGAGAGCTGCAAGATCGACGGCGTCAAAGTCGCCGAGCCAGCCAAGAGCAAGCGCGAGTCTGCCATACCAGCCGCGTTAGTCAGGCCGAGCTGAGTCCCAGCCTCATTCAGCCCTAAGCCGGAAAGGAGGGCGAGCAAGGCCCAGGTGCCACTTAAGGTGGATGGGGTGTGCTCCGTCGCGCGGAAGTGGAGCGAGGCCGGGGAAATAGTAAGAGGTATCACAACTTACAAACGCCAGCCAGCCAGGACGGCAATCTCGGTAGTGGTGGGTGCGGGCTGTCTCGCAATGCTGTCCACCTCGCCCGCCGTCATTTGGTGCAAAAACGCCTGCCCCAGCGCGGCTATTGAAAAGCTTAGCACCACCACCAAGGCAAACCGCAGCGCCTCTGGCAGCTTCGCGCGTCTCGCGGGCCTATGGCGTGGCTCGAGCGCGCCGCCCCCGCGTGGACGAGCTGCAACTGCTGCAAGTGATGGCGGCGATGCGGCTGCTGGCCCGTCGACAGCTTCCGCCGCCGGCGCCATTTCGCCCGCCTTTGCTCGGCCCATTCGGGATTGTTTTAGTGTTGATGTGGTGGGAGGGGAAGGGACGGCACGGGTCAATCAGAGTCGACGACCCAAACGCACTCAGTCTCGTTGCCCGAAGCTAAGAAGGCAGCCCTACAATGTAACCCTGGCTGCGCCCAGAGATCGTTGAGATATCGAAGGATAAAACCTAAAGAAGACGCCTTCGTCGCTTCCGACTCCGATCATGAAACCGTCTCGAGGTTAGTGGCGGGCGCTGGCAAGAGATTTGAAATCGGACGATGAAGATAAGCCGGGGTGACGATGCCACTGCCCTGGCTGAGATGGAGAGTATGATTATTTGACTGACAGCTGGGGTTTCGGCGGGGGAGGAGTGGACGGTAAGGCGTTTCTGGGTTTGGTTGGCCGACCTTAACCCGCATCTGTGGGTCGGTGACGTCTGTTTGTTCGACCTTACAATTTTACAAGGAAACACGCGACCTTTCAACGCTGTGTGCTAACAAACCTCCCCTGCCCCGCGCCTTCCTCGAGCTCCGACGGCCAGGCGACCAGTCACAAGCCAACTCGCCTTGTTGGTCTGGTCTCGCTGCCCAAAACCAAACCTACCTTCTTACCTCCGAGAACCACGCGCGAATATTTGTCAACAACGAAGTGTCGGGGTGCCAAAATGGTATCGAAAAAGCACCACCAACACCTGCCTAGCGCCCGCGACAACGCCGAGCACCGAGCATCGGCATGATCATGATATTGAGCAATAGGGCGGGGCATCATCAGCCGCCCTTTGACATGGACTCCATCTGACATCGCCGGCGTCAACGGGGAAAGCAGGAGCCCCATTTACTACAGTCGAGAGTGGAGCTCTGGTCTCCATCCCACCCAGATGCTGAGCAGCACCTACCTCGGTTTTCATCTCGATCCCGCTCCAAATTAGGAAGGGAGCAGAGGGACATCCCGCCCCTGCCATTCTGGAGCGACTGGCAGCATTTGCTTGGAGTTGCGTTAGTCAGTCAGTCGATCTGCCCATCCTCGTCTTCTCTTCTGCGTCTATTCTCTCGCTTTTTCACACTCTCTGCACCTTCAACTATTGCCTAACATGACACACAAGACACACATTCCCGCGCAGACACGCAGCCGTGCAGGTGTACACGCAGACATGCACGCGAATCCAAGCTGCAAGTTTGGTCTGTTTTTTCCTTTTTTTTCTTTCATTGGCTTTAGTTCCATACAGAACAAAAGGAGTGTCCAGACCAGTGATATGTACAATCTCTCGCCTCATGAGATCCTGCCGCTTGCTAATAATATTTTGAGGCATTCGCTCAACGCTCGCACACAACCCTCACTTTAACCTCGTGAAGCTGACTGGGTTCTTCCGCAGTAAACAGCAGAATGAACCCGGTACTCTCCACTCTTCGGTGCTAAGGGCCGTTGGCGGAGCGAAGACCTCACTTACATGGTTTAGTATAGGTGCACAAAAGAAACAACGCCCCTCGTCAACTCATAAATCTTGGTCATCATGGCTTCGGTGTGGTCTTGTTGGAAGGAGCCAAGCCCGCCAAGATTTCATTCCTCCATGCGCCCAAAGACACCGTCGTCGTCGTCGTCGCTTCGCGCACGAGACCGCATGTAGTCGTCGTCGTCGTCCATAACACTCTCGCCGCTTTCCTCCATCCTGACGTCGTCCTTGCGCACCTCGCCACGCGTGAAGCTCTCCGGAGCCTGGCTCGGGAAGCTGTTGATGAAGCTCGTGCCCGTCAAGATGGCTTGATCGAGGTACTGCGCAGGAAGAGGCGGCACGGGAGGTGCATCAGCTGGGAGATGCACAGTCCGGGAGCCAGCATTGCTCCCAAAACTGCAGCTGAGGAGTTCAACGGCGGCGGCCAGATCCTGATCGTCCTGTCCAGTGGCATTCTTCCCCGACGATGTGGGCCTTTGGTCTTGGCTGAGCTGTCGAAAGTGACCAAAGCCAGAGCCATTGGGAATGCTGCCGCTAACAGACCCTGCATACGGCGCAGACTGGTAAGACCGCGAAAATCCGCTACCGTTGCTGTGCCGCTTAGAAAAATTTCTGAAAGATGCGTTGGGAACACCAAACAAATCCGACTGGGGAGGCGGGGTTGTATCAGCCGAACTGCGATCCTGGTTTTCCGAGTAACCAGATGCTGCGGGAGACGCGGAATCCTGGTCGCTGTGGAAATCCCCGGTCGAATCCGGAGGCGTAGTGCTGGTTGTAGTGTTCATGGCTACCAAGACAGAGGCCGCCTCCAGAAGCTGCACTTGCTGGTGCTTCGAAATCAGGAGCTTGGAGGTGTAAGACCATTCGGGAGTATGCTCCCACCTGAGGGAAAGAAAAGTCAACACAATCGTTCCAAAGGGTACAGCTGAGCACTCCCGTGGCCGGCCCGGACCCCCCGCTCCGCAGTCAAGGACCCGTCTGGTGAGAGAGAGAGGGAAAGGAGAGTGGGCACAAACAAATGCTTGGTCAAGCAACTGCTATGCTTGTATCCCTTCCCGCACTTCTCGCAGCGAAGTTCTGGCCGGTTGCTCTTCCGGCCTTCCTTGCCGAGTGGTTGGCCATCGCTAGCTCTCCTCAAACGCGCACTCTCGAGGGTTGAATCTCCCTCGTCCCCCGACATGTCATTGAGTTCGTCATCGATAGCGCTGTCCTGCATATTGACGGCCCCATCCGCCATGACGAACTTGTGCATGGGGAGACTCGCCGGCGGGGATGGGAGGCTGCCAACAATAGCCGGTCGTGACAGGCCGTTCCTGGACATGGTGTTCCGGCGGGAGCTTCCGGTGATGGGAAGCGCCATGGCCTTGTCGCCTGCTTCGGTGAGGGCTGCAGCAACAGCTGCAACATTGGTACCCGAGCTTGTCATGCTCTTGCGACGGGTGACGCGGTGGGTGCCATTGAGAGACCCGGCGGCGACGGAATACGAGTTAGTGCGTGAGTGCGATTGTCGCCCGACGGACAAGCCGCCTAGTATAGAATTGGAAGACATGGACGGCCGGTGGGTGAGCGGCCGCGAGGCTTGTTGCATTTCCTGAGAGAGTAGAGAAGGCGATCAGCCTGCTTGGTTCATGCAACGGAAGAGCGAACTGGGAGGCATTGGGTCTGGTGCGAGATGTCTATCTACCTTGGACGAGGCCATTGCCAAAGCGATGCAGAAATTGGCCTGCTGCACGACTCCCGCAAATCGCTCGGTGCGTCGACACGGTGATTACGAGAGCAGCAGGCAGCGGAGACTTCTAATCAAAAGTTTGTGGTGTCGAAAGAGTCTCGAGTGGGTGAAGTGGGATACGGAGGAGGCAGTCGAGCGAGAGGTGGGAACCGCGGGGGGGTTAACAATAATTTGGACCCAGCAAGGGTTGGGTTGGTTGGCGACAGCTTATGAGAACACACGAGGCCCCCCCCAAAAAAAAAGCCACTCGCACTTTGGAAAAACGTGGACGATGGGCTAGCCAGTGGTAGCAGGGCAAACAATGCAGAGGGAGGATGAGTGGCTGTGCCGGCCGTCAAGGGAGTGAATGAGTATCAAGGAGAACACGGGGTAGGTAACGGGATCAAGTTGGAAATGGGAGAGAAAGACGAGAACGTGTGGGAAGGGGCCAGGACAAGAGAGCTCGACACGTTCGCCAAAAAAAAATTTAAAAAAAAATAAGAGAGCGATTCGAGAACAGCGCCGCTGGCCGCTGGCTGTGAACCGAGCTAGTTGGTGCAGATGAATTGTGGGAAGCTAGGGGAGCACTTGCTTGCCCAGGCAAAAGGAGGAGGGAAAGCAAGCATCCAGCGCCGTACCGGGTTATTGGCCTAGACTGCGACCGCAGCGGGCGATGGGGTGGTGGGCAGGCGGGCGGTACGGCATGACAGTCAGTCATCTCCAATGTATGGAATACCTGGTCCAACAAAGGATGAAGGCGGCGCTGTAAGTACCTCGACTAGTACCCGACCTCAGGTAATCCAGGACCCGCCTCCGGCTTTGCTCCCTGGAGTCAATACTGGATTGCATGTGTACCCTTTCCATTTCCACTGCCCGCCTTGCCCGTGCACGCACGCGCGGAAAATGTATGGATGTGCTGCGCTCTCAAATTGTAAGGAACGGAAGGTACATGTACCTGACACCACCCGAATGCAGCGGCAGGCGTGTGCCGACGGGGCGCTTCAGTGGCCTTCCAGAGAAGCAGCCCTGGCGTGGCATTTTTGTCTGCACTGTGGGAGAACAACTCGAACGAACAAGCCGCCGGGCGTCCCTCCCAGCTTATGGCGCCATCCGCTCGCTGCAGATGCAGCAGGCATTGTAATGTATGTATGTACATACATGTCGGTGGGTAGTATGTTAACCTGTGGAGCTGGAAGCTTCCCCTGTCCGGCCTCCTCCAGATAGGCAATTTGCTATACTGAGTATGTACATTCACTCGTCACTTTTCAGACGCAGCAGCAATTGAATTGAAATGCAGAAGCAGAATTCCCAGGAGTCTAGCCTGCTGGTTGGTTGGTTGGTTGGCTGGCCTCTCTCTACGGATACCTCCACGTCTGCTACAATGGGGAGGGAGAGAGAGAGAGAGAGATTCCATGGCTAGCGGTGCCAAGCTCGTTGTTGGGACGTTTGGTTTTATAATCCAGAGAGCTGCGATGCTGCCGCCATGCTTGAAGCTGCCATGCCTGAGGTGCCATTCTCCCGTGCAGGGTTTCCCAAGATCAGATTAGGTTGATGAGCGGCTAGTTTACTCTGGGGAAGCATCTCGTAAATATTGGAAAGGGGTGCCTACCTAGCTCGGCCTTGGGATCGCCATCGACCCCATCCATCCGCAATTGCAGCCAGGGCTGGAGAGGGGACTCGGGGGGAGACGTAGGTGTAATGCTCCGTACAGTTCAGTGCACAGGTATTCTGTACGGACTATGGATAATTAGAGATAGAGGGTGTAACTTTTTTTGTTGTTCTCCTTCGCACTCACGGCCCAGACCGTGTCTCTCTCTCATTGCTCGGCCTCGCTCAGGTGAAGAAAATCAGCTAGCCTTGTGACCTTGCCGAATGCCTCACCCAAGTCAGACAAAGCAAGCACCAGACACAACGTCACGAGTTTCGAACTCTTTTCGGCCGACAAACGTAAGCCCGCCGCCCGCGTCCATTGTCCAGGTCAGGCCCGCACCCACACCACCCATGGTGACTCAGCCGAGACCGCTCTTGGGAAGCCGGACCTTCCATGTCTTTCTTTCCAATTGCGCGCACCTTCGCCCTCCCCTCTCCATAAAATAATTGTTGCGGAGCCGAAACCCCCCTCCAGAAAGATCTATCTATTACTATATCCCCCCACTCCTCTCCAAAGCGCCTCGGTGGCACCCGGACATGTTATCCAAAGCTGCTTGCTTTGTTTCTCAGACAGACAGACCACTGGCGGATGCAATCACTCACTGGCATTGTGATAGATGATACCCCCCCTCGCCTGCGTTGCGCGCTATTACCCCGCCCTGTCGTGTTTCCCCATTTGGGGTTATCTCTTGCCAACTTGCTTTACCTAACTCGACGCGGAGACTGAGAGGGGGGAAAGTGAGGGGGTGGGTACGGATACGGTGCATTTCTGTTTCGCGAGGCTTCGTGGAGCCAATTGATTCATTCCATCTCCTCCGAGATTCTTTCGCCGGCAGTTGCTGAACCATCCCCACGTTGTTTGCGTTCCCCCCTCTATTTACCTATATGTATCTCTCTCTCTCTCTCTTTCTCTCTCTCAGACACACTCTCTCTCCGACATTGGTCTCCCTAGGTATGACAACAGGTGTGTAGACAGAGAAGAGAAGAAGAGGTTGCGAAAACTTCTGAAGACTGCGTTACCAAAGCTGTGAAAGAGAGACAAGACTAGACCGGTTACCACGCGTCGTACCACCATAGGGAATGGAAACTCCACGTTGCTCCCTCTAGACGGGAATAAATTGCTGAATAACATTTCAATGGGTCTCCGCGTCCAATCACAGGCCGCCCACGTCTAATCGTCAACTAATCCACTGGGGGGGCTGAGACCCTGCGGGACAACTTTTTTATTTTTATTTTCGAAAAAAAAAAAGTCCATTCCAGATAGCAGGCTCTCCTCCCGCCGAGCAGGGAATTGCTCAATGACACCAACACTGGTTCCAGGTTTTTATGCCGAAGGCCTGACGGAATTGCTTAGCGGGTATTGTTTATCTACGACACAGCATTACTCCGTTCAGTTGATGAAATCAGGCTTGGCTAAGGTACATACTGTACATACATACTGTGCCTTATGTACAGTACAGTTTACGCACGGGAGGACTTAATATGGGATTGGGCCAGGCCAAACTCGAGCGCTACCTAACCCATGGCTTCGTCTTATTGGAAGGACACTGATGAACGCCAGGCCGGCTCATTTCCAGCAATCCCTTGCAAACGTCGCTGGCCGAGAGTTTTCAGCCATTCATTATCTAGCTTTGGGTTCATTTGGCCATGCTAAGTTGCGTTGTCCGCCATGGCGTGACAGCAAAGGTGCGGTCGAGCAAAGGTGGCTTCTTTGTCGTGTCGTGTTCTTTCTTCCATTATTGTCCATTCCGATGAGCACCTCCCGCCGTGCTGGGAGCAACTGGTAATCGCCTGGCCTGTTGTGGGGAACCCGCACTGTGCTTGGGGTTGACCCGCAGGCGCTAATCACACGCCCTCCCCTCGTCAAGCCCGCCTCACGGTCATGCCAGCGAGACCCATCTCGACGGGCCTATTCATGCAGCACTTCGCAGGGGGCCTAGAAACTGGGCAGCATCCAGGACCAGAACGAACGAGGCATCCTTGCATGATGAGCCCCTCATCCAGGCTCACTGAAGCTGAGAGGGTAATTTGAAACCAGCTCTCACCACTTTCTCAAGCAAGGCAATCTGTGCCACGGCATGAAAGTGCAATTGGCGATGGCATGGACGGCGGCGGGCGTCTTTTCCCATGCCGAAAGCTCGCAATTGTTGAGATCGGCTCACCCGTCCCTTGGAAATGGCCGAAACCGGTCAGCTGGACAGTCACCCGAATGAGAAGCGGGTATAGCAAATGGTGATAATGGGGGAAGAAAGATGCTCCATCACCACGACGACAAACATCGCATTGAACTTTTATGCACTGAAAGCCGCCAATCGTCTTTGGGCTGTGGCAACCGCTCTCCAAGGGGCACGCACCACTCTTCACCCGATTCGGTTCCCTTCCTTGACCCACACGCACACCACACACACACGCACGAGGAGAGGCCAAACGCTAAACATTTACACACCAGGCATCGAGGAGAAGCTTCCGCTCCGGAGAATAGCTTTGGGCCAATCGTTGAGATCACCGGATGACCCCAAATGTAAGTCGTCCTGCCGCGTGGGTTGGCATTTCCACTTGGCCCTTCTGGACAAGCCCAGACCCCACCCGCGGGTTACCGATTTCCCATTCAACCTAGACTTGGGCCCCACCTTCCGCACTCGGCCCCGTCGATCATATTGGGTCTCGGAGACGCCAGAGTGTAGATTTCCACACGCTCCAGAGCGGGCTTTAACTGAACGCCATGCCGCTACGCTCTCTCCTTGTCCCAGCCATCCACGCGGGCAGACCAAAGCCTGGCAGAGCCGGGCAAAGACCTGAACCGAACTATACTATAGTGTGTCCGTCGACGCAAGCGTGGGCACCAGGAGCCCCTATCGTCGGGGCCGCCAGTCCACAGTCGCCAGGCACCGCCGCCGCCCTGGGTATCCACTGGCAACGCGCGGCACACGCCTTTAGACCACGCTTTCGTTTCGCCTGCTGATGTGGCCGCCTTTCCGGGCCTGAGACACTGGCACGACTTGATCAATCCGCAATGGTTTGCTCAGATGGGGCTCCTAAAACAGCTCCCAACACCATCTCAAAAAAAAAGAAGAAACTTTTTTCTCCGACGGACTGACTGCGGCGCGGCGTTTCAAGCTTGGGGTGCCTGAGGCCCAATAACCTTTTTTTCCTACTACCTCTGCTATGCTCCGTACAGGACAGAATAGGTACATACAGTACATACAATCCAATCTCTGAATGTTTGTTGGCGTGGTACTTGGAAAAGAAAGAAAATAATAAATGAACTGGCTAGGAAAGGTCTTCGATAGGTATTTCTGGGGAAGGGATAGACATCTAGGGTTCCAAAATAGGAATTCAAATAGCTATTACCTCTTTCAGCGAAAAACCTTTATGGCGAATCATAAGATGCTAAGGCCATTTGGATCTTGGGAAGTACCACGCTAACAAACATTCAGGGATTGGAATGTACAGCAAACCGATGAACCGCATTTAAGCGTAGTGGTTTCGGCGTGTGTGATGGACAAGCCACGTACCCAACAGACAGATTCAAACCAGCCAGCCAGCAGAGCCAGAGAATCAGGTTCATGGCTTCAATGCCTACGGTGCCTCTGTTTCCTAACCATTCTTCTCGTACGCGGTGCCGCAGATCGCTGCTTAGGTAGTGTCATTTTGTTTACGTGGTGGAATTTTCACGACATGGACACTGGCCTTTCGTGTCTCTTTAGTTTCAAGCGGGCTGCCACTAAGAGCACGGCTTACTCACTCCATAATAGACAACTTGCATCTAAGTTAGGGCTGGCCACGAGTGTATCTCGAGATCCGCCCGCCCGCCAGCCCCTGACTAGGCAGCCGCTAGAGAAGGGACTCGTCGACCCAAGGCCATGGGCCGCTTCCTGTTCTTCGGGCGTCTGGGAGGAAGAAGACTCGAGGAACGAAAAAAGAAAAAAAAGAAAACCAGGGAGTGGGTAAAAAGGGCCATCCAATGCTCCCTTGGTCGCATGACGCCAACCGAGTGGTCTCGTGGCTTACGTATGTACCTTGTTTTCTTCGTTCACAATAGGCAAGCAGCAACACCGCCAGCTGGAATGTATACTAAGGAACTAAAAAAAAAAAAAAAAAAAGAAAGAAAGAAAGAAAAGAGGTATGACGTTGATATGGCACACGCAAGGGTGCTTACCCTGGGACTGTGTACGTCCACGAGGGTGTTCCCAACCGTGAACCACATGACCTGCCAGGATGATGGATGGGTAAAGTTTTCATCAATAAGAACGAGTTACCACAGCAGAGAGACGAAAAAACCCCCCGCAATGGAATTCCGATCTCGGTCTTCGTGCAGTACCCGCGCGCAATTAATCACGACATTTTGTTCTCTCTCTTGTTGGTCTTTTTGGAACATGCATTCGACGGTCCTTCCGATGTCTCTTTTTCCTAGCTCTCGGTGTGTCGGTTGAAGATGTTTACTCTGTACACTCAGTGTGAATGTATGTGTGTGGTGGTGTTCAATACCCGACTTGAACAGGTGATCTTCGTTATGGATATGTGTTAAGTGCATTCCGAAAGTCCCGCCTTCTTCAAAGATCCAAAACTTCGGCGGGATTGCCGGTTTCGCGCTGGCCGGTTCAAACCGTGTCTTGAAATGGAGTTCTTTCTTTTCTTTTCCTGTTATCTACGGAGCCCGGGAGCGCGGAGTATTTTCTTTTTGTTTTCTTTTCTTTTTTCTAAATCGGGCTATTCGGTTCGTCCGGGGGGGCTGGGAAAGACAGATTGGAGAGATCACCGATCGATTTTAATTAGTGTGTGAAGGATCACATCCCCTAAGCCTTTCGAGTCTGAGGGGGGGTTGGCCCTGCCCGCTCTCGCTAGCGCAGCGCCCACGGGTAGATTTGGCGCGCACTGTGCCGGTGTTCGTTGAGATCCATTCCCCTCGAGTCACTTGCCCCCCTGGCCTGCCTGATATCATCACGTCGACCCAAATTACATAGTACAATGTCCACAATTACATACGACAAGGGCAGAGAGGGGAGACAGGTTGCGTGCTTGGGCTTTGTTCAGAAGGCGCGGCATCACGGGGGGTGTTGATCTGCTCGGGCTTTTTAGCCAACCTTGGGCAAGGCTGTCTCACTCCGTACTGTACTATGTACCGAACACACTGCCTGCCTGACCTTGAAAAAAACAGGCGCATCTCACCGCACCGCATCGCCTCCCTTCCTTGGCAAGTGGAAATACGTAGGTCCTGAGAAGGGAAAAGAAAGATGACACAAAGTCCACAAAGTCTGCTGTGACTCGCTGTGACTGGCGTAAACATATGGCTAGTGTAGCAACACGTTGGAAAAACAAGGAGGGGGGAGGGCACATACGTAAACCCAACGACGGCCTCTCCGAGTTGCTGGCAATGTTGCCAAAATCGCCACAGGTCACAACTTGACTCGACAGCCATGTTTCTCCTTTTTTTTGTCACCGTGCACAAACGTTTAGCCCTCAGCCTTGTGGGCCCACAGCACATAGCACTCAATCGGCTGAACAAGAAGAAAATAAAAAGAAGGATTCATTTTCGTCCGAGCAAGAGGAGGACAGATAGATCTGTGTCAGACACCTAGCTGACCACTTCCAGGGGTGGAATGGGATGGAATGAGCGGGGGAGGATGGGTAGCAGCATCAAATCAGACTGGCGGATGGGAGCCCATTCCAAGTTTCTCGTCTCTGACAGGCCCACGGGACCTGCATCTGAATCGACCCAACCAAAAACACTTCAACCTCTCGCGTTACACAATTCGTCGTTGGATAATGCCTGCCCGAATCCTAATTTGACATACAGATACGGAATACATAGAAACGAACAAGGGCCTCTGAAACAAGCCCGGCGGTGACGTATATGTAGAGTATGTACAGACACGCAGACGGCTTAAGAAAATGTCGGATACGTAAATCATGTCTCATGTCTGGGGTAAAACTGATGACGATGGAACCCGATCACAGACAGATATTATATTGGTGGAAAGGCGTACTGTACACTACATCGCAGACACAAACGTTCCAAAGGTGAGCGAATTTTCTCACTGACGTGCCTGGCGTGACCTGACGTCCCGGAGCGAGGGGCCACCAGTGCGATCTATTTTCTATTTTCTATTTTCTATTTTCTGCACGCCTTCCACTACTCTGTCTTGGTAGAGGGGGTTTACGGTAAGAGAAGGGAAGAAAAGAGAGAGGAAAATAAAGTACCGCGGCCTTGTCTGAGGAGGGATAAACTCGCGCGCCACTAGTGTGGGTTTTTTTGGGACATGTGAGTAAGATACTGGAAAACGTTCTGTGGCTATCTCGACTGCGACCTGTTTCTACCGAGTTTGAGCCACCAACAACGTCCCCAACAAGAACAAACCACAAGTGCAAGACCCGTTATACCCGCTGGCGCAAATCAAATATTTTATTTGTTTTCGTGGTGAAAGCACGCGCTCAGATTTTTGTCTTGCTTTGACCTCTTTACTCACCCTTTTTTCCCGGCATCAATCGCGCAGTCAACTCCGACAATGTCGTCAGAAGTCTTCCGCAGAGTTGGCCGAGGAGGTGCGGGGAACTGGTACAGCCAGAAGGAGGTTAATGACGCCGAGAAAACCCTCCGTGCGGTCCGTCGACCCGATCCGTGAACCTCTGTTTTCTTTTTTTTTGTCCTGCCAATTGCACGCCAATAGAATGAGAAGGAGAGAAATAAACATTTTCCTGGCCTGGCCTGGCCTGGCTCGGGTAATGGCGGTAGCAGTGGCAGTGGCATGATGTTCCAACTGCAGTGCAATGGGTCACTTACACAAGAGTTGACATATAGGACATCGAAGCGCAAAAGAAGGCTGCCGCCGACGCCGCCGGCCAACCTGACTCAGCATCGGCAACCGCGCAGCAGTCGGTCCCCGTGTATGTGCGCGGCGGACGTGGTGGGGCGGGCAACGTTGCGCCGGCGGCGGCGGAAGCGCTACAGGAGCGGGACGAGGCCGAGAAGACGCGCGCCGTCGTGGCAGCCACCCCTAAGCCTAGGACAGGCCTGAGCGGACGCGGCGGCATGGGCAACTGGCGGGACTCGACGGCCCCCCAGCAGCAGTCGCAGCCGCAGGACCAGAAGAAGGTGGAGGACCTCGAGCTCCAGGTCCTCCAGGACGTCGAGGCCGGCCTGCCCCCGCCGCCTCGCACATACCACCAGCATGACCGCGAGATGGAGACCTGAGCGAGGCGCGCGGTGGTGCTGTCTGTGAACTGGAAGAAAAATCGACGTCGAAGGGGAAAACCGGGGGAGGCTACAATCTGTCTGTTTTGGTTTTCCGTCTATTTTTTTCTTCTATTTTTTCGTATTCCTGCAGTTGAGAGCTTGTAGTCAGATACCCAACCGACTTGCTACTGCCGTAAACGCCCGTGTGATTAGAGATATTATTCGCAACATTTCAGTTACTCTCTCTTTCTCCTGGCTACTTGGTACGTGGGATAGAAACCAAGATGATGCTGAGCTCTGTAGACACTAGTGCCTTCCAAGCTGGCTCAGTGCTAGCCTGTTGGCTTCGATGTATGGAATTTTATTAGATGAATGACTAGTGATACCTGCTCATTAATCTGCACTGTAATTTTAGCATCAGCAAAGGGAAAACCACCAGGTAGCACAGAGTCGAGCAATCTGCGATGTAATGTTGTAACATGATAATCGTTATGTACCGTAAGAGCGATACAGCACCGCCACTACCGCAGACCTGCAGTCAGCGCCCCACAATTTGCCGCTCCCGACTCGACTGGGACCGACCTCCGGCCGGGCAGCCGGCCCAGGCCCAAAAATCCACCCCCAACTTTTAGTCCCGTAATAATTTTTACGACGAACATCGACACATCCACCATCACACACATCTACATCTCGACGCACACAGCCACCACCACCACCACTACTATCTGCACCTGCGATACACGCATCTCCGCGACCTTCTAGAAGGAAAAAAGGCACACCCGCCTACATACAACCCCCCAACACACCCGCCGGAACACAAGCGCAAGCGCAACCGAATCGAACCCAACCGAGCCCACCGCAGCAGTATCAGCAGCGGCCGCATCAGCAACGAGCTTCTAGAAGACAGTCTTGCAACAGCCCGAAGCAGAAAAAACACCCCACAGGGCTGATCTTTTTGTGACAACATGGCCTCCGTACTAGCAGTCGGCGCCGGCGTCGCCGTAGCTGCCTTCCTAGTACGTTCGTTCGTTTTCCGGGGTTTGGCCGTCCCGGCGCCACCCCCCCCCCCCCCTTCAACGTCTTCGGAGTGGAAAAAAGAAAAATAAAAATAGATTTTCCACGTCCGTAACGGAAGCTACAGATCCCGAGGGCAGGGCATGGCAGGGCAATGAATAGCAAGGCGCAAGTGGCGAAAAAGCACACACACACACGGACAAGTCACGGGACAGAAACCTGTTGGCTAACACAACATTCGCGTCAACCACAGGGTCGAGCAGGAGTTGTCGCATGGCGGCGGTCGCGGGGTGGTGTGGGCGCGCTAGGCAAGGCCTTCTACAAGGGCGGGTTCGAGCCGCGCATGAACCGGCGCGAGGCGGCGCTGATCCTGTCGCTCAAGTCAGTTCTCTCTTTGTTTCTTTTCTCTATCTCTTCAGTCTGTCGACCTGGAGGAAGGTGATACATCACACTACTGACACTGACACACCCGCAAAACACAGGGAGCAAAGCGTCACCAAGGACAAGATTCGCAAGGCGCATCGCACGCTGATGCTGCTCAACCACCCGGACCGAGGCGGCAGCCCGTACCTCGCGACCAAAGTCAACGAGGCTAAGGAGTTCCTAGAGAAGAACGGCCAATAATAATAAACTCTTAGCCTGCCCTCTTCCTCGAGGGTGTGGCGGTTGATAATACTCTGCCGAAAGGACTTGTAACAACAGCAAAACACACATTGCACAACATAGCACTGGCGTTGGAGATTCTTATCTTGTTTTTACTTCCCCGGGATTGCGGGAATCACGGCTGGCGGCGGTGGTGGCGGCAACGGGCAAATTACGCCCATATTTCTTATCCTTTTGGGGGGGCCGTGTCTTGCGCGTTCTGGAGGGGGAGATGAGCTGCTGTGTGGGAAATGTCCCTGTCCTTCTCCCAGAAGGAGAGAGGTTGATAGGGGCCCTCCCCCATTGACCTCCAGGACTGCCTATCTAGAGCGACGCAAGGGTTCGCTTCATCTGTAAAAAATAGAAAACGACGCTCGAAAAGAGCCACGGCAAGAAAAGCCAAAGACGCTGCTCTAATATACCCCCTTTTTGCAAAATGAACATTGCAAAAATCGTGCGTGCGCCTCCTAAAGGTCGGTCCTCCTGTATCCGGTCCCGAGACATGTCATGTATTAGTATTAGGTATGGTATTCGCCATCTACCCCCACACCACAGCACAACATGGTTGCCGTGGCGTCTGTGTCGAGGCCGAGCGATCACCACCAGTCAATTGACTCCGAGTTGACCTCCGAGGCTTGGTCCACTAAGCAGGACAGGTACGTTAGTAATGCTTGCTCTTCACTTGTAGGGGGTCAGTCGTTGTCTTTACCCTGATTCTCCTCCACGTCTAGGCGGGGGTCGCGGTTGACTGGGTTGAGCGGCTCTCCGCCATCAGACTCCTCGCCGTGGCTGCTAAAGCCGTCTTTGTCCTTGTCGACAAACTCGGCGTAGGGAATAGCGTTATGTCTACCCGTGATGTAAGTTCCCTGCAGTTACTAGCCAAATAGCAGCATGCGAATAACAAGCTCAACTCACCCCTGGTTCTTCAACTTGGCAGCCTTCTCCAGACTCGCCAGCCGGCGCTTGATAGCCAGGCCGACCATGGCACGTAAGGTATACACGGCGTCGTTGCCGGCGTTGTGCAAGTACCGATAGGGAATGTCCAAGGCCTCGAGAATCGACTCAAGCTTGGTCGCTTCCTTTGCACGACACATATACTGGTACATTCCTCGCGTGTCGGCAATGTCAATGGCATTCTTGATCTTGAAGATGTCGTAGTTCATCGATTGGAGGAACTTGATGTCCGAAAGCGCCTCATGAAAGACGAGAACCACAGGCCGCTGCTGTTCCGGGCCGTCTCTGCTGGCAGATGCTTCTTGCTGAATAATTTGATTGAGGACCGCAATAGCAGCATGCTTGGGGACAAACTCGCTCGTTCTGTAAATCATTAACAAAAGCAGTTCCTTCTGCCTGTCTTCAACGGCTCAACAAACCCAAAATCAAAGTTGTCGGCACATCCGTGGACGTGCTTTATGTTCATGGCCCAGGTATTCTCCTTGATGCGGAGATGGTGGGCGCGAATTAGAGGGAACCACCCCTTACCTCCATCTCCCGGAGCAGTGTTGGCGAGATCTTTGGTGTCCAACATGGCGAGGCCAATCTCGGTAATTATGTTCTGGTTAAACTCGTAGGCCTCAATGTCAATGGCGATGAACAAGACCGATCCCTCTGGCTCTAGGACCGTAGGGCGGTGGAGATCGAGTGCCGTTGGGACATCCGACACCACTCCGTTCTTGCCGCCGACGCGCTGGCGAAGGCCGAGGTACCGCTGAACACGCTTGATCTCCTTGCCCCAAGACACATGATTCTGTACACGCTTGCGCCGATTCTTGTCGGACTTGACCGACCTTTTCTCATTAGTAGAGTTGGCCACTGACAAAAGTCTCAGAAACTCCTCCCGGCCCACTTTGGTTGTATTCTTCAGGTCGTCCCCTTTCTCGGTCGTCTCGATGGCCTTGCACAGGACCTTAAAGCCCTGGCGGCTAGTAGAGCGGCCCAGAAATCGTGGCTTTGGCATATTGCCTAGACCAAAGCTCATCGTGAACTTTTCGTAGTTGGTGCCATTCGGGATTAAGAGCTCTGTCTCGAGCTTCGCGTTGACAACTTCTAGAAAATGCTCGAACTGATAAGTGGGCACAAACAATGTAGGCTTCCTGTTAGAGTCGGGAGGTTGATGGATGTAATAGCTGGTCACGCAGTTAAAGTATGTGCCAGTGAAGCGAGGGGGCAGAAAGTATTTACAAGTCCCAGACGCGGTCCTCGTGGATAGCGTCAGCAGCAAAGAGAGGTGCGGCCTCATCAAATATGTCAGCATATATTGCCAATCTCGGCTTCATGTCGTGGACCAACTCACCCGCACGCTGTTCCGCTTGCCGACATACATCTTCGGGTAGGCCCCAACAAGTCTCCACGGGCTGAAAATGTCGCCTTCGACTGACACGTCGCCCATCTTGAGACCGGTCTCCCTCCAGGTAACCTTCTCTAGCTTTGCGGTATCTCGCAGAACCTCGGGCTCGTCCGAAGCAAAGTCGCGGGCCTTGCTGAGCTTGTAGCCGCGGTTGTGTGAGACCTCCTCGGCGGTAAGATGGTGGCGACCAAAGATGATGGCTGGGCCGCTATCCGAGTCCGAATCGACATCCATGGGGGCTGCATTCTGAAAGCCGTGGACAGGAGTCAGGGCCAGCGTACTAGTGGCTGGAACATGGTTCGATGCCAGAGCGGCCTCGTTGTCAGAGATCTCTTCAGATGCAATATCCCGCCACTTGGTGGGATTGAAATTCTCCCACGTGTCCGATCCTCTGGTGAATTCCTGCAGCCGTTTCAGGAATTCGGCGTCCGCATCCATGACTATGAGAGAGAGGATGCACGCTGATAGTCAACTAAACTGCTCTTAGCCTGGATCCTGACTGTGCTCGGTGGGGTGAAATAGGCGAGAGGGGGGGGTGTTAGGAAGGAGGGGCAGGTGTACCGTGGTCTGGTGTCGGCGAGGGTCACAAGGCGGGCAGCTAGGCAGGCAGGCAGGAATGAGACGGGAAGAATGTAGTGACCTCAGCCCGATCGGAGATGGATGTGTGTGTTAGAGAGAAAAGAGCAAGATTCGAAAACGAGGTGAAAGGAGCCGGGACCGCGGTACCGGGATGCGGGATGCAGGAATATGACAAGAAAAAGAAAAGGAAGGGAAAAAAGCAAAAGAACCGTATCCGTACCTTGCGGGATCTACTCGCACAGAGTCGTCGATCGACACTGCCTGGTTCAAGAAATATGAGAGGCGCGATTTTGACGATCACCAGCGTTGTGTCTGCAGGCCCCGAAATAGCTTCCCTTTTCCGCACGGGCTGGATCAAATAGGAAAAGGCACGAAAGGAAAATTCTACATGAAAGTGAAAACTTGTTAGAGAAGGACGACGAAGAGGTAAGATGGCCGTCAGAAAGATTGTGCACGTGTGACCGCTTTGTACCTTAAGTTGGTGGATTTTGAGAAACGTGACTTCCCCCCATTGCCAGACACCTGGTCTGCCACGTTACAAACACCTGCACGCGCTAGAGAATGAATGAGAGACAAACGCTTTTCGCTCCAGTTGCCCCGGCTAGGTAAGGTAGGTGCGAAGAAGGCAGCGCGGCGATTAAGCCGTGGGGACAAAAAAGGAGAGAGGGACAAATGCACTGCCAGCGCTGGCGACAATTCAAACAATCCAACCTAGCGCAAGGCCAAACCAAACTTGACTGTGTTTGAGGCCATCACCGGCGTGTAATTCGCTGCGATTTCTCTAGATTCGGAATGGGTTTATTGGCCAACGTTCAACTGCCGGCATATTCCGTTCCAATAAAATTACGCAAATCGATTATAGCCCTGAATGGACCCCTTTTTCGCTTTGGAGGGGAAGAAATAAATAAATAAAAAGTCGGGAATACAGGTTGGCTATCAAACCTACGGAAAATATCCGTAAAACACCCAGTCGGATTGAAGGCCAAATTCGACTGAATCTGGCTCAACAAACGGCTACTTTGGCTTGATTGAATTGCAATTGTGTGGATTGGCGCCAGTGCTGATCAATGCAAGGAGGCCTTCGATGGGAAGGCAAGCGTTGTGAAGCTACACTAAGCTTAGCCAGGAGTGAAACATCACTACATCTAGCAATCCACACCTCGCTCGGTTATATTCGTCATGCTCTGAGAGAGCGCGCGAACAAGTGTAACTATTTCAGGGATGCAAGCATGCAGTGACTGTGTATTCTTCATGACCCTAGCCATTTCCTTCAAGTCGAGTTTAAGCTCAGGCATCTTACCTACCATACGTCGACAGCATCACCTCCAGCTCAAAAACTAAACACTGCAGTCAGTAACAACGCAAAAACACTCGCAACAGAATAGCTTGCCTTGAGAGCCTCGGCAACGGCAACATCGGACACCTCGGACTCGTCCCTGGCGATCAAGCCTAGGCCGCGCCCGACAATGTGCTCGGTCCACATCTGCCTGCGATCGCCGTCCAGCTCGCCCGACAAGATGCTCGTCTTCAGAGCCGTCAAGAACTTGTTGTAGAGGGCCGGCAGCTCCAGGTCGACGCACGTTTCCCGCATGACGCGAAGGTCCTCTGCAGCTCGGCCGTAGGACAGATCCGCAAAGCTCTCCCTAACGAGTTCGCGCACAATGCCGCCAATCTGCTTTATCGCGTTCTCGAGCGTCGCGTCGTCGGCCGCCGACGCCACAAGCTGCTTGAATTCGGGGATCGCGTTTTCGGGGGAGATGGTGGTGCGCCGCTTTTGGCCCAGCAGCGAGTCAATGTCCAGCCCCGAGAGCGGCTTGACCGTGTCCTTTTTGAAGCGCTTCCCTTGGGCCTTCTCGGGCACTGTATTATTTCTGGGTTAGTAAACGGCGGCAGCAACAAGATGTAGAAAGGTAGGATGCATACCTGGTTTGACCTCGGCGGCTTCGATCAGCGACTCAATCTCGAACTTGGCTTCCTTTACCAGCTTCTCGGGTGGGTACTGGAAGCGCAAAAGAATATCGGCAGGAGGCGCAAGGGGTTCGTCGGGGTGCACAGCCCGGGCCTTGATTGCTTGGTTCACGCGGTGCAAGACAGGGTTATAAAGCTCGTCGATAGGGGCGTACTCTGCGGGTTTTCTACCAGAGATGTCAGTCGAGAACAAGAATGACAAGGTTAGTTCTGGCACCCATACCCTTCGTCGTCAGCACCAAACTCGGACAGGTCCATGGCGTCGACATAATTGCTCATGGCCACATTCAAGTCATCCGATGGAAGCAGGCGGTGTTCCGTGAGGACTTGGCCCGTCACAGTCAACACCTTGTCAAGCGGCGGGAATTGGTAGCTTCGGACATCTTCGGCGAAAGGCAGCGGCACGTCGTAGAGACACTCGAACGGGTCCTCAAGCCCTGGGTTGGGTTTGAGCAGGAAAAGCTGTGGGTGAGCATCATCCTTTTGCACATATCTCGCCACGGCATACGACTCCATTTCGTGGAGCGCGTGAATCAGGGCCGAAAGGGTTACTTCGGCTTCCTCGCTGTGACTCTGTGCGACCACAATACCCGTCTCTCCCATGTTGACAAAGGGCCCATACTGTACGCAGATTCCATTAGTCGACAAGCAGAAACGTAAAGGAGGGCTAGAAAATATGGCCTACACTACTAAACGGCACAAAGCCAAGGATCTCGTACCCCTTTTTAGAGGGCAGCTTGATGATGTTCATTTCGGACTCGCTGAAAGGAACAACGGTTGAGCCGTATTGATAGCCCTTTGCGAGCTTCTCAAACTCGACATCCTTCTTGCCGCCCGGGGCGTCTGGGTCGTTGACCCTGTAGGTGCGCATGTGCTTGACGCCGGAAAACTCGATGCCGCCCATCTCCACATCCTCGTCGGCGGTATGCGTGGACTGAGAAGGCCCACCACCGCGTTCAGACTTGATGACCACGGTGCTCGCTGAAGGGGCCGTGGCTCGCTTCGTCTTGAAGTAGCGCTGGACGCGGATGCTCAGGGCGCTCTCCTGCGTGGCGGGGTCGCCGAGTGTGAGGGCCCCATCGTAGGCCTTGAAGGGGTTGACCTGCTTGATTCTGGGAATTGAAAGCTCCTCAATGGCCTGTGCCATGGTGCCAGACACGCCATTCTTGCACTGGCTAGCCAGGTTCCCGAGTATTCTCTCGTTGTTTGCCTATGCGGAGAGAGGATAAGCACTCATTGCATGCTATTTAGCTCGACTGGGAGGAATGGCAGAGGCTTACCTTGGCTGAGGATTTATCTTCCTCTTTGAAGCCATACTCGGCATCGTCGAAATCAACACCACTGGTAAAGTTAGGGAAAGTCGATTAAGCCACGGACATGAGGGCACGGCGGCTTACAGGACGATCAGCTCAATGTCGGACTCGTCGAGCCTCCTCGCAACCTCCTCGGACGACTCGTCGTCAATTGGCGCCTCGGCATTAGTGATGAGAATTATTCTGCGGTTGTACTTGAGCTTCTTGGTGTACTGCTCGATCATGGACAGGGCGACAACGACTGCGGATATGGCATCGCCGCCAGAGCTGCTGGAGGGCCTGATCTTGGGTTGCAGCTCTCGCACCGAGTTCATAGTCAAGGGACTTATGTTCTGGAGGACAGATATGTTCTCGTAGCCGTCCAGACCCTCGCGGTCCTGCTCGTTGTTCGTGTCATCCGTGTTCAAGGCGACGACGCCGGCCGTCCAGGTCTTGCGACCGGCGGCGACCGTGGTCGAGATCCTGTCCCACACATAGCGCATGCTCCAGTCCAGGTCAGTCTCAGTGCGGCCGCCATGGCAGTCGCCCATGGACTCGCCGAGGTCGATAACATAGACAATGGCTTCCTTGTCGGCCATGGTGTGGCAGGGCAGCTTTGCCAATTTAAAGCACAAGAGATTCTAGACAATACGCTGAGAGAGGAAATACGGTACAGTGGCTACGTTACGGAGGTGTTGAGAAAACCATTCAAATGAGAGCAGGGCGACAACTTAAAGAACAAATCACAGTGCAAGCGCCAGCACGTGTTAAAACATAGGACATGGGTGCTAAATTGCCCAAGTCTTGATGGGATGCGTTTCGCGATGCCTCCATTCGATGCGTGTTACCTAACAGGCGGCACATGCCTCCAGGCAGCATTGCCAGGGTTTAAATCTCGAGGGCGCGTTTGCACTGTCTCGCGCGGGCACCTGATTTCGTGTCCCCCCACCTTCCTTCCTGCCAGGCTGTTAGTTACTTAAACCCTTGCTGTAACTATTGCTGTATTACAACCGCATTACATACATACGAGAAGCTCAGACTGTTACAGTCCAATCCGTAAATGTTCCCATTGTTATTAGCGGGAGACTTTACAAGATCCGAAAACCCTCAAATAGGTACCTTACTCCTCGCCTTAAAGGTTTTATGCCGAAGGAGATAATAGCTATTAGAACCCCTATTATTAAATCCTACAGGCCTATCTCTCCCCCAGAAATATATATCTCTAGCTCGGGTCTCTATTCTGCCTAAGTACGGGTACCACGCCAACAAACATTCAGGGATATGTTTGTCTGCAGGGGAGACGAAAACACTGTTGAATTTGCGGCACACTGTTAAGATGACCGTTTCGCCAGCTTCACCGTGTTGAGAAACGAGAGATCGGCTGGAGGAGAGACAGAATAAACAAGATACGGCATGCACCGGGATTGGAAAATACCAAGCTGTTCGTGTTGGGTTATCTAGCCAGGCACCGTAGATACTGAGTATCAGTAAGAATATCAGTATAAACATTCCATCAACACTCAGTCTTCTAACTGCGGTCTTCTTCGACTTAGCATCCATGATAATTATATCGCAGTGGTACTACTACAAAGGACGCCGGAGAGGAGCATACTTACCAACTTCGGAGCATGGATTGTACCAGACTAAGAAGTCTAGGTTGGAAAGTTGAGTCGAAGAATTGGTTTTTTGGCATTTCCACTGTCATCAACTGTCGTCTCGGCCCTCCCCCCTCTCCCTGTTGGGGCAGATCGTCCCCGTTGGAGAATTAGTGGCTGGATCCACCAAACCAACGTTCTTGGTTGATGCCTGGAGGATAAGAAATATAATAGGTATTATGCGATTCTGCAACTGCTTAGGTTTTACTCTTCAAGGAAGGCCTCATTATTATTCCCAACATTGTATTTCTTTATTCACAGTGCGACAGAGATCTTCAAGCTTTGAGGAAGGGAGAGCAGTACCTTGGTTTCGTAGGGCCGAGGCGCTGATTCAAGGCCCAAGCTACCCCGCTGCGGGGGACAAGACAGCCACCCAACATTCGTAGCGACTTCTCGCCCCGACGTCACCTTCACCGAACAATTGCCCCCGCAACGACATTGTCCCCAAAGATGTACATACGGCCGATCCCATCCACCTACATCACGCTATACTGACCTCTTCCTGCCTCCGGGATCGATGCCTCGATCAGGCTCCGCCGCGCAATCCACGCCAATGACGCGCTGCTGGTCAAACGTGTCCTCAAGTCGCGACCCGACCTCCTCCACAACCCGACCACTCCGTGACAGGCAACGCGAACTCGAGCCTACACCTAGCAGCCTCGCTCGGCCACCTCTCAATCTGCAAGCTCCTCGTCGAACTAGGGCATGACGATAGCACCCCTGCCCTCAACGACGACCACCAGACGGCCTTGATGCTCGCCGCCGCCGCGGGGCACACCGAAGTCCCCCACTTCCTCTGCGAGCACAGCCCCCCGACCATTCTGCGTCAAGACGTCCGTGGCCGCGATGCGATCATGGAGGCGAGCTTGAATGGGCACGATACCGTGGTGCAGATCCTCTTGACTTGGGCACCGGGTGGAGCAGAAGACGCCCTGGCGCAGGCGGATTTGGATAGGAATACCGCGCTGCATTTTGCGAGCAGTAATGGGAATTTGCTGGTGCTGAGGACGCTGCTGGCTTCGTCCTGCAACGATCTTTTCCACAATTCTTTCCCAGTTGCAATAACCAGGCCAATATGGGGTGCCAAACAAAAAGACATGGCGAGTGTTCTGCAGGAGATTTCCCCATCGTGTGTCGTCTCTGGCCAAGAGAATTGCCTGATAGTAATTAGTAAGTGTCAACCAAACCATAAAGTGCTGATTTCACTCTGGTCGGGAATATACTTGAACTTACCATTTTGACAAGCAACCCGCACAGGCTATGGGCAACGAAAATGATCGGTCGCGCCTTTGCTGCATCGTCAGATCGCTGGCTATTCAGGTTGTAAAGCAGGGCCTCGGCCGCGTCTTTGATGCCAATGCTGCATGTTTTGAAGACGGCATCGGCGTTGTATGCGTAGGATGATATCGTGACATCTTGGCCTAGATCGGAGGGAAGGAAATTCTCGAGCCAAGATTTCTCATTCACTGCCATCCAGGCACTTTGGAAGTTACCGCCGAGCCCATGAACCGCGATGATGTTAGAAAAAAGCCGTCAGTTAACGTCTCTAGTATTGATACGAGTCAATCGCGAGTGTCGTGGCATAAGAGGATGCTTACTCGACGCTTGAAAACCTCCCATTCAGGTTTTGATGCTTCGTTGGGTACAAGCGGTGGATTCCTTGGGATGGTGCAATATAGATACTGGGCGGCTGATAAACTTGGCCTCCGTATGCGCTGACTCCGTATGTACTCTCGCCTACACATCCAGACGCTACACTGGGAGGGCCGACGTACATGCCGGGTTTCGGTCTCTGGCTCTTCGGCATGTTCCAACACGAGTTCTTGTTGGGTGACTATGTCGCACTGCAATATAACAAAAAGGGCATATACTGCAAGATTAACAGTTTGCAGGCTCAGAAAAGAGGATATGGAGTGAGTCCAGGACAAAAATGCTACACAGAGCGAGACAGGGAAACGGCATAATTAAACGAATAGAAAAGAACAGAAGGGAAATAACTGCCAGCCCATTTACAGTGGGAGACGTCCAATTCAATGGGCAGCTACAAAAGGTACGGCATGTGAGTGCTCGATAGTGGATGGAGAGTTTCACCAAGTGACCGCGCTGGCCTCGTGTGGTATATCGCCATCGGATGTGTTGAGCTAAGTTGAGTTTATGTTGCCTACCTCGCCTCTCTCCGTCACGTAGAAAGGGTGCTCCATTTGACCACACAAGATAGTCTAATTTACCGCTTCCGCATCACTCCTACGCATTATACAACGAAGTTAGCTAGCTAAAGTAATAAAGACTAATAATATCATTAACTACCGAGACCAAAATCATCCTTTGTACTGCTAAAGACTAGACCGCTTAGAAGGATTAATTCATCGGCATAGCCCGCGGAGAGCTCCTATAGTTAGCTATATATTAACTCGAAGGAACTCTTTCCTAAGCTCTTTCCTTCAGAGGTAATTAAACCAAATATTAATCACTTCGGGGTTAAGGTTCCTGCGAGCCCTGCAATCCCCTGCCCCCACAAATACTGGTAGCCTGAATACCAGAAACTATATAAGGATTCAAACTATGCCAAACCCTAGGCCACACGCCTGCAGCTAAGTTTTCCTTTACCTTCCAACCCCTGCAGAGCGTTTCCGAGTTTACCGATAAAGCCTTCCTGTTGTGTACAGCGAATTCAGGTAAAATGCGTCAATGGCGTCAAAAGAGATCAATTCTGTTGCATCTGTGTGTGTGTGTGTGTGTGTGTGTGTGTGTTGCAGGCGCGTAATGCGCGTGCCTTGGACTGACTTCCTGCATCAGACGGTGAGACCGGCACTATGGCTAAACTTCGGCTCAACCGCTTGTGATCAATTACCTATAAGCTGACCAAGGTAAACTTGGACAATAACCCATTGTACGAGGCACTCTCGTATATCTGGGGACACTCTGCCTATCAAAGCCTCATATTTATCGATAGGCATTAAACTCTACGTCACTGTCAACCTAGAACGAGCACTCCGACGGCTTCGACAGCAGCAGCTAGCCAGCCACTCATACTATTGGTAGATGCCGTCTGCATCAACCAGAGCGACCTCGACAAGGTTGCGTAACAGGCCGCTATCATGGGCCGCATTTATTAGTCATGCTCTGAAGTCTGTATCTGGCTCGGCCCGCTCAGCTACGAGGATACCGAACACTCAATAGCCTTTCAGCTTCCGTCCGCTGCATCATAACAGCCAGCCAACGTAGAACAGCTAGAGGGACGGGTATATCCGAAATATTCTGAGGCACACAATGAGGCATCCTCTGCATCTGGACTTACACGCTGCGGCCATGCCCTCTTGCAACTCGCATTGAACGCACACGTAGCTAACATCAAACCCCTTTTCTCCGGGCACTGAGATATTCTACCATGCTGCAAGCAATGGACAGTCTCGCTTCGAACCGTATGGTACAGCTGCGCATGGATCGTCTAAGCACCTCGTCTGGCGACTCATGCGGGGGTATAGGTATCAAGCCTTAGTCGTACCTGGCCTACTAACCGAACAGGGTGTGCATGTCTCGCTCACTCGCCTTGCGCTTCACGAGCTCTTCGCTGACGGAACTACGCTCTTCTGAGCAGTATCGCTTCATATTGTCGTTGGCATCGTGATCCGCAATAAACGTCAACGCCAGGGCCTGCCATTGTCTTTCTCCACTGAGGTATTTCCTGCACATCCCAAGCGCGGTGCAAAGGGTGCCAATGAAAAACATATGCTGCTCTACTTTAGCAGTACTTAGTGTGTTGATACCCTTTTTCGGAATGCAAACCGCGACTTTGTCGGAAACGAAGCCCTTAAAGGAGCACCAAGGATAGTTAAGAAACGGTTTCGACTCTTTTTCTGAAAGACCCGCTCTGAACCACGGCGCACCGATAAATGACTTGTGGCGCATTGGCAGCCTCTAGTTCGGCGCCCAGGTCTGGTGCAGACGTGATATGGAAGAGGAAGAAGCGTGTGGTCGAAATGCGCCGGCGCAATGAAGTAACTCGAGATGGTCCTTGTGCTCGAGCATTCGCTCTGCAAAGTCTGCGTATACATGGATCGCGTCTTCGTCGTAGTCGACGTGGATGGTGGTTATTTTCACTGTGGACAGTGGGGGTTGACGGCGAGCGGCGATGCGACCAAAGACCATTGGGTTTTCGCGTGGTTCTGGAGACAGATTGGTGAACGGAGAGCACACGTCGTTTGCTAGGCCAAGGTAGGCGTAGATGTGGTCGTGGTCGGTAGAACAAGACATGTGGCTGAAAGGAACGAGAAGATCCAGAATGCCGCTGCCTGAGTGACTGTCTGGGAGCTCGGATGGGTTTAGCCTACCACCCCAGGGACTGTATGCGATCCAACATTCCCTGGTCGAAACGAAAGCTTCTTTTCTTCAAATCACGACTATAACTTTCATCCTGAATGGCTGTGGTCGGCGTGGAAGGCCGGGCACAGACCCCACGACCTCTTCACGACGCTCCACGAGAGGTTCAACACGCAGCCGACGCCCATCCAAGACTTCCAGGTCTTCCACCTCCTTCTTTGGCAGTCGAGTCGTGGACACCGTCCGCAGAGCGGGCACAAGAGCGGCTACAGGCCCAGGAGCGACTACAGCTTGAGCAGCAAACCAACAACCAGCCCCAACCCAGCCGGCAACCAGAGCCCAGCACCCAAGTGCTACCGCCCGAACGTCAACGAGGCACGGCGAGCAAGGCAAGATGGCGTTATATGAGAGACTGCACATCCAATTTGTGTTCATTATTGAAACTGATGTATTCGAAATAGAATACCGAAACAAACGTTCGTCAAGGGGTCACTCCACAATAACAGTGCAAAATTCCATGCAGCCCGTCAAAAGTGATTCAAACCAGGAGCAGAGAACCAAGGCGGGCTCCCACTCCAACGACGCCCACTGTGTGTTTGTAGTCACATAACAAGACAGCACCCATCGCCGTTATTATTATTATAATATTGCTGAGGCGGAGGCCTAGGCCGATATTGCTGAGGGCCAGGATGTAGTCTCATGGGCGGCCGTCCATTCGGACGGTAGTGAGGTCTGGGTCCAGGACCAGGACCTGGGCCGCCCCTAGGCCCTAGTCCCATGACTCTGATGAAGTACGACGGAGCGTCGCCGGTCCATCGCGTTTCGATATTGATGTGCGCATGATTCGGCGCTTGTTTTGCGGGCATCGACATATTGAGCAAGCCAATGACAATGCTGGAATCGAGTCTCGTGTTTGTGCGGTTCGTGACGTGTGCCACGGGGCCGTGGTGGGTGTCTTCCATGCGGGGTTAGTAACTGACGACCAAGAGGCTGGACTGGGCTGAGCTGGACGAGGAGTGGTTACGAACAGACATATGTGCTTCCTGGGGGGTGCAGGCCGTGATATTGACGGAAGGTCATGGGGAAAGTTTTGAGGGGGAGATATAATGGCTCCGTCTGGGCTCAGTTTTGCTGAGACTGGAAAGACAGCTGAGGTCGTGTTTAAATAGAAAGGTCCGACACTTCACCCTTTGCCAGTTCAAAGGGATTTGCCCAGCCTTTTAAGTCCGCTTCCCCCACCCCTCCATTTCCAAAGCCTCGCGACCTAAAACGCGGCCCCCCAAGACGCAAGCGGCACCTCGGCCAATCAACCATTGTGGCTTGTAACACGACTAAGGGATGAAGGGCAGCTGCCTGGCTTGCTGGCGCGTATTGTTGGCGTCGGGCGGGCATGCCGATTGTCCCAAGTAAAGACCAAGGAATTCGAGAGCTCAGCTTCTTGAAATAAATGGTAGCGAGGCTGCGATGCCGTCTTACGGCGCCTGACCTAGGTGAAGCCGCACTGCTGTCATTATCTCTCGTGGCACTGGTATAAACATGGTCAGGTGTACTGGTTACGGGCCCCAAGGTGGGCTGAAGCGACGGGGTTCCTTCGCAAAAAGCCATCAGGTCTAAGGCTCTAGACTCAGAGTTACACACACCACGCTATTCAGGGGCGGGGAGAGACAGGCTTGGTTGCACGGTCGTGATACGACAATACATTGTCCCAGTAGTTACTCTCCCCAGGATATTTTGTAGAGAGCGTCTACTCGAACTATGGCATTCGTCTTAACATACTATGGGTACTTACAAAGCTCAAACCCCACTTTTATATAAAGAGACTGTTGGAATGACACGGTCATTCGTTCCATAGTCACTGCAGTAACAGATGCGAATGGGGTGGCTGTGGTGGCTGTATTCTGGTCTTGCTCTATCTCAAAAAGGTCAGGGACAGGATGCGCGTTGGAATTGGCGATGCCAGAGGTCACGTGAGGGGTGCGCCTCGCGCACGTGCCGCATAGCGGCCCGCGCGCTAATCAGCCACTGGGGCTGTGCAGCCTGTTGACCAATCACATGCGACTGCATCCTCTGATTGACTGGTATTTCCCACAGAGACATTTTTGTAGAAATCTAAGCACTGCACCACAAATTTGAATATTTAAATATATTGCATTAATATTATTGCATTAATTGTCCTTTTCTTTTACGCAAAAGGAACGCAATTTGGTTGCCAGGGAGTGTGATTAAGTGAAGCCCTTGCACGGTGTGGATGCTGTGGTGAATGTACCTTTTTGGGGGGGTTTTGGCGCTGTGGGAACTACCAGTCAACGGAATGGATGCACAGCCTCAGTGGCTGATCAGCACTCGGGCCGCTATGCGGTACGTGTCCGAGGCGCAACCATCACGTAGCCTCCGGGCATCGCCAAATCCAATGCGCACCGTAGTTCGTGATCCTTCTACATAGAGCAGACCAGAATACAACCACCACAACCACCCCATTCGAATCGGTTACTGCAGTGACTATAGAACGAATGACCTTGTCATTCCAACAGGCGCATTATAGTATTTTAAGACGAATTCTATAGTTCGAGTAGACGTTCTCATTTTGTACCTGGTGAGAGATACAGGATTAGATATTAGTACATTTGTAATTGTGGCAGTCCGGTGCTAAGAATAAGAGAAAATCTACTCGCACGTTAGAATTATCTTCCCACACGTTAGATACATTAGCTTTCCGCCAAGACATGCCAAAATTGCTAGCGGCCAGCCAATACCACAATTTACACAAAAATTACACACCCCGGATGGTTCAAGCAATGCAGCCGCAAATTCGAGCTACAGCTGCAATTGTATCACCATGGCCAATTGAAGCCGACTGCGTGTCAAAACCGTAGAGTGGATTGACGACTTCGGTGATGTGTTTGGTTGAAGAGTTGGCTGGTGGCATAAGGTGGGGCTTAAAAGCAGGCAGTTGGTACGAAGCTGTTAGCTGTTGCTTAGAGTGGTGCTCTGACTGTGGGTATAATAAGACCACTTCCGGAGATGGCCCGCACACCGCCAACCGGGAAAGACGCGCCTGCATCAAGCCTTTCACGAGAGAAAAAAAACAACACAATTGAAGTGGAATACGTGCGTTGCCCTGCTTATCGCTGCATTTGACATCAGCGACTGCCAGGGCTGTCAACGAGTGCTAGGTGTATTTTCGGCCATGTTATGTAATCAAGTGATAAAAGGCCCCCTTCGGATTTTACTGCAGAATTGAGCGATTTGAACACATCTACGGTCGGAAGCTTACAATGCGGGCATTTGGCAGTGCGATTGATGTCAATTGTAACTGCAGCTATGGCGGTGCCATTGGACCCATGCAGGTTAGTAATTGGCTGAGTCAACGAGCGAATGTACCTTTCGGCCATTTTAACGTGTAGGAAGATAATTCTAACGTGCGAGTAGATTTTCTCAATAATAATTCTCTTTTTACCCAATCTCTTTTCCCCTTCAACCCCTTGTGCCTGTTTCGTTTGCCCCGGCTTCTTGTTGGACTCTCTTGTCTTTATTTCGACTTGAATTGACATTGGTGTATCTCATAACCATACTTTAGTAAAGCCAAGATGAGCGGTTCAGCTATGAACGAAGACTAGCTTAACACTACGCTGAGGTCAATCACCGCAGTCCGCCCCCAGGTGCCCTCCCATGAGCAGGTGCGGCCTATTGGCAACTACTACAACGACTTGAAGTCCCTGTTGATTTGTCAAACCGCCTGGGAAATGGTGGGACAGAAATGGTCGATGCGTCCGCGCTGAAGGCTACACCGTCTGGAAAATCTCTGCGGTGCGACATCGCGCCACAAGTCGTTGCGAGCGACTGAGAGTCTCTTCAGGTTAGGGTGATGCTCGACCGCCGACCAATAGTGGCTATAGTTGGTACAGGAACTCAGGGGCAAGCCCTCCAGGTTCGGTACCAGCTGTTGGATGATCGGCCAGACAAAAAAATGCCCCTCAATTCGCAAGGTCTTGACGCTGTTCCACCTGGTGCTCAACAACATATTATAGAGATGCGGACTATAATAGTAGTCGTTCGGCAATCCACGAATAGAGTTCAGTCGTAGGTTAAGGTAGCGAATGTCCTTCATCAGAGAGACGGCTGTTATGATCAATGATGGCAGTCGACGGACGAGAAGGTCCTCATGTAGCGAGGAAATGTGTCCAGAGTCCCCGGAAGACAATCCCCCAGCCACCACGCCTCGGTGAGCAATAAATGTTAGCGAGGAGTTCGTGTCTAGGTAAGTATCAAGGAAGAGCTGCGTCGGGGGAGGGGACGCAAAGCTACGCTAGTACGTACCTGCAATCAGTGTTATGATAGGGACTTGGCGCGATTGAAGTACTCAGAGAAAGTGATCAATGACTTCCGACAGTACATAGATTAGAGCTAAGGAGGATAATCATAAAAGTATCCCAGCTTCAGCCCATTAATAACGCGGAGCATCGTTCATAGGAACATAAAGGTATCTAGCCCTATCTGAGGATCATTTGTTATAAGCGTTCTTACGGATACATCCAGACCATATACATCGAGGAGCTAGGGGCGGACCATTGACTAATATAATTCGGTCGATGCCGAATTGGATCATGTACGTCTAGACGTACACGTAGAGTCCAGATATCGGTCTATTATAATTCGCCATATATATCCTATATATTACAAACCACTCGACTGTTAGGGTCGTCTGTCTGTAAGGGAGCACGGGCTCCACAGGATGCTGGGGTTGGTAATTATGAAGATAGAACAAAGGGGAAGCTCCTATCGCACGGGTAATACAGTCAAATTGGAATGCCACTCAAAGTGTATGAGTGCGGTGAATGTGTATTGCTTGCTTGAAGAACCAAGCAAGAACTATCTAAGACCGTGGGTACGGTCGTCGTATATATCTATCTACGTAACCAATAACAGTGGTTCCGTTGTCCCGTGGTCCCGCGTCCGGGTCACCGTGGATAAATAAGGTGGCAGACAAGGTGGGCAGACAAGCAGGGTAGGCCAGCTGGCCTTCGCTTTGTCAGCCAACTGTACCCACTACCCACAAAAATTGGATGCAAGCAAGCAGTAACAAGCCGCAACAGGGGCTTTAACCCGCATATCCCATTTTTGGAGGTAGTTGGCACCTATCCACCGTGAGTCTTAGATGCTACGCAAGAACCACATCAACAGCGGCAAGCCACTGGCATTGACCTAATACTCTAGCGCTGGCCAAGTCGTCGCGAGTGATTTGTATTCGACTGCCTTTAATTGCTCGTGCGACGATTAGACGAGCTTGAATTTCGCTCGAAGCGAGAACAGAGGGTGCGGCATGCACGCTGGGGACCGTATTCCGACCGAGCCGGCTAGCTATCAATTTGGCTTATCGCGAGGCGGGGTCTCTTTCAGCGGGGCATAGGGTGGGAGGCAGCCTGTTCGAAAACGGAAGTCACCGTTTTATAACGGTCAATTTTACACAGGTCCGTGGGTCACTAACAGAGGGAATGAGGGACCCGTTTTTGGATCCCAAGTACCCCGGTTTTTGACCCCTCGTAGGGCAAGCTTCTAGGGATTAGATTGTGTAATACGCCTGGTTTGAAACACTAATCAGCTCATCCATTGGACGATCCCGTGTTGGGATGCTGCTGGCAACGACATCTCTCCGTCAGCAAAGAAAGGACAGAAATACAAAGATCATCCAACACAGACATCAAGACAATAGAAACAAACCACTCCTCCCGTACTTATGACCTGCTTGTTCTCTTTTTCTTGTGCATTCCATTTTTCTCTCTCTTCCTTTCTCTCTCTCTTACTAGTGAATTTGGACAAATGGCGGGTTCAGGGCTCTTCTCCCCCGCTCCTTACCACATCCTTAGGTATGTCGTCCGTTGACCGTCTGCAAACAGGACGAGATTTAACACTGACTTACTTAGCTATGGTACTCTCTTGGGGACTACGTTTTTCCATGTAAGGCTACCCTCAGCTTGCCCTGGTATCCTTCCCTAATCTCGCTCACACGCCCGTCCCCCTATTCGTTAGACATTCGTGGGCGGCATCGTCTCGTTCCAGGTCCTGACACGCCCGCAATTCGCGGCGCTCATGGCCAAAATATTTCCCATCTACTTCTCCATGCAGACGGCGCTGCCCGCCGTGCTGGCCCTCACGTATCCGGCGGCCGGGACGGTGCTCGGCGGCGCGAGTCCGAGCGGCGGCATCGCTGGCGTCTTGGACCCTGTCAACAGGTGGGGTGTGCTTGTGCCTATTGCGGCCGTGTTCTTGACCGGCCTGGCGAACCTCGCCGTCGTCGGGCCGGCCACGACGCGGTGCATGGATGAGAGGAGGCTGCTGCGTGAGTCTGAGAGACAGACACCAAGTCCCCCTATTCTACAAAGATACTGGCGTTTGCTAACCCAACACCCGCGGAAACAGAGAAAAAAGATGGCAAGAAGAGCTACGACGCTCCGCCGCACTCCAAGCAGATGGAAGCTCTGAACAAGAAGTTCTCCGTCCTTCACGGCGCTTCATCGCTGCTGAACTTGGTCGGCTTTATTGCCTCGGTTGTCTACGGCTTTACGCTGTCATCCCGGCTTGATTAGTGGCCATGCACTTGAGTAGCCCACTGTATTCTTATCACGCATATACGGCCAGACTATGAGTCTAGTTGCTTTTGTTGGTACTTTTGTTTGTTCACCTTTCCCTTCAATAGGCTCGTGTCGCTAAAAATATAGAGTCAATGCCTGTCCCCGATATCCAAAGGTCGAGAAGTGAACACTGGAAGCCACAGAAAACCAACCAAGCCCCTTTTTGCCGCTGGCCCGGCTTCCTCGATGCATGTCCAAGTATTTGGCGCCCGCCATCAAAAGTGGACAACAGCCACAGGTAACAGAGGAAAAGTATATTGACGAATATCGACGAATATCCTGCGGCCCTCCGATGAAAAAAATAACCCCGAGTAGCAGCGCTCCCACGCCCATTGCGCCTTGCCCATGGCGAAAGCCATGCCGAATTTCCTAGGTATCCTTCTCGTTCACGACAACCCCTTTTCCGGGAAGACCAAATAAATCCGAATAAAAAGACTTCGCAACGCTCCGTTTCCCATCGATTGACCGACCCATAAGAAAAAGAAAAAGGAAAAGAAAAAAGCACTCAACTATAACTGAACCCCCTCCCACTATCTCCTTCCCCCCCTCTTCTCGCTCTCGTCGCCGCTGTACTGGTATCTCAATGCTGGATATTTCTGCAAAAAGGGAAAAGAAATAAAAGGAAACAAAAGATGTCGCTAAAAGCAACCAAAAAAATGGGCGTCTCCAGGCATCTCGGCGGTCGACATCAGGGCGGGCGTGCGGCTGGGATATCTCATCATTTCTCCTCCCTCTTCCTCTTCCTCTCCCTCTCCCTCTCCCCCTCTCTCAAATTCTTCTTCTTCTCCCCCCGGTCCCTTTCCCGTTCCCATTCTCACAGCTAGGAACAGGAGCAGGAACAGAAAAAGATCTAACCTGCACTAACCCGTACCTTAGCCTACAGACCCCACCCCACCAGACCCAGACACCAACCCTCAAGACCGCCTCTACGGAAGCCCGCCGATCCTATCGTTGAGCACATCACTATCGCGCAGGAGGGCCAGCTTGGCGTCGGCAAAGGCGCGCGCGCGCTTGGCGGCGCCAGCAGCGTCGTCCTCGGCCATCGTTGTCCCCTTGACGTCCTCGCGCGCCCGCTGCACGTAGCCCTTCAGCGACCACTTGCCCGGCGGCTGCGCCAGCATCTCCTCGAGCGTGGCCTGGCGCGCCGGCGGCGGGAAGTCGCGCGACATGGCGTCGACGCGGATTAAGTGCTTCTTGGTGGGTTGTTGCTGTTGCTGTGACGAGGCGAAGGTGGTCGATGCTGGGGCTGTCTGGACTCGCCGCGGGGGTGGGTACCGCTGCTGCTGCCGCTGCCGCTCTTCTTGCGGTGTTGTTTGGTGTTCTTGGGATGCCTTGTTGTTGGTATCGAGATCTTCCTTGGCTGGGAACTCGGACGACGACGAGACGGACGAGATGGAGCTCCGGTAGGAGGCAGGCGCAAAGAAGCTCGAGACGGCCGAGTCGGTGGGCGACTCCAGGGGAGTGACGTGCTCGTCTGGGGACGAGACGGCGTTCTTCTGGATGTTGACTGTTGCGGTGGCGGTGGTAGCAGTAGGAGCCATTCTTGCTAGCGAGTGTGACGGACGAGTTGTTTCGAATAGCGAGAGAGGGAGAGAGCTCGACTGGGTGACAAGGATGGGGGAGAAGAAGAGATCGTAGTATGGGTCCTCTGCCATTGTTTTAGCGGGAGGCCGAAAGTGGGCAGTTTCCCCTTTGGATATAGACTTTAAATATATGTACCCCCCGCACAAGACTTGTCCGAGTCAGACTCCGAGCCTCCGTTTACAAAGCTAAATAGACTTTTTTCGCCTTCTTTGCTGCTAGGTCAGCCCCTGAAAGTTTATTTATGGGATGGCGTATATATGGAAGGAAACGAAACCCAAGTAGGGACACACACACACTCGCACAATTCGGATGCCGCCAGCGGCTTGTAGATCTCCCCCCTAGAATTGTCCACGGCCCCCAACTTGATCTTTGGCCGGAAGCTTAATTGACAGCCGCTTGAAACAGAAGCAGACAGACTGATAGATAGATAGAGAGGGCGACAGAGAGAGCCGGAAAACGATCTACGGGGATACCGATGGGAAAATACGGGGCCCGGCACGCGTTATCTCCTTCGGCGGCGGCGAAGTGGATACCTTGCAAGAACGGGAGGCGAAAAAAAATTGCGAGGGAAGTCCTTGGAAAGCCGAAAGCCCGAGAGAGAATGAATGAGTGATCAGATAAGCTGTCGGTGAGCAACAGGCGGAACTCAAACAGTCGAATTGCACGGTCCAGAGGTTTCCATTAAACGGCAGCGGGTGAGCAGGTGACCTTTTCAGTGACCCCCTTTTCTTGGTGTGTTTTTGCCTTTTGTTTTAGTGTTTAAGTTTGAGGGGGAAAAAGATTAGTGACGACGGTGACGCCAGGTATCGTGATCGAAATAAAATGTCTGTACAGAGAAAAAAAACAATAATTCAGGCCGGCTGACGACCAGCCCGGAAACTTTGCTGCGGCCGGGAGGGGGAAACAACAACAAAACAGTAAGAAAGATGGGAGAAACTGACCAAAAAAAAAGGTGAGACCATTCAGAAGGGATTACAACGCTTATGTATCTTCTTCAGACATCTTTATTTTTTCTCTCTTCTCTCCGGCCGGGAGGGAGGCGGCCAGGGCGGGACCTTCTGCAACATTTTTTTCATTTTTTTTCTTGGACGCAAACGGCCTCCCCCCGCCCACACGTGTTGGCCTGCGGCACAACCGACCGGTCTTGGGGCCGCCGCCCCCCGACCCGCCATGCCGTTAGTGGCATGAGGATGGGGGGAGGATTGTGAAAGCAAAACAACCCCCCCCCCCCCTTTATCGACTATTCCTGGGTTATCAGAGACAACAAACAAAACAGAACGAACGCTGAAAAGATGAAGATGACTCTGACTTGATGCGTGATTGTTTTGTTTAAATTGCCGTCTTGACCATCTTGTTTTCGGTCTTTTGCTGCGCCCCAAAAATAGGTGACCAAGATTAAAGTGATGATTTTACTAGCCGGAGTTTGCGGCGGTCTTGATTCCCGGCGTTGGGCCGTCGGGGGCCGCCGACCACGACACGTGCGTCACACGCGAGCACACACACGAGCCCGAGAACCCACGTTTCAATCCCGCGTCCCGAAACAGGCGGCCAATCTCGAGCAAGCAAAAAACCTGGCGCATGTGGTAGGACCTCCCTCGATGGCATCGTTTAGCATTCCGCCCGCAGTCGCCCTACCTTTGGTCGAGGAGTAATTACCAGCCGGAGCACATCACTGAACCGCTAGGAAAACCGACAGCAGGTCGCCGTCGCTTCAAGTTACCTGGAAAGCCGGGTTAGCATATGCATGCAACGCTGTTTTCTGTCTCCGCTGTCCAAAGTTATTAAAGATCTACAAGTTTCTCGAATGCGCCTGGAAACGCCTTGGATATTGATGGGATCCTTTTTCTTGGCCTTGGCACTGCCCACCTGCTGGGGCCTGTGCTACACGTTGATCCTTCCCTGTCGCAGGGCTGTTTCCCTCCTCGGCACCAGTTCCCGGTCCCGCCCTGCTAGGGCCGTGGCTGTCAGCCCCATCTCCGTTACGTAGTGCGTCGGCCAAGAGATGCGCGGCCAACCCGTCAATCCATGTCTACACGAAGGTGAAGTAGCGTCCAAGTTGGCAAGCAGCTTCTCATGCCGTAGGTAGAAACCACGCCTGCCTTGTATTTGGGCGATTCCTCTCGGTAGGCCAGGCGTGTATCACTTCTGTTTTTGCTTTTGTCTCTGGGCAAGCTCGCTTGTCCGGATGATCTTGGGTTTGACGACAGGCGTCTTGTAAGAAGAGAGCCTTGTTGGAACAAACATCCCCACGCTGTTTTGGTAATGAGAATATTCGGGGTACTTGCCGCTTGTGATGAGCTCCGTCAGCCAGGTCGACCCTTGGAAAAGAAGGATGAGGAACGAGGCCCCGACGGCGGACCAGCCGTAAAGATTGTTGGTCGCGTAGCAGCTCCACTGGTAGAGGAAGAACCAGATGGACTGCTCGGCAGCGAAATTAGGATGTCTGCTATATCCCCATAAGCCAGAGGCGATAAAGCCGCGGTCCAGGTCAAGCTGGCTCCACCCGCGCGGAACCTTTGCGGCCTTTTGGTATTCCTTCTTGGCTCCCTGGTAGTCTGAAGTGGGCGATAAAGTCAGCATATGAGCCCATGTTTCTGAGTAAGGGCCTGGATGTAAGCCATACTCCACTGCTGCTGGTCCGCAATGTACTCGGTGAGAATGAGACCTAGCTCAATGGTCACATAAGCAAGGTCCGCGCTGGTGAGGTTGGGCTCGAAGCGGGAGGCCAGCAGGATGATGTACACTGGCGCGGCGATCAGAAAAAGCAAGATGCTCTGGATAAAGGCAATAAAGGTCCAGTTTAAAACATGGAAGACAGCTGTGGGCACGTTTTTGCGAACGATTTCCCTTTCCGATGCACACGTGTGTTAGTGTTCATGTTATTGAGCCGGTCGGTCAGACGATGAACAAGGTGTAAGGTAACTCATGCAAACCCACCATCTGTAGTCCTCGGATCCAACAGAATAGCCGCCCTTTCTCCAATAATTGAAGGTGAGACGGATCTAAGCAGAAGCCAGCACAAACTGATCAGCCAAGCCCTTTCTTCGGCGGGCAGGCGGGTGACTCGACTTACGCTCCATAGGGTACTGAAGAGCAGGGCGACGTCGATGCGCGCGCTGGAAACGCCGGCTAGACGGGCCCATGCATCAAAGTGGGCAATGTAGAGGGTTGGTAGAATGCTCCAGCACCGATCGACCTGCGAATAGTTGTGGTTGATTTCCGACACGACGAGGAAGACGGCGCCGAGCGCTAGCGAGATGGCGAACCCCGACACTAGCGGATTGGTGTCCACATAGAGCTCGAGGAAGCTCTCGCGGCCCGCAATCACGTCAACGAGCTTCTGGGGGAGGGTGTAGAGCTGGGGGATGAAGGGCTGGATCGTTTTGGAGAAGTCGGCGCACTCTTCCAGCGCGTGCAGAGCTGGGAGCGCCATTGTGCCAGGTAAGGTAGATATGGATCGCAATTGGTAATTGCGTCTGTTTGCTCACGAGTTATGTCGGTTACCAAAAGTCTTTGAAAGGTAGCCGTGTGTTTATCTATCTGTCTTGGGAAGATTAAAATGCGCGCTACCTGCAACCGTCTGGTCTGGTCTGCAAAGAAAGGCGCAGTTAGTGTGCGCGTCATATGAGGCACAGCCAGCTTTAGCTGGTGCGGGCAACTACCAGGTAAGGTATTGTGTGTACAAATCCGAACAATATGTATTACGGATGTGCCGCGTTCAATACGCACGTCGATACGCATAACAAGCGGCTTCCGTCTCCACTCCCCGTTACCGCTTACATGCATAAGAGCCAAGGCAAGCTCAACTACACTTGCGGATAACCAAGGGCCAGGGATCAAGACTGGCTATTGCTTCATGCATTTGTCCCGGGCAAGAGGTAAAAGGACCCAAAGTTGTCTCGTGGGTGCTACGAGCTGGAAGTAACCTAACCCGGTCCGGAAAACTTGAAGAAACTGGGTCCGGAGAAGCATACCAGGTCATGCTTGCCTTGCCAAGTAGCCGCAAAACACGACGAAGGAGCGCGCCTTCTTCTACCTACGCGCAACCTCCACTGCCAGAACATACAGCAGGCAGCGCAGGGCCGTAGACTCGGCCTAGTTTGGCTCCTTCTATCCAATTACTAGCAGCCTACCTAAATGCCGGTGCTCGTTTTCACTTGAGGTGCAGAGGTTGTCTCTGCGATTTTGCGCCGCGCAACACAAACGCTCGCACCACCCCCGACATGACGCGAATCCTCTGCGTGGCTGAGAAGCCCTCTATCTCCAAGGCGGTCGCCACACACCTCTCAGGCGGCCAATTCCGAACTGTGTGTTTCTGCTGTCCAGCCGCGCTCTTCCTCGTGGAGTTTATAGGAACCGCCGACTAATTGTAACATCAGAGTCCCACGCGTAATACGTACATCAAAAACTACGAGTTCGATTTCAACTTTGGCCCGCCATGGGGAAACTGCTCCGTGACCATGACGGCCGTCTCGGGCCACCTCACCCATGCCGAATTCCCCCCCGAGTTCTCAACGTGGGACTGGCCACCCCCGGATCGTCTTTTCCACGCGCCCGTCTTGACCAAAGTCGCGGATGTAAGCTGCACGTTCGCCCTGTTGCTCTTTCTGTGCCCGCACTAACACGGGGGCCCCAGCAATCCAAGGATACCGCCAAAAACATCGAGGACAAGGCCAAGTACGCCAGGGCTTTGTTCATCTGGACCGATTGCGATCGCGAGGGTGAGCATATCGGAGGCGAGATTCGAGACGCCGCCTTGAAGGGCAACCCCCGCATCGAAATCAAACGGGCGAGATTTAGCAACGTGGAACGAAGGTGAGTTTGCTGCAAACTCAACAATGACCAACATGTGCTGGTGCTAAATAGATGCTCCCAGTCACATATTGACTGCTGCCCAGCGGTTGGTCGATCTGGACGACAGACAGGTCGATGCCGTCTCTGCGCGCACTGAACTCGATCTACGCATCGGCGCCGCTTTCACTCGTTTCTTGACTAAAACCCTCCGCAACCTTGGAGGTCCCTTGTCTGAACTCATAATCAGCTACGGTAAGCTCATCCCCACCCCTCTGAAATTAAAAATGAAAATAATAAGGGGAAAAAAATGTTGCCCTGATTTCTATGCGCACACCAACTGAACAAAAGCAAGGCTCTTGCCAGTTTCCAACGCTCGGCTTTGTCGTAGACCGTTATTCTCGTATCAAGAACTTCGTGCCCGAGACGTTCTGGGCCATCAAGGTAGTCCATGAACGAGAAGGAATCAAGGTCAACTTCAACTGGTCAAGGCACAGGCTCTTCGACCGCATGTCGGTCATCATCCTCTACGAGAGCTGTCTGGAAGCCAAAAAAGCAAGGGTCGCCAGCTCTCGGGAGAAGCCGACCAAGAAATGGAAGCCGCTCCCTCTTACCACTATCGAGTTCCAGAAGATGGCCACGAGTTTCCTCCGCATGACTAGCCAGGAAGCTATGACGGTGGCAGAGAAACTATACAATGGGGGCTTCATCAGCTACCCCCGAACGGAAACTGACCGCTTCGACAAGGCCATGAATCTCCGAGCTCTTGTACAGAAGCAGACCCAAGACAACCGCCAAGACCACCCGTGGGGATGGGGCGAGTTCGCGCAGAACCTGGACGACGGAGCTTTCCAGCAACCACGCCAAGGCCGTCACGACGACAAGGCCCACCCGCCAATACACCCCATTATATATGCGGCAAAGAGCGCCTTTTCCAACGAAAACGAGAAGAAGATCTACGAGCTCGTTGTTCGTCGCTTCCTCGCGTGCTGTTCCGAGGACGCCAAAGGCGTTGCCACAGACATCGAAATCCTCTATGGAGACGAAACCTTCGTTGCGCACGGCGTGATAGTGCTAGAGCGCAATTTCTTAGACGTCTATCCTTACGAAAAATGGACCGGAACAGCCATGCTGCCCAAGTTCACCGTCGGCGAGCAGTTTGAGCCCACTGAAGCAATGATCGCCGAGGGTAAGACGAGCCCACCCGGATACCTCACCGAAGCCGATCTCATTGCTCTTATGGACGCAAATGGAATCGGCACTGACGCAACAATGGCTCAGCATATTGAAAAGATCCAAGAACGGCAGTATGTGACGACGGCGGAGCGAAGCGGCCGAGCCGCGAACCAGGACGCCGACGCCGACGACGACGCAGGCGACCCGCCTCCAGCAAGAGGTGGACGCGGTGGACGCGGTAGCCGAGGCCGTGGGCGGGGTGGGCGTGGGGGTGGTTCTGGCAGGCGAGGCGGAGGCGGAGGCGGAGGCGTCAAGGAGTTTATCCCAACCAGCCTCGGCATGGCCCTCATAGAGGGGTTCGACCGGATGCACCTCGACACCAGTCTCGGCAAGCCATTCCTCCGCAAGGAAATGGAGCTCCAGATGAAGGCCATCTGCGAAGGCACCTCTTCTAAACGGGAGTTCCTCGAACAAAACGTGGCCAAGTTCCGCAACGTTTATGATCAGTCAAACCACGAAGTCCACATTCTCAGGGCCGTAAGTTGTCCCAAACACGTCTCAACCATCCCCAACCCCCTGCCACTTTGTCTTTTCCTTTTTCCGCCTCCCATAGATCGCAGCCTCTAACTCATTCCAACCAACAGGCCTGCAGGCAATATGTCTTCCCGGGCTGGCAAGCAGCAGGGGCGGGGTAGCTCCTTGGTCGACGACGTGGGAACCTCAACGCAGCTTGCAGATATGGCTTGATACAGGAGCCAATGCTTGCTGCCCGTGGCCCTCCAAAAGCTGCCCCGCAAACATGTTGGTGTATGTGTGGAGAAGATGCTGCAATGCCCAAACCGGATGTGACCTACACAGAAGCAAAGCTTTGCACCGGACGGGAATGAGGCCGATGGCACATGGGCACTGCCCAAGTCCCGACTGGCACCGGCTTCCGATATCCGGATGTTTGGCTGTGTTGTGTAACATCACCAAGAACGCGACTGACGAGAGGGGTTTGTCACTGAAAACCGATTGCTATCCACTCAATTGGGACTGTGACAAAAGGAGTGGATGAAGCCAAAGCCGATGGCACCATCCAAGGACTACCATGGCGCCCACGACAAGCAAGAACCCCACATCACATAGGCAAGAAACATCTCAATTGATGAGAATGCGAGTCTCGCAACAAATGTGCGTGGCCCAGGGTGGAGATAGACAAATCGGATAGGGCTTTCGGCCCAGCGGGGGGCGGCCAGTTGAGTGAGCTAAGCTGGTAGTGCTGCACATACTGTACGCCATGCTCACCTCACTATCACTCATGGCACAAGTAATACCTCACCCAGCCAGTCCAGGCTTGACGGGCCGGGTGCCATTGCCAGGAACAAAACAAAACGCGGGGGTGGTGCTTGGTGGTGGTAAGGCAAGGCAGCTCAAGCCTCGAAGAGGAGTCGGAACACGTGAGACACAAATCGGCAGAACCGTAGGATAATACGTAGGTACCTTGACAACTTCCTCTGGTTTTGGTGCAACGCCCGATTATTTCCATATTCCCCGTAATTCTTTCTACCTATTTAGCAGTACGTAGCATCACACAAAGGATAAAATTGTCCGCCCACAATTTTGCGCGAAAAAAAGAGAACGAGACAAAGAGCAGACCCAAGGCCCGAAAATGACGGGGTCAGCTGGCTTTCCAACATGCAGCTGGGGCAGCAGCTGGGGCAGATGTTGCGACATTTGGGCTGACGCCCAATCACAGCGCTGAACTCAGCCATCGTGATTACCCCTTTGGGAAGTGCCGGGGGTCCGGGGCAAGCATGGCTCACGAGAGTATTTGGACGATGGAGCCTGGCAATTCTTGTCATGCAAGCATAGAGATATATTCCGCAAAATATTTTGCCAGGCCGCGCACAAAGCGAGATTCGTTGTTGCCCAGCCCGGGTCCACCAGAAGAGATCATCATTGGGACTGCAAATGCAGGCACGCCCCGGCGGGGACGAAGGAAGACGGGCGGGAATTTAATCTGGGGACGGAATGCTAGACTGCTTCGGAGGGTAGGGTTTATCCACGATTTGAATGTTATCGCTCGCTCCACTGATGGCCGGAAAGAGCTTATCTCAACGCTTGTTGGGACTTTGCACCTGCGACAGAGACTGGCTGAGCCACTAAGACAAACCAAAGATACTATCATATCCGTACAGGCGCTGCTTTATCAGACGCTGGGCTGCATCAATAGGAGATAGCGGGTATGGGACTGGACCAGATTGGCGTTCTTTGAAACGCACACCCTTCCGTGGGAGGAATGAGAGAAAAGTCAAACATGAGCGGCCATCATCACCAAAGAGGAAAGCAAGCAAGCTCCCCCAAGGAATTGGATTGCTTGCTGCCGAATTCAGAACAGCCGTCGGGTAGCCTTTGGAATCCGCACTGTACCGGGCAACAGCCCGGTGGAACCTGCATGCCCTAAAAGAACCTTGGAAGAGGACCCGTGGGGATTTCATCAGCGGCCCGGGGATTCTCGGAAGGCCGATCACTGCAATCTTCCCGCGCTTTCTGGCCGAGGTACTTGGATTATCCCGCGTAGTGTCTTCGCCTTCAGCCCTTAAGCTATCGCTTGTGCTTGGATAGATGGAGAAACGGGACAGATCACCTCAAGACGGATTGTTCTGTCTAGAGGCACAAGCGATCCTTCTTTGCGTGCTGGATCAAACATGTCGGACAAAGCGGCAAAGAGACAGTACCTAAGACCAACAGCACCAAAATCAGATGGCACATTCCCCAAGGGCCCCAAAGACGGGGGAGGATGACGGCGTCTTTGTAGCCCAGTCCGGATCGCCACACCTGGCACGGTGCACAATGACTGGACCAGGCACACCATTCGGGCCACATTGATGCGTTCACCCCCCAGACAAAGGGGCGGGACTATGGCTTGCCCTGCCCCTGCCCGCTGTTTTTTCGTGTGTTTCTGCAGCTACACACACACACCAGCAGGACACCCACACACCCGTCCACACCCACACCCACACCCACACACACACAAGCCTCGCACCAGCCAGGCCAAGGCAAGGCCTAACCCTGGCAACCTGGCTTTGGGCGGCCTTGGGCCTTGGCTGCTTGGATCGCAGCAGCCCGCCAGCTGGGTGTGTGATTGAATGAGTGGTAGGCGTGGCAGGCGTGTGCGGTGCGTGGTGCGTGGTACCCTTATTAGAATGACGGGGCCTGCGATTCCTCGCCCTCTTGATCTCTCTTGATTCCCCCAAAGCAACAACAACGCGAATTTCTAATCCATCGACTTTAGCATCGAGAGTCATCTCGCCGTCACAGAAGATCATCGATCGCAGCAGCTCTGCCATTTTTGCCCCCGCCACACTTTTGTCCTGTCAAACTCGAATCTTTGTCCGGCCGAGAGTTCTGGAAAAGCTGTGCATTGCTCCAGACAAACTTGGTGAGTGACTCAGCGTCCATCATACTATCTATCACCATAACCACAACCGCCTACCATGGGCCCCCTTCGTCGCGCGCGAACAACCAGCCCTCGCCAAACGCGTCGCATTGTGTCTAACATGGCATTGCGCCGCTCAACAGACACGTCTCGAAGCACCAAACCCCCAAAAAGTGTCAGTATGGCAACCATGGCATCTGCTGTTCGCGATATCGCGACGACCTCCGGCCGAGACAACTTGACTGCTGTAGCGGCCCGGAGCGTCCCTGTGACAACCTCCCACCACCCGACCACCCTCCCGACTCCTCCCAACTCGATATCCCCCTCGCTGCCTCCGCACGGGCTCAAGGCCCAGCTGCAGAGAGCGCGGCTCGAGCCTATCGACTCGGACCTGGACCTGCACGACGGCCACGACGTCCACGGCGACGGCATCGCCGCCACGCATCTCGGGTCGCCGCCCTACGACTCGGCCGGCGCTATCACCCCGGCCATGTTGGCAAAGTTCCACCTGCCCGAGATCCTGCTCAACCACGGCCCGCTACCCATCCGCCATCTGATGGGCTACCTCACCACGTCGGTCCCTGGCTTTTCGGGGATCCCGCCAGCCAAGGCGCGGAGGTTAGTTGTGGGGGCTTTGGAAGGCCGGGGAAGTGGGGGCGAGGGTGGCGGACTGGACGGTGACGTGGAGTTTGAGAAGGTGGGGTGGGGACGGTGGGATGCGAAGAGACGGGGCCAGACCCGGGCGCTGGCGGCGGCGGCGGCGGCGGCTCGTCGCGACTCGCTAACTAGTAGCCCGTACCCGACAAGTATACCCATCTCCACTAAGGGCGCTGGGTGGGGCGTCGATCGGTCACGACTCACGGCGCTAGGCTCAAGCGCCGGGGGCGCGTCCTGGGCCGCCTTCTCGCACGACGACCGGGACATGACCATGCTCGAGAACGAGGCCGACAAGATGTCCTGGGACGGCTCCGGGTCGGCCTCGTGCTCGGAAGCGCCCGACGACGACGTGCCCATGAACGACGACCCCGAGGACGTGACCGACGAGGAGGACTGGGCGGCGGTCGGCGCCGCAGCGCTCCGCGCATCATCGTACAACCCCCAGTCCGGCAACATCAACAACCACCACAACAACAAACTCTTCCCATTCAACAGTATATATAATTCGGGCGGCGGACCGCGGTCCTTCTCGGCGAACGCCGGGATGGCGCGCGCTCCGCAGCTGTCACCCAATTTCAACTTTCCGGCATCGGCGTTTGGGGCAGTGGCCTCTGATGCACAGGAGCGCGAGGCCATCGAGGCCCTGATCAAGCTCGGATCTGTATAAAAAATCCACAACCTCATATTGCATAGCTCCGGCGTTTTTTTCAACAAAGGTGGGGGGGCAGGTATTGCGAATGGGCGTTTCCCGGCCGTTATGTGTCCGGGGCGGGCGGGCTTTTGGCGGACTATATTGGGTCATTGCGGTTCGGGTTTTTACCGCTTGGGACTTTTTTTTTCTTATCTTACCTTGGGTCCAGGTTTTTTTTTGGCCTTGGCTGCATATCATGCCATACCCTCTCAACTCTTTTTAAATTACGGGCGGTGGAGGAAGGGTGGCGGCGTCCCTCTTCTCTCCCAACTCAGCATTCTTGGGGGTTTTTTTATAATAACACCTCGGGACATTCATTTCTTGGGAAGGGGTGATGTTTTTCTTCACACACACACACACACACACTTTTACAATTGGGCGTCCTGGTATATCCCTCTTCCCTCCCCAGGGCGGCGGCGGAGGCGGCGGCTCACACACATTCCTGGTTATTTGTTGTTACTTTTTTTTTCTAAATCCCTGGGGGAGAATCATTGGGGTCTTTGTTTAATTTTCTGTTTCTTCTTGACTATATGGAAACCCCCCAGTGAGTTTGTCAAGGGAATCTTGCAATTCAGGACAACCTGGCTGGCTGGGGGGAGCAAACACACAAAGACACCATTCATTGGGACTGGTCTCGTTCAAACGGGTGGATGGATGGATACATGTTTCTTGGGAGCGGTGTTTTCTTTTTTTGAAGAAGGGGGAAGGGGCTTGGGGGCAAATCTGCACAGATTCCCCCGTTTCCGTCCTTCCCCTCTTTCCTTCCCGCACTGTCTGTCTGTCTGTCTGTGATTGATCGATTGTCCAGATAGCGACGGCGGCGGATAAGATTCAGAAATCGACGTCCTCGAGACCTAGAGACCTGGAAGGGGCAATCGGCTAGCCTGCCTGCCTGCTTGCCTGCTGCTGCTGTTGTCGCTGTCCCGACCTCTGGCGTGCTCGGCCCGTTTCTTTCTCGGTTCGCCGTCGTCGCTGCTCTCCTCCTGAACAAGGGGGAAACCGGGACTGGACGGCTTCTTTGTCTGGGCGCGGGAGGAACCCTATTCCATGCCATTGCCTCGTCTGTTTATTGGGGGGGGGGGGGGGGGAGATGGGATGGGGATTTTTGGATCTCTCGCTCACGGGGCCATTCATTGCAGGCTTGACGATGCTCGCGTGTTTTTCTTTCCCCCTTTTTTTAAATGGTTAGTTTGGGCTTCACTTTCCTCTCTCTCCTGGATTCCATATTGGAATGGAAGGGGAGGGAAGGGAAAGAGATGTGATGGGACGGGATATGACACAGGGGAGAAGATATTCTATATTATATCCCCCTTTTATATATATATATAGGGGATTTGGCATGGCGTGGCGTGGGAGGTGCAGTGTGGATTATCCTGTCGTGTCTACTCATTTCATCTATATGAATTGGATGAAATGCGAGTTGGGTTGGGAAACTGGGAGGAACGAACTTTGATGGCAAAGGGGAGAGAAAATAAAAGGGGTTGGAAGGAGTGGTGGTGGTGGTGGTCATTGCCCCCCCCTTTTCCAGGGTGGGGACATTGTATCTAGCATGGGCTAAGGCAACATCTGTTGCCCTTTCCCCTTGCTTTCATTCCCTCGTATCCTGCCTCCTCGGATGGGGAGTGTGTGGAAGAGGGATGAAGCTTTCATGCAATTTGATCACCATCGCTAATTTCTTTCCTAGAGGGTACTGGTGTGTGCGTGAGCCTGTGTGTTTGCGATGATCTAGTCACGTTTCTAGCCATTTGGGATTGGCCTAAGTCTATACAGATGGACGGGTAGTTAGGAGTTGATTGAAGTTGTAGTTGCCCGTCTGGGTACATTTATTGACTGACCGTTAGCCTCGTCCCCTCCTGTCCTTGTACCTTCACTGCCTCCTTTAGGTGACCCCTATATGCCGGAGGTGTGGGGATATGGATAAGTAGGTGAGTATGTGCATAAACACGCAATGAGAATAACTTTCTCAGGGTAGTTGTCCTGTTGAAGGTACAGAGAAAGGGACTCAACCCCCACCAGTTGCCCTGTCTTAACATCAGGCTTAACCAGGCTGAACCTTAAAAAGGAGGGAAAAGGGAGAGAAAGAATGAGAAGCATTGCTAGTCAGGTTCAGCTTAGTTCACCCAAGTTACTAGGTGGTTTGGTGACTCTTCTTGAAAGTCAGAAACGAAGCCCCGAGGCAAAAAGAAGACGACAAAAAGAATAATCAACATACAGCATCTGGGGCCCAACTACTAGTTGGACGATCAGTAACTTGTCTAGGGGAGAGCGGACGGAATCCCGAATTCTTCGCTGTCAATGGCCGTATGTCTTGTTTGGGACATGTCGGGGTATAGATAGGCAAGCGAGGGCTATCTTTAGTTCCTTGCCTTCTCGACTCTGGGACGGCGAGTTGGTTCTTAGTGGTTTGGCAAGGGGTGTTGTTGCGAAGAGATGGTGTTGCAGCTTGGGGTGTTCAATGGGATGGTCGTTGTTCAGGCAGTCAATTTCCCGCGTTGGTAACGAGTTGAGGTTGGGGCATTTCTAAAAGTGAAAGGGAGAAGTGGAAACTTGTAGACAGCAAGCCCCTGTTTTACTACTATCAACAAAGACCATTTCCAAGCCCTTGTCAGGGGAAATATTTCCCATAGTCTAAGGTCGACTAGCCAAAACAGACCAACATGAACCACCACACATCTATCTGGGTTATCACCAAGGGAGCAAGTACACCCCCACCCCCTTCCCAGACATACTATATGCAGCGGAAAATAAAGCAAAGCAGACACATCTCGAATTCAAAAAAAAAGAAAAAGTCCGGGGTCATGTTATATATGTCTCACCTCTCGTTGGCAGCCACACTTTGGTAAATGCAGTTCCTGTTGGAATAGCGATGTTGGTGACCGTACTCTGCGCTGGAAGGGAGGCGGTGCGATGCACGTGCGCCGCACGGCCCTCGCACGGCCACGTACAAAGCCAAGAACCCCCACCATAGATTTCTAGAACAGAACATGAATCAGAACAACTTTACACCCCCCCCCCCCCCGGTAGTACTACCACTTTTTGACCCGTTGGAACACCTACGTGGTTGGAATACCACGAACACTGATCAGTGAGTGGTAACACTCACAGATAAGCTACGTGAAGAGACGAGATCGTACTATCGGCGCGATCGCACTGAACTTTCGAGGGAAGTGCGACCCGCGTGCGAGAATCTCTCGTGCTATCGCCTAGACGACTGTTTCCTACGAACTTTCGAGGGAGTAAGGAGGCTTCATCTAGAAGAATTAAGGAACCAATCGTACTAAACGCGAATGTTTACGACCGCTGGAAATCGGGAAGGCGATCGTAAGCATCACGGCTTGGTACAAGAGGAACCCGAATTGCGCGCCACAGTGCATTAACCCCGCTATAACCCCACTCAATGCCAAAAACCCCGGTCGTACGGCAGCGACCAATCACCAACACACTTATCGACAGTCATCGATAACTTGAAGACGATGGCGTTAGATAGTGAGGAGGAATCCTACGAGGAGATCTGGGAGAATAGCGGCATCCCCGCGACGGTTTGGAAGAGCAATGTTGACTTCAACCTGTGGGATTCTGAAACGCCACCAAACCTCACGAACCCATTTCGGGAGAAGGAGGCAACAACGTACTTCGCACAGAGTATGATGGAGTTTATCTGGTTCAATATGAGCCTAGATGGAATCCGCGCAGCTTTCCGCGAAGACTTCAAAGGCTGGACAGTCGCACAATTCAACGAAGTCAATCGTACGTTCAAGAAGCGAATGCTCACCATCTTGGAGCAGAAGAACGTACAAGTCCCGGAAGGGACGACCTCAGAGAAGTTCGCCAGTCTCGTGGCGACCGCACAGCCAATAGAGATGCCGCACAATACCTATCAACCATCTCCGACACCCACCCTACAGCTCAAGACAGGAGGAACACCACTCCTAACGAACCCACCGGGTACGACGACTTCTCCATCTCCCAATTCGTACCAGAACCCGAACCCGCTATGCGGAACCCCCTATATCCAGTACCAGAACATCCCACCGACGCGGATCATATATAACGGCCCAGTCGATAGCAGGAAAGTATCGGCGTTTGTGAAGGCATGGAAGCCCGCACGGAACTACACAGGGCGTCCGTACGACATCTTGTACGATAAGGTCAAGCACTTCGTTAGTATTTGCCGGAGGCACGAGATCCCGGAGGATATGTATCACGCAGTATTCCCCGAGATCCTGTCTGACCGTGCGGAGACGTACTATATGAACCATATTGGGCCTGATAAGAGGTGGGACGAGATCTATCAACTGCTGGACTCGTACTTCAATACTACGGTGAACCACGCCGAGTATTACTCGGACTGGACTACCCTCAGCTTCGCACGATTGCGTAGGGAGAGCCCAGAGGCACCAGCGAAGGAGATGCTCGAGAAGATGCTCGATAAGCTCCAGCTCGTGCAGCGTGCCCTAGGCGAGGGATACCAGGGCGAGATCGCACTGCATACCGCAGTCACGCGAGCCTGCACAGGAGTCGCAGAGTTTGAACCAGCACTACTGGGCCAGAGGACATCGTGCGAGTCACTATTTGACAAGCTGAGAACAGCCCTGAAGATTGCAGAGGACCGCAAGGTTTCGCGACAATTCCATACCGAGACGTACGACCAGAACTTTGTCGACCGGCGATATCGTTCCAATCGCACAAACGACAAGCCACAATTTCCCAAGCGTCAATTTCAACGACGCGATCCTTCATATCGCCCTCGTGCGAGATTCGGGAATACAAGAGACAAGAAGTGCTTCATCTGCAAGAAAGAAGGCTGTTGGTCAACCAACCACTCAAGGGAGGAACGAGAGAAGTCTCGAAGGCAATACCTCCAGGCGTGCGAAACATTGGAGAGCCAAAAGGACTTTGAACAATTCCTGGCAGGTTTTGAAGGTACGCCACCAGAGGAGGAGGAGAGTGACGATGAGGAGTCCGGATATGAGGGC